ATCCTGGCATACGTTGGGATAAGTCGGGATGGATGTATCCCGACGGGATACATCGGGGTAGCTTATGTCGGGATCCCGACCCAAGGTGGGATGGGTCGGGATCCCGATGGAATTTTAGTCAGAATCCTGACCGAAGGCGGGATGAGTTGGGATAAGGTGGGACGAAGTAAGGGCTCGAATTTGGGGGGGGGGGGAATCCTCAAGACCGCAGGGCTTGTTGCTCAGAACTTTTACTGGACCGGAACATTTTTTAATACAAGACCGAAGTCATGATCTGAGAAGAAAAAAATCAAAACACTACAAAAACGCACCATTGACCAAAGTTAACAAGTTTGTTCATAGGCCTACTTCTGCGCCTGTGCAAGTTTTTTCACTCGCAGATCGCTTAGGAGGCAGTTTGGGCTTTGAAACACCATCAAGAAATTTTCACATACCTTCTTTTTACACAACGTTTGCTGCCACAGAAAAAAAGGAAATCAGTTTTGACAGGACAATATCATTCATTATCAACAATTGTTGTCAAGATTTAGCATACGGTGCGGTGCCGGTGAAGCATGACGTTCGGAAAAGAGACCTAACTTTTAATCCATGCATTGTCCTTAGGACAAAACCAATCAGCAAATATTGCAATAAAGCAAGTTTTTTAGCGATCCATGAATGCGTTGGTGTCTCAAATGCTGAGGGAAAATGTGGTCGCGTAAAACTACTACTGGTGTCCGGCGTAGCCAGTGTGGGCTGGCCCGCGCCCGCACGCCGGGCCGGCCCGCGCCCGCACGCCGGGCCGGCCGGGGCCGGCCGCGGCCGGGATAGGAAGCAATTCCCGGTGATTATTTCTCATCGTCATTATCTACAATTATTATTTTTTAAATAACAAAAATGAGATTTCTCCTTCACATTGTGTTGTATCATATTGAAATTGCAATCGCCAACGACTTTTTCTGTCTGAGACCTCAATGGTTTTACAATTTCTCTCCCTGCTGATCGGATGGCTACCTCCATGGTTTTATTTACAAATTTAAAATCGGAACTACTGCTACTACGGCAGCGCTACACAACACAAGGCTTCTTGAAATATGAAATGTTCATGCGATTTGTTTTCGCACTTAATATTGACAAAGTAAATCCCAAGTTTTTATAAAACATATTGAAGAACTACTAAAAATGGTTAAACAGAGAGCATCGATCTTGGAACAATTTATACATTGTAAACATAATCTAAAATTTGAAAACAGAAGAAACTTTACAGGAGCAAAAGTATCAATCATTGAAACAAATAAAACAAAATTTCTTATAATTTTAAACACTTCTGCTTAAAAAAAATCAGGGGAAAGTGGCAAGGAATCGCCTCAGATTGCACCACAGAGCATCTATAGTTCCTAAAAAAAACTTGTTGGCCGTTTTCGAGCATTTGTCAACAAACGAAGGTCACGTGACTTATCTGAATTTAAGTCTTTTTTTTTAACAATAAGCATGATAAGTCATGGTTGTGTTGATTATATTTCTTGTTCTTCTATAATGACCCCTTTCTCTGGTTGTTTATTCACTACAAACCTTGCATTTACCTTGTTATTTATTCATGTGACTTGAGTGAAGTCTACTCAGTGTGACTGGAGACAAGGCTATACAAAGTATTGATTTTTCTAGTGGAGCCAAAAATAGTATTGATTTATGGAGCTGTGATTTTGCACTTGTATTTTGTGAATATTTCTTAGTCAAGGAAAATGAACATTATGTTTAGATTTTAAAGAAGAATTATGCTTATCTTGATTAGAAATGTGTATTATCAAATTATTTGTCATCATAGGTTTGGCTTTAGATCACTTTTGTGGATTGTTCACTTGACGTGAACTGCACGTTGTTAATTCACAGCTCCCAAACCATGCGGTCGTGGCAAGGCCTAGGCTAGGCAGTGCCTGCCCGATCTTTACAGGTAAATGTATTGTACTTTTTTAGGTCATTTTTGAATGCAATTATTTCACCAAAAATCCAGATGATTATTACCTATGTGCCCTTTATTGTATCAGCAAATTATTATAGATTAATATGGTGGTAGTTTTGGAGAATGTAATGAAGTTTTTGGAGAGATTTTTGCTGTAAGATTTAGGGAGCACTGTGACCAAATGCACGAGGGTTAGCAACCCATGTTTGCACAGTTGATGGCACACACAGTGTGACCATGTGCAGTGCGCGTGCGTGAGCAGTACATGTATTGTGATATGTAACTTACAGTAGTTTGTGGTTTAAGAGTGATTTTATGTGGACGTAGGCCTATATTGCATTATTGGGCACTTAATTGTCTGGAGACCAGTTTATAGAAATTCTTACAACTGTCACTGTCATATAGTTTTGGAAAGTTCATGTAAGTTGGTGATCATATTGTGCATTTTAGGGACGGATGTGGGTGCTTGCGGTGTGTGATAGTGTGGAATGTCGGACACTTCGCCCCATTTCCACGTCGCCCCATGTCACGTCGCCCCTAACCACTTCGCCCCATCCCCACTTCGCCCCATTCCCACATCGCCCCATCCCCACATCACCCCATTCCCACTTCGCCCCATTCCCACTTCGCCCCATCCCCACTTCGCCCCATCCCCACTTCGCCCCAGCCGTTACATGTAAAAAAAAATCTCATCTATTTTATTGGCTTAAAAAAAACAATTTCACCAGATTCACTAACCAACGGAAAGAATTAGCCCATCACCAAATGAACAATTCATAACCAACCTCTCAAGCTAGGCTCTCCCCTACCGAGAAAAAAGCTTGAAGTAACTGAGATCCAACTTTGTTCCCAACCCAGCTACATTGTATACCAACCCGTCTCCCACTTATCTGAGAACGACAATACCTTTGACATTCTAATTTCACTCTTGGAGGAACCAATCTCATCTAAATGAAGTTGTAAGTGTCACATATCAGACAAATTTTGACGGAACATTTTCCTCAAGGCAGTGAGTTCCTTGTAACTCACTGACCCATAGTACGGGTTCTTTTGAATCCAGCGGCTGATGATTTTATTCACAAGCCAATAGGAGAGGCGTCTCTGAATGGGATAGAGCCATCATTTCTCTCATCTGTGTCTCGAGCACCTCATCAGAGAGTTTGTATTTTTCCTGAGTTTCTAGAATTGGGAGCATTTATTATCTGGGGTCTTTGGCTGTTTATTTGGTCGGCACCCTATAGCCTTCATCTTTTTCATACTACATGGGGCGAAGTGGGGATGGGGCGAAGTGGGGATGGGGCGAAGAGGGGATGGGGCGAAGTGGGGATGGGGCGAAGCGGAGATGGGGCGATGTGGGGATGGGGCGATGTGGGGATGGGGCGAAGTGGTTAGGGGCGAAGTGACATGGGGCGACGTGGAAATGGGGCGAAGCGTCCGACACCCATAGTGTGTGCGAGTGTTGGTCAGTCAGTGCGCAGGGCCGGCCTGTCTGTTTGTGATTCCATCCTTGGGTGCTCGATGCGGTCACCATACTTGCATATAGGCTTTTCACTCTTGGTAATTAACTGGGTAATGTGTGTACATCTTTCTAATACATGTACGCTTATTATTTCATGAGTTACACATGTACATTGTTTGTATATGAGTGCCTGCCCGATCTTTACAGGTGGCCCCACCTGGGCCGATTCAGTCTGAATAAACAGTCAGAGCAAGGGAGATCCAGTTTCCGTGTCAGCACTCACTCCAACAAAGAACCTGCGTGCCCCCCTCTTCCCTTACTCCAGAACCAGACCAGAGCCCCCCTTCCCTGAAGTCCCCGCTAGAGACCCCTCACAAGTATTTGACAAAAAAAGACTATGTATTCAGATTATGGATACAAGCTGTTAATAATAGTGATGAAAAATCGAACGCTGACCTTTGACCGCGTTTTGTTTTTTTCACATTTTTCGTTAATTACGTGATCTTTTGATGATTTTGTTTTTACAACCACCATCTAAAAATGGTCCCTTTAAATTGTGTCATATAGGATGTGCAGTTTTTTTACACAGCTGTTGAGGATATTGTTTGAACGGTAAGACGTGATGTATGGCAAAAGATGATAATAAATTCATAATAGTGAGTATAAAACTTCTTTTTTTTCCAGTTATTTCAGCTTCTCACAGGTGGAATTTAACCGGGATCCCGGTGGGATACTTTGGGATCCCGGTGGGATACTGACTGGGATCCCGACCTATCCCATCGGGATCCCGACCCATCCCATCGGGATCCCGACAAAATATCCCAGTGGTATAGGTCGGGATCCCGGGCAGTATCCCACCGGGATTCCCGACCTATCCCATCGGGATCCCGACCCATCCCATCGGGATCCCGACAAAATATCCCGGTGGTATAGGTCGGGATCCCGAGCAGTATCCCACCGGGATTCCCGACCTATCCCATCGGGATCCCGACCCATCCCATCGGGATCCCGACAAAATATCCCGGTGGTATAGGTCGGGATCCCGAGCAGTATCCCACCGGGATTCCCGACCTATCCCATCGGGATCCCGACCCATCCCATCGGGATCCCGATCGGTATCCCGACGGGATAGGTCGGGATCCCGACAAAATATCCCGGTGGTAAGGTCGGGATCCCGGGCAGTATCCCACCGGGATTCCCGACCTATCCCACCGGGATATTGGTCGGGATCCCGACCAAATTTTTTAAGGGGATTTACTCAAAGTTGTGCTGTAAAGCACTGGTCTAATTACCAGGAGCAACCTGTAATTTACTTGTACCCAATCATAAACAGGAACAAGATTTTTGACGAACCACTTAAAAAATGATGAATATTCCCTTGTATATTTTAAATAACGCTTGCAGTTTTAAATGTGTGTAAAATAAAGCACACACGTTAAGTCTGTACAACACACAATGATCTTTACAAGTTGGCATTGTATATACATTTAAAAAAACAAATTATCCGTACAAGTTTTGTGTAAATACTGTCAATGACTGGATGAATAATTATCAAGGTAATTATTACTAAAATAAACCACCTTCTCTCAGCTCATGATCCGATTTTTTTCCACACCAGTTTTGGGCAGTTTAATTACATTGTAGGTTCAGGATAGAGATCCAAAGGGTTTTCATTCATACATTCATTCATATTTATTAAACCAATTTGCAGCTGAAAGCTGAATTCGGGCGATTCACCAATTCACCAAGAGTTTGCCACAGAGAGTTCATTTTCCCCAGTGCATTGTGGGAGATGGTCGACAAATTCGCAGCCCGGGACATTTGAAATTGTTAGTTTTTTTCGGTCAGTAGTTTCGTAAGAGTATGATTCGAATATATGTTCGCCGTTTTTTTCTTTTGATCAATATGGTGTTTTTTGTAAGGCGGCAGAACGCTATGTCCGAATCTATAACAAAATTAGCTCAAATTGTCTACTGACACTCATTCAAATGGACCGCGTTTTGTCGACCGTAAACTTGAAAAATGGACTCTCCATGGCAAACTCTTGGTGGCGCACTGCATTGTGAATCGCCTGAATTGCATGGTTATGACTGAAACAGAAATTAAACACAAGTAATAACTGGAATTCAAGATAAATAAGAACTTCAAAATTATAGAAACAAATAAGTTTTTTTTAAACATCAGCTTTACTCTGACTTGATTCACACAACACTTTAAACACAACACTAACTGCAAACTACTACATTTCAGCAAATATTTTGCAAAATTCAACACACGTTAAGCACTGACGTTAACTCAGTATATGGCATGTAAAATAATATAAACAAATAAAAACAATACACAAATAATGATACAATTTGAACAGACATTCCAAAAATGTATTCATCACATTAAAACAATGGGGCAAGACATCTGGGTGAACTTACAGATAAACAATTCTACATAAAACAAAATTAATCAATTATACAGTCGTCCCAGCTCCTGGCCTTTGACATTGGTCACATGACTGATTTGGTAATGTCACATGACCCAACTACTTATTTCCAGGTTTAACAGCATGTATGTGTATCATGCCATCATGGTCCTGTTCTTCAACATCCAGTCGTGTGATTGGCTGACATTTTGGTCATGTGACTACTATGTCAGTCATAGCTCTCTTCCTATTGGTCGATTCAACCAAGCAGCCTCTAGTTTTATTCATTTATTTTTCTTCTGGCCAAAGGCAAACCTCAAGGCGACTTGCTTTTCTGCATGTTTTCGCTGTGCGCTTTCTGTTGGCATAAACAATTGAATGAAACACAAATTAGATCCATTTGAATTTTATAAGTGTAAATTTTGAAGAAAAAATTGAAAGTTTTGTACAGATGGTGGAGGGGTAAAGTGATTTGACTTGCTATCTGAATAGTGATGGACTAATGATTGACTAATGATTGACTTGTGACTGACTTGTGACCAACCACAGATGGGCTTGTGATTGACTTGTGATTTACTTATGACTAACCTAAGATGGACTTGTGATTGACTTGTGACCAGCCACAGATGGGCCTGTGATTGACTTGTGATTTACTTATGACTAACCTAAGATGGACTTGTGATTGACTTGTGACCAACCACAGATGGGCTTGTGATTCACTTTGTGATTGACTTATAACCAACCTCAGATGGACTTGCGACTGAAATGTGACCAACCACAGATGGGCTTGTGATTGACTTGTGATTGACTTATGACCAACCTCAGACTTGTGATTGAATTGTGAACAACTTGTGACAACCCTCAGATGAACTTGTGATTGACTTGTGACTGACTTGCAACTAACGTTTTATAGTTGGATTTGTGACTGACTCAGTATTGAGCTGTCCTCCTTTACCAGAAATGACACTTGTTTGTCAGAAATTACACGAATCATACTTACTGCAAACTTTGACGTGAAAACTGAGAATATTCCAAAGAAGGAATCGCTCTCGGTAGAGGCCGGGTCTTCTCCAAAGTACTGGGCTGTCTTGTTGAATTCCTCTTGAGCCTTGGCATGCAAGGACTCGATGGCCTCCAGACGATCTCGCGCCTCATCAGTAAAACTCTGATGACACGATTTAGTTAAGGATGTAAATTATTACAAAAACTATCAAGTTTATCTATCCTCTCTCTGATGAAACTACAAGTTTATAGATTCCCCATGCTCATCAACAAATTCAGTTTTTTTCTTCTCATGAATTATCAACCTATTTTTGTTTTTTTGCACGTGTGCAATTCTCTGAAAAAAGTTTTTGTTTTTTAATAGACATGAACAGATCCGCTTTGCGAGCAGACTGGCTCCTGGGCTGTATATTATTGATACTGATAGAGGGGCGGGAACCAGCCTACCCTGTGAGAACTGAATTATTGTCAGACAGCCCAAAAAAAATTTGTTAATTTTTTTTTATTTATTTTTAAATTTTTTTGGAGGGGGTGGGGGGGGGGGCACTTTTTTGCACAAAGTTGCATCTGAAAGCGAATGACACACATACAGGGATGATCCAGTGAGGTTACTGCCGGCACCCCCCCCCCCCCCCCCCCCCCCGGATCCACCACAGATACCATGTAAAAAAAAAAAGAAGATAATTTCAATCAAAACAACATTTAGTGCTCACCCAAGATACAACTTTCATGCTATTATACTTTATTAAAGGGAATAAATGTGTGCTCGAGAGGTTTTAATCACTCTGTTTAAGACCGCTTGGAGTCTGGGTGCTGATAATTACCCGAGCCGACCAAGCACATATTTATTCCCATTCATAAATACCTTTTCGGTAAAAGAAAATCCAAAAATTGGGGTAAAAAAACTCTGATTTTGTTCACTGAAGTTCACTTCATGTTTTTTTAAACACCCCTCTAGCTAAATAATGGAGTGTCCAGCTGGCAAGTAAGATGTAAACAACTCCTTTTATGGAGATTGGCGCGCGCGTCGTGCCTACTGCGCAGTGTCATGCAGAATGCACCTGGGGCGTTGCGTAGTGACATTAGGACTATAAAATTCTGACTCACTGGTAGTATTGCGCATGCCTATGTGAGGATTGGGAATGTTCAACCAATAAAACTGTAAGAGGCACTGGATTTTTAGGAGTCCAACTTTCATGTGGCACTGGAAAAGTGTTCAAGATCAGCGAGTCATGTCTTTATCATCCGTTTAAGACCAGCCACGTGACGGTCTCTCGACCAATAGGAATGGGTAAACTGTCTTAGGTATTTATGAATGTCGTTTCTTTGGCACCACAGTCTGATGATGAAACCAATAAATACGAGATAATAATTTTTTAAAGTAAGGATACATCCATGACTTCAGTGAATCGGTCGTCAGGGAGCTGTGTAGTGTCTCCTGGCTCCAGTTTGTCTATGTCCAGCACCAAGTCCTATCCAAAATAAAAATTGCCTCTGGTCAGCTTGGTTGAAAGTCTAACATTTGAGAAACAAAACCTGAAAATTTGTTAGGCTACTTTTGGGACAAATGCAAATGCTCATATGCCTTTTAGGCCAAAAAAAAAGGCTCCAGTTTCTGGTCTGCGCGTGCGTCGCTGTAGCCATGCGCGTCGGCAAAATTAAAAATTTCTTTTTCAATGTCAGATGATGTCTCAAAACCGCAAAACTCACTGGTTTGACTGGAATCTTGCTGCTGCACAATTTTTAACATGTTTTTAGATGGGCTTACGGTCGAATATAAGCTTTATGTGGCCTCTCTGGACTCCGATACATTTTGCACTAAATTTAATCGGGCACCATTTGCAGTCATCAGCCGACATTTAACCAAAAAAAAACAAGTAAAAAAAACAAAACCACTTTTGGGGCAAGCTCCATACCAGAAACCGAAGAATTTTATTTTTGACCTTAAGGCAAAATCCCAAATTTATGTTACATGTACTTCATGTAACAAGTGACATACAGTGCACAAATTTTAACTTTTTGATGGATATTTTTATCAGACTTCAGAAAGTTGGATTTTTAAACCTAAAGTACACAAAATATAGTCAAATAGTTACATTTGAACCAAACCTTTTTAAACCCTGTTTCTTAATCGACTTGAAATTAATTGGTGAACCAACTTTTTGGAAATGCTAAAGTTGGGGGAAGTTTAAAAAAGTTTCACCGACACTGAAAAAAAATTATTTAAAATTCAATCCACCGCAATTAAAAACTGGAAAATTAGTGAGAGGTGGGCTTATATGGTCTTCAAACTGGTGGTGAACCGCCACCCCCCCCCCCCCCCCACCTCGCAAACTTTATCAAAACTGGCTGATTCTCAAACCTACCTCTAGTTTGTTTTTGACCTCTTGAAGTTCGTCGTTCACCCATTTTAATGACACTTTGTTGGCCTTGGGAACCATGGGAAGCTCGTCCCCAAAGGTCATGACCTCCGGCACATTTGCATACACGGCCTTAGCAACAACATGGAGAAACGTGGACTTGTTGTCTGCTGTCTTTGTCGTGTCAAGCTTTAAAAGAAAAATAAGGGGAAAATCAACTTTATGCATTCTGTTTTGTGAACATCAAATTTTGAACATAAATTGCCCAGCACTCTATGGTTTTGTGAATTTACAGGAAATAAAAACACAAAAATACAACATGATACAATGTAAAACAAGTTCTAATTTGTTAACTTTTGTCTCAAATTTTCGAAAAACTTATCTTCTAAACCCATTCAGGTTTGTTTCATTAAATTTTTACAACTAAATTCTTAAAAATCCCAAAGCATCTTACCTCAGTAAGGAAGGTGATTTTGAAGCCTGTTGCCCCGGCAACCCGCTGGTTTCCTTTATTCATGTAATTCCCCATCGCCAGTACCAACTGTGGAAACAATACACAAAATATGAATGGCCTAGGTTGAAGTCTGAATATTCTGAATCGTCAAATACATTTCCATGAGTATCAGTATGAGGACTCTATCACAAGTGTGAGTAACAGAGAATTTTTCTTAGCTGGAAAATTACGAGTAAGAGTACTTTTCCCTGCGTATAACCATGCGTCCAAATACAGAGAACGTTTCCTAAAACATACAAATATGAATTCGAGTCTGAGTACAACATATTAAAGTATTTACTGGAGATGTAGTACTTGTACTCTGTACTCGCAGTAAAGTGAAACTTCAGTATTTTTTTAGAATATTCGACTCAAATTCACAGCACTGGTACTCAGTAAGCAAAGTACGTGGACTTGACTATTCCCTATCAAATCTCCCTCATCAAAGTACTCATACTCAATGATAAGGACTCAGAGAAAAATCAAAGTATTTACTTTTGAATGAAAAAACTCCTCAACTGGAGATGCATGTGCTCTATTTTAATCAATACTGAATAGAACCGTGTGGTTTCAGTTCCGGCTCATTACTTGAAATTTTGTTTTTTCACGTGAGTACCTCATAAAGTATTTGTACTCGGAGGTCCAAGTACTCAAACTCGGGTCCCTGTACTCGTTCTCAAGGGTCAAAGTACTTGGATGCAATTGGCACTCGATAGCTTGGTACTTGGCTGGTACTTTGTACTGGGATAAAAGTGCTCAACAGTTACACTGCAATTGTCTTCGATCTTTCTCTAATATTTACCTCTAGAACCTTAGCGAGTTTCTGACTGGCGCGCAGCTCGATGGCGGCCTGCTCGATCACCTTCAGCAATTTGGATATCTCTTCCAGTTTCTCGTCAAAGCTGGATTTGAAGAGCAAGCTCTCTATGCGGAGCTTATAGCCAGGGATCTGGCTCATCTGGAGGATTTACAATAAAAAAAATTCAGAGTGTTGACTGATGAATTATGTGGGACATGGATTTGTTTGTACTTGGCACTTGAAGAGAAATGAAAGTCAATACACTGTAGTTGTTTTGTGCATTTGGAGTGCATAACAAGAAACAATATAAAAAGTGTTATCAATGCACACAAAATTGTCATATCTGGCTGCTTTTTTTGTTTTACCTCGTAGGCAAACTTGTCTGGTACTGTCAGCTGAGACAGTCTGCTGCCACATTTCTTCAGCTTCTCAATCTGTGAAGAAAACAGGCAAACATCTCAGATTATTGTCCGTTATAACACCTCCAGGTGTTATTTTTTTACTGTTTTCAATCTTGATGTGGCTGTTTTTGTCTAAAAAAATTCTTCATGTGTAGAAACAAACGTAGCAACCAGAAGTCTGTGTGCACATGCGTACCGGTGTGCGCGTTGCGCGTATTGTTCCCACGCACTACAGAGTTGGGTTAAAACATTTTTATCAGAAGGGGTTGTTTGGAAAAGTGAAAGTAAATCTGCAACTAATTTCGTATTCAAATAGAAGTACAGTTTAATTTGATTTTAGTTCGACTAAAAAGTTTAATGTAAAACTCACGCAGAACATGTGGGCGAGGCATCATAAAATAAATATTGAACTCGTGGTGATCCATGGAGCACGCCATTTCCCTATGTCTTTGCCTCGGGAAACAGAAAATGGATCAACTTGGGAGGCTAATTTTACAACATCACTTAAAGCAGTCAATGTTGTATTTACTTCTTGACGAACACAGTTTTAAGGCAGTAAAGTTGCTTGTACATACCTCAGCATGGTCCGGTGCATATAAAGCCATCTGTTGCAAGTGTGACGTTGAAAACTTGTCTGTATTCATTTGTATGATATCAGCCTTGATATCCTCTATGGGCAACCTTAGGTGGCCCAACAAGATTGCTGTTTAACAAGAAAAAAAACAACAGTTGAAATGATCAAGTTCAAGAAATTTTGAAGATTTGTTCCCATTAACCTTTTTACATTTACGCCTCATTGTAAATGTGCATAATATGTACTGAGTGAAAAATACCTGCTTACTGTAGCAGAAAATTCCATGCTTATGGTAAGCGTATTTCACAGGTTTGCGAGGAATTTTGGATTCTGCGCATGCGTACATCCCGTAACTAAGGGTTCTGTACTTGCAGGGTTAGCGCAGAATTTTTCTGCTAGCGCTGTTGGCGCAAAAAGGTGATCGTAAGCGCTAAAATTCTGTAGTCAGCAGAGCCATTAAATTGGTCCAATAATAAATTAAACCCTCCCTCTCAACAGCACCGTGCAAGTTGCTTGAGCATACCAAAGCATGTTTGGTATGCACTTGATACTTGCAGAGATGGGGCGTGCAAGTTTGCCAGTTCAATGTTATCCTTTTCTATGTGAACGTTCTGGTGCCAAACACTAACTAGTCTAGTCACAGACTCCTTTCTGTGCTTGTGTTTTCCCAATCATTATCGGCATGATTGATTAAATGCAAGTTGAGATTAGGGGTGTGCATAGGAACCGGGTACCGGGCCGCTGATGTCACTTAGCAACTTCTCAGACAATGGAAAAGAAAGGTTTTGAGTGCCATTTGTGGGAATTTGAAACCAGGCTCTATTGAAAGTCTAAACAGTTTTCATGTTTATGTGCATTTTCGAGCACAACAGATGACGCTCGCGAAACTTGCAGTTTACACCGTAATGCTATAAAGCCCCTCAGACAACTTCCGGGATTTGAATTTGGGGTTGGGTTTCTTTTACGGGTGCCCGTGTTTCACTTCAATAGGGTACCTGGTTCCTAACTTCCTGTAGAACTCTTAAAAGCACACCACTGGTTGAGATCAATATATAACAAATATACAACAAATATTCTTATATAATGGGGTGAATTGGTGGCACACATTTTGATGGAGATCTTTTTTGTCTTGCTCTTACCTGTGTTATGGGCCTTCTTGTGGTTGATGACGGCAATCTGTGGTTTCTTGTCTTTTGGAGAAGCTTTGTGGGGACAAAGGTTCAAAGTTGCATATATCAATCACATCAGTCTTGAACTCGTATGGCAATTTTAATTGATGGTTACTGATGAGTATTGTTGAGAGGATGTCTTCCTTTTCTCGCAAGTTTGGCATTAAAAAAAATGCTATTGACAAGGATGAGACAGAAGTTTCTTGATCAACTTATTTAGGATCTGAATATCCGATCTCTTTCAAAAAGTATGTGTTTCAGTCAAGTTTGTTCCCTGTATATTGTAGGGAGCCGACATCCGAGATTTTTTATTTAATAATAGGCTTGTCTAGCTCCCAGACCTATGTTGTTGGAACACAATGGTTCTTGAGTCTGGAGTGCTGAATGGTAACACATAGCAACCGACGAAAACTGGTGTGCAAATGAATAGATGTTTTCATTGGATGACGTCAGCCCGCCCCCACCTATACCTTACACAAAAGCCTTCAAACCATGTTTATTGCACATATATTTTACAAATCAATTTTCTATTTAATATGAATTGTGTGTGTGCGCTCTTTGTTTTTAGTTTTTGTATTTTCTTTTTATTTGACGGCCTGGTCACAGTTTGCCAAAGTTTACGGTGCTAAATAAGATGTATACACACAAAAAAGACGCTTGTATACTCACTCTTATGTTTGTTTTTGACACTGAATTTCTCCTCCAATTCCAGACGTTTGATGACATCAGACAAATAGTCCTCCCCTTCACCAATCTACAAGTAGGAACAAAATTCATCATTATTAAAAAGTACTTCTAAATTGTCAGAAATTTTCACAAATAACTTAAGTCATTTGTTAAGTTGCTTTTTAGAGCTTCGTGGTAATAAACAAATTACATAAATGGTTGTTTGTTTAGAGCATTTTTGGTGTCTGTGGCTTAACTTACCCCACTCCACACCGTGTTTTCCGTAGCCTGTATTTTCTCCCAGTTTAACCGCTTGACCGCCATCTTGCCCGGATGCCATCCCGGGTTGTTGTTATTGACCTCCGGAAGGGGCGGGGCCGGTGGGGGCAGAGGCGGAGGGGGAGGTGGGGGAGGGGGCGGCGGGGAGATGGGCCGCTGCAGCTGCTTCGGCCGGGACGCGTTACTCAAGACGGACGCGTGGGAACTGGAATGATGCGAGGTTAAAGAATAGCGGCTGCTCGCGTGGGATACGAAGCTACCGGGAGGGGAGGGCGCTCTCCCGTTGGGCGTAGAGCTAGAAGGATGGGGGCGGAGCCTGAGTCGCTCGCTGCCGTCGACCGAAGGCGCGTAGGTAGCCCTGGCATTGGAAGGCGCCGATGACGGGCCCGCGCGGCCGTTGACAAGAATCGACGTGTTGTTATTGGCGTTGAATCCAGGATGGTTGGAGGAATGGGCCTGACTGGCTGAGCTTTGCATGGAGACCGAGTCGTCATCCGAAAGCATACTCGTAACAACTGTATCAAGAAAAAATAAGTTGGTGTCTGTCTAAATACTTGCACACAAAAAAACGGCAGTCTTGAAAACAAGGAAAAGACATCTAGAACAATAGAGTTACAAAGGTAGGTTAATAAGCAACAAAATTGCAAAAGAAATACATGCACACAATTAAGACAAGTACATTATCAGCAATTATAAGCATACTCATGCACTGAATGTACAGGCAATACACATTGAGTTGACAAACGTTTAGCATAAAATGCCAACAGTCATTTGCGATTACCAAAAAATTCGCAAAATGGTATTTCACGACAAAAAGATTAAGCATGTGACAGCACTACTTTATAAGAATACCAGCAGTATGTCCACTTTTACACAATCTCGGTAGACTTTGTTTTTTTGAATTGGAATAAAAGCCTACAAATATGCAAATAATCCTATTGGCATAAAACAAAGCAATCGTGCAACAGTGTTGTAGAACTCTTATTCGAACTTGTACTCAAGTACATTTTGTCGTACTCATGCGTGTACTCGTACTCATGAGAATGTACTTGTACTCGTACTTGCAAGAAAAAAATGTACCAGTACTAGTACTCATGACAAAGAACTTTGGCTTTGAGAACACGTGTACCCATTGAAATTTGCTTTGACTCGTGAGTAATATTGAAATTGACATGCGCAATTCACTATTGTATGGCATTAACCTAAATCAACTAAACCGTTTGCAGCGACTACAAAACATCAGTGCCAGACTAATCTCTCTCACTAGTAAACATTCTCACATCACTCCTGTACTAGCAGATCTCCACTGGCTTCCAGTATCATACAGAATCAAATACAAACTTGGCCTATTCGTGTTCAAAATCCTCCACAACAATGCGCCGGAGTATCTCATCGAGCTCATCCACCCGTACTCAACAGCACGCACCGGACTCCGCTCCAGTGAGCTCATGATGCTTCACGAGCCCAGTACCTCCACTCTTTGGAGTGACAGATCCTTCACTGCAGCATCAGCGTGAGTGTGGAACCAACTCCCTCTGGCTATCAAATCATCTCCATCCATCACAACATTTAAGACAAACATAAAATCTCACCTGTACAAACAAGCTTACTCTCACAACACACAATCCTAACTTGACTTTCTCCTCAAGCGCCATGAGCGTCTTTTTTAGGCGGATACCGGCGCTTTACAAATGTTCTTTTATTATTATTTTTATTTTATTATTAATACAATGTACTCGTACTTGAACACGTATTCATACTGTGGGTATATTTTCTTGTACCTATACATGTACTTGTACTCATGGGAACAAAAACGCCTCCTACTTGAACTTGTCACAAAGCATTTTACCTTCAAGTTGTTCAGGGTTTACAGTATACAGACTGCCCCGTTTCCGTCTATCATGGCCAGGCTGGGGGGCCAAATGGAGCCCTAAGGCTTCGCTCTCCAGGGGGTAAGAGGGGCGTGTCTTGGACGGAGGTTTACTACCATGATGGGATGGCGGTTTACGGTGGGCGGGGTTTGAATGATGCTGGTGGGGGTACGAAGTCTCACTGACAGAAGGGTAGTCGGTAAAATCTGTCTCATCTTCGCCTTTACAGAGCCGTCGAGCAAAATTAGGAGTTGATGGAATAAAGGGGGGGGGGTATGGGAAGGGATAAAGGAAAACATGCAACATCATGCAACTGAACAGTTTGTTAGTTTGGTTAACTTGCATTTTCACATTTTGTCACTGGTATTATTGCGTCACTTTAAAATAAAGATTGCATTATTGTTGGAACTGAGGGGCCGGGCTATTGTCCTCTGACTAACCGAGTCATTGACTGACTCCCCGAGTCACTCAATGACTGACAGAGTCACTACTGAGTATAACATCCTTAACTGAGACTTCAAGATGCAACTTGAGTAGGTAAGTCTAGTCTTGTTTCAAAGTTTTTGGGGGGATGGACTAGAAACAACGTATTATAAGTATTTCAATTGATGCATCAAGCTGCAATCCACAATCAACAATTGTGGAAAAGCATCTTGGGTCAATATGTTCTCTTGAAATTTTGCAGTTATTTCTGATGTCTAAATTTGAAGCAGATGTTGCAAAAGTAAAAACTACAGTCATGCAAAATACATGCATTACAGCATAACAGGGTAACGGGCAGCACAGCACAGCAGGCACATCTAATTATGAAAAATGTTTCTCAATTAGGTACTTCAAACACAAAGTACACTTTTTCCCTTCAACAAAAGCCAAAAAGGTCAAAATTCACAAATCTGTATCCAATATTAGGTTGATCGGTTGCATTGAGATTTTCAAACAGAGACTATACACCAGACCTGCCTTTTAGGATTTTCCCTTATTAAAATAAATGGTTAGCATTGAAGAAGCAGATACCACTCCAAATGTAGTTTATTTTTGCAGAAATAAATCAATGTGAATTTAGTGCACTATCTCAAACAAAGGAAACAATTTCCTTTTTCAAAGCACAGTGTCACTTAAACTGATGCTCTCATTCTACAAATTCTCTCAAAGATGGCCATCTCTGTAGGAGAACTGCAACTGCATATTTTATGCAATCAAGCACGCACTGCACAGTGTTGAAAATGTTCCAAACACGCGCACTTGTTGCTCGAAATGTGTTCGAAATATGACGCAGCCGATGCGCGTTATGCAAATTGACGCTCAAAATGCCGATGCACGTGGCATTGACGTCATTTGAAAAAAGACCTATTATTCCAGCTACATGACAGATTTTATTTTTATTTTTTTATATATTTTGTACAATTCTTGCATACTAAGTTTATGGCCGCCACAAATATGCTTTCTTCATGACGCAGTCAAGATGGAACATGCATGCTGCACATGGGCATTTCAGCGGTTACTTGCAGCAGGAATGGCGCGCATCTAAGAATAGTGCGCTATGCAACTTGGACTGTGGTATATGGGATAACACCACACTGTTGTTGCCATGGATCGACCAATAAGGATCGAGCATTCAAGTTTTTTTGGAGATAAATACAAATGTGCTCACTTTGAGGAATAATGATATGAAGGTCAAATGTGTTTTTGTTAGTGGACCAATAAAAACTCTTACCTTCGCTAAATCCAGGCAAATACATGCCGTGTAGAACTCGTGGTTGTGCATCCGATGTAGCTATTGCCAACACAAGAAGGAATAAAAAAAAGGGAGGAAAGCCAAGCATTAAAGGCCAAGTCATGTACTATGAGACCCGAGGTTCTGCAGCCAGTTCAATCTCAACACCTTATCTTTTATAATGAGACATTTGGACAGTCCCATTTTTGATTTAGTTGCACAAAGAGCAGTTTTAGCAAGCAAGTACCAGAAGTCAATGTCGAGCCGCAGTGCGCCCAGGCGTTTAGTAGTCAGATCAATGGCTATGCGGTTTCAAATGTTCATGGAGTACAATGTTTTAGATCTATATGGACTTAGGTTACTAGTTTGTTTGTTTGTTTTTTTGGTGGTGGGGGGGGGGGGGATTTCCTTAATGCTTGGGTCCAGTCTTGACTGTTGTGCACAAACGGAAGGTTTGTACAAGTCCAGACAACAATTTTGCATATTTCACGCTACGCATGCATGAATCTGTGTGCGCTCGCGGTACGCTCCAAACACTCATGGTTGGTCGAACAGCGCCATCATCTGTTTGTGCACGGAGTTCTATACCAGCCCTATAAATATCAGAACTGAACTGGCTACCTCCTTCAGATGGTTTGCATAAAACAAAATCATTTGTAACAAAGGCAAAATGAATTGTGGGGTTTCTATACATGCACCACAGGTTTAAGCTGAAAGTCACGACTTTTCAAAACTTGAGTTTCATTACAAACAAACCCAAATTAATTTGTAGAAAATGATATTCACCTTTTGATTCTAGTCATCAAAAAGAGTCACATAACAAAGAAAAAGGATTGAACAATATGTGATATCAAACAAATTGGACCATTAATTGTACATCGTTACCCAAAAAGGTAAACAAAAGATCAAAAATGTAAATTAAACACTTGTACACCAAAGCAAAATGTTAGAACAGCAAAAATATATGTGAAAAGGAAATGATTTTGTGATGTCTTATGCAAACCATCTACATAGTACAATTTTGGACCTCTAATGAATCACTATAACTACACATTCTAGTTAGATTTGCAATGCAAAAACTTTTATCCGAAGGAGCAAAAATGACAAATGATGGAGATTTTTAAAAATAATTGTCCTTTTTTATTCCATGATTAACAAATTATCAGAACAATTAAATTATCCTCTTTTTTTTAATATATCACTAAAATGATTAGATTTCCATAAATTGATCCATTTTTACCTCAAAATTACATGTATGTACAGTACGTAGATGGTTTGAAATAAGACACCACAAATTACAAGTTGTGACATAGCACGCTACAAATGCTCACGTGATTTTCTCTATTCCCTATTGGCCAGTGCAAACTTATGGATGTGATTTTATAAGATTTTTTTTCATGATCTCTGACACTTTTACTAAAACAATAATTTGAAGCCTACAAAAATTGCATTCCTTTTTCTATCATGTGATCCATGATCTGATTTTCTGCCTTTGCAGTAAATTGAGAACTTCTTTTTGAAATCAAAAGCATCTTGGCTCAGGAAATTACCGAACATGGTTTAATTGGGGGGGGGGGGGTTCTTACAAGTTATATAAGGTACTGAAAACCTTATTCTTCATACTCTGTGAATTCAATGTATTCTTGTTAAAGAGTAGTAAAAATAGAGTAAAAATTGTCTGTTTGTTTGATGATGAGGGAGCAAATTTGTTTCTACATGTATAAAATTATTTCCTTTACCCCTATTTGTTTGGGAAAACAAATCACAATTTGAGATTTGCAGCATATTACTTTTCCTTTACATTCACAATGTACCTTTTCTTTCCAAATATACGTATTACAAATGGAGCCACAAGAATTTCTACCAGATTTCTTAATTTGATGATTTTGATTTTTGTTTTTAAATCAATTAATTCCAGCACAAATATCTGAATATGTGAGTCCACACCATCACCTCCGCAAATTACCAAAAAGGGGTTAACAGCACTCATAACCATTTAAGGCCCAATTTTCACGGACGCTTGGCAACAGCTTATAAAAGGCATGATCATATGCATTATCCTAAAATTAGCCTACCAAATTATTCTCAAAAAGAAATACTTGGATTAAAAATCGTACTGGCTCTAATCAAATTGTGAAATTATTACGTCTGGCTTGTTTAGAGGAAATCAAGAAATGTAGGTGATTTCCAACAATCAGTCAGTTGACTGATTTTTGGAAATAAAGACTGCTATGGATGTAATTGTATTTCGTGTTCAAAAAGTTGTGCGCAAATTTTCACCGTTTTCTCAAAAAGTGCAATATGCACTGAGCTGAAACTTCAACATGTTTGTAGGTTTCGAACATTCTTCTGAGGAGTTTTGAGTGGTGTTAATATTGGAAATGAACAAAATGCATGAAAAGCAAGTGATAATGCCTTTCAAGGCTTTCACTTGGGAGAAAACAATTAAATACGCTTGTACCAATGTCAACTTTGCATTTCTTGCAATGTGCCGCACGTAACATGATTTTTTATAGGACTATGCTTTAATAGAAACCTTAGAAAAAACTACATTTCCGGCAAATTAGCAAGGCAGTTATTTATCATACAGCAACTTGTGGAGGAGAAAATATAGCCTTTATTCATTTGTGAGCTCACATCGCATTTTGCTATACCCATGTAAATTGTTCAATTTTGTGCAAAAAAAACCCCACTAATGTCCATATCCATGTTTTCCAAAGGCAAGCGTCTGTGAGAATGGGCCTCCAATAAGTCGTTGTCAAGAAGTGCCTTCTGACAAACACCGGTACGCACTGTGTGCATGCAAATTCGTACGCAGCTTTTCTCTTGAACAATTGAACCCATATTCAATCTTTTGACACAATAGAAACAAGTATTTCATTCAAATCTGAAAAAAATATTCTTACTGCATCAATTGCTTTTATATTATACACAAATATATACACATAAGAATCCAAAAGTTTGAGTGAACTATCACCGTGCTATGAAATTTAGTTCTTTTACAAATTCATCAGTGACGACACGAAGTAACACTCATGTACAAACCAGTAAAAACTAGCAATCGGAGAAAACGGCATCTATTAGTTGAACGCTTTCTAGAACAACACTCTCGCGCAAAAGTTGCCATTGATAATTAGCGTAATTGTTAAAGTAAAGCTCTTGAAGCTTTGAAACTTTGTACAATGGTAGACCTTGATGAATAATGATAAATGTAAAAAAACAAAAACCGAATAAAATATGGTCTAACACTTGGAGTGTTACTTCGTGGTGTCGGTGACATTTTTTATGTACATCAAACTAATACTTTTGTGAAACACAAATATGTGGGAAAAATAATAATAAATCACACCACATGGCAAACACGTGTGAATGACGAGGGTGGTAACACATGTAAATATTTTCACAATGAAAAACGTCGTAGAATCATGACAATAAGGCACACGTACAAATATCGTGAGCAGTAAAATTGTGTAAAACAAGAGTAAGGGTACTACACAAAGGATGATTGTTCAGGCATCATTTTTCATTCTATATAAAAAGCCCTATTTAAAAAAAAAAATGAAATCATATTGATAGAATGATACAAGCACAAAGGCCACGGTTATGCAGGCAAATTGTCACCATAGTTACAAGACAACATGAAACCCCAAAGACAAATGAATATAACTTCTACTTCCAACAATCACATGGTCTTAGAACAATAAATGGTTCAAAACCTCATTCAAAAAATTATGAGGGGAGTTTAAAAATTGAAAAATTACAACCGAATGATTAATTGAAACCCTTCAATGGCATTAATGGGAACAGTCATTAATAATAATTTTTAAAAATGCACCAAACATGTTTCCGGAAAATCCTTAAGACAATGGTTACAACTAACCACTCTTTGAACTTGAACTTTTTGGAAGGTACAAAATTTATGCGACCCAGATCTGAAGAAACCAAGTTTAGCATCTCTTCTAACTTAGAGATTCTTTACAAATTGTCTATATTTTGCTTTACAAAATTCTGACCCTGCTTTTGTTGAATGATGAAATAAAACCAATCAAATTTTGTAAGACCAATCATTGACCAAAACTTGATCGAGACTTAAAGTGAATTATAAAGTCCACTTAAAAAAAAAAAAAAAAAAACGTGAGAATAGGCCCAAAAAAAAAAGTCTCCGGTTTCTGGTATGGAGCTTTCCCAAAAAGTGGTGTGGCGACGCGGCTTTTTTTTTTTTTTACCTGTTTTTTTTGCTTCAAATGTCGGCTGAGGACTGCAATTGGTACCCGACTAAACTTAGTGAAAATATATGGGAGTCCAGAGAGGCCACATAAAGCTTATTCTCGATCATAACCCCATCTAAAAACACGTTAAAATTGTGCAGCAGCAGGATTCCAGTCAAACCAGTGAGTTTGGCAGTTTTGAGACATCATCTTTTATTGAAAAAAAAACTTTTTCATTTTGCCGACGCGCATGGCTACGGCGACGCGCGCGCATACCAGAAACCGGAGACTTATTTTTTTTGGCCATATGCCATAAGTCACTTTTTTATATTTGAAAAATGACTTTGTGTACAAAAAAAAAGATGTTGGCAGTAATTAGCAAAGCACTCTTTATTAGTAACATGTTTCAAACCAAACAAAGCCATCAGGTTTTAGTACAACAGAAGATCTTCAGATCCATAATAATTACCTTCATCAGATGGGGAAGAAGGCGGATAATCCCCCGGATAATCCCCTGGATAATCCTGGGCTGGATAATCCTGGGCTGGATAATCCCTTGGATAATCTCGTGGGATGGGATAAACATTAGGGTCGCCGGTGAGGACGTCGTTGTGGCCGCGTATCCTGGGGCCGGTGCCGTAGTAGTAAGCCATGGGAGGGGGGTATTGCGGGTCGTAGAATTGGTCGTCGTATCGGGGATGCAGTTCCTCCCCGACACTGCGCGTTCTGGGCCGGTGCGGTCTACCGTACTGCTGCCGTTCATCCCTTCGGCCTCTTGGCAAATTACCAACACTGCGGGGCCGGGGCAACCGCTGTCTGGGAACGTCACGGGTTTCACCTCGCGACTGGTGCTGGTATCGCAGCCAGTCCTCGTACTGGGTGTACTCGTCGGGCGAGTTCTGCCGCGAGTATCGCGGCCGGCGGGGGTATTGGGGAGTTTCGGGGAATGATGGGTAGGGGTACGAGTCGGGGGCGCTGTCCTCTGGGCTGCGATCGGATGTTAGCCCTGTCATGCATAATTTAGGAATGAGCATGGTGAATTGTTAGTCAATCATGCAATTACATGATCAAGTATGAGTTTGCCATGCAAAAATTACGTGCACAATACAACAACAGGCATTCATTTTAATGACAGTATGGAAGAGTCTCTATACAAGATCACACGCAATTATGGATAAATATAAACATGATAAAAATGGCAGTACATGAACACAATTTCTTCTAGTACAATGTAGTCAGTTCTTGATTTTCACAACTTGTGACTGAAGGCGAAAATTGATTTATTCCTTTGGAAAAAATTGATACAGAACAGGTTTTTTGGTTTTGTTTGGTATGTTTGTTTGTTTGAGTTTATTTGTTTGTTTTTTTTGCTTTAGTTTTTTGTTTTACCTGAGACTACACTTGGATCGCGAAGTGAGTATCCCCCAAAAGAATGGTCTAGTCTCCTGTTGCTAAGCAACTTGGGTGGCTCATCATCTGTCGTCATGGCAATAGATTGAAACAATGCAAAGGTAGGTAACAATGTGCCTTCATGGATTGTTCAGCAAAAGTAAACATTGAAAATATAAACAAATGTGACACGTGTGACGTTCTGGAAAAATAAGATAAGCAAAGGTCGAAATGAGGTTTGCGGTTATTACAAAAAAAATAACAAAACCCAAATGGCAGGACCAATTTTGGACTGAAAGTTTGCCTGTAGCACTTTCAAAATCTAGGACATGAAAGCCCAATTGGTGCGCTTTCTTTTAGTACAAGAAAAATTCAAATCACTCATGAACTTTCCAAGTTATGGAATTTTGAACGCAATCACCATTTTTAAAGTTCTGTCCACGGATTTGCTCATGGACAAATCATATTCCAAGCAGCTGGATTCGAACCCCTGACCCTCTGATCATGAGTTGCGCACTCTAACCACTTGGAAACACTCCCCACCAATTAACTTTTGTGCCCGGTAAGATGTGGTCTCATACACATCAATAAACTTACAGTCTAACGATCGACGGTGTCGTCTAGCTCGCTCATACTGGTCCTGCTCGAGCAGCAAAGTTGCGTCTGATACTGTAACAATGGGTGTTAATCAAATGTTAAGTCACATGCAATGGTTAACGAAGCAGTTAGCACAATGCTTTATCATACTCTTGTCTTGTAATATCATACTCTTGTCTTGTAAAAAATGGACTAGAAGTTGGATACAACAAGCTCAAAACTCTTTTTTTTTTAAATAGATTTGGCTTTCTTGGTATTTTATTTTTGATGGTTTATATCTTGATTGTGAAATTTTGATTAAAGGCATATAGGATCATTAGCATTTATCCCAAAAGTAACCTACTTAATTATTATCATAAAGCTAACTTGGATAAAAGATCATACCGGTACTAAACAACCCATGAAATTATTCCGTCTGGCTTGCTGTCATTTAGAAGAAATCAAGAAATGTAGGTGATTTCCAACGATCAATCCATTGACTGACTTTTGGCAGTGTTGTAGTCGAGTACTTTTTTTCCAAGTACCGAGTACTGCCGAGTACTTAGGTTGCCGAGTACGAGTACTTGTACCTCCGAGTACGAGTACGAGTACGAGTACTACAACACTGACTTTTGGAAATAAAGAGTGCAATTGGCCAAATCATGTTTCCTGATCAAAAGGTCGTGAATGGTTTTTCACCGTTTTAAGTGTAATATCTACTGAGCTGAAACTTCAACAGGTTAGGTTTTGAACAATCTTCTTTGGATTTTAAGTGGTGTTATTATTGGAAACGAACAACATTCATGTTAAGCAAATGATCCTATATGCCTTTAATCTTGAGGGATTATCCAAATTCCTAATCCCTTTTTTAATCTTATAATCACCTGACTGGAATTCATCCTCTCGTCTGCCAAAGATCACGTCCCCGTTGGTGGGCGCGACGTTGTAGCTAGCAGTCTTATTGAAGTTGGATTTGGAATAGTTGCGTGACAGCATCGTGTCGGGGTGTTCGTTGGAGGGGCGCGCCCACCACTGCCCCCTTGACCCGTACACGGCATCTGTTAAGGGGGAGGGGGAGTGGTTAGATCATGCGGGGGGGGGGGGGGGGGGGTTATATGTTAAAGCGGGTGAATAAGGCAATTTCAAGTCTGCTTGTAAATGTCTTCTTGGACACAGTTGTGAAGATGTATAGAAACAAATGGCGAGTCAGGTTGACGCAGTCCCAGGTAAAAATTCCAGTTTAAACCAGTTCAACTGGAACTTGGTGACCAGTTTAAACTGGTTTTGAACTGGTTTAACTGGTTCAAAAACCAATTATCCAGTTCAAAACCAGTTATGATAGATGTTCCAAACCAGTTATACGAGTTCAAAACCAGTTATGTGACTTTAAAGCCAGTTATACCAGTTCAAAACCGGATACCAGTTCAAAACCAGTTATTGCGATTGCACGTGAAATGGATAACATTCCTCAATTCTGATCCACTCTTAAATTAGTTAGCATTAATGTTAATTAGAATAACCTGCAGCATTTTGTATTTCATTCAATTTCAGATACATGCAGCTGATATCTTCTCAAGCTTGTTAGCAATCAATCAGGCAACATTTAAAATGGACGTGATATTTCAAATAATCGAGCATAAAATTTGTTGAATAGGCAGGTTGGCAACAGTGCAGCGTTACGTCAGACAGTGAAAACATCTTTTCATTAGCATGTGTTTACAATTCAGCACACCAGATCCAAGAACCGTTCAGTTTTATGAAAATGGGTCTGGGAACTAGGCAATGTAAGAAGCCCACAGATGTCTGCGCTCGCCTGTACTGCAGAATCCACATATCTCCCCATTTCGACAATGTCTGTGTAAATTGGCTTTGCAGAAACCGGCCTCAACTTCGGCAAATCATCAGGTTTCAAAACCGGGCTTGACGTGATGCGTCATCATCAGGCCAGGGAGAATTCCGATATCTTGTACACCGATGTTCCTGTGTTCTCATTTCGTCTTCAATTGACGAATCTCAAGTTCCCTAGCTTTTACCAGAGCCCGACTTCCTTGCAAACGCACAGTGAAAGCGAATCTGGCTCGAACGCTGGGAATTCTAGTCAAACTGGTCCCAATGACGGTGACGTCCGTGTACACTGCTTGTTTTGCTCAGCCGTGTTTGATGGCTAGCTTGGGGGAACTGAGGATTAGTTCCGCGGCTTTGCTAACTCTGCGTGAATTGAACATGACACATTCAACCCAGGAATGTCGGAACACACATTTTCAGTTTAACTAGTGTCTCACAATTAATCCTTGCAAATACTTAAAGTACCAAATACAAAATAATATACCAGTATTTCCATTCACAGCCCTTCAGATGGAAGCAGGCTTTTGAACAGTTAAAAAGTAGAGGGAGATTTCCCCCCCCCCCACCACCCCCGCCATCCAATCTCCCCTACTTCCAATGCCTATGCCAAGGCTTGACCAACAGAGCTCTAGTGAGTTCATTGCATTTTCCGCGAGCCAGACTTACCTGCAGCGTGCCTGTCGATCAGGTAGATGACCTTTCTCTTGCAGACTTCCTGCTCCTCCTCTGGTAGGATCTGAATGATGTACGGCCACAGCGTCCTCTTAGCGTTGGTGTCCAGAACTGGGAACAGCTCCACGATCAACCCATCCAAGTTCCTGAAAAAAAATAAAAATCAAGAAATATTTTAAATGTGTGTTCCCTGTGCTATTTTCAAGATTTTTTTTTTTTTAATTGCTTTTTCTAGCATAAAAAAATATTTACTATTGAATGAGACATTGACCAAAGAATCAGCTAATCTTTGGTTGTTGAATTATTACTTTCCAATCTCTAATTATTGGCTACCAGACAATAATTCCATTCTCGCAGGGTAGGCCCCACTCCTGAATCAGTATCAATAAGTTAAGGCAATTACTATAAAGGCATTTTACAAAACACTACACAGAATTAAAAAGACTTTCCAATGCCTTACCTGCATTGGTGATATTCCTGCAGAGCTCTTTTCACCATTTTCCTTTCTTGGCCAGTAAGATGATGTTCCATCTGTATTTAGATATTAAAAGAAAGTTTAAATTGTAGGAAAAAATCCCCAACACTGGTGTCGCCATCTTCGTTTTCTGCTTCACGTTTTGCAAAACCAATTTTGCCAACAGTTTAAATAGCACAACTTAAGAACAAGTTTGTCAACTTTGAACAACAAGAAGAGCTATAAATATACAAATAAAACATAGTTTGAGGGTTGATAATCAATATTATCTCAGCAGGAGCTAATATGGACTTTCCAACCAAACTAATTAAGCCATGTTTTCTTTGTTTTGCTATACTCATAATAATACATATTCACATGTTGCTAGGGGGATGTTCGCGCGTGTGCATTACCCCCAGGTGCTAGTTCCACGATTGCTTCGTAAAACGCATGTGTAGTAGACTAACCAGTGCGATAGTCCACTACGCATGCGTATTGAGCCTCTGCGCAACACAACAAAACTAGAGGCTGACACGTGATTGTAAATGGACCAATGAGAACTCGGCTCTCGATCATGAATATGTATGAGGTATAATAATATGGACTTTCCACTCTCAAACCATGTTATATAATTTTTGTAAATAAGAACGCACCATTTCCTTGAAGGTCCTGCCCACTGCGTACAGGTCCTTCCTAGACATGGGGCCGGTCTTGACGTCCCCTAGCTCATCCACGGTGCCTTTACTCAGAGCCGACTCAGACAGCCAGTTGGAGATGGCAGACACCTCGCTGGCCGTGGTCACGCTGCGGGTGGTCACTGACGGAGCACTGGAGTAACCTGCAAGACAAAGGATGATGATAAAACACACAACAATAAAAGACAGCAGCTGATTGTAAGGAACTTCATACAACAGTTTAACTTCAGGTATGCCGCATTTTGTCACATACATTCCATGACAACTTATGACACATTGTAAAAAAGTTATACAGTGCACAAGTCCGCGACAAAAAAAAATGAGTTGTAGTAAGCAAAAATTGTACATTGTACTAGGCATCAGGGACCAATTTTATGCTGCTAACCACAAAATTCCACCCTTAAGATCACCATTATGTGCTAACCACTCTAGCATCAAAATTATGTGCTAGCCCTGTTAAGCACAGAATTCCTAGTTACGGGAGGTAGGCATGCGCATTTAGCTAAAATTTCTCGCTAATCCGTTAAATGCACTTACAATAAGCATAGAATTTTCTGATATGTAAGCAGGGATATCGGGACCAGGTATTAGACAAGCCTTCAAAGCTGTGATGGGCGCAAAAACTCTGAGAAAACATTGAGCCAACAGCCAAAGCCAGGCCGGCACGATTATGATAACAGGTAGTGCCCATCATGCCATTTGATAAAGAATTTGCTATTATCTTAAGTGAAAAGATGCCCTTATAAGCCCTTTGACATCATGCGAAACCAATTTTGTGACTGACAGAGAAGAGGAAGTACTAACCACTTGAAGGCATGGTCGGTCCGGACTCAACGGCAATCGTGGGAGCACTCCCGCTACCCTTCAGCAAGAGGATGAGCTCATCATGGGTCTTCCTCCTCACGTCCAGCCCGTTGAGTCGCATGATGCGCTCACCAGGGCGCAGCCCTGCCTTCTCGGCAGCACCGCCGGGGTCGATGGACTCTATCATGACGGGACTGTGGCCGACCAGCATGAATCCAAAGGAGCCGCCCCTGCGGTCAATCTGAATAACCCTAAAGGAATAATAGATTGTAAAACTGCATGTTAAACTGAGTCTTAATATTGAAACAAAATTGGCTAGGAAATAGAATACATTAAAGATGTACTTTTCATACTGTAATATGCTTTTCTTAGCAGTGCAAAAGTTTATTCGCTTTTCTATGAGACATCAGAAAACAAACAAAAAATTGTCCAGGTTTATTTTTGTCCATGTTTGTTTGTTTATTTTAGTAAACACTTTACAAATTTTGAATTATTTGAGCCCACTAATAAGTCAGGTGATAGTTTTTGTGCATTCGAAGTACAACAATACATGTACCTCAAATAGGAGCCTTTTTTCAGAGGTTGCAGATGTCCAAATGGAGTAACTATGGCCTGGCATTCCATCCAGGGAAATAGAAATAGTCTCATTCGTTTCAATCCAAACGCCACCCTGATGGGCTATATTGACAAGTGACAGACTTTAACTATAATGAAACAAAGCACAACAAACGCAAACCTTTTGCCGGATATTGGAGGATCTTTACTGACGAGGTAATCAAACCTCGCTCGGTGCTTCGGAGGGACAAAAATTCTACGAAGACAAAGAAAGGAAAAAGAGACTTTTATTTTAAAGTGAATTTTCATTGTTTTTCTCAACAACTGTGTTTTATCATTAATATTTTGTACTAATATAATACAATGTATGATCAAGATATATATGTACGTACTTGACCTCAAGAAACAATTAAAAACAAAGTCAGTACAAATTATAAACTGCTTATTATAAAATCCACACTCTGGTAAAATAAAACTGTAGCAAATCCAAGGTAATAGAACTAACAACATAAGTAAACAAAAATGGTGTAAGCACTTAATGTATGGCTGTTCTTAACCCTAAAAGGGCCAGGGGGGGATTCCCTCTCAAATTTGTCCGAGATATTCTTGAAAAAAAAAATTTTGCGACTCGCACTGTCCTTGCTTTTTAGCCTCGAGTCTTGTGCATCTTTTGATGCCAAAAATATAAAATTTGGACCACGGGTTGCTGCGCAGCAAAACATTTTCCGGCGCATAATTTCCCACATACGTAGTGTACGCAGAGCAGAATTACCATTGGTGTATATGAATAATTAATGATCCATAATTCTAAAACCCGATGACCTATAGTCAAGATACTTTTTGAGTATGTTTATGTTAAGTTGTTCTATGGATGTACGGAGTTTCATAATTTTTCGTCACTCGATGGCCGAGAACTTGGGGGGGGGGCAGAATCTGGGCGGGGCTAACAGACAGAATGGTCAATTACCTGATGTCTTCAAATAGCAGTCTCTGTGCGGGCGTGGTCAGTAGCGAGGCCAGGGCACGCCCGAAGTGATCCACCCTCTTGTCCTTGGCATATTGCTTCAGAAGGGAAACGAGGGCGTCCTTCCTCAGGGGATCGTCATAGAAAACACCATCCAACTGAAAAATAATAATTATAATAATAATAAATGTTGAAATTTAATGTTCTTTGAATACTGTGAAGGTTTAGCTTTAACAAAAATTGAACACGTCCGCTGTGCGATAAAAGTCAATTTTTTTTTTTGATTTTTTTTTTTGGAATAAGTATTTTGTTGCTGACCGTCACAAGGCCCTATCATTTCTTGATTTCTTGTAAATAACAGCAAGCCAAATGGAATAATTTCACGGGGTGTTTAGTACCAGTACGATCTAGTTTAATCCAAGTAAGTTTTTTGATAGGTCTTTAATCCAAGCAAGGGTTTTGATAATAATTTGGTAGGTTACTTTTGGGATAAATGGAAATGAACCTATATGCCTTTAAAAGGAATCCTTATTTGAGGTTTGGTCAGGGCCCCCCCCCCCCCCGAAAAAAACTGGCCCCCCATTGTCAAAAAGCATAAGCGTAAAAATTATAAATGTGTTTTTTTTTATTCTGGTTGTGTGCCCGCCTAGTTTGTACTGGTTTGGTGTGAGCATTAAAAGCTTCTTATAAAATATGAAGCTAAATATGAATAGCAGGAGACAAAGTTGAAAATTTGCGGAAAATTGTATTCCTTATGTTTCTGAAAATTATAATGCAAACATTTCCATTAGAAACCCCTTCAAAATCTCATATAAAGGTTTTCTGTCGTAAAGCCATTAACGGTTTCATTGCACTGACGCACACAATGCTTGTTACTGCAGATGACACGTATTGACAAAATTACTCTCGCTGTAACGACCACTCCTAAAAATGAGCAATATGTTTATACACGCAGCCAGCTGCTGCCATTGTTGTATAGTTGCCATAGCAACAGTAGCCACTGGTTATCATTTGGGCTCACCGGAGAGACCGAGCAATCGTTTAATCAAATGCGTTTTAATTTATTCGTGGCTTTGTAGTCTGCTGTGCGGAATAATGATCAGTCTGAGTTCCTCTATGTAGACTCATTACACTAATTAAGTTTAGTACTGCATTCGGTGGACATACCGGTAAAACAAATTGATTTTTGTTGTGTGGGTATGCGGAGCATAATGTTAAAGTCTGCCTCGTTGTGTTCGACGGTTTTGTTTCATTTCAGCCGCAAAAATGTGTTTTGTGATAAGTACTTTTTCAAGTTGTAAACTGTTTTTTAAAGGCCAAAGAAAAAAAATAGCTCTGCTTCTGATTACATATGGCATTTGAAAATAGGGTAGGAAGGTAGGGATTTTTTTTTGGGGGGGGGGGGGTAAATGGTAGTAATTGATGGTTTTTGGGGTTATTTTCCTTATTTTTCCCAAAAAAAAATTAGGGTAGGGACTGTCAAAATAGGGCGAGTAGGGTAACCGGAAGCAGAATTTTTAATTTTTTTGGCCTAATGTATGAATTCTAATGCATATGTATACAAAATAAAAATTAAATTAAAAGTATCAATTCTTTGATCAAAGAAATTGAAGTTGATAGACGTTTGCAATAGGCCATCAGCCTCGGTCCAAAATTTTGGCCACCGGTATCAAATGAGGGGAATAATCGTCATAGCGATTTTTGGCAAGGTATACACATCCAGAGTTGGAAAATATGTGATAGCATTGCAGCGGTGGCAGCTTTTTAGGTGTAATCACCCTTTTTTTCAAAATGTCCATCAAAATGCTTGTTACCACTCTAGGGGCGGTATACCTTTTCGCATGCGCACTATAATCATTTATGCCCTGATTTGATACTGACCAAACCCCCAGGCTGATGGCCTACAAGTCATACACTGCAGAATGAAATGTGCATGCAGGCCTATTCATTTCTTGGTAACATTTGTGTATCTTGTGCAAGTGATTCAGTAGTGTATCAAGCCTAGGCATATCAGATCATTTGCTTTTAATGCATTTTGTTTGTTCCTAATAACAACACTCAAAATCCAAAGAAGAATGTTCAAATCTTAACCTGTTGAAGTTTCAGCTCAGTGGATATTGCACTTTTTGAGAAAACAGTGAGAAAACATGCACAACCTTTTGATCACGAATCACGATTTCATTCATAGCACTCTCTTTTTCCAAAACTCTGTCAGTTGACTGATCATTGGAAATGTCTAAATTTCTTGATAAATTCTTCTTCTGACAGCAAGCCAGATGAATAATTTCACGGGGTGTTCTTATAGTAACCCTAAATCCAGGTACATGTACATGTGTAAGCTTTTTGACAATAATATTATACGTAGGTTACTTTAGGGATAAATGTAAATGATCTTAATCATGTTAAAGGCCCTAGCTTAGTCTTAAAAGTTTTATTGTCCTAAAGATTGTTAAACTGTCCAGTTCGGTCCCACCAAAAGTTAAACCCCAAACTAAATAGTTTGAAGTATATTTACTTGTAAATTTATAACTTTTTAAATTAATAATCTACTACATTATCAGCTACTTTGTAATGAAAATAATTTCATTTGTGTAAAAATAGTTCCTTTGTGGACGCCTCCTCAGATTTTGTTTTCAGAAAAAAAATCTGATATTTCTCCAGCGCATTAAAATGTTGCCATTCTATGTATTTAATTTGTAGCCTAAAATTAAGTGATTTTAAGCAGTAAAGTCAATCTCCTTTTCACACTGGATGACCTACTTTTGATCGTACAATGTAGTTTGTAAATTTGACTGTTTGCTTTTCTCTCCTTTTTGAAACTGTCATAACAGATTACGGTGCCCTGTCCTTCCTTTTTGTGCCTTCATTGTTATGGTTCAAAACTTTAACCTCCAACCCATAAGCACTCTACTGTTCACTTTTTAATATCTCCAAAGACCAGAATTAAATGCGCAACGCAACCCCTTTAAGGTTGCATACCCCAAGGCACCAAGCCCAGACAAAACTACTCAGTCAACCGCGATGACCCTAGTGTACAGTAGCCATAGCAACGACTCTGTCACTACGGTAACAACCTTAATTCACTAGTCTGTAGACCTTGTGAACTGTTTGGGGCATGCCAATGAATTTAGTTGTTTTGAGACATGCATGTATGTTCACATAGCCTATAGTAGGCCTACGCATTCACATGTACTTTTTTTAGTGAGGCATACATGGATGTACATGTACAGCTATCGTTACTCACATATTATTTTACATGAATAATGACATATATTCTCAGCATTTTCGTAGCACATTATGATATGAAGAGCACAAACATGAAAACACTTGTTTCATGTACATGTAAGTTCAAGTTTTGTTTCGATTGTCACTTACGTGTATTCCTCAAATTCAAGTAATACAAATATTATTTGTTTTTTGAGTGTGACATTGAATGAAACAATACACCAACACTAAGTTACAGAAATCATGTAATTCCTTTATTATTTTTCAAATTATTAGATGCCAAAAGCAACCCAGAATAAAGGCTTTTTTCGGAGCGTTGCAGTTGCCAAAACTTGACAAAAGGCATATGTATCTTGCACTAGAATCCTTTTCTAAATTGTTCTTTTTCTAGCCAACAAAAGTTATTCATTTGAATGAGATATCGATTGAAAAAAAATGGGCAATGTTAAGTATATTGAATTGTTACTTTTCCAATTACTGGCTGCCAAACAATAACTCCCTTCTCGCAGGGTAGGCCGGTTCTGGCCCAACAATCAGTATCGATAAAGTACGGACTGAGAGCCATACGAAACCAAAACTGTTTTTTCCCCAGATGTTTGCAGAAGTCCAAAAAAGGAAAAAGGAGCTTTTTTTGGTTGAAATAAAACAGACAAGGTGAAAATTTATTAACAGAAAATACAAATCGAATGTATTCAAAAGAACAGGGAAGACAACATTAAAGTAAAAAAATATCCTGAAATTGGAAAAAATCATTCGAAGGAAAAACAAAACACTTTGGTGGACAAGCGCCAACTTTAACTACATGTACATGTCCAACCACCAGTTCTTCAAAATTTACTTCAAAGTACGTCATGATATTTAATATCAGGAAGTTCAAAACTGAGAAAACCTTTGTTGCACATGTGCACAGAATGCAACTGGTACATTACTTGCCAGCTAATGGCAGCAGGCTTTTTTATGCACATAAATTTGACTCCTCTGTTGTCAGAGACACCACTCGGTGTTGCCTTTATAACAAGTGAGTCAGAGCAAACCTATACCCCTCCTTGAGGAATCAATAATCTCTATTGTAACGTGCGCAGTGAAGCATTCGTGATCGATAGTGGTTGAGCCATCAGTGTTTACGCTATGGACGTTCGGAGAACAGGGCTGTTGACTGCTACATGCAAAATCAAATGGTGGACATTCCTGTACATGCACTTGAATGGCGAATTTTGGAAACATTTCAGGCCACGGTTTTGAAAGCTTTTAGTTGTAGGCCCTTAATTGTAATTTTGGAAACATTTCAGGCCACGGTTTTGAAAGCTTTTAGTTGTAGGCCCTTAATTGTTACTTATGGTCACCATTTGCCAACATTCAAAAATAAAAGTGACAAAATATCACAAAAATATCCGACTTGATTGTAACTAATATGCATCCTGTGAAATCATTCTGCTATAGAATGTTGTCATTTTCGAGAAAAGACTAATTACCATCATTCACTCAGTCACGATTGTTAGGACCAACCCATCGGAAACTTAGATACTTTGTGTCGAGAAAAAGAAATCATAAAGATACATTTTCCCCGTGTTCTCGAAAAGTAAATCTACTGGGCCCAAATTTCAACACAATTTTTGTTTTCGTAAAACCTGTTTCAAGATTTAATGTATTAGTGTTGCTTGAATCGGCGAAAACCCATTTTCTTGTTTGCAAATGGTGTCCTATACCATTACCTTTAAACATACAAAGAAAACATTACAAGTCTCTGTAAAATGCAAAAAATCTCTCATCTGATCAAATCATCAACAGTGTTGCTCGTGATAATTTCTCAAAATGACTCACTCAAAAGCAAGGTTTAATTGGCTGTTGAGCAACAAGGCACCCCACCCCTTTTTTGCATCATCTTTGGCCAACGCCCAATAATTGCCCCCACATTATCAATTGATGTGCAAGCTGTATTTCAAAGCTTGATGGATATTTAATTAAGTTAGTTGGAAAGGCAACCACATGTTCGTGTAGAGCTCTCCATAATTTACACAACAATAAAGTCACTCGGTATCATATTTCAGATCCGTTAAAAAATGTTCACACACAATTGCATGACCATGCAGTCATGGTTTAAAAGTCGTTCCACATGCAATTTTCGAGTTTCATTGCGAAAAAATAGATTCCTTTTCTAAATTGCTATTTTTCTGGCAATAAAAAAGTCATTTACTTTTGAATGAGACATCGACTTAAAAACAAATAGGCCTGTATTTAGTTACAATTTCAAATTATTGACTGCCGGACAATAGTTCAATTCTAGCGGGGTAGGCTAGTTTGTGCCCAGCAATCGTTATCAATAATGTATGGACCAGGAGCTAGTCTGCTCTCCAAAAAGATTTACTCTAGCTGCCTTAAACTTAAACTTACTTTTTACTTGACCTTAAACTTCCAATAAACTTGACATTTTCCATCTAAAACTTGTGGTTTCATGACAAGTGTCGAATGCACAATTGTAGACATGGAGATCTATGTCTTTATTTGTCCTTGAACTTGTGTTTTAAGATAAAAAAATGTCAGGTTTTGGGACTTTGGTTCAGGAAAACAAGTAATGTGTCTCACCTTTCTGAAGAATGTCTCTGCCCGTGTGGACCTGTCCCTCGCTTGGACCTCAAACTTCTGGGCCAGCTTTCGGACATTCTGATGGCCAGCACCAGGAATGATCAGCATGCGGAGTTTGTTGGACCCTTGGACGAACACCTTCGTGTCGTCCGAATGTCTGATGGGTAGTCCGTTGATTTCCAGGACCATATCGCCGGGCCTCAGCCCGCCGCGCGCGGCCGCACCGTGAGGCTGGACAACCTCGACGTAAACAGGCCCCGCTCCTATCACCGTCATCCCAAAACGACCCTTGGGATCGCGGACTATTTCCACAGTTTTGACGCAGGAGACCACCACGATACTCGGCGGGACTGTAGGACACTGTCGCGCCATCGCTTGGATGTCCTGGGCACCCCGCTGCGTGACGGTGGTCCCGTTCAACTCCACCAGCTGGTCCCCCGGTTGTAAACCGGCCGAATGCGCGTGGCTGTTGGGCGTCACAGTGATGATGTAAGCCGGGGCATCTCCGGCTATCGTAAATCCAAAGTCCTCTGGCCAGTGGCGGTTGTTGACCGGCATTGGCAGCGCCGGCCGCTTAGTGTTGTAAGACCGGCGCGTGGCTCCGGTATTTCCTGATTGTTTGGAGGAACGCCCTGCCGAACGGGCCGACTTTGCGGACCTTGCTGATCGTCCAGACCGGGAGGTCTGAGCGTAAGTCTTGCTAGGCATTCTGGGTGAACTCCTGGCCGACCTATATTAGAAAAATTAAAATATTAATTAACAATATATACATGATATACCTTATTCTTTAACAACAAACAAAGAAAACAAACCAAAACTAACAAAGCAAAAACCCCAAAAGAAAAACAAGCCAACTGAAAAATTATCCAAATGATCTTACATTTTCCAAGAACAGAAGGTCAGAAGCTCATGACGTCAAAGTGTTTGTTCTCCATTCTTTGTTTTACACCGATGGAAGGCCTTTGTTTCTACCAAATGAATTTGTTTCTCAAATCATATTCAGGAAGTAAGTCCTAACAATAAACAACAGATCCTCCGCAAGATCCAGGAAGACATAACTGTTCCTTAACTTCTCCAGGACCGATTTTGCATTCATGATGTTTGGCTCTTGAACAACAACTTCCACGTCGGTTTTGTTATCGACCCTAAAGACACAGGCCTACTGACAACCACAGAATAATTGCCCAAAGCAGTTGTTGGAACAGTTTTTGCCCCCTGCATAGAAAACCCAAGTGTTGCCATGGAAGCCAAGGTGGATTGTGGTCCCTCTGTCTTCGCTGTTCCCATTCCACAAGGGGGCATTGCATTACAAGGAATCTTATGCATTTCACAATGTAAAATTGTATTTTAAAATTAATTATTTATATTCAATTGCATTCAAATGTATTTATTAGGGTGAATCATGATATTGAGTTGTTTTTACTATAAATTTGACATAATTAATAATTTTGTTTTTTCACCTTGAAAAAAAAAAGTTTTATTACAAAGGCCTACTTTATGCATAACAAATAATATATCAATGTGTTTGAGTATTTAAAATAACTAAGGCAAAGTACAAAAAATGTAAAGCAACATTTGGAAACATATTTTATGAAAAGTCATGACAATTTTTCCTCTGCAATTGAATATTATAAAGTTGTAGTAATTGAGTGGTCGGGCACAACCCGACCACTCTTTGGATCTGTTACAATTAATCTTTCTTTCTTTCTTTCTTTCTTTTTTTTTCCGGACAATACTTCTCCATGGGTTTTCTCTGAAACGGTATATGGTATGAACTTGTAACTTTCAATATAATTCGACCCTCAACCGAAGTGGTGCATATTACTCTGACGTCATGATTACGTCATCAAGTGTCAAATTACAAGTGATTTTATCTGAAAAAGTGACCAATTACTTTCGCCTATAACTCTTGAACTAAACAATCAATGATGTTTGTATTCTGTAATCAGATAGACCATTAATCGCTTAACAGTTTATGTCATGTACGTGAACTCGCTTGACCTTTACTTCCGGGTCTACCGGAAGGTCAAAGTTAGGTGAATTCAAAATGAAGACGTTAGCCTGACATCAAAACAAAGCAGCATTTCTAACGAACGGTTCACGGTATGATCACAAAACCTTGTGTGAACTTGTACCATGTTACGAAGATGTTATAAATTTTGTTTCGTCATCATGACGTCATCAGGTATCAAATTACAAGCGATTTAAGGGCAAATTTTGACAAAATAGTTTGCGTTATATCTTTTGAACTAAATAGAGTATCGTGTTCGTTTTTTTGTGAGGTTGTAGAGTATGCCGTGGGAAAAATTTCGTGTTCCCGGACGCAAAACTGCTTGACCTTTACTTCCGGTGTTACCGGAAGTGCAATAAAAACTGAATATAACTCAAAAGCGGAAGGATTTTACTACAGACATATATTATGAAAGTGTTAAGTGAGGAATGCAAGACGCAAAAAACGTGTGATGACGTCATCATCCGAAAGGGCGCCCCCTATCGGCACATACAATAGAGTTTCCCTTCTTTAATTGTAAAACCATCCGTCCAAATTTTACCAAATCGCCTCTTGACATTCTCTGATTAACCACAGATAACTTGACAAGGTTTCAAATTCATGACGTCATCAGACCGGAAGTTACTTTAAGGAGAATTTGAAAAAGATCATAGTTTTAATTTAATTCTATCATTTGATCCCTGTCATATCTTCGAAGTCCAAATAATGATATCCATTACAATGTTCACCTTTGGATCTCTAATGCTGTGACGTCATCAAACCGGGAGTTAGGTGTTATCAATACGTCATCAAACCGGAAGTTAGATGTTATTAATACAAACAATTATATTTCCCATAGTTTCATACGTTATTTTAACTTTACAATGAAAAATTATCCTCTCCGAACTTTATCAGTACTCACTAACCATTTTTGACTGATAACGTCATCAAGCCAGAAATAACTTTTTGTGCACATAGAATGATTACTGAAATTTATCACACCGTTAAAGATACCTTTTTGAAACATTGATTGTACTTGAAGGGATTTAATTTCGTGATCCTTTTTTCTACATAAACATATATTCCTAACTTAACTGGGCAGTGAATAATGAAAAGGCTGTCCGCCCGACCACTCTGCGTTTGTAACTCAACAAACGCGAAACTCTAGTTGTACGCATTTCTGTTAACTTATTTCAAAATCTGACAACATGTATTCAATATTCAACATTTTGGCATTTTTTCAAAATCTTTGACAAAAGATCTTAAACCAAATAATTTAACAATGGACAGATTTTATGTGGAAAAATTTGCATACAGATGAAAGCACTAATTTTTTACTTAATTTTCTTATTTTGAATGTTTTCCCTTTGGAAAAGAAACAGCCGGCAAAAAAACTGAAATACTAACTATGTCAAAGGTCAAGCAGTAAGAATTTATTGGGAGAAAGGATCAGAGATTGACCTCAGGATGCATGTTTAAAGGAGCATGCCGCTATCAGAAAAAAATTTAAAGGCATATCAGGACCGTTTACATTTATCCAAAAAGTAACCTACCATATTATTATCGGAATTACTTGGGTTAAAGATCGTATTGGTACTAACACCTCATGAAATTATTCCGTCTGGCTTGCTGTCATTTTGAAGAAATCAAGAAATGTAGGCAATTTCCAACGATTAGTCAACTGACTGATTTTTGGAAATAAAGAGCGCTATTGACAAAATTGCGTTCTGTGATCAAAAGATTGTGCATTTTTTTTCACTGTTTCTTTTTAAAGGTGTAATATCAGCTGAGCTGAAATTTCAATTGGTTAGGATCGTAGTAACATTCATCTTTGTACTTTTAAGTTGAGTTTTTACTGGAAATCAACAAAATTCAAGAAAAGCAAATGTTTACGAGTATATGCCTTTAACTTTTAAATGGAAATAAAACAAATTGATCATTTGTGATTCTGGAAATCATTTAAAGGGATCGAATGTGAAAAATTAGGAGCAGTTTTGGAAAAAAAAGCCAGTTTTCTCCAACGCTGGTTGGCCGACCAGCGTTGGAAAAATACAAGTTTTCTTGAAAATGTCAGCACACCAGGAGCCAAGATTTAGATGCTCTGGACCGTCATTCCCTGACAATCCAGTAAGATATTTTGTGATAATTTGATCATTTCATTTTTTGATGTTTGCAAATGTTGCATCGATAATCTTCCCTTTAAACATGTTCACCAACGAGATGTGAATTTCCTTATTTATTCAAAAGTTTACATTAATTTCCCCCTTAATTAATGTAGAGAATGTTAGATAAATAATAGAATGTAAACAAAAGTCGCTCGACCACAAACAATAATTACATGAATCACAATAATTAACTTAATTAAGCAATTAAATTACCATCAATATAAAAACAAGTTCATACATGTACTTGTAAAAAATCACAAGTTTTCCACTGTTATATTAATAGGGTAAAGTGCAATGTACATGTATACATCATGTACATGTAGTTCGACACTACAGACGACAGGTGTTTCGTTAAAATCATCAACGCCAATCACTCTCAAATAAAACAGAATTTCCACAATATGTTCTAATCACAAGAAACAACATGACATGACATGAACTCAGCAATATAAACAGTCAGGAAATACCGCGACATCGACGAAACTCACCCAGTTTGGAGCAAAATAACGTGTGAAAGTCCACTACGACATTGAGAAATCCACCTGTTCCTCGCAGGAATTTCTAGTTCCAGTTAAAATGCATTGTGTTGTGTACATTCTTGTGGCACGCGGTTCAATGGACCCTTTGTAATTCTTCTTATGAATAATGCATGATTTACCTTAGCAGCACGCCGATTGGTTCTCGCTTGGTCACAGCGTCCGTTGGTCAGTCACGTGGTAGGAATCCTTTCACTGCGCAGTGACAGTTGAGCCGACTGGAAATTAAATGTGTTTGTAAACCGGAGCTTGTCACACTTGGTGCCGTGCAGCACCCGAGTTTCGTATCAATTTGACTAAAAGTATCATCACCACAGAATGGATATTGTATCAACCGATTTCTCATCAAAAATCATCCGATAAAGTATCAGTATGGATGGGGAAAAGGTGGACATTTTACCGAATTTACAGTGTCGATATTGCGGTACGAAATTATCATTATTAAGGGTCAATGTTTTCGTTTTTGGGAGGTTAATTGGGACTTGGGAGTTGCTCGGGCTAGGAGGGAGTCCATTCCTCAGGCTAGGTCAAACTTGAAGGTGTCAAATATAGTGTATTAATCGCGAAAAAAAACAATCCGAATATTCGAGTCACTTTTTAATGAACAAACATAAAACACTCTGTGTCGAGACGATAACTCAAGAAAAACACATAGCATTAAACAAAAAGTGCGGCCAATAACTAGTCGAGATACGGGACACAAAAGGTTGGAAAATCGAGGGGAGCAATTGAAGAATAACTTGATTTACTAATCGCGAAAAATTCAATCCGAATTCAAGTCATTTTTAATTGAACAAAAATAAAACACACTTTGTGGAGACGATAAGTTAAGAAAAACACATTGCACTGAATTGAAATTTCGTTCAAGTTTTTGGATATACGACACACAAACGAAGAGAACCATTGAAAATTAAATATGATTTAAAGAAATACAGTGTACTAATTGCGAAAAATTCCATCCAAATTCATGTCATTTTTAATTGAACAAAATTAAAGCACTCTTTGTGGAGACTATAATTCAAGAAAAACACATTGCATTAAATTGAAATTGCGTCCAATAACTTGATCGAGATACACAACATTTTCTGAAAATGAACGGGAATCCTTGAAAAATGATCGAATTTAATATCATTTAAAGAAACACAGTGTAATTAGCGCGGAACTGTAATTCGAAATTAAGTCGAGTCACTTTTATTGAATAAAAATAAAGCAATCTTTGTGGAGACTGTAACTCCAGAAAAACACACTGTATTTAATTAGAATTGGGTCCAATAATTATTCGAGATATGGGACACAAAAGGTTTGAATCAACGGCAACCAATGAAGAATATATTTAACGTGATTTAAAGAAATACAGTGTACTAATCGCAAAAAATTCAATCCGAAATCAAATCACTTTTAATTGAACAAAAAATAAAACAAATGCTATCCGAAAACTGTCTCACAGAAATGCATATATTCCAAACCGGATGTGATATCTTTTTTTTTTTTATTGCGGACCATGTGGACAAAATTGGAACGTCGCATGATAATGCAAGTTGACCCGTCGTGAATTCAAACCGAAGCCAGAGCGAGTGACGGAAGTAAAACATTTACAAAACAGGTAAGTTTTCAGATTTTCATTCAGTGGTCTATGGGGATGGCACGAACCAACTGCTTTAATATTCTTTCAAAAGAGGGCGCACCACATCACTAGTGGTTTTCACCAAACTCGTTTGGGGGGCAACAACTCCATCAATACAAGATGTTTTAAATTGAATTTTCGTCTAGTGATTTGTCATGATGTTTAACATTAAGAGATTTAATTTCATAAGAAACCGTCAAAAAATAAAGCAATATTGACCGTAACAATACAGTGTTTTTAGCGCGACAAATGCAATCCGAATGAAAATCAATGTGTATATTTCGCATGTAAAACACTACATTGTTACGATCATATTATTTTATCGTTGGACTGTTGCTGATGATATTCAATACACCTCTGTTACACATCTTGGAAAATGAGTGCTCGAAATTTCAGTTTAATATATAGTGTATTTCATGAGTTATGTATCGGAAACCGAGTTGTTCTTTTTGTTCAATAGTGCAGCATCCGCACCGATAATCTTTTATTAATAGAGGGCGCGCCACATAAATAGTGGTCTCGATAATTATCCACCACCAAACTCGTTTGGGGGGCAACAACTCCATCAATACAAGATATTTTTAATTGAATTTTCGACCAGTGATTTGTCATTATGTTTAACATTAAGAGATTTAATTTCATAAGAAACCGTCAAAAAATAAAGCAATATTGACCGTAACAATACAGTGTTTTTAGCGCGACAAATGCAATCCGAATGCAAATCGATGTGTATTTTTCGAATGTAAAACACTACATTGTTACGATCAAATTATTTTTATCGTTGGACTGTTGCTGATGATATTCAATACACCTCTGTTACACATCGTGGAAAATGAGCGCTCGAAATTTCAGTTTAATATATCGTGTATTTCTTGAGTTATGTATCGGAAACCGAGTTGTTCTTTTTGTTCAATGGTGCAGCATCCGCACCGATAATCTTTTATTTTATATAGAGGGCGCGCCACATAAATAGTGGTCTCGATAATTATCCACCACCAAACTCGTTTGGGGGGCAACAACTCCATCAATACAAGATATTTTAAATTGAATATTCGACCAGTGATTTGTCATTATGTTTAACATTAAGAGATTTAATTTCATAAGAAACCGTCCAAAAATAAAGCAATATTGACCGTAACAATACAGTGTTTTTAGCGCTACAAATGCAATCCGAATGCAAATCGATGTGTATTTTTCGCATGTAAAACACTACATTGTTACGATCATATTATTTTTATCGTTGGACTGTTGCTGATGATATTCAATACACCTCTGTAACACATCTTGGAAAATGAGTGCTCGAAATTTCAGTTTAATATATCGTGTATTTCTTGAGTTATGTATCGGAAACCGAGTTGTTCTTTTTGTTCAATAGTGCAGCATCCGCACCGATAATCTTTTATTTATAAAGGGCGCGCCACATAAATAGTGGTCTCGATAATTATCCACCAACAAACTCGTTTGGGGGGCAACAACTCCATCAATACAAGATATTTTAAATTGAATTTTCGACCAGTGATTTGTCATGATGTTTAACATTAAGAGATTTAATTTCATAAGAAACCGTCAAAAAATAAAGCAATATTCACCGTAACAATACAGTGTTTTTAGCGCGACAAATGCAAACCGAATGCAAATCAATGTAAATTGTCCAACGATAAAAAATAATGTGATCGTAACAATGTAGTGTTTTACATGCGAAAAATACACATTGATTTTCATTCGGTCAATATTGCTTTATTTTTTGACAGTTTCTTATGAAATTAAATCTCTTAATGTTAAACATAATGACAAATCACTGGTCGACAATTCAATTTAAAATATCTTGTTTTGATGGAGTTGTTGCCCCCCAAACGAGTTTGGTGGTGGATAATTATCGAGACCACTATTTATGTGACGCGCCCTCTATAAATAAAAGATTATCGGTGCGGATGCTGCACTATTGAACAAAAAGAACAACTCGGTTTCCGATACATAACTCAAGAAATACACGATATATTAAACTGAAATTTCGAGCACTCATTTTCCACTATGTGTAACAGAGGTGTATTGAATATCATCAGCAACAGTCCAACGATAAAAATAATATGATCGTAACAATGTAGTGTTTTACATGCGAAAAATACACATTGATTTGCATTCGGATTGCATTTGTCGCGCTAAAAACACTGTATTTTTACGGTCAATATTGCTTTATTTTTTGACGGTTTCTTTTGAAATTAAATCTCTTAATGTTAAACATAATGACAAATCACTGGTCGAATATTCAATTTAAAATATCTTGTATTGATGGAGTTGTTGCCCCCCAAACGAGTTTGTTGGTGGATAATTATCGAGACCACTATTTATGTGGCGCGCCCTCTATAAATAAAAGATTATCGGTGCGGATGCTGCACTATTGAACAAAAAGAACAACTCGGTTTCCGATACATAACTCAAAATATACACGATATATTGAACTGAAATTTCGAGTACTCATTTTCCACGATGTGTAACAGAGGTGTATTGAATATCATCAGCAACAGTCCAACGATAAAAATAATATGATCGTAACAATGTAGTGTTTTACATGCGAAAAATTCACATTGATTTTCATTCAGATTGCATTTGTCGCGCTAAAAACACTGTACTGTTACGGTCAATATTGCTTTATTTTCTGACGGTTTCGTATGAAATTAAATCTCTTAATGTTAAACATAATGACAAATCACTGGTCGAAAATTCAATTTAAAATATGTTGTATTGATGGAGTTGTTGCCCCCCAAACGAGTTTGGTGGTGGATAATTATGGAGACCACTATTTATGTGGCGCGCCCTCTATATAAAATAAAAGATTATCGGTGCGGATGCTGCACTATTGAACAAAAAGAACAACTCGGTTTCCGATACATAACTCAAGAAATACACGATATATTAAACTGAAATTTCGAGCACTCATTTTCCACGATGTGTAACAGAGGTGTATTGAATATCATCAGCAACAGTCCAACGATAAAAATAATATGATCGTAACAATGTAGTGTTTTACATGCGAAAAATACACATTGATTTTCATTCAGATTGCATTTGTCGCGCTAAAAACACTGTATTGTTACGGTCAATATTGCTTTATTTTTTGACGGTTTCTTATGAAATTAAATCTCTTAATGTTAAACATAATGACAAATCACTGGTCGAAAATTCAATTTAAAATATGTTGTATTGATGGAGTTGTTGCCCCCCAAACGAGTTTGGTGGTGGATAATTATGGAGACCACTATTTATGTGGCGCGCCCTCTATATAAAATAAAAGATTATCGGTGCAGATGCTGCACTATTGAGCAAAAAGAACAACTCGGTTTCCGATACATAACTCAAGAAATACACGATATATTAAACTGAAATTTCGAGCGCTCATTTTCCACGATGTGTAACAGAGGTGCATTGAATATCATCAGCAACAGTCCAACGATAACAATAATATGATCGTAACAATGTAGTGTTTTACATGCGAAAAATACATATTGATTTGCATTCGGATTGCATTTGTCGCGCTAAAAACACTGTACTGTTACGGTCAATATTGCTTTATTTTTTGACGGTTTCTTATGAAATTAAATCTCTTCATGTTTAAACGTAATGACAAATCACTGGACGAAAATTCAATTTAAAACATTCTTTTACCTGGTTCATAATAATAACCTAATTATTATTATTAAGGCCGGTGTCCTGTGCATCTGTTTGGACGTTGGGGGCGCGCAATCATTAAAAATCATGGCGGCGCCCATGATGACACTTGCCGGGAAAGTTTCTATCGTGACAGGTAAGTCATGTAAGGGTTTTCGTTAGCATTTATTTCTGTAAGAATAAGATCTAATTGTGTTGTTTTAAAGTATCCAAATTTGGTACAACTATAGAATGCAGGGCCACTTTACTCTACATCCGCGCCTCCGTACGGCTGCGTGGAGGCGTGGAACCGCAGTCGACCTACCTCTGAAAATCGATCGTGGAGTCGTGGAGCCGCAGAGAATTGCGCCCTCTATCGGTGCGCGTCTCTGCGACTCCGCGACTCCGCGCCTCCACCACTGAGAGACAGTGCCCCGTCGCCCTCCCCCCCCCCTTCCTAATTTGCGCGCCCAATTAAAGCGACTCTGCGACTCCGCGACTCCGCGCCTCCGCGCCTCCGCGACTCCAGACAGTGCCCCGTCGCCCTCCCCCCCCTTCCTAATTGGCCCGCCCAATTAAAGTGACTCTGCGACTCCCCGACTCCGCGCCTCCGCGACTCCAGACAGTGCCCCGTCGCCCTCCCCCCCTTCCTAATTGGCCCGCCCAATTAAAGTGACTCTGCGACTCCCCGACTCCGCGCCTCCGCGACTCCAGACAGTGCCCCGTCGCCCTCCCCCCCCTTCCTAATTGGCCCGCCCAATTAAAGTGACTCTGCGACTCCCCGACTCCACGCCTCCGCGACTCCAGACAGTGCCCCGTCGCCCTCCCCCCCTTCCTAATTGGCCCGCCCAATTAAAGTGACTCTGCGACTCCCCGACTCCGCGCCTCCGCGACTCCAGACAGTGCCCCGTCGCCCTCCCCCCCCCTTCCTAATTGGCCCGCCCAATTAAAGTGACTCTGCGACTCCCCGACTCCGCGCCTCCGCGCCTCCGCGACTCCAGACAGTGCCCCGTCGCCCTCCCCCCCCCTTCCTAATTGGCCCGCCCAATTAAAGTGACTCTGCGACTCCCCGACTCCGCGACTCCAGACAGTGCCCCGTCGCCCTCCCCCCCCCTTCCTAATTGGCCCGCCCAATTAAAATGGATATGGATGCTTCGTTCTCAAAAGATTCCGCCGAGAATTGCGCCCTCTATCGGTGCGCGTCTCTGCGACTCCGCGACTCCGCGCCTCCGCCACTGCGGCCACTCCAGTGCCCCGCGTCTCCGCGATTCTGCGACTCCAAGACTCCGCGCCTCCGCCGCTCCAGACAGTGCCCCCAACACATTTACAAGCACGCCCTCCCTTCCGATCCTTCATGAGAAGCTTTGAAGACAAGTGCAGTGCATGCCTTCGCTGTACTTAGCACTTTTTGGCAGGTTTGCATATCTATTACTCCTATTCCATCCACGCCTCCAGGCAAAATAAAAAACCTTGCTTCGGCGTGGCCCTGCATTCTATAGTTGCTCCCCAAATTTTCATGCAGTATTCATCTTTTGCAGGCCGATGTTTATTTGTTGTGATCATGTTGATTTTTATTTATTTATTTTAGGCTTATTTTGCATTGTTTTGACTTTTGTAGGTTTTTTACTTTAGAAGCATAGGCCTAGGCCTAGTACTCACCTTCTTTTATAGGCTAATCAGAAAGTGCTGCCTTTTTCAGATATCTATTTTTTGTGAAATTTCCAGATTCATTTGCACACGTTTGCGTATCAAAATATCAACATGAAATTTCCACAAATATTCAACATCTGAAAAAGGCAGCACTTTCTGATTAGCCTATACAGAGGGTGAGTATGCTTGATTTATGGCTTCTAAAGCAAAAAAAACAACAACCAAACTACAAACTAACTTACTAAGCCTAAAATTGAAAATCAAAATTTGGCAAAGTTCGACATGTCTTTGCACATATGGAAGTGTGGCCTATGTTTAAGGAGGTAGTCCAGTAAATTGGCCACATTTATGGGGCAACGTGTAGGCATGATCGGCCCCCACGCGTGCATTGCATGGTCGACCGCATGCAGGCCCCCGCCTAATTAATTAGTTGATATATCACAGGTGTATTAGAATGAGCAACAGCAGTCTGAGAACAGTCCCATTGTCCTTAAATATAGCCACAGTTTATTTAAGTTCTATTATTAGTAGGCATTGCTATTTTTGGAAAAGGCTGGATATGAGAGGTCGTTAGTAAAATTTGTTTTGCACATCTCCAAGTGATTTCTCTTGGGATTACTTCTCTTGATCGTTTAATCTTTCTTGTGTTTGATAGGTGCTGGTTCTGGCATAGGCTGGGCTACCAGCGTGCTGTTTGCCAAGCTCGGGTCGAAGCTAACCGTCACTGGGAGAAATGCTGCGAACTTGGACAAGGTGGCAATTGTATGCCAGGACAATGGATCAGAGCCGGTGAGCGGACTTTCAACCTTATGCACTCTGTCTGGCAGGGTTAGAGTTTAATCGTAGAAAATGGAGCTTGCAGCAGGAGACAAATATCCCATCCTTTTTTACCCCTCAGCCGAGAGGCTCGAGGGGTATTGTCATCGCCTAGGGCGTCCGTCCGTCCGGATGTATGTCTGTCCGTCCGTCCGTCGGGCCGTCCGGGCAGCTTAGTTTCCGGATGATAACTTGAGTTAGAAATGTTGTTTGGGGTTGTAACTTCGGTAGGGGGTTGCCCTTTGGAGTAGGCAAGTTGGGATTGGTTTTGAGGTCAAAAGGTCAATGGTCAAGGTCACCGTGGTGAGTTAAATGTAAATGGTTTCCGGATGATAACCTGAGTTAGAAATGAGATTTTGGTGTCTAACTTTGGAAGAGGGTTGCCCTTGGGAGAAGGCAAGTTGGGATTGGTTTTGGGGTCAAAAGGTCAAAGGTCAAGGTCAGCATGGTGAGATAAAGGTAAATGGTTTCCGGATGATAACTTTAGTTAGAAATGAGATTTTGGTGTCTAACTTTGATAGGGGGTTGCCCTTGGGAGTAGGCAAGTTGGGATTGGTTTTGGGGTCAAAAGGTCAAAGGTCAAGGTCACCGTGGTGAGTTAAATGTAAATGGTTTCAGGATGATAACTTGAGTTAGAAATGAGATTTTGGTGTCTAACTTTGGTAGAGGGTTGCCCTTGGGAGTAGGCAAGTTGGGATTGGTTTTGGGGTCAAAAGGTCAAAGGTCAAGGTCACCATTGTGAGTTAAAGGTAAATGGTTTCCGGATGATAACTTAAGTTAGAAATGCGATTTTGGTGTCTAACTTTGGAAGAGGGTTCCCCTTGGGAGAAGGCAAGTTGGGATTGGTTTTGGGGTCAAAAGGTCAAAGGTCAAGGTCAGCATGGTGAGAAAAAGGTAAATGGTTTCCGGATGATAACTTGAGTTAGAAATGAGATTTTGGTGTCTGACTGAGGTAGGGGTTTGCCCTTGGGTACAGGCAAGTTGGGGTTAGTTTTGGGGTCAAAAGGTCAAAGGTCAAGGTCACCGTGGTGAGTTCAATGTAAATGGTTCCGAATGATAACTTGAGTTAGAAATGAAATGTTGGTGTCTAACTTCGGTAGGGGGTTTCCCATTGGTACAGGCATGTTGGGACTGGTTCTGGGGTCAAAGGCCAAAGGTCAAGGTCACCACGTTGAGTTAAAGGTTAATGGTTTCCGGATGATAACTTGACTCTGGCTGAGGGGTTTCAACAGCAACGCTGTTATTTTTTGGTCTTTTTTTTCCAGCTGGTTGTTGTCGGAGATTTGACTAAAGAGGAGGACAACCAGAAACTGATCCGGAAGACACTGGAACACTTCGGCAAGTTGGACATCTTGGTAATAACATCACCAGTTTGGGTCTTACTTTTTTGTCAATTTAAAATCCAAATTTTCTGGTTGATGCCAAATTAAGATGCAACTCAAGGCTTTGTGACCAAAGGCTGTATTGCAATGCTTGAAATAGTGAGTTGTGCCACTCAGCTCAATTTTTAGCTGAGTGAGTTGGGCCTCTAGCGGGAATGTGGCCTTTAGTGGCTTGTGTTTGGGTTTGTGACTCCTGATCAGAGGGTCATGGGTTCGAATCTAGCTGCAGGTCAAATGTTGTGTCCTTGGGCAAGCCAATTCATCCTCACTTGCCACATCTTCACCCAGGAGTAAACATTTTTAGGCGAGTGAGTGTGGCCTATAGCAGAAGTGTGGCCTATAGTGGTAAGGGTTCGGTTCGTGACTCCTGATCAGAGGGTCATAGGTTTGAATCAAACCGTCGGTCAAATGTTGTGTCCTTGGGCAAGCCACTTCACCCCACTTGCCTCTCTCCACCCAGGAGTATAAATGGGTACCGGTTTTAGCCGGGAAATATTCTCAGTCATTTCATGTTACTGAAACCGGAAATGAACGCTGGCCTGATGGGCCACATTGGCTTGTGAGAGACTTTACTTACTTAAACCAGCTCAATTTTAGGTAGAACAAGCGGTCTCATCATGTTGAAGGCGACTGGCCTGACGTCATTTGTGACCCATGAAATGTCGGCGCAGCGCAGGCTCCTGGGCTGTCTGAAGAGTTCTGATGGTCACTCACCTAAAGGGCCGGCCTGTCGTTATCTGATTCAATGAGTTACTCACTGAGTCACCGAGTGCAAATGCATCATTTGACTTGGATGAACTCCAAGTTTCATCCAAGTCAAATGATGTATTTTTAAGTAATCAAGCTGAGAGACTGGCCAAAACGAAGACTGACCAGCTGAAGCCATCCAGCTGAGACTGACCAGCTGACCAGCTGTCAAACGTTCAGATCCAGTTGGACTAGGCTTATTATCCTTGTCTTGACTTCATCAATGACGACCCATTGTCTCAGAACCACCTTAGCATTTTCCCAGATTCCTCTTTGAGTATGGTTCTAAGGAAAACCCAGAGACGCAGTAATCATTATCAGTTTCATCGAAGAGGAAAACTCAACAGTTTATTTAAAAGGGAAATACCAGGTGGTGTACTCGGGGAAAAAATAGAAAAACAGAACAAGAAAAGAAAAAGAGGCGTGAAGTCTAAATATTTTTTTTATTAATTTTATAAACAAGTTGAGCATCTGCAAAATGCTAGAGAAAGTGCAAGGATTTTTTGGGGAAAAATGTGCTTTGCCCCCCCCCCCCCCTAGAAAAAAATCCTGTCTATGCCCATGTGTATGCCCTGAGCTGAACCACACGAAAGAATTGTGCAGGGATTTGAAGTGTTATCCATGCTCCACAGAAGATTACCTCAAAGGAATTTGAAGTGTTTGGTTCTAACTCTGGGGGGAAAAAGTGGTTTTGCAAAACTTGAAGGGTTGTGAAGCACAGAAGACTAGAAGGGTTAAGTTTTAAGTTTGTTTTTGTTTGTTTGTTCTCTTTTGTTCATTCTTTGTTGCCTAGAGCCGAGATTTAGATGTTTATAATCTTGTTATTATTGCCAGAGGCAGTCCAGCGGAAGTTTCGTCCGAGTCAAATTCCATCTAAGAGTGACCACAAATGAAAAGAATGAACGCTAATGTGAACAACTAAAAATATAGAGTTTTATTGTGTATTTGACCAGGTAAACTGCGCTGGCATTATATCGCACGTAACCATTGAAACGACGAGCATGAAGGCCTATGACACCATGATGAATGCCAACATCCGGTAAGCATGGAACGTTACGTGTTTATTTCATAGGATTGAGCCACAGAGTCTTCCATTTCTCTGAATGACTGGCGTTCTAATTACCCATGTGCTGGGCTGCACCCGATTTCCTGAGCATGAAGTGCTGCGATGTGTCGTAAAGCCCGGTTCATACTTGGCGCGAAAGCGAACGCGAATTGTGACGTTGTGGCAAGTATTCGCGCTGCGAATTTGTAAAAGTTGAACATATTTCAACCCGGGCGAATTTCGCAGCGAATGTTTCCTGACGTCAAATTCGCTTCGCATTCGCTTTCGCATGAAGTATGAACCGGGCTTTACTCCAGTCGCGAGGCATAACACGTCACAACTTGCAATGCCTTTTATGGTCCAGTTCACGAAACTTACGATGTGTTTTACTCATCGTAAGTTCCTTGACAATGGCTTAAAAGATGTCACAAGTTACGAGGTTTCTAGTGGTCATATTAAAATAAGAATAGTACTTGGAAAGATTTCCATATAAGAAGTTCACTCAACACCCTGTGTACAAACCCTATGAGAGTGGACTGAAAAATTGTAAGTGTTTTCTAAGAAAATGCTCGTATTTTCTCACTGCTCAAATTGACTTTGATGACATGAAATTGCTATCTGGGGGCTTGTTAGTCAATACAGAGGAAATATCTTTCCTAGTACTTTTCTTGGCCAGTTTTATACCATAAATGAGACTCTGAAACCGAGACAATGTGTGTGAAGTTGTAAGTTAAAAATGCATCAAAGTAATTATCATTTAGCTTGCGGTTGAAATTATGTAGCTGTACAGCCCACCGCAAGCTTGTTTGCCTTTAAAACTGCATCATATGTCCGCCATTTGGTTTATGTTTTAAAAACTGTTTGAGAGGAGATCCAATGACACTTTGCTGAATTTCCGACCACTATTTACTGTACGTTGAATAAATATGTATATCAGTCACTGTGTTGTGCTATAAATACACCTACGATGCATCGCCCTTACGGTGGGTTTGAATGATGTCTGAATCCAAGAATCTATTTTGGTCGACTCGAGACGCTCCTATCCGCTCCGTTCACAAGTACCCCCTCACCGGCAAAGAGGGTACAGTTAGGGGTGACCGACCGATGCCATCTTGCCTGACTGCAATTCATTTGTGGCGAAGCCCAGCCACTGCGTGCACATAGTACACACCCCCTGGTGTACGTGCATCACACACAAGGAACGGTGCGCGTCAACCAGCGAAATGTCCCGCCCATGGGACGTCGTTGCTGGGTAAAAGGGCGCCCTCTTTCGTTGGCACATGGAGCCCATAATCTGATTGGTTTGGTGTGGCTCAGGAACGCCAGCCTGATAAACCGGGGGTGAGGGTCCAATGTGCTCCTCAATTTCCGAGGAGCATCAAGCTCACCTATAAAGTGATGGTGGCTGGGCTCTACCTTCCTCAATCCTGCAGAATCTTCCGATTCCCCTTCTGGTAGACTTGAAAGATCCAGGAGATTTGGGTTGACGCCCCTGATGGATATAATTTTCTCTCGTTGACACCAGGTCAGTATTTCATCTGACATCTCTGGCCGTTCCTCACTTGATTGAAAGCAAAGGCAACATTGTTAATGTCTCTAGTGTCGGTGGACTGCGGGCGGTGAGCATTTTCGGATATTTTTTTTGGGGGGGGGGGGGCTTCGTGTCCCAATTTTATTCAGTACGGCCAAAAAATCAGAAAAGGAAAGGGCCATCGATCTTATACTGCATAGTTTCTTTGAATTTGATGGGTTGACGAAGCTTCTTAACAAAAGTTCCCCTCACATTTCTGCCCTCAAATCTTTCTTTTTTGGCAGTTCTGAAAATTAAAGAAGGAAATCGTCTAAACAAATATGAAATCAACATATTTTCCTTTATGGAACCTAAATCAATGACAGTGGGACAGACTCGAGTCCACATGTATCTCCTTCCTAAGGAGAATGATTCGCAGAGGATACAATAGGAAGGATGACGAGTTCAAACTAAAGCTGACTAATGTCGACATCTTGCGGATTTGCAGATGCAAGAAGCTTGCTGAATTCGTACAGCGTCAGCAAACAAAGTACCTAGCCCATCTTGTCAGACAACCAAACGCTTACCTCACCAAGCGTCTCTTGTTCAATGAGGACAAGAACCGGAAATCTGGCAACCGGTTACCTACCCTCCTGCCGCAGGTAGTCAACATCCATGCCATCACCACTGACAAATTCTTCAAGCGAGCACTGCGGAGGGAATACTGAAGGTTTTTATGTTGGGCATGGGACTGACTCTCCATGCCCGCTCAACAGCTGCTGTATGCATCTAGAGTTAAACTTAAATGAATAAATGAATGAATAATACATCATGTTTCCGTGTGGTAAAGTAAATTCTGATTTGTCCTTTTGGATACCAGTTCCCAGGAGTGCTAACATACTGTATGTCTAAGAGCGCCCTGGACCAGTTCACCAGAGTGACTTCATTAGGTCAGTTTACTTTGGTCAATTTGCTTTATTGATATAAATAGCTTATTTAGTATAAGGCCAAAAAAAAAAAGTCTCTGGCTTCTGTATGTGTGCGCGTCACCGTAGCCATGCGCGTCAGCAAAATGAAAAAGTTTTTTTTTCAATGAAAGATGATGTCTCAAAACCGCCAAACTCACTGGTTTGACTGGAATCCTGCTGCTGCACAATTTTAACGTGTTTTTAGATTGGGTTATGGTCGAGAATAAGCTTTATGTGGCCTCTCTGGACTCCCATATATTTGCACTAAGTTTAGTCGGGCACCATTTGCAGTCATCAGCTGACATTTGAAGCAAAAAAATCAGGTAAAAAAAAAAAAAAAAAGCCGCGTCGCCACACCACTTTTTGGGCAAGCTCCATACCAGAAACCGGAGACTTTTTTTTGGCCTAAAGGTAGAGTAGATCATTTGCAGCTATCCAAAAAGTAACTGACAAAGTTATTGTTGAAAAGCTTACTTGGTTTAATCCTAACTCCCTAGCATGATTTACTAGGAACCATACCCATCCTGGCAAATTCCAACACCATATGGGAAACTGTACACGCATATTTCTGACTTAGTTTCTGGAGGTGTGCCAACCCAATGTAAAAGACTGTCAGTTTAGGGGTACTGTACCCATCCCGACAGATTCCAACAAATCATGCTGTTGGAGTTTGATGGGTTGAGTTATGTAAGGGTTAAATATGGTAATGGCACTAAACTCCCTGTGATATTATTCTTTCTGGCATGCTGTCATTTTAAATGTCATGCTGATTTTTTTTCTTTGGTGATTGTCAGTGCATGGCAGTACGTCAGTGAGCAAACCTTGATCTGATACACCGTGCCCTCTGGAGACATGCACACAATAGGGAACAAAATATTGTATACGTCTCCACAGGGCAATTTCTATAGATGAATACGTCTCCACAAGGTTTTCACGAAATAGATATACGGATTTTACTCAAAAACTAGGAATTTCCAAGGTATGTTGATCGCAATTGGTAGAGTTTTAGAAAAGGATATTATAAGTCAAAATTTCAGCCAAGGAAATTAATCCTGGATAAAATAAGAGCATTTTGAAACTGTACTTTCAAACTCGAAAACTTTAGTACACGAGAATAAAGAAATATCTCCACGAGGATACAAATTTCAGTATGGACGCTCAAAAATGTTTTCAATGAGTACATTTTTGGGTTCAAAATTTGATCAGAAAACCCCCAAACTGAACAGTGAACAATGCCCTCAGTTGACCGGAAAAGCATGGACAATTTTTAAATGTGCACATTTCAATAAAATTAACCAAAAAGGGGTGTCAAATAGTTTTCATACATTTAAAGAGGAGTAGAAAGTTGCACAAAATGTGTTCCTCGGAAAAATCATCTCATGGCCATGCATGGACCCCTCAAACCATTCATGCAGTGTTATAAAGCATTTTACAAGGTCCGTCAGATGTCAGCTTACAAATGGCTAAATGAAAGAAACAATTTCTCCATTATTTACCAGTACTTCAATATCAAAGTAAATAGGTCGAAGAAAAGTTTCCAAATTTCCCCCCGCCAAAAATAAAATATTACATTTTATTGTGTCTTTATTTTCAGAATTGGCGCCCAAAGGAGTGCGTGTGAATTCAATTAAGTAAGTGCGTGGAGAAATAATTTATTTAAGCCCACAATGACGTCGTTATCCTGAAAATAATTTTGTATTTGAAGAGAAGGATAAAATCATTTGCTAAAAAATTGCCGTCTGTTTATTTTATTTTCAAATAACAAATTCTGAGGTTTTGGGGTTTTAATTTCTCTAACAGTCCTGGTGTGATTGTAACCAACTTACAGAAAGCTTCCGGGATTGACGATGAAGCTTATGCAGAGGTTCGTTGCTTTTTTGGTTTAAAATTGAAAAGGTCTAGTTTTCTTAAACTCAAGATATTTCTGATTAAAAAAAAAAAAAATCTGGAGCCTCTCTGAGAGATCCCCTGCCATCATTTCCCAGATTTCAAGCATTGCTAATGTTATAAGCTTCATAATTACTGTCTGTACTGCAGTTATTTTACAGAAAATGCTTCCCAAAATTATAAATCTTCAGTCACACCTTAACCAACCTAGTTTGGGGCAAATTTCACTAAGTCTGTGATAAGACCAAGCTAAAAAAAGTTTCTTTTCCGGGCTTTTGAAAAAAGGAAAGAGGGGGCCCCCTCCCCCCTCCCAAATTTTATAAATTGTATTTATAAAAATAAAGGGTTGCGGGCAGGAAAAGAAAGCCGACAGGAATGAAAATGTTTTATTTTTCTTGGACAAAGTTGTTGGACAAAGTTAGGGAGAATAGGGGTCCATGATTGCCGGTTTTCACAAAAATGGGTGTGTGTGTCTATCCTTGATCAATGGATCAAAGTGGTTATTCTCCGACAAAGTGGGGAAGGCGGCAAAGCAAAATGAATTCATTTGTTTTGCTCCTACAGTTCTTAGAACGCTCGAAAACAGCTCACGCCCTCGGGCGACCCGGGCAGCCCGACGAAGCAGCCAATGCCATCGCCTTCCTTGCCTCTGATGCTGCCACGTTTATCACGGGGGCTACCCTACCGGTGGATGGCGGACGGCACGCCACGTGCCCTCGATAAACGAAGAGTTTTTCAATCTAAAAGAAGAGTGATTACAACTCTCAATCGCCTGGTCTTCTATTTTCACTCTTTGGAATTTAGAGATTGAGGACAAAAGAAATTGCCCCTTGCATTTTATGTTTCATAACCAGAAATTGGGATTTCTTGAATGCTAAAGTTGTCCTGTATTCCTGCATTCTTGCCTGACAACGATCCATTATTTCTTACTTGGGCACCCACTTCACAATTTTTAAAACCCTCCTATTGTTTGATCAGTCACAGACAGTCAAAAATTACTTCAACTTCCCCTGCCTCGCATTTGTTTCCAGACTAGTCAAAACAGTCAGGTCACATTCTCGTAGACGCTGTGACTAGTCATATTCCATCAACAGACAAAGAAGGTAACTGGTAGGTACAGCTGGCATATCAATCACCTCCAGTCAAAGCATGGCTATATCAAATCAACAAGGGAATTCTTAAACTGTTGAAAACAGTCACTTGATTGATTTTGACTGTTGTGATGGTGTAGCTGAATTTGTCAGCCAGAAAGCCTGGGAGGGTTAATTTATTGTGTCCTGCGTAAATGTCAATTCTTGCAGTTGCACAAATTTAGCTCTTCATGGGTGTGAAATCTCGGGAAAAAAATACAGTTATTTATTTGTAGATAATAGTAATATGTGCTGATTATGTTTCACACTTTGAGTAAAAGTAGGTCCACTACCAACAATATTCATATGCATCAGTCTTTGTACATATAACAAACACAATAAAAATGAGATGTATATAAACAAATTACCCCCCCCCCCAAAAAAAAATGTATATGAAAGAATAACCTTGTATTTTTTTTCTTTTTGGCACAGTTAAATCAATGATGCAATTTTTCAAGCATAGTTCAAATTTTGCATGAATTCGATTGTGAATAATGTATAATTTGGGAGATATAAGTTATTTTTTTACACAGAATTAAATGGAATTTGTTTTCGAAATAAAGCGTTCAGGTATATATCTTGCGTTTACTGTTGAAGTTTAATTACGCTGTAGGCCTAATGGTTGCACATTTTTGCTCAGTAGCTCTGCTAGCGACAAAGTGCATTCCCATTAGTTAAATAGGATGATAAATCGGCACGCAACATGATGTCACTGTTTGCACAAAAGTTATCATTAACCAGATTTGCCCCAGCTAAATTTCCTAGGTCAGTTAATTTGGCCCAGAATCTCGGGGTTCGCACCACTCCAGCCAGCAAAAGCAAATATGGGAAAACCTCATAATGCATGTGACCTGTTGCCATGGTGACAAAATGATAATTTTGATGATGAATACGAGCACATATACATAAATGGTAGTGCAGTTTGGGTAGATGTCGTTTGACGTTATGTACAAAGTGCAGTGGTTTTTTTTTTTAAATCTTTGGCTCTATATTTAAACCATTACCCCATAGGCCATGCGTGCCGAAATTTATTGTGTGCGGCCTAGCTATATACTAGCAATTGTTGTCATCGATCACATTGTGTGTAGCTATTCTGCATGCGAGTGTGCAACGATCGACATCCGACCTTGAAGAGACCGTTATTAATACACGAGTGCTACATACATAGATGGTAAGGATAGTTGCTGTATTAGACTTCATATATATGTGTTGTAATTAATATGCCTGCAATTATAGTTGTTGATTTATGTGTGTGGGTTTGGTATGCCTCCGCTGTGGGACAGTCCCAACAATAGTGTGGGAAATTCCTAAATAAAGTTGGGACGATCCTAACTGTAATTTGGATTGTCCCAACCATATGATGCCAAATGTAGGGGGGGGGGGGGCATCACAGATTCACTACAGTGGTGGCTCCAGGGGGCGCCCCCACTATAGTATCACAATTTGTCTCAAATAAGGCCATATTTCACTTGTGAGAGCCCTTCCGCCCCCCCCCCCTCCCTACAGCACAGCCTACATCTTACCCAGCATATTTTTTCCTGTCGGTGAGGGATGCCATTTTTGTAAATATTTCAGTAGTTTCATTGGAATCAATGGCAAGACACTTGGGCCAAAAAAAAAAGTCTCCGGTTTCTGGTATGCGCGCGCGTCGCCGCAGCCATGCGCGTCGGCAAAATGAAAAAGTTTTTTTTTCAATACAAGATGATGTCTCAAAACCGCCAAACTCACTGGTTTGACTGGAATCCTGCTGCTGCACAATTTTAACATGTTTTTAGATGGGGTTATGGTCGAGAATAAGCTTTATGTGGCCACTCTGGACTTCCATATATTTGCACTAAGTTTAGTCGGGCACCATTTGCAGTTATTGGCCGACATTTGAAGCCAAAAAAACAACCAAAAAAAACAGGTTAAAAAAAAAAAAAGCCGTGTCGCCGCACCACTTTTGGGGCAAGCTCCATACCAGAAACCGGAGACTTTTTTTTTTTGGCCTTAGGTTCTTGTTCTTTTTTTCCCCCTTAAATTAAAATTATCCCATTGATAAATTTGGAGAAGAAAATTAGTCAGTAAAAATGAGCATCTGTGGATTCGAACCAGGGATCTTTCTATCCCTAGCTCATCTCGCTATCCACTAGGCTACTTGTGGAAGCTCGACGAAAGCGGTTCTCTATAATGCTTTAAAGGAACTAGTTGACTAAATAACAACAATGCTGTTGATGTCATTGTTCTTTTCTCATGAATAAACACAATTTTCCCATTTAAACTACTGAATTATTCATGATATTGCTTCACCCGCCTATGAAACAACAGTTCGCTGCCTGGCACAACCTCAGGATCCGCCGTTGCATTATGTTTACTCAAAGGCTATTTATAAATACCACAGAAAAGTGCTGGTACTGGATGCTATAGCAATGAAATTATTAAGCGATCATAGCTATCGAGACATACCCTAAGACATGGGTGATGTCAGGCAGTGGTAAATTCTGATATTCTTGTTCATAAATCATGAGCGTGCATGCCAGTGTTTCAATTAGTTCCTTAGAGAAATATCATACTTGTTTGAAATTTGTTGAGTAACAAGAAATTCTTCCATGCATGTTCACTTGGAAATTGATTGGATAAGTGCACCTCTGTCCCAGAATACACTTTTTTCCCCTCACTTGTAAAGACCGAATTTCATGACTTTAGGCCTATTAGTTCATAGGATTCTACATCAAACAAAAATTACATTTGAAATTTGTTTCAAGTGAATAAAGGAAGGCACTGTGTACACCACCATCTTTTCCCAGAAAAAAATTGGTTAAAGTGGTCAGAAATTGCCTCAGATCGCACCATAGAGCACAGAGCATCTAGAATCAAAATTTCGGGGCCCTTAAGTGGGCCCCAAATACCTGATCGCCGTAATTTTTTGGACCCACTTTTTGGGGGACCAAAATTGTTTAAGGCCCCTCTCCAAACAAATTGTGTTCTTGATCTGCCCTTGCATGGTGTTAGTGTATACAAGTGAGATTTGCAGTATGTGGAATAATCTCTTTTGAGAAGAAGCAGCTCTGAAAAAAAAAACCGGTTGGTTGTGAAACTCGACATTTCGATCAGTACATGCTCTGATCGTCTTCAGGATCATCTTCTCCTGAAGAAGAGCATGCAGATCAGAATGTCGAGTTTCACAATCAACAGGTTCTGTTCTTTTCAGAACCATGCTTCTTCTCAAAAGAGATTATTCCACATGGTGGCACCGCAAACGTCACTGAATTATCGAACAAAGTTTTATTAAGATTTTAGTACCGATACTGCATGACTAAGCCTGCACAATACAATAGTATTATACAATAGTACTATATAATAATCATTAATTTATAGAGTTAATATTTTACAGATAACAGATGTGTTTTTCGTTCTTGTTTTTTTCAGTTGGGTGTAGCCGTTAAGACTTTAGATCTGATGTTAATCATTAGCTTTTTTTAAAGTGATTTATGTATTGCGGATATGAAATAGTTTATTTATATTTTTGATTTAACCGACAAGCATATCTGCATCTGCAAGTTAATATTGTACAGAGAGTGCACTTACATGGGAAATCATTCACCAATAGAGCTGTGTTTGTCTCTCGGTTTGTCCAACGCCCATGATTCAGACAGTATTTTGCAAAGGTAGCCTGAGAAGATAGAACGCCTTTTCGCAGAGCCAGAGAATTTTGTGACAGCTACATTTGTAAGGTTTTGAGGCGGGGAGTGATGTGATCAAATTGGATGTCAAAAATTTCATTATTTTTTTGAAAAAAAAATTACATTCAGATCATGCATGAAAAAGATTGTACCTTAACGTCAAGTGACTCGACACTTGTATCATTCTGGCTACAATGGATGCAGTTCCTGGTGGCCTATAGGTCTTATTCAAAGACGACCATCACTGTAGGAGAACTGCAACTGCGCATTTTACGCAATCAAGCATGCATTGCGCAGTGTTGAAAATTTTCCAAACACGCGCGCTTGTTGCTCAAAATGTGTTAAAAATACGACGCAGCCGATGCGCTTTGTGCAAGTTGAGGCTCAAAATGCCGATGCACGTGGCTGGTCTGTAGGAAATGACGTCCTTTGAGAGAGACCTATATTTGGCATAATATTGTCGTGTTTATGATCATGCCCCTTCCAATATTTAATATAAAAATACCACAGGAGGTTTCACATTGAGAAGAGGCATGCCACTTTACAAGAGATCTGTTTCCATATTTTTGAATTCACTCTGATCCTGGAGCCCCTGAACATTTTCTCCTAAGTGTTTTCAATCAGGTATGTATTTTATGGCAACACGGTGATATAGCTTTGGATTTTACCATTGTCGACGGGTAAATCTTAAAACATATATGGCCTTTGACTTGATTTTGTTTTCTTGATTTTGTTGCAGAAAGGTAACTGACTGCAGACAACTGTGTGAAAATGACGTCCTTCTGGCAACAGCTGTTGGTTCTCCTTTATCGCAACTTGCTGCTGAAGGGAAGAAACATCAAGCAGATTTTGCAGGTAAGAAATAAGGGGGAAAACCTGATATTTAGCTGTTGAATTCCAGCTATCAATATATGTACATTATGCGATTTGGGATTACATTTTTACTTGACTTTGCGTTTTGGATTGGTGACAACCTCGTCCCCAGGGTGTCGAGCAGTACGCGCCCACCACTACCTGCTCTCTCACCCTGGTATTAGATCATTTGCATGTGCAAGATTTTTGAACACGTATGCAAATGAGGAACAGTCTGTTGCCTGGATATGCGTTACACATTAGCGTTTGTTTTTGTATGCGGTGTCTGGGGTAAAAACAGAGTCAATTCGTAGCAGCGCGAGCACGGCGTGAGTTACGAAAACACGATTTTTGAAATCAAACTGTTACGATCTTATCGAGACAACATGCAGTATCTTATTTCATATTAATATTAGCAAATTGGAAAGGAATTTAGTATTTTCGAGAAGGCGTGGACGAATGATCGCGAAAACACGTACTGCACGTTGTGAAAAATAGCACCAAGTACACGATAAAAATCCATTACTAGCCAATTGCGGTATCCAATCAGGATACAGGAAGAAAGTTTCCTATCCAGGGTTTACTATTGGAAACGCGGTTGGAAATAAAGCAAGCACTGGGGACGAGGTTGGATTGGTGAATAAGTCTGTGTAATTCTTCTCAATTGTGAACAGTTAAGTAAATGTTTATACATGTATGCACCTTTCCCTTGGATTTGCTGATTTCTTTGTTTTTCAGTTCTAGATCTGGTATGTGATTTAAAATACAAACCCCAAAACAAACAAACAAAACAACCCAATTACCTTTTGACATCCTGTAAATCTTCTTTTCCTTTTTGTGTCTCATAAATTCCCAATTGCATACTTTACTGTGCATACTTTAATATTCATACTTGGATAATTTCAATGTATTTGTAAACGGGAAAAATGGACCGCTCGACTAAACTAAATAAAACTAAACGCTGGGGGAACTCACTTAAGAAAACTCAATTAATCTAATGATCGAATAGGGTAAAGACGCGAGGAAATGCAAGAAGTGGAACAGTGACTCAAAATGTAGGTTTCCTTAATAAACAAAAATAAGAAAAATAACTTTATTGATACTAAAGCAATGACCAAAAGCCAAACCAGTGTAACCTTAACCAAGACCAACACACAGTAAAACTATTAAACGAAACCCAGAATTGAAACAATTAAAAACACAGTGCCAAAGAAAGTTACAGATTAAAATCAAAATGGCTTTCAAACCTGTTAAATACTCCAGGTACTCTGGCTCTACCCGGTCTAGCCGATAGCACAAGGTACCTCCTCTCATCTCTAGGCTATCCCAAGAACGTAACAGCCTCTTAACTGCTCCTGGTTCCTTATCCATCTGATGAGGGCTAGGCTTTTGGCTAGTGGACTTCATTTCCACTACCCTTGTGTTGTCCTCGTCTCCCAGTTGCGCTATTAGTATAGCCTGAGGGGTAGCAGGTTGTACATCCCGAGGGGTAGCAGGTTGGGGTGACTTTCCCACCTCTGGAGTTGGCTCTTCCTGCTTCTTAAAAGATGAAGGGCTGTAGTACACTGTTGTCGGTTTGGACTGGCCATGAAACTCTCGCCATTGCCCCTGGCAACTTCTGGGATATTTACTGCTCCAAGCAGAACTCTTCCTCTGGCGCTGATGACCATCCATTTGCATCTGCAATTTCCGCAACAGTTCTCCTTGTTGTCGCTGCTGTGAGACAATCTCTTCAAGGAGACCCTTCACTGTTACAAGCAGGCTTGGATTACCGGGTTTCTCCATCAGATGGGATGTTCCCTCCTCTGACGATGTGTCAAACCTACATATCGGAAGCGCGGTCGAAATGGGCTCGATTTCTGGTTGGAGGACGTCCTCATCCCAACCAAATCCTGGGGGTGGGGAGACATATGGCGTCCCATCAGGCAAAATGATTGGACTCGGCCCTTCAACCATAGTGAAGTTAAAATGCTTCCAAACTCTGGCACTGGGTTTGACTGAAAACTAATGACTGTCCCTACTTCTGACACAACCTGGCTAAGTTCTAAAAGAACATAAACCCTACCCGGATTCTCCACCAAAAATGTAATCGGGAAAAATGGACCGCTCGACTAAACTAAATAAAACTAAACGCTGGGGGAACTCACTTAAGAAAACTCAATTAATCTAATGATCGAATAGGGTAAAGACGCGAGGAAATGCAAGAAGTGGAACAGTGACTCAAAATGTAGGTTTCCTCAATAAACAAAAATAAGAAAAATAACTTTATTGATACTAAAGCAATGACCAAAAGCCAAACCAGTGTAACCTTAACCAAGACCAACACACAGTAAAACTATTAAACGAAACCCAGAATTGAAACAATTAAAAACACAGTGCCAAAGAAAGTTACAGATTAAAATCAAAATGGCTTTCAAACCTGTTAAATAAAACAACAAAAAATACAATCGATTATAATACACTTCTTCAATCAAATTTAAGAAACACAAAGTCTTAAACATTGAATCCAAACTAAGTTTATAACAAAAGATACTTCCAAGTCCGATCTTTAAAATACAACTTTAGAAAATGAAATTCCAAAGAAATAAAGGAATAATATGATTGTCAAACTAATCAACTAATGAAACAACTAAATAATAAAACAAAGTTTAAGCTTACCGAGTCCATATAGCAGTAAGGTCTTGAAGCAGGCAAAACTTATAGAGTAAAAATCAAAGCTTGGGAAGGGAGAACAAGTGTGGGTGTTCCCCTTGCACTGCCAGTCTGCTAACTGAAGAACATGTACATTATAGAGGTGACCAACCACACTACCAAGGATTATGTAAGAGGGTTCATTGTTTATTACACGGGATTCCTAAGAAATTAACTAAGGGGGTGCTGGAAGAGCTTAAAGGGGAAATGTAAACAGTGGAAGGGCAATTAACTCTAACATCAACACAGGGTCTTTCTACACCTGCCACACTCGCCACTACTTAAACCCATTGTTGTCCTCAACAATGTTAAAATTACGCCAATGCAAACGAAAATGAAATTACAGCAAAAATAACAAAAAAGGAATCAACATTACAAAAATCAAGGCCAAAAATAAATAAGTCGTGCCATCTGTAGGATCTCTCGAAACCCCTCAATGTTGCATGCAATTTGCAGAATTATGTAAAACCTGCCACCTCATCGACTTGGGCAAAACCTCCAGGTACTCTGGCTCTACCCGGTCTAGCCGATAGCACAAGGTACCTCCTCTCATCTCTAGGCTATCCCAAGAACGTAACAGCCTCTTAACTGCTCCTGGTTCCTTATCCATCTGATGAGGGCTAGGCTTTTGGCTAGTGGACTTCATTTCCACTACCCTTGTGATGTCCTCGTCTCCCAGTTGCGCTGTTAATATAGCCTGAGGGGTAGCAGGTTGTACATCCCGAGGGGTAGCAGGTTTGGAGACTGGCAGTGAAGAGTTAATGAATTATGCCCATAGTGGTCACACAATTTTCGAGGATTCTAGTAATAGGTCTTGACACTCTCCTTGCGCCATTGCTAAGGATAGCAATGTATTTTAGTTGGCGAGTGTGTGGCAGGGCCACATAGTTAACTTGCATTAGCTTTTGGTTTTCAACATAGGAGTCCCTCCCCCTGACTTGCATACGCTTAGTTTGTGTTGTAGCCCTCTGAAGTTAATTAAGTAGAAGTTTATGACACAGTAAAATAATAGCAGTGCTGTAGGAGGATAGTAGTGTACGCCCCCTGGATAGAGTAAACATCCTGTCCAGAACAGAGACCCCCTTATCTGTGAGACCATGTGGTCCATGCCTCATTTTGCAGACTGGTAGAAGGCAGGGCAGCATCATTTAGTTTTGCTCTGCAGATTCCCTTGAAAATCTATGGCTTTTCTACCCTGAACGTTTGGTCTGCTGCTGGATTCGGTTGTTTAAGCTGTTGTTTTCGATTTATGACCTTCTTTTGATGCCGTATTGGTTTTAATTTTAGTTGGTTTTAAATCTTAGGTTTTTATTGTTGGTTTTAATTTTAAATCTTCGTTCTAGGTTTTAGTTGTTGGTGTCTTTATTTTTATCTGGTTTATGGTTTTTAGTTGGTTTATGGCTTGAAGTGATTGAGTTGTTTTTTTGTCTATTGGTTCGTGTCATTTTACATTTCTTAGTCTATTTTTGCTTCATTTACTTGGTTTCAGTTGTGATCATTATACTGAGTTTTTTTGGTTCATAGCAGTTTTTTATCTTTAGGGAAAGTAAAAGGTCATTTACATTTGTTTGGTTAGGAGAACATCAAGGTTGGTCAAGTGTCAGGTACAAAATCGGTTGTTCTTCGAGTCTCATAATTTTATTTTTGGTTTAGTTTGTTTTTTTAATTGTCGTTCAGGAGAAATAAATGCGTTCCAGTGATAGCTCTTGAATCTCTGTTTCTTTGCCAACTTAATTTTCCTCGCGATTTTCTAGAGATCCTAGGTCCAATCCCTTTGTTCCATTTTTCTGGGTTACATTTTTTTCTTTTAGCTGGCTAAGTTATATAAAAAACAGTGCGCTAGTACCCGGATTCTCCACCAAAAATGGTAAAAAAAATGTAACCGTGAAAAACGACACACTTGGGGGAACTCGCACAAACTAAGACTCTATGGGGATTAACTAACAAAACTAAACTAAACTCAGGATCTTTGAAGGGAACTGTCGCGAGGAAATTGAATTAATAGAGACCAGAGACCAATTCTAGATTTCTAACAAAAAAAGGACCAAAAAGAATTTATTCACAAGAACCTTAAACCAAAAACCAGAAACTAAAAGCAAAGAATAAAACCTAAAATCCAAAGACTAAACCAAAAAAAACCCGAAGAAATTGAGACTTAAACCCTAAAATCTAAAACCAACACAGTGTGAATAGTGGATCTTTCAAAGAACACTCAAGCAGGAATAAAGTCTGTAAACAAGAAAATACAAAAAGAGAAAACATATAAGGAAATGATCTAATGAATATTCATGATGTAATAAACAAGTTCTAAGATACAAAGGAAGTGGGAGACACTAATCCCCAAAGTGAAGGATTAGCAAGTAATAAAACACGTCCAGTAGCACCATCCTATACACAGGCCATGTGAGTTAAATGAGAACAAAGAAATTGCAATGAAAAGCTAAAGCACATATGGTGAAGAATTTAAGAAAATCTCTAAATCTAATACTAAGAAAATGTACAAGAAAAACATGAAAATCTAGAATGCAAATGAACTTTCAACCTTTCTTAGTAATAAAACAAGGCCAAAAAAATCTATCCTTAAGCAAAACCAAGGTTAGTGAAAATAAACAGAACTAAGAAACTTTTCTCAAAAGAACTCAAAAGAGACCGGTTTCATTGAAAAGACTAAAGCTTCCTTATTACAGTAGGAACAAATAAATCATCATGAAGAGAAGTAAAAACACTTGTGTCTTAAGTAAAATAATAAATGGAAACAAAATGAAACAAAAAGTTGTAAAAGAAAACTTCAAACTGGAGCTTCCTCAAAGATCTAAACTGACCAGAGTCAATTCAAAGCTAACAAACTTTCAAAAGAAAACTGAACTATATTTCTAATAATAATTATACATGATAAATGAAAAGTAGACAATATACAAAAGAAAACTCACCAATGACTCCAACAAGCAGACAAAACTAAGCAGGACAGGCACTCCAGTTAGGAGGAAAATATATTTGCATGTGACTTGTCTCTGCTGATCTGCTGGGTGAACTTAAGTGGCTTGACCATGCGGCAGCTTTTAGGGGGAACATGTGGGCTAAAGTAAACAAACAGGGGGTCACACTACTGAAAAGGGGGGGGGGGGAATCTTGAGTAACTAAAATGATTTCTTTTTGTTCTAAAGGGGAGCTACTCCTATTTAATACACTATACATTATGAAAACATACAACTAAAACTGGGCCCTGCCACATTCACGCCATCTTAAAATCATTGCTGTCCCCAGCAATGGCAAACAAAAAACTTTATACAATTAAAATGATTTCAACAAACACACGAAAAAAATATACAAAACACTTCAATAAATAATTAATGACAATGAACTAGCCGGCAATCAACCATACTGGTAGGACCCTTCCACATCCTGGAATTCAAGGGGAGGTGGGATGACACAAACATCTTCCACCATAGGGGCTGTCATCTCGTCACTGACATCTCGAAACCCGACTGGAGGGGGAACTCTGGTAGACATCCTCTCACAGTGTTGCCTCACTCGCTTCTTGTGTCGTCTCATGTACTCCATGGTTTCGTTATGGAGACCAGGCCAGAAGTACTGTCCTCTCACTAGATTTAGGACCTGTCCATGTCCACGTGTCTCCATGCTTTGATGCAAGCCGCGTAGTACTTCCTCTCTTAAGCTGCGGGGTAGTACCGGTACCATCAGAGTCTTGGCCTCGTCTTCACCTCGTCTGTAGAGAAGCAGGCCACTTCTTACTTCAAGACGATCCCAGACGTTCAGTAATCGCTGTACCGCTTTTGGTCGACGTGCCATCTTGCTCTGGCTCATCCTCTTAGGATTGGACAGCTTCTGTTCCACCACTCTCCTAATGGCTGGATCCTGTTGCTGTGCTTGGCGCAGACTTTGGCAACGTCCAATGCCTCCATTAATACCTTGGCTTAACTGGCCACTGGTTGGGGCGACGGTAGGAACTACTACTTGTCTTCGAGGGAGGACATGATGAGGGGCTTCTTCTTGACTCTTGGGTTCTTGCGTGTGGATGGAGACGGGGGAAACAAAGACTTGACTCTGCATGCTCATCCTCTGAAGCTGCCGCCCTTTGATAACTTGCGAGATGACCTCTTTCAGCATGTTGATTTGCCGAAACTGCTGGAGAATGACTTGCTGCATCTGAGCTTGGTGTTGCAGCAGCTCCAGGATGTGTAACTGTGGAGTCAGGATTCCAGTCATTGTGTACTCCTCAGACCCACCAATAACAACACTGTGTTGGTTTCGACTCTAAAATACTGACCACCAAAGACAGACCAAAAAACCTTTTAAAAATGCCTATAGTCCCTATTAAAACAATTCCTGGCTAAGTTCTAAAAACATATTCCCTACCCGGATTCTCCACCAAAAATGGTAAAAATGTAACCCAGAAAAATGGAACAAAGGGATTGGACCTAGGATCTCTAGAAAATCGCGAGGAAAATTAAGTTGGCAAAGAAACAGAGATTCAAGAGCTATCACTGGAACGCATTTATTTCTCCTGAACGACAATTAAAAAAACAAACTAAACCAAAAATAAAATTATGAGACTCGAAGAACAACCGATTTTGTACCTGACACTTGACCAACCTTGATGTTCTCCTAACCAAACAAATGTAAATGACCTTTTACTTTCCCTAAAGATAAAAAACTGCTATGAACCAAAAAACTCAGTATAATGATCACAACTGAAACTAAGTAAATGAAGCAAAAATAGACTAAGAAATGTAAAATGACACGAACCAATAGACAAAAAAAACAACTCAATCACTTCAAGCCATAAACCAACTAAAAACCATAAACCAGATAAAAATAAAGACACCAACAACTAAAACCTAGAACGAAGATTTAAAATTAAAACCAACAATAAAAACCTAAGATTTAAAACCAACTAAAATTAAAACCAATACAGCATCAAAAGAAGGTCATAAATCGAAAACAACAGCTTAAACAACCGAATCCAGCAGCAGACCAAACTTTCAGGGTAGAAAAGCCATAGATTTTCAAGGGAATCTGCAGAGCAAAACTAAATGATGCTGCCCTGCCTTCTACCAGTCTGCAAAATGAGGCATGGACCACATGGTCTCACAGATAAGGGGGTCTCTGTTCTGGACAGGATGTTTACTCTATCCAGGGGGCGTACACTACTATCCTCCTACAGCACTGCTATTATTTTACTGTGTCATAAACTTCTACTTAATTAACTTAAGAGGGCTACAACACAAACTAAGCGTATGCAAGTCAGGGGGAGGGACTCCTATGTTGAAAACCAAAAGCTAATGCAAGTTAACTATGTGGCCTTGCCACATATTCACGGTCAAGGGCAGATGCGAATGTGAAAATGGGGGGGGGGGGGGGGGGGGGGTTGACCTCAATTTAAAATGAAAGGTGCGAGGCTTTCCCTTTAATTTATCTCTCATTTTATTACTACTCACAAATCCACAGGGGAAATGGGATTTGGTAACTCTTCGTTTGGTTTAATTGCAGAAAAAAAGGGGAAAAAGCTATTGTCTTTTGTTGGTGTGGGGGGGGGGGGGGGAGAGGAGGGGCATGGACCTCCTCCCGCCCCCCTCCCCGTATCCACCCTTGTTCGTAGATCATCTTCTCGGAAATTTCACAATGTAACAATTACATTCAAAAATGAGTCATTAAAATAATAATTATATTCATCCATTCGTGTATAAAGTTAAATTTACATTAAAGGGAATATACATGTACAACATTTGCAAATATCAAAAAAAGAAAAAAGACTACCATATTATTGTGAAATACCTTACTGGACTGTAAGTTAATTTGACAGTCTAAAGCATCCTGTAAAATCATGGCACCTGGTGTGCAAGTTCATATTTTCAAGAAAAGTGGTATTTTCGTATCAATTTCCAACGCTGGTCGGCCGACCAGCATTGGAAAAACACTGGCTTTTTCCAAATAGTGCCCCCAATTTACCATATGTAGTTAGTCCGAATTTTGTTTGCAATCGATTGCACATCTATGAATGGGTACAAGCCTTCTAGACTGGCTCCCTGACCTTATAATTCCCTGACGTCTATAAATTGCTCCATTTCAATTTAATTGGGGTCAGGGAACCAGACTACAAGAGCATGATTGTTTTTCTTGGTTTTTCCGGAATCTACGAACACAAACCTTCAAGCAAGTCAGTATAACAATATTTGCTATAAAATACTAACCTCCCAAATCAACAAGAATACATGTACTTAACTTTGGTATCAAGTTTAACCGGTTTCTGTATCAACGCTACACACACATGTAAAGTCATTATGGATGTTGTTTTTCTGTTCTTATTTCTTTCAGGAGCTAATTGTCCCCTGTGTTTTCATCCTGGTCATTCTGATCTTCAAACAGGAATTGGAGTATTCAGAGACATATTATGGGCAGAAGTATGATCAATTCATCAGCTACAAAATACTGGATGGTGCTTATCACGACGGGTATAAGTTTGTGCCTGATTATTATGATCCCTTTGCTTTCGCTCCGAACACATCAGAGACTCGAGCAGTTATGGACACGCTGATCTCCACCCTCAATGCCATCGAAGATAAAGGATATGATATCCCAGCTCCTCTGGGCTACGACAGCGAGAACGCCTTGGTTGATGCCTACAATGTATCAACATACCCAAGGCCTTTTGATACGGCCATTGTGTTCAGCAGCAACTTTCCTGACGTCTTGACTGTCAATATACGTATGAATCATCATGGATTCACTTCCACTTATCGACCGTTGGCGAATCTATTTGGCAGACCAGGTAATACTGTTTTTAAAATTTGAAATACCTAAAGCAAGCCATACGTGTAATTGGTTGATCTAAAAGTCGAGCACAAAAAAGTCGACTTTTTAAGTTAAAAAAAAATGGACCAAACCGTCACACTAGGCTTTTGCTACATAAACTTGAACCTGTCTTGGTGCACACCCATGATATTCACATTTCTATTAAGCGTTCTTAGAATTGCTATTTGCTTTGGAATTGGAAACGCATTGCACCGTGAGTTCAACATAACTACCACAATATACTACACTGTAAAGAAAACATCTAAAACTACAGGGTCAGTCAGAAAGATGGATACCCAATTTCCAAAAAAAAATTTTTTAAACATCTTTTGTAAGACAGGGGTTGAAAATAGTACATCATTGAAAACCCCTGTTCCTTAGCTGTCATCTGGTGAAATGGGCAACACAATACAACCAAATTTCTGAGAAAAAATATAGGAGGAAAACAAAGCTGTCCACGGAATACCCAAAATACAAAGACGTGTCGGTTTTACTACAGGCGAGGCGTGAATGACATAGGCACACAAATAGAGTCCTTAATCATTCTCAGTCATGTGAAAGCAATAACAAAGTGAGACAGAAATGGTTTCAGAAAAACTGTCTGTAATCTATCAGCTCTGCAATAATCAGAAACATTGTTGAATAAACAGTTCAATAAGTAAAGAAAGAAAAAAAACCCTGACATTTTAGCCTGATTACGGTGAACTGTGGACAAAATAGATTTTCATGAATTTTGGGAGGGAAACCTAAACCTCCCAAACCACAAAAGCAAATTTGATGTAACAACAATTAGGTGATTGCTTAAACCATGTAGTTTGTGGTTCTATCTTTAAATTGCTTTAAATTTGTCTTGAAGTTGACGCGAAAAAAAAATCTCCTTACTATCTTTCATTGTTGATCTTTAGATATATATGTTTTGCATACACAGGAACTTGTCAAGACCTGAACCCCCGTCTGACCCCCCGAGGATTCGGTATTGTAACACAAATCAGTACTTAATCACCGGTTTTGCTGCCATTCAAATTGGTTTACAGCACGCTGTAGCTTCGGTAAGTTTGAAAATGGATATGTGAATGCCTGCCATTCCCCCCTCTCTCCCCCCCCCCCCCCCCCCCCCCCCCGGAGAAAATTCCAATTGGACCCCATAAGATCCCATTGCTGTGGGATTCCATTTATGGCTATTACTTGCCAGCTATTGTACTCAAGCGGAGTGCACGTAGCGCAACACTGTACGTGGTGCACAAGATATAGTCCATCATTTGTAATTTGTGCTTTTTGTTCGTTTGAAGCAACAAAAGTGCTCAAAATCTAAAGAAGGGTACTGAACAACTAACCTGATTAAGTTTTAGCTCAGCTTCAGCTGTATATTCCGAGAAAAACAGCATTCTAGGATCTCAATTTCAAATCAAAAGTTGCTGAATCATGTTTTGAATTGGGCCACATTCTCTCCGAGCCGATTGCAGCTACGCGATGTCGCACACTGATCCGACGAATTATAGCAGCCGCCCGTGCGTGTGCATTGTGCCAATGCTTGTGCGCGCTTCGCCAAATAACAAAACAAACTACTAATTTAAATTTCCTACGGTGCGTCTTAAGAAGCACCGTTGGAAAGGCCTTCTTTCGTTGATTACTTCAAAATGACAGCTTGCCAGAAGGAATAATTTCTCAGGGAGTTTAGTCCCCTTACTATCTTTCAACCAAGTATGTTTTTCAACAATAATTACACCAGTTACTTTTCGGATGGCTGCAAATGATGGACTGTAGCTTTAAAGTACTCACTTGCAGTATTATGTTAATACCAATAATGATTTACCTTGATCAGATGCAATAATGTTCTTAGTTTACCGATTTTACAGCAATTTTTTGGGTTTTATTAATCTGTTTAGGTTGTGACAGGAGAGACCCTTCCAGTGCCTGATTTTTGGGTCCGGATGTTGCCAACGGAAGGAGTAAAAGTCTCAAGCACCTCTTACGTTGATATTATCAACGTCTTTTTCTACGTCCTCATGTACGCCATCTTCATCACCGTACTGATGACCAATCTTGTGTATGAGAAAGAGAAGAAGATCAAGGAGACAATGCTGATGATGGGAATGTCCAACGCTGCCTTCTGGTGAGTTGCAGAACTCAGAACACAAATGTGGACCACCAGGTCCTGAGTTTCAGTAAATGAGTCATAGTGAGTATGAGTCGCATAACTCGGAACTCAAATGTGGACCACTCGGTCCTGAGTTTTAATATATGATATGAGTCACAGCAAGTATGAGTTGCATAACTCAGAACTCAAATGTGGACCACCAGGTCCTGAGTTTTAGTATATGAGTTACAGCGAGTATGAGTCGCATAACTCAGAATTCAAACGTGGACCACTAGGTCCTCAGTTTTCAATATATGAGTCACAGTGAGTATGAGTTGCATAACTCAGAATTCAAATGTAGACCACTAGGTCCTGAGTTTCAGTATATGAGTCACAGTGAGTATGAGTCACATAACTCAGAATTCAAATGTGAACCACTAGGTCCTGAGTTTTCAATATATGAGTCACAGTGAGTAGGCCCTATGAGTTGCACAACTCAGAATTCAAATGTGGATCACTAAGTCCTGAGTTTTCAATATATGCTACGAGTCACAGCGAGCATATGAGTTGCATAACTCAGAACTCAAATGTGGACCACTAGGTCCTGAGTTTCAATACACGATATGAGTCACAGTGAGTATGAGTTGCATAACTCAGAACTCAAATGTGGACCACCAGGTCCTGAGTTTTATTATATGAGTTACAGCGAGTATGAGTCGCATAACTCAGAATTCAAATGTGGACCACTAGGTCCTGAGTTTCAATATATGATATGAGTCACATATCTCAGAAGTCACATGTGGACCATTAGGTTCTGAGTTTCAATATAACATACGAGTCACAGCGAGTATGAGTCCCTTAACTCGGAATCCAAATGTGGACCACTAGGTCCTGAGTCTCAGTATATAACTTGAGTCACAGGGAGTATGAGAAAACAAAGATTAGGCCCCCAAAAAAGTCTCCGGTTTCTGGTATGGAGCTTGCCCAAAAAGTGGTGCGGCGACACGGCTTTTTTTTTTTTACCTGATTTTTTTGCTTCAAATGTCGGCTGATGACTGCAAATGGTGCCTGACTATTAAAACTTAGTGCAAATATATGGGAGTCCAGAGAGGCCACATAAAGCTTATTCTCGACCATAACCCAATCTAAAAACACGTTAAAATTGTGCAGCAGCAGGATTCCAGTCAAACCAGTGAGTTTGGCGGTTTTGAGACATCATCTTTCATTGAAAATTTTTTTTTTCATTTTGCCGACGCGCATGGCTACAGCGACGCGCGCGCATACCAGAAACCAGAGACTTTTTTTTTTGGCCTTAAGAATGGTAAGCTGATGATGGGAATGTCTCACAAAGATTTTGGATGATGTGATTGGGGCTTTAGATTCTTGGTGGTTGAAATCCCACAAAACCCTTCTAAACCTAGGACTGTTGGGTTTTGTTTTTGCTTCAGGCTAGCCTGGTTCATCATCTATTCCGTCATCTTGTTGCTTGTTTCTCTTGTCATTACCGTCCTGAGTAAATATGCCTTGAAGACGACCGAAAACAGTGACTTCTTTCTCATCTTCCTCGTCCTGTTCTTCTACGGAATGTCACGTAAGTCTTGCCTAAAAATGCATTAGTGTGGAAGTCCGTTATGTTATGTAATTATCACAGGCTGGGAAAAGATCTAAGAAGTTTTTTTTTAATGATTCTTTGCTGCCTTAAGGCCGGTTCGTACTCAGCATAAAGGCGAGCACGAATGCAAATTGGTGATGTCATACCAGGTGTTTGCAATTTGCAAAAGTTGAACACATTTCAACTCTGCTGTGAATTTCGCAGTGGATGCTTCCTGACGTCAAATTTGCTTTGTATTCCCGCGAAATCTGAACCGGCCTCTAAAGAGGTTTGTACTTCACGTGAATGCAAATACGATGCAAATTTGACGCACGTCACACGGAAATTCGCTGTGAAAATTGTCAGAATTGAGAAGTGCTTAATTCTTATGCCAAGTTTTAACCTCCCTACAATGTCCATGTACAAAATTTTGTTTAGTGTTCGCTTTTGCACAATTATCATTTTCCCTCTGCCTCTACTTCTGGGGATACAAACCCTAGAGGCACAAAAGCAACACAGAATAAAATCCTTTATCCAAAGGTTGCAGACACCCAAAAGAAAAATGTAGAAGTTGTTTTAAGTTAAAAGGAATTTGCAAATTGAAAAGTACTTTGGAAGAAAATGTGCTGTTTGTTGAGAAACACAGACAGTGTGTCTCTTAACATAAATTCGTTAGTGGAAGTTGTGACTCAAGATTTCAAACCACTTTTTACCTCCTTTTTTCTATAAATTATCCTACAGTGGTCAGTATGGCCTTCATGCTGACGCCATTTTTCAACAAGTCTGTGGTTGCCGGGGCAGTGGCAACCATAGCAACCATTCTGTTGGGCGCTGTCTACATACCGATTGGTTTCGTCACCAATGATGGTGTGTCATTTGATGCCGTATACAGGTTTTTGCTGTCGTTCTTCTCGCCACTAGCAGTTGCATTCGCCATGGACCAGGTAGACAACATTTCAAATGTTATTCATAAATAGCTTATACAGTTTACCCATTCCCATTGGTCGAGAGGCCATCACATGGCCAGATAAAGACATGGCTAGCTGGTCTTTAACACTTTTTTAGTGAAGTTCTGCATGTAGCACTTTCAAAATCTAGAATATAAAAGCCAAATTCTTAAGCTTTCATTTAGTACAAGAATCATTCATAACACTCATGTACTTTTCAAGATACAGAAATTTGTAACACAACCACTGTTTTAAAGTTCTGTCCACGGATCACAAAGAAAGTTGTTCTTTCAGCAAAACAAAGCACATAGGGATGTGTGTGAATTGTTTTCGTTTTGCTGAAAGAATGCACACCTTTTTTTTGCGATCCGTGGACAGAACTTTAAAACGGTGGTTGTGTTAAAAATTCTTGGGGAAAAAAAAAACCTTGTTTGCCCCTTTTTTTTTTGGTACAGACTATTTTCTTTGAGCTGCAAGGACCTGGACTCCAGTTTGATAACGTACTGACAGGCCTGGGTGGGTTCCCTCCATACATTGCCATGCTGGTCATAGACATGGTGCTGTATCTACTGCTTGCCATCTACTTTGACAACGTCATACCAGGTAAACAAAAATCTCATATTTTCCTTTCATTAGTATCATTCTATTCCAGTCTTGGAGAGAAATTGTGAGAACTTTACATAAAACTTTTAATTTTGTAATATTAAGCCGTATCCAGTTTACTTGATTTCAGTCTTGCCAATCGTAAACCTGATAAATTTCCCTAATTTCTTTTTATGTTAAAGCAGTGCGAGTACTGGTTTGCGTGCGTATAGCGCAAAGTATACGCACAACTTATTTTATAAAAAACAATTACTTTTAAAATTCATAATTACCTCACAAAAATTTCAAAGTAAATATGTCCACACAATAATTCAGTTCCCATAGGATGGTTCTCGTGCGTTAGAAGCACAAAAACAACCAAGGGAAAAAACAACCAAAAGTTTGTTGGGATGCTGGCACTCAAAAATAGAAAGAATGTATGGATTTTCCTTAATAAAAAAACGTCAGTCTTGAAATTGAAGTTAATTTATGTTTGTCTGTATGCTTGAACCAGTTAAAGAGGTTGTGGAATGCTCGAAGTCATTTTTGGGGTATATGTAGCCTAAGGTGTGATGAAATAAAAACGACTATTGTTTCTGTCATGAAATGAGTACAAAGGGTACTTTTGAGAGCTATTTTTCAGGTCCTGTTTCGACCCGAACGTGCAATTTGTGTAAAAGTCGTCGTTGCGGGCAGCAAACAAAACACAGTAAATCATGACGTAATAAACAGGACTCGTTTGTGCTACTCTGCATCGAGAGTCCTGTTTATTACGTCACGATTTACTGTGTTTTATTTGCTGCCCGCAACGACGACTTTTACGGGTGATGGGTTGAATTTTCAAGCTGGTTGAGGACGTGTACACACATCAGTGATTGCCGACCCATTGGTTTTGTACACACAGTTTCTTGAACTTGAACTTGGCAAATATCGCTCCGTGACGGGGCCTCGGAGTGTTACAAAATATGAAGTTCCGATGAGAAGCATCTTACAAATGTCGTATAATCCTCGCAGCGGATTTAGTTTAGCATTCGTTAGAACGCAGGGTTCGAGATCAAGATACAACAACTAACGGACAACGACACAGTTCTGCGATGTCTCTCTGATGAACTTTTATTCGATGAATTTAGAGTCTAACGGACTCTACAGACGGTTAATGGACGGTCCTTGACAGAATTTACAACCGATCCATGACAGACGGTCTTCAACAGACCCCTGTACATTAAGAAATAATGCAAAACATGGGTTTAAAATACTACTACTACAGTCATTGTACATAGACAACAACACACAGTTCAAAGGTCATAGTACTGGTAACCAAAACACTATAACCAGTACATCAGCTGGTGCTCAATAGATGGAATGTGACAGGTTACATAACACTGTTTGGGCTAGACAGAGATTTGTCCTTGTCCTTAATTCAAGGTGTTTAAAGTACCAGGAGCAAAACATTGACTGTACCGTAAAATCAGAATAACATAGTGCATTAGCTACAGCACAACTTGGAAAACAGAATCAAATAAATACACTGTCTTGACCTATCAATTGGAATTGAGTAAACATTGGTTCCAAAAATACAGTACTCAATCTCTCGGATTTAATTGTGGATCAAGAACACAACGAATCAAGAGCTAACCTGGATAAAGTTAAAGAACAGCCTGTACAGCTACATGTACATCAACTTCAACTCCATTTGCATAGCTGGAAGCTATATACAAAAGAATGACATAATGCTTGAACAAATGGTTCCACAATGTTATCAATGATACACTAATTAAGATACATGTTCAATTCATATTATCAATTTAAGTTGACTGCCGAACCTATTATTGTAAATTTCTAAGTTCAAGCATGGTTCGAGTCAATCAAAGTGCAACAATTATTCACACAATAATGGCTCAAGCTGCAGATAACTTAGTGCACAAAAATGCAAACAAATGATTAAAACCATGAACCACCAATTATAAGAATGAACTTCAATCAACATCACAACTACAGAACACAAATAGCTCTCAACTAGAAACTAAGTCTCGAAATTACAACTCAAAATAACTAAAGACAAGAACTCACCCCTCTATGGCTACGACATTGGCTTGGCTTCAGTGGCCTGCTGGATGTGGGTGCAGACTCGTCTTTTGGCCCTGATGCGGGACCTTAAATACCCACTTTAGTTGGGTGATGGACACTTCGATCCATTTGCCGATTGGCTACATATTAAATTGACTACTCCTCCCCCGTGAAATAATTTGAATATAAACTTTTTGATTGGCTAGTGTTTCAGGGAGTCCTGGGTGAATCTGCTGATCAGCAAGATTTCTTCCAGGTCCCAACAACCTCCAAACCTTAATTGATTTGTCTCCACAGCTAGTGAAAGTGACATTCTTGCTACCAAAAATAGCTAGACATGGGCATGGGAAAATCTCTCTAAAACAAAGGGTTTGGTTAGACCCAAGAATGAGACAGTGATCTGGCAGGAGGCCATACCAATTACCAGCTCATTTTGGTTGTGAAAAGCTTCATGAGTTCATGTATCCTTGAGGATAGAAAACAACATAAAGAAGCCAAACACATGTAACATATTTTCATTTCCCGACACAAATATTGTAAATACGACTCTCAAGACTCAGTATCTGAGGTGTTTGACTTAAACTTGTTTGACCTAAACGTCGGTGAAGGGCAAAACCTAATTTGATTTATATCACCCCGATGCAAAATTCCATCTTATAATAGTTCATGCGGTACCCGCTGCTATGTATATCAGATTCGAACCAGTCAACCGATCCCGTTAGCTCGGTGGTCGAGTGGTAAGACATCTGCACTAGAAAGCAGGAGGTCGTAGGTTCGAGTCCCACCCGAGTGATTTTTTCCAACTTTCACTCGGGAGGTAACACACTGAGTATACAGTGTTTAAACGTCGGTGAAGGGCAAAACCTAATTTGGTGTTTGACTTAATTTTGAAATTTAGCCAATAAGTTTTGCCTTTCTGAAAAACTGCGTTTTTCAGCCGAAAATAAGCCCGTCTCCAAGTGGTTAAAAAACCTCATTACGTTAACTTGTAGGAAACTATGGCCAGCAGAAGCCCCCTTGGTTCTGCTTCATGCCGTCTTACTGGTGCGGAAACCCCAAGAATGGTGTTGCAAGCAATGATGTGGAGTCGATTGAGATGCATAGCCAGGCAGATGTAGAGCCAGTGTCGTCCGAAATGAGAGCCAGTGCTGGCATCAGGTATTTAAAAAATTCCCTCCACTCAGGGATCGTGCTTAAAAATGACGTCCATTTTGCTTAGGTACTCTGACTTTTTTGGTCAAGAATTGTATATTTCTCAAGTTCCTCATGCAAGCATAGCCAATTAACGTGGTGAGTGCCCCGTTAGCCTTGGTTGAACTATTGACCCTGAAAATCATAGCCAAACACCTTCCCCTCTGACAAGAACCACATGTTTGTTCATAGAATCCTAGTGAGTCTAGCCGATCAAACATTGTATATTTCACAAGTTTCTCATGCAAGAATAGCCAAATAACTTGGTGAGTGCCCCTTTTGCCTCGATTGAACGTTTGCTCGTGAATATCCTAGCCAGGCACCGGCCCCTCTGACAAGAACCACATTTTTAATGAATAAAATCTTAGTAAGTCCAGCCAGTCTTGCCGCAGGGCATGAAAAATCAATCATCCTGTCAACCAGGATAACCAAGAATTCAGGTTCGGTGGTTTCTCTTAGGTCAATTGTTTTGGGGATTTGAGTACTACATGATCATGCGTAGTTCTAACCCAATTAAAATTGCTGAAGAAATTCACCGACAAGAAACTACCGAACCAATTCTTGGACATGACCACCAAAACGCACCCCAGGCTGTAGTCAGCAAATTCAAGTGATGACTGTAGTCATCTGACTGTAACGCCCAAAGCGGACAGATTGGACATGGTAGTGCATGAGGGGACCCTATTCAAACGTTGACTTCAAACTGCGGTACAACTGTGAAAATTGTGTGTAAAAATGCATATTGCGGTGCAGGACTTAGAACATGTGCTGATGATATTTTTTATCTGATCTGTTCTGGTTATGAGACACTTCATCACAGTTAAGAAAAGTCTCACTTGAAATCTTAGTTAATTGTGCAAATAACCCCCTTTTATCGCATAAACGATAAAAGGCCTTATACTCAGTGAACACCTACCATAAGCACCCTGTATATTGCAGAGCATTTCGCTAGTAGCCGATCAGAACACATTGTAAACAATTACATGTACGCGAGAAGGATCAGAACACATTGTAAACAATTACATGTACGCGAGAAGGTGACTCGTGACCTGTGACTTATGACCAAGGTCATAGTGGACAGGATCGATATGCAAATTAGGGTGGCGCGTATGCAAATGCGGGATGGAACAAAGTTAAGACCAATCAAAGATCATGAATATGCGTCATGACGCTATCTCGAGCGGGAAACACAATTCACGTACATGTAGCTGTCATTCTGTCACAGCCATCCAAAGGAGGCGGAGGGTGCATTTTGTTGTGAGATTAAACACAACAATTTCACCGCCACCCCCTTTTTACTCCACCTTTTTCAAATGGTGTGATTTTAAAGTTTTGTCAAGTTCAGGTATTTACTATATTTGGAGGCATTTTTCTTGAGGTGCAGACAGCCAGTAACCCCCATTTTAAAAATTCAAAATAAAATAACTGACATGGAGCTAGACACAAATTGGTCATTTGTTCTGAATAATGATCATAAATGTTAAGTGCAGAGGACATAGTGCTAGAACGTTTCAAAAGACTATGCTGCTCCTGACTGAATGTACAACATCAGTGGGACCACTTCTGCACTCAGAAATTACTTGTAAAATTAACATAATGATGTTAATGATTTCGTATTATTGTAGGGGGGCAGGTGCGCCCACTTTGTTTCTGGCCAGATGCGCCCATTTTGTATATTGGGCCAGGTGCGCCCATTTTGTATATTGGGCCAGGTGCGCCCATTTGGTATATGGGGCCAGGTGCGCCCATTTGGTATATTGGGCCAGGTGCGCCCATTTTGTATACATGTTTGGGGCCAGGTGCGCCCACTTAATTTTTATGACAATGTGAGACCGGTATGCCAAGAAAACAATTCGGTATCCGGCAAAAATGAATAAAAACGTTCTTTGGCTGTGGCCAACATTCACATAATATCTGGTGTCAGGTTGTGTTTCCTTGTGAGTCTGAGTATAATGCACCATTCTTCAGATAAGATCAAAACATTTTCTTGCAGGATTCGCAACTTGTCCAAGACGTTTCACCGTGGAGGGAAAGAACAAGACGTTTTTGCTGTGAGAGGTAGGTAATTGCAAGACATATTTGGGAATTTATGAAAATTCAGCTCATAAAAAGTACCATTTTTCCCAGCAACAGCTCGAGATCAGCACACTCTGGTCTCGACCTTCACAGGTACCCATTTATACCCCTGGGTGGAGAGAGGCAGTTGTAGTAAAGCGTCTTGCCAAAGAACACAAGCCCCATGTTCCCCGTCAGGGTTTGCACCGATGTACCTCGATCAGCAGATGAGTCAAACACCATTACCACTGGACAACAGCGCTCCACAAATTATGGCTTAGGGAAATGAAAGATACATTAATAGTTGACAATGTACTCCGTTGTTGTTACAGAAATGAGCCTGGACGTCTACGAGGGCCAGATCACCTGCCTCCTGGGCCACAACGGGGCCGGTAAGACCACCCTGATCAACACCCTGACTGGCCTGATAACGGCCGACAACGGCCAGGCCACCATCTGTGGCTACAGCATCCGGGATCCCATACAGATGCAGAAGATCCGGTCCATGATGGGGGTGTGTCCCCAGGACAACACGCTGTTTGACGTCTTGTCAGCACGGGAACACCTCCAGGTGTACGCCGGACTGAAGGGGGTACCGCGCCGTGACATTAAGGCGGAGGTGAGAGTTCGGCATTTGGTTTGTTGTCTGCCTCCCAACCCAAACCCCTTGGGGGAGTGTGGCCGAGTGGTTAGGGTTTATGACTCATGATCAGAGGGTCAGGGGTTTGAATCCAGCTGCTGGTCATATTTTGTGTCCTTGGGCAAGCCACTTTATCCCCACTTGCCTCTCTCCACCCAGGAGCATAAATGGGTACCAGCATTAGCTGGGGAGTAACCTGCAATGGACTGGCTGTCATCCAGGGCACATAAAGATATTCACAGTCATTTTGTGCCAAGAAAACCGAAGATAAACGCCAGCCGGATGTGCCATATTGGCTCGCGACAGACTACTGTTTTTTACCACAAACCCACCCCTCCTCAACCACAATATGCACTGACCTCTAAGTTTGGTTGCCGCTTCAAGTCCGTTGGTCTTGAAATGGACTCAAACTTCGTCAACCTATCAGTGTCTTACAAAAATTCAACCGAATACGTGACCCAAATAATAAAATAAATCGTGAAGTCAGAATAACCTTCATGAAGGTTATTCTGACTTCACGATTTATTTTATTATTTGGGTCACGTATTTGGTTGAATTTAGTCAGATAGACGACACCGAGCCCTATCTTAATTATCTGAGCTCAGCCAACCGAGTGACTCACTTCTCAGAAACTAATTGAGTTTTTTTTTCTCGCATTAGGTGGACAAGATCTTGAAACTCACCATGCTTGACGAGTCGGCCAACACCAAGTCTAAAGATCTCAGCGGGGGACAGAAACGCAAACTCTGCGTCGGAATCGCTCTCATTGGTGACCCAAAGGTACCTTTTAAAGTATTTTATGACAAGCATAGTTTTAATCACTACTCATGAGGATTAAGGAGAGCAAGAAAGAGAAATTGTGTTTGTGAAGGGCAAAACCCAGTATGGATTTATAACATCTCCCTGACACATAGAATCCATTTTACCAAAGAATAGTGTCAGTGATTGCAGTACATGCTGCACAGACTTGAACCGGCCAGCTGATCCTGGCAAGCTCGGGGGTTGGGCGGTAAGATGCCTTCACTAGCAAACAGGAGGTCGTGGGTTCGAGTCCCTACTAAGTGAGCTTGTGATTGGACAAACCCTCGGATGTACAAAAGAAATTATTAAGAAAATGGTTGGTACTGTCTCTGCACTGATGCTCATGTGGAACCTCCTGGTTTTTGTTAACTTTCTTAGATTCTGTTTCTTGATGAGCCGAGTAGCGGCATGGACCCGTACTCTCGCCGGCAGATGTGGTCGCTCCTGAAGAACCAGCGACAGGGACGGATCGTGGTGCTCACCACTCACTTCATGGATGAGGCAGACATCTTGGCAGGTCAGCGAGGCCATTCATGCCAGGCCATGTTTCATTTTGTTTGTGTTAGGTTAATTGTTTGTCATTGGTTTGAGCATTTGAGCAACTGCGGTTTGGCAGTCATCATGTGTACACACCTATATAGCTTATTCACGGTGACCCATCAGCGGTTAAAGCGGACCCATGATTTTCTCATTTAACCAGTTCGTGCCGGGATTATTTGGACAGTAACCAGAGCCAGGCGCGGGATTTTTTTTCTCACAAGATCGATGTCAGACGGGTTCAGGCTGTCATCTGCGGGTAGCACACCCTGATATTTCCGGCCTCGCTCGCTGGGAGCGGGTCGCAGACGGATATTTCCGGCCTCGCTTGATGCTTGTTTATCAGTCATCCGTTCCGAATACCGCAAACCTCATCTGACGCCTGCTTCTGGTACACTTAGGATGCTGAAATTAAAGACCAGTACTTCAAAATTTAAAAGAAAACAGTCAGCAAAGCCACCTTTGCTTACAGTTTAAGCAACTTGATCTTATTAAAAGATGAATTACATGCATAGCCAATCGGAATCTTGGACTTTTTTGTTTCTAGATCGTAAAGCTGTGATGTCACGTGGAAGACTGCGTTGCTATGGTTCCTCTCTTTTCTTAAAGAGTCGATTTGGCGTTGGATACCATCTTGGGTAAGCATGTTAGTTACCAGGATGGATGCAGAAATTGAAAGATATTGTTTCTATGAAGGCACAATGAAATGGAATTTATAATATGAAATACTGGCTCATTTTAAGAAATTAAACATAGTTTAATAAGCTAACAGAAGTTATTTTGGTTCAACTAGCATGGTTGTGGAGCAGAATGCACATGTGGATAGCGTTACGGATCTGGTGATGGAACACGTTCCCAACAGTCAGGTGTCCCGTAGTCACGGCATGGAATTATCCTACACACTCCCACTGCAGGAAGCCCACAGATTCCAAGGTACCAATCTTGTCTTGTACGGAATAGGATATACTGGAATTTGTAACTGCTACGTTGGATGGCTGTTCTCCATATCTTTCATTAAACCGGCGTTTGTCGTTTCCAAGACTTACTGGGATCTTTCCCATGACTATCCACACATTTTTTCCATAAGTTTACCATGACTTTTCTTGACCTTTGGCTCTCCATGACCTTTTCCACAACTCTCCAAGAGTTTGATGTTTTCCTCGACTTTTTCCATAATGCTCCCTTACCTTTTCCATGCTCTCCATGACCTTTTCCATGGCTCTCCAAGACCTTTTCCATGACTCTCCATGACCATTTCCATGACTCTTCATGACCTTTTTCATAACTCTCCATGACCTTTTCCATGACTCTCCATGACCTTTTCCACAACTCTCCAAGAGTTTGATGTTTTCCACGACTTTTTCCATAACGCTCCCTTACCTTTTCCATGCTCTCCATGACCTTTTCCATGGCTCTTCAAGACCTTTTCCATGACTCTCCATGACCATTTCCATGACTCTCCATGACCTTTTCCATGACTCTCCATGACCTTTTCCATGACTCTCCATGACCTTTTCCATGACTCTCCATGACCTTTTCCGTGACTCTCCATGACCTTTTCCATGACTCTCCATGACCTTTTCCATGACTTTCCATGACCTTTTCCGTGACTCTCCATGACTTTTTCCGTGACTCTCCATGACCTTTTCCATGACTCTCCATGACCATTTCCTTGACTCTCCATAACCTTTACCATGACCCTCTGTGACCTTTTCTATGACTTTCCATGACCATTTCCATGACTTTCCATGACCATTTCCTTGACTCTCCATAACCTTTTCCATGATCGACTCTCCATGACCGTTTCCTTGACTCTCCATGGTCTTTACCATGACCCTCCGTGACCTTTTCCATGACTTTCCACATGATGAGCTTTTTCATGACTTTTTCCATGACATTTTCCACGCCTCTCTGTGACCTTTTCCGTGACTTTCTGTGACCTTTTTCATGACTCTCCGTGACCTTTTCCAGGACTCTCCATGACTTTTCCATGACTCTCCATGACCTTTTCCATTTTTTTTAAAATCAAATCCACAGATCTTTTCAAAGCTCTGGAAAATCACACCTCAAAATCAGATCAATCGGTTGCCAAGGAACTAGGGATCCAGTCATACGGAGTCTCCATGACAACGCTTGAGGAAGTCTTCCTGAAACTGAATGATGAGGAGGACGTGGACGAACGCGACATGACAAACAGCGTGTCAGGTAAGACAAATGAAAATGTCTGCGCAGACTTTAACCCTGAATGATGAGGAGGACATGGACGAACGCGACATGACAAACAGCGTGTCAGGTAAGACAAATGAGAATGTCTGCGCAGACTTTAACCCTGAATGATGAGAAGGACGTGGACGAACACGACATGACAAACAGCGTGTCAGGTAAGACAAGTGAGAATGTCTTGACAGACTTGAACCCTGAATGATGAGGAGGACGTGGACGAACGCTACATGACAAACAGTGTGTCAGGTAAGACAAATGAGAATGTCTGCACAGACTTTAACCCTGAATGATGAGGAGGACGTAGACGAACGCGACATGACAAACAGCGTGTCAGGTAAGACAAATGAGAATGTCTGCACAGACTTTAACCCTGAATGATGAGGAGGACATAGACGAACGCGACATGACAAACAGCGTGTCAGGTAAGACAAGTGAGAATGTCTGCACAGACTTTAACCCTGAATGATGAGAAGGACGTGGACGAGCGCGACATGACAAACAGCGTGTCAGGTAAGACAAATGAGAATGTCTGCGCAGACTTTAACCCTGAATGATGAGGAGGACGTAGACGAACGCGACATGACAAACAGCGTGTCAGGTAAGACAAATGAGAATGTCTGCACAGACTTTAACCCTGAAATGATGAGGAGGATGTAGACGAACGCGACATGAAAACTGTAGATCAAACAGTAGAAAAGCTTTAAATGCACTGTTTGATCTAAGGTTATTGCGTAAGTTCTCAACTTTACACAAGATTTACAATCGTATCATGCATATATGCCTTGCAGATTTGGACAGTCCCAAAGGGAGGGTTAACGGCGTGGAGTCAAGGACCCTAGATGTGGAGGCCACAATCACACAGCCTCTCCAGCCAGGCAGCTACCAGATCCAAGCACTTTGCAAAGTCCAGTTCCTGCAGATGTGGCGAAATCCCAGGGCAAGTCTCATTTGTTTCTGAGTCTTGGCTGGCGTGATCCCTGGCCAAGGGTCATTGCATTTTCCTTTGGCCTATATATCTGATGTAATCAAGCTAAAATGAGTCGTTTGTCGACCCTTGTCACAATTTTTTTATTACAGATTTTAAAAAAGCACAATCTCAGCATTACTGCTGTGAAAATCGCATGCCGATACCGTCATTACTTCGAAAATTATGAAAGTCGGAACACCAAGAAATGTGAGGAAGTGATGTGATGAAGTAGCCCTATTTTGGCCTGTATCTCCAAATAAAACTTCCCGACAAACGACTCATTTAGCTTGATCACATCACATATATCTGCCAAACTATAGGTCTGATTTGGTTTAATCTTGGTATGTACCTAAGCAGGAATGTGATGTGATGTTGTGGCGTCACATTGAAGGTGCATTTTTATAAGCCTGTATCTACGGAACTAGTGGCACCAATCGCTATGCAACTTTCTACTGATCTGATATGCAACTTCTTCTGATGTCCATGACATAAATATACAACAAATTGCCGAAACAGCCATGTGTTTGTCTGCAAACATAACTCTAGTTCTTCTTATTATTGTTAATATGATTATTGTTCCCCTGTCCCCTTTTTCAGACCTATGTAGTGCGTCTTCTCCTACCGATTATCCTCATGGTGGTTTCAGCTGTCCTGGTAGCCACCGTCTCATTGGACTATGTCAATACTGGCGAGACACCTCCTGTCACCATAGATCCCAAGATGTACGTGGAGAAGACTTCCGGTTATCAGTCTGATAGAGTCAATCCTCTCCTGTACGTTGACAACTTGACAGCACCCGAGGGTGAGTCTTGTAATCGTACGACAAAGACTATTATTAGGCAAAACAAATGGTTGTGTTACGGTGTTTGACTCACGGTGTTTGACTCACGCACAATGGCATTTATTTATGGTGTAAATTGAGGACACACACATGAAACATCATTGATGAATTGAGGACAGGAACCAAATCGAGGACGACCTCGATTAGAAAATGTGTGCAAAACCAGTGAGAGCTGTTACTAAAAAGTTAAGAGTATAAACAAAGGAAAAGGGAAGAGGAACAATAGAAAATCCTTGATTTACACCAAAAACAAATGTGTGTGTGTGCGTGGGTTCGAATCCTGCCAGGAACATGGTGTTTGTGCCCTTGGGTAAGACACTTAACTACAATTGCTTCTCTCCACCCAGGAGTATAAATGGGTACCTGTGAGGGTCGAGGACCGATTGAGCGCTGATATGGCTGCCGCGTGGTCCCATGGCCTGATGAACGGGGTAATAATTGTAAAGCGCTTTGAGATTGTTGAAATACAAAGCGCTATATCAGCACTACGATTATTATTATTGTTATTGCCCTCCCTTGACTGCTTTAAAAATCTCCTTTTGCAGATGTCTCTGTGTTGACGAAAGAATTTGGGCGCATGGGACTGCGCATCAGCGACGAACTCGATGACCTGAGCAAAGTGATGTCTGTGGCACCACACAACTTGGCCACAGTCCCTACCAACTTGGGCACAAGTGTAAGACGATTTTTGTTGATCAATTTTCCCATCCTATTCCCATACTATTTTAAGACAAATTGTTGGACTCATTTATTTCAGGCAATTTTATGCTGGTTTAAATTTCCAAAAAACATTTGTGATCAGAGATGTTGTAATCATCATATATAAGTCAAGAAGGAAAAGTGTGATGTCAGCCTTGTTGCCGTGTGATTCTCTTATTACATAGTGTTTCCTTGTATTTCCTTACACGTAAGGTGATGTTATAAAACGTTCAAACAGTGCAACAAAGAGAACTTAAAACTGCTGAAACTTTGCTGACTTTGGCCAAAGACTTCTACAACATTTTTGAGAGGAGATATTTATTGTCCTGGTTCGGGGGCCACATTTCACAGGAAGGTTTTAAACACTTCTCAGCAGTGTTTAAACTTCAGTTTTAGGCAGCCTCGAAACGGGCTGTCGACCAACAGGAATAGGTGATCTGTCTCAGGTCATAAATTAAGTTCTACAAATTGCGTCTTTTTGGGCTAAATCAATACAGGGTGCAACGCCCAAACTGCTGGTTGCATACAACGGCACAGCGATCCACTCCATCCCGGTAATGATCAGCATTCTCGGCAATGCGCTAAACAACATCCTAACGACAAGCACGCGGATTTTGGACATGACCTTCGTGAACCATCCCTTGCCAACGGAAGCGTACTCCTACCGTCATATGAACGCCGGCGTCTTCATGGTGGCGTTCATACCCATAGGGTTGACACTACTTCCGTCAGGGTTTCTCACAAATATTGTCAGGGAGCGACAGGTGAGTCGGAGTCTTAGAAATGTTAATTCTTTTGAAGATGAACAAAGAAATTGACTGGAGCGGAGTTTTGAACCGGGATCTCCGGATTGCCGCTCCGGTGCTCTAGTTTCAGGGTTTCTCTCAAATATTGTCAGGGAGGAAGAGTCTTAGAAACATCGGAAATTTGAATAAATACAAATGAAATAAAGTGTTTGTTTGAGCAGATTTTAAAACAAATTATACATATTGTGTGAAATATCTCATAACCTTTATTTAGATTTGTGTCTATTCAGTAATAATCATTTTAACCTAATCATAATTTTTTTAATTGTTGAATTAATGTCCTAAGTAAATAAAGACTATTTTGGATATTATTCTTACAGTTTTTTTTTAGCCATCAAAAAATCTGGATAGCAAAAATGAATGATTTTAATCACTTACACACATGCATTAAACAATTCTAATGTTTGTTCATTTTTTACAGTATACACTGAAAAATTCCTTTTAGGGTTCCCAGCCTGACTCTGGAGATCAGGGAAAACCTTGAAAATTAGTTTCCGTTTTCCAGTCAGGGAAAACTCTGAGAATTTGTGATAATTCACAAAAAAATCAGGGAAAACTAGGGCAATTTGACTGTGATCAAGAAGGGAAAGGCTCTAACGACAACAAGACTCTCTGTTTTTTTTTCTTCTTATTTTAGGAGAAAATCCGCACTCAGCTGCGAGTGTCCGGCGTCTCAATGTTCAGCTACTGGTTGTCGCATTTCCTGATTGACTCCGCTCAGATGTTCTTGATGATCATCGTCGCCATCATCATCAGCTTGATTACTGGTTTCTCCACCGGTGGAATGGCGCTGAGTACCGGCGGGGGAATGGCCGCATTCATCCTCTTCGCGATCCCTTGGGTTCCCTTGTCTGTGCTGTTCTCCTACTGTCTGAGCTTCATGTTCTCGGAAGTTAGGACGAGTCAGATAGTGGCTCAGATACTTTACATATTTGTAAGTTTATTTGTTTTATGTATTACCGTCACTTCTCGTGTTTTTGTTTTAAGATGCGTTTCCTGTGCTCTTTTTGAGTTTCGCCTCCAAAAATAGATTTGTTTTTTTTCAATTGCTGTTTTCCTAGCAATATTTAAGTTATTCAATATTCACTTTTGACTGAGACATCGAGCAAAAAAAATCCACCGACGTGTACTTGTTGAGTTGTTTCTTTGCAAAATGCGTATTATCGGCTGCCAGACAATAATTGGGCTGTCACAGGGCGGGTTTATTTCTGTGCAAAAATTAAAGCCCTTGTTCAGAGGGTTGCAGACACCCAAAATCAAACTTAAGTACTTTTATTTTGTCGAAACAAAACATACAAATTGAAAATTTTTTCGCAGGCTACTCCCCAGCTAATGCCAGTACCCATTTGTACTCATGGGTGGAGAGGCAAGTGGGGGTGAAGTGGCTTGCCCAAGGACACAACATATGGCCAGCAGCTAGATTCGAACCCTTGACTCTCTGATCATGAGTCACAAACCCTAACCACTAGGCCACACTCCCCCACCGTCCGCAATACTGTATTCCTAGTTACCATAGCTTTACAAATTTTCCGCTTTTTTTTGGTGTTCTCTAGTTGCCAGTGGCTTTGGTAGTAGCCGCCCTCTTTGTTGATTTACTTCCAAAACCTAATGGAGATTATAATCCCGACATTCCACACCCCGACGCAAGCCTAATGCATCAGATCTTCAGTTTCTTCTATCCTCCGTACACCATCTTTGGGTTACTCTACTTCAGTGATAAGGTACATGTTTCGTCAGCAACACCACGAAGTAACACCCATGTGCATGCAAGTTAAAACTAGCAATCGGAGAAAACGGCATCTAAAGTTGAACGTCTTGTGAAACAACATTGCGTCAAAACGGCAGGGTATTTTCAGTTGGGTTTCTTGTTGTGGACACTTGATGAATTGAATTTATTAAATCTGCTGTTCTTCACGTTGTATCCTTGTCCAAGATGTTTAGATTATTTAAAACATTGCGCGGCTATGCCAAGTGTCATGAAATCGTTCTTAACTTTATTGCGTACCTGCGCAACAAATTTGTTACGTAAGTCTTACGCATAGCGCAAGCTATGCACTTTGTTTGTGAAATCGGCTGCTCGGATGCATGACAAGACTTTCCAGAGAAAATCTGCTCTGAATCAATTCCATAGAAATTTGTGTTCTCTGGGAGGAGGTTTAGGACTACCTTGTCCCTTTTGTCTTGTAAGTTTGACTGATTCTAGCACAGGTGTAGACGTTTTGTAGAATTTACCATTGGTGGAGCTCATTTTCGTTATCTTGTGATTTATTTTTTCAAATGTTACCATTGCAGGTCTATCAAACGGCCTACAAGAAGGAAGAGGTAGATAAGCTTCAGTTTGGAGTTTTCTTTGAAATGATCAACAATGTCCTTCCCGCCATACTGTGCGTAAGTATAGGCGTGTTAATTGGTTGAGGTTTCAGAATGTTTGTTTTGTGTCTTCGTTCTCCATGCAGGGACGTAGTCGAGTCCATCACAAGTTGTCTCAAGTAAATCACAAGTCCAATCACAAGTAAATCACAAGTCACAAGTAAATCACTAGTCCAGTCACAAGTAAATCACAAGTCCAGTCTCAAGTAAATCACAAGTCCAGTCACAAGTAAACAAGACAACAAAATGGATGACAGCCGTTGGAACTGGCGTATATTTACGGACAAGCCACCGAAATCGTCAAGATTTTTCACATTTTTTTTTTTTGTGGTCTGTTTCAAGTTGATCATTTGCTTCGTGAACGACTGCTGAATGTATGAGGTATGTAAATGAAATCTGGGGTGGGATATGACAGTTTGTACAAGATCAGCCAACTTTATTTGTCTTTTTTTCGACAGACTTTGGGTTCTCTGGTGGTAGTGATCTGTCTGCTTCGTGTTCTGGAAGTCATGTCCACGGGAGGCCGTCTGATAGATGCTATCATGTTTTGGTTCGTAAAAAAAACATTTAATATGGTTTCAAGCACAAGATTGCTGTTAATATTGTATTCTTTATAAAATACCGACTGCATCTTATTGCCAATCAAATGACAAACATGGTTTTAAATAACTGCAATTTCAGGTGCAAGTGATAGTTTGAATTGAGGTGTGCAGTCAGTTTCTGCTACTAGGAAAGTTTTTTTCTTGAAGGTGTAAAATCATTTATTTTTCATGCATATTTATTGGCGTTTCCTATAATAACCAACACCACTCAAATTCCAAAGAAGAACTCTCATAAAGCCTAACTTGTTGAAAGTTCATCTTACTGGATATCATTAGTCTTCTCAAGAAAATTTTGTAGGATCATTTGCTTTTCATGCATTTTATTTGTTGTTTCCAATAATAACACCACTCAAAATCCAAAGAAGAACTTTAAAAAAACATCCTATTGAAGATTCAGCTAATATTACATTTTTTTTCTCGAAAAACTGTGATAAATCTTGCACAAACTTTTGATCACGAAACACGATTTCATCCATATCTCTCTGTATTTAAAAAAATCATTCAATTGACTGATTGTTGGAAATCACCTACATTTCTTGATTTCTCCTAAATGACGGCAAGCCGGAAGGAATAATTTCCTGGGGTTTAATCCAAGTAAGCTTTGTGGTAATAATTTGATAGGTTACCTACGGGATAAATGCAAATGATGTCTTTAATTCACCACTGCCTCCAAAAGGAATAGCACAAACAGTCGACACAAAAAAATTGGAATTACGGACGCGGTTTGGTTGCAAGCCTAGGTTTGGTTTGTCTTTTTTCTGTACGGGAAACCCATGACCGTTTCTTGAAATGGAAAATGTCTGTTCTAGAAAATCCTCAGAATTGTTTTTTGTCTTTATACAGGGCAAAGCCGAAACCTGAACATTTGCCTCAGAACGATGACTTCATCGAAGACGAAGACTCGGATGTGAAGGCAGAGAGAGATAAAGTCCGCGGGATATTTCACCAGAGTTCATTTCGGTCTCCGGTAAGTCAGTCCATAAACTGCCCAGATTCTTCAAATATACACCCGAATGTTTTGGTGGATTTTTTGACAAACAAAGTATGGCTGGTTTAGCTCAACCATTATTACTTAACCTGATATTTTTTTTTTTTTTTTGGCCATGTTATAGATGGTTTTCTGCATATTGAGAATTTGGGAGGATTTAGTACAGTGGTGTAAATGTGTGCCGGGGAGGGGCGGGGGGGGGGGGGGGGAGATGACCAAAATCAAAAATTGGCCGGCCGTGAAAAAGGAAAGGGGGGGGGGGGGGGGGGAAACACCACATTTCGCTAGGTAGCACTACTCATGATACAGGTGTACATCTCAATATACTTTTGCGCTTGGGAAGTTGTTGGGAAGTTCTATAAATACCTCATAATCTGCATTTTTTGTTTTCTCACCGCGAAAAAGTGGGGGGATGATCCGATAGCCCATCTCTCCAGTCAAAAAGTTGGGGGGGGGGGGGGATATACCCCAATTACACCCCTACACCACTCCCCCTTGTGATGACTTGGGATGACTTGGGATGACTTGTGATGACTTGTGATGACTTGTGATGGACTTGTGATGACTTGTGATGTCTTGATTACCAATCTACAAAATGATATATCCTTTTTCTGGTAGAATCATGCCCAAACTGCTGGGAATTGTGTCGTGGCCGCCTCCAGCATACGCAAAGTGTTCCACAAGAGACGCTGCTGCTGTCGACCCGGAGAGGACAAAGTGGCCGTGCGTAACCTGTCGCTGAGCGTGAATGAAGGCCAGGTGCTGGGCCTACTCGGACCCAACGGAGCTGGCAAAACCACCTCCATGAACGTCATCACGGCCGACACCAAGCCTGCTAGGGGACAGGTGGGTAGTTTCGGGCCGTGTCAAAAACACTCCAGGGTTGTAAAAATGGATAGGAACTCTCTCAGATCAGTGGAAGGAAAAAGCAAGCTGTTCATGAACCAAGAAGACCATCAGCACGTGAATGGGGTCACAATCAGAGACCATGGAGCAAATTGAGGGATTTTCAAGATATTTTCTTTAGCTTGTGTTACGAATATCCGGTTTCTGAAATCCAACCGACTAGTGGAATTCAAACCGAATTTAAAAAAAAATCTAGATTTTTAAACCCACCACTATTTAGAAACAGCCAATTCCTTTCATTTTGCATCAGGACTCACCCCTTTTTGGTATGCGTGTCTTTTTGAAGTGTTAATTTTTTCATTTCACCCAATTGACATCCTTCCCCTCAGATCCAAATTGCCGGCCACGACCTCGCGTCATCCCTGACCGAAGCGTTCCGCGTCATAGGTTACTGCCCGCAGCATGATCCGCTGTACGAGAACCTGACGGTGCGCGAGCATCTCGAGGCCTATGCACTCATCAAAGGCGTCCATCCGACTGATGCCAAGGCTGTAGCCAAGTCGTGAGTATTGATGAAGACTTTCTCCTGGCAGGCTTTGGTTGACAGAAACAACAGGATTGAATGGTTGCCCCTGCATAAGTGATAGGACAAAACCATAGAGCTATATTAAGCTACTAGAGCGCTAGCTCCTCTTTCCCTATGTGGAGATACTTTGAAGCTGTCCTGGCCGCAGACATTTTGAATTCATTTGGGTGTTTGTGGAACATAATAAAATCACATGGAATGGATTTTAAATAACTAGACTCTAAATGCAACGCACAAGTACAACATACACGAAAAATGTGTGCATGTTTTCTGTGAGTATGACGGTTAAAAAACATCACAGCAAAATTGTCTTCAGCACCTACGCACACGCGCGTTTGCGTAAGTATGCGCAGAGCAAAATGAAACCCTCATTTACTAATTGTGTAATGGGTGGTGGATTTACATAGAGTCGGGATGACCTCCAACTTTGGTGAAATCTGTGGCTACTCTTTTATTGCCTGACAACATGAACTCGAGAACTATCTAGAACATGACTAGCGCCCTCTATAGTCTGATACTATTACATCCCCCTTTTAAAAAAAAAAAATGCTTATCTAGAAATAAATACTGCTTCTGAAAATGCAATAAAAGTGTCGGATTGGTAAAGATGGGGTAATGAGAGTTCCTTTGCTTTAACACGTTTTCCAGAGCTAATGTGATATCTCAAAATCTCTTTGCAGAGGAAAGATGAACAAAACAAAAAATAAAGGTCATTTTCTTGTGTGCCATTACTTCCAACAGGTCCAAAAAAAACCCCACAAATCAGTTGTTAACCTGAAAAACAAAATGCTCTCTGGTGCTATATGAATCTGTCTCTGTAGTCTTACTGAATACAAGGTGAAAAAAAAATTTGGTTGTCTTTTGAAAACAAACAAATGTAGGAAATAATGAATAAAATAATCTTTGCATGACTTCTGCATCTTAGAAAAAGAAAGAAAAATAATCTGGTTTTCATGTGTTTAGTGTAGTCATCTGCATATCCATGAAAACAAGAGTACAATAACAATAAGAGTAAAAAAAAATGGTGGTGCTAAACTGATAATGTTCACACAACTGTTCACAGATCAAGTCTCTTTGGTGGTTTGACTTGCCGACCTGATCGCGTGATAGTGGGAGTTTTCGAGGTGTCCCGTACTTCTCTGTTACGAGACGGTGAAGTGTCATCTTCGAATGTGACACGTTTTTTGACAGGTTCAATGTCACGAAGATGGCGGCGATTGCGTCGAAGTTCGCGACCATTGGGTGTCACTATGACATAAGAACGTGGTTCTTCACAGCGCTGTTTTATCTGAGCTGGTGTCCACAACCCAGTTCGTGGATCCTGTACACGAACTAGTTGACCTGGGTGAAGTGGCTTGAGGTCATGAGCTGATCTGTCATGGTAGGCTTTTTGTTGTGCTTGTCTGTCCTGTAGGCGTTGGTATGTCTGGTCCTTGCGTTCCGAGGTATTCTGAATCACAACAGGAAGGTTGCTCTGAACCTTTCTACCGCAGAGCAGTTCTGCAGGGCTTGGAAGTTTGCTGTCCACTGGGGTTGTCCGAAGGCATAGAAGAGCCATGCTGATGTTTTGACCACTGGCTCTTGCTTTGGTCATTGTACGCTTGACAGTTTGTATCATTCTTTCGACGAACCCATTCGACCGTGGGAAATGAGGCGAAGACGTTACATGTGTAAAGCCCCATCCTTCAGCAAACACTTTGTAGGCGGCAGAGGCAAAATGTGGACCATTGTCGCTAATAATCTTCTCCGGCACACCATGCTCGGAAAAGATTTGCTGAGTGGCATCAATCACTGCACCACTTGTGCAGTTTGCAGGCATTCTGCGAACCAGAGGAAATTTAGAGTAATAGTCAGCTATCATGAGATACTCATTTTCCTCAAAGTGGAATAGGTCAGTTCCAAGTATTTGCCATGGTCGCGTCGGCAGCTCGTGTGGAAGTAGAGTCTCCTTGGTTTGCGACCGTTGATGTTCCTGACATGTAGGGCATTGACTCACAACATGATCTATGTCTTGATTCATGTTGAGCCAATACACAGTGTCTTTCGCTCGGAGCTTCGTCTTGGTTGCACCCTGATGACCCTCATGCAGCTTGTTCAGCGTGTAGGTATGCATGGCTGTAGGTATGACAACACGACATCCTTTCATAAGGATGCCATCAGCGATTGAGAGCTCATCGCGAAATGACCAATATGGTCGGAGGGGAGCTGGGAGATCCTTCATCCGATCTGGCCAACCGGATATGATGATCTGTTTGAGTTCCTGAAGTATGGGATCTCGTTCCGTCTCGCGTTTGACAGCTGCAAGTCGATCGGCAGTGAAGTGCACGAGGTTTATCTGAATGTCTAACGGAATATGTGTACCGTCAGTCGTTGGAGAGCGTGATAAGCTGTCAGCAACGGGAACCTCTTTGCCGGGCCGGTATTGCAGAGTGAAGTTGTATGGCTGAAGACGCATGAGCATACGCTGGAGGCGAGGTGGTGCAGATGTGAGAGGTTTCTGATGAATCATCTGAAGCGGTTTGTGGTCAGACTCGATCGTGAAATGCTTACCATAGACATACGTATGGTAACGCTCACAACCGAAAACAACCGCCAACAGTTCTCGCTCTATGTTCGCGTATCTTGTCTCAGCACTACTGAGTGCCTTTGATGCATATGCGATTGGTTCGCCTTCCTGCATCAAGGTGGCACCCAAACCACGTGACGATGCATCCACCTGAATTGTCGTGGGTTTGTTGGGGTCGAAATATCGCAACGTAGCAGAGTCGCAGATCAAATCGCGTACTTTCTCGAAGCACTGCTGGTGACTTGCAGACCACACATACTCACAGTCATTGCGGAGTAGCTCGCGTAAATCTGCAGTGTGGCTCGACAAGTGCTGGATGAATGGACTTAAGTACGTTACCATTCCAAGAAACTCACGGAGTTGGGTCTTGTCGGGAGGGGGTGGCATGGCCTTGATTGCATGCACTTTAGCTGGGTCAGGGTGGACACCCTGCGCGTCGTACACCATGCCGAAGAATGTGATCTGTTTGTCCTTTATCGCGCACTTGCTACTGTTGAACTTCAGACCGTTTGCTGCAGAAACAGTCATGAGCTTACGAAGGTTCTTGTCATGAGACTGTTCCGAGTCTCCAAAGACAATGATGTCGTCTGCGATTCCGATCACGCCGTCACACTGTTCGAGTATCTGATCCATCCGATGTTGGAAAATATCCTGACTAACTGCCAGGCCAAACGGCATGCGTTTGTAACAATAGCGACCGAAGGGGCTATTGAAAGTCGTCAACAGTGAGCTGTCCTCATCGATATGGATGGACCAGTAACCGTGTTTGGCGTCCATTTTGCTGAAGACCTTTGCGCCAGCAAGTTTGTGCGTGATCTCTTCGAGAGTTGGTGTCTTATGATGACATCGCATGAGTGCCTTGTTAAGGTCTTTGGGATCCAAACAAACGCGTAACTGTCCATTAGCTTTGCGTGAAATCGCGATGCTACTAACCCAATCGGTGGGCTCGGTCACACGTCGGATCACACCCTGTGCTTCCATTTTGTCCAACTCTGACTTAAGTTCATCGCGGAGATGAATGGAGCACTTACGTGGTGCATGCACGACAGGTTGTGCACCTTCACGAAGCACAATGTGATAGGCACCCGGAAAATCTCCAAGTGCATCAAACTGTTCTGGGTACGCGGAGAGTAGATCCTCAACGGAACGAATCGGTTGGTGCTGTGACGTAACATTTCCGTCAGACTGAGCGTGCGATTCAACCGAACAGTTTAGAGCGACAATGTTCAACTGAAGAGCTGTACGAAGACCAATGATAGCCGGACCATCAGTCTCGCAGACATGAAACACAGCATTGTGCCATTCTGACTGGGTGTGTTTACATGGGAGTGTCAGTGTGCCGTACTGCTTAATTTCTGTGCCATTGTATGCCTTGAGAACAGCACCTGAGTCAGCAAGATGTCCTTTGCGCGGAAATCCATCAGAGTCCAGATGACTTGGGTACATTCGACGATAAATGCGAACGGGAATGGTGTTTGTCTGGGCACCTGTGTCCACCTTCGCGTGTAGATTGATAACACGGCGTTCTTTATCTTGTCGCAGTTGGACATAAGTGTAGGCTTCGTCGCGATCGCGTTTGTTTGGACGAATGGCAGATACGACAATATCAAGCGTAAGCTGTTCGAATGGAACGTCAATGTCTCCACTCGGTGGGGCACTGTCTGCAAGCATGTGCATGTCGCGTTGAGAACGGCGTTGTCGTGACTTGGACCGTGACTGCGATTGTGAGCGACGACGAGTATCCCGTGGAGTACGTTGGTTTTGTCGGCCACGTGTGGAATCATCAGATTGGTGTCGGGACTTGCACACATTTCTCCAATGATTACGTTTGCCACAGTTATCACAAGTTGTGTTGTAGGCGGGGCATAAGTCGCGAGGTCTGAAGGGGTGTTGTCTACCACAGTTTCTGCATGTGCGTCGGCGTTGTAGTGCATCAACGGAGGAAGGTCCATGATGAACACTATTAAGCTGTTCCATGTGCGATAGAGATGCTTCATGGGTGCGAGCGATATCCAAACACTGATCAATGGTCAAAGTGTCATCGCGAGCCAATAGTTGCTTTTGCAGGTCTGGGTGACGCGTTCCAGCGATGAACTGTTCGATGATTCTGTCCGCATATTCCTTGTCATCGCGGAATTTACATGTTTGAGCATGTAGTTTTAGTCGTGACATATAGTCGTCAACAGATTCGCGATCCTTCTGCTGGAATTTCTGCAAGTACAGTCGAGCAACACGGAAATTTGTTCTCGGAGTGATTTGTGCAGCGAAGCGATCCCAGACCACATCAGGCTTTTTCGCGTCAGCATCAGGTAAGCTCCATGAATTATACATGCGAAGTCCAGTAGGTCCCATGAAGAGAAGAATATGGTCGACTTGTTTCTCTGTTTTGACATTCTTCACAGAGAAATACAGTTCACATTGTTGTCGAAAAATTTGTATGGAACTGGGCAAATCTGGGTCATCCCAGGCCATTCGAGGAGTGACTGAGTCCGTCATAGTTCCTATTGTATGTTCAGTTCAAACTATGCGAGTATCAGTATATGCTGCACCGTGACGATCCTAAGCTATACACACAGGCGACACGAGGCTACTGTACATACACACAGTCTCTGTATACACCGTTACACGTGCAATAATTACTCAGTCATTTACGTACAATGTGTGGCAAGTTTTCGCGTCAAAATCTCACCTTTTTGAGGCGACGATATGAATGTCAGTAGCGCCAATGACGAGGTAAGAACCGCGCTGCCACCATGTAATGGGTGGTGGATTTACATAGAGTCGGGATGACCTCCAACTTTGGTGAAATCTGTGGCTACTCTTTTATTGCCTGACAACATGAACTCGAGAACTATCTAGAACATGACTAGCGCCCTCTATAGTCTGATACTATTACAATTGTACGTTTCGGTTTTAGACGTATCGGCTTCAATAATGCACCTGTATAGACTGCAAACACAGATATGCAAATAACAGTATTAAAGCTGTACTAAATATCGAGTTTTCCATAGCTTTTTGCACAAATATGGATGCACCCAGCAGGCTCACATTTGTGCAGTGAGTTGGTGCTCTAGTAGTTAAAACTTATGTCAGCGAAAGAAAAACCTGATATATTAAAAATAAAAGCAATATATTTACATCTCTCTGATGCAAAATATCTATAACATGATTTTTAAGACCAATTGAGGTCTATATCAAGGGTTGTACCATTGTTTATATAAATAAGTGGTCTTGGTTGAGACCTGTTAAAACAAGTCCATTCGTTCGTACTTAGGCCCCCCCCCCCCAAAAAAAAAACCCTCTGCTTCCGGTTTCCCTACCTACTCTATTCTGACAGCCCCTATGCTTTATTTTGTTTGGGGAAAAATGAGAAAAAACATCCAAAACCATCCATTACTACCTTTTCCCTTCACTACACGCAGACGCCTCCAAATGATCGTATACAAAAAAAATTGGTAAACAAAAAATATCCCTACCTACCTAGCCTATTTTCCAATGCCACGTAATCGGAAGCAGGACTGTTTTTTTTTGCCTTACTTTAATTAAAAAATCTTCCCCTTGCCAAAAATGTCCTTGCAATGAAATAAACTTCAACAATATTCCTTTCCGTTGCAGTTTCATGGATGCGGTCGGCATCAGCGAGCATGCTAAGAAAAAGGCAAAGGAGTTATCTGGAGGAACCAAGAGGAAGGTACATAACAAAAATAACAAAATTCAAAAATTCAAATTTGCTGTCCCCTAGTGTGGTGATATAGTAGAAGATATACATTACATCAGGCTTTGAAATTCTTTACAATTTGGGTGATTCACAATGCAGTGCGCCACCAAGAGTTTGCCATCCATTTTTCAACTTTACTGTCAACAAAACACGGCCCATTTGAATGAGTGCCAGTAGGCAACTTGAGCTAATTTTGTTGTAGTTTTAGGCATAGCGTTCTGGAAAAAGAAAAGAAAAGGGCAAACCGATACTCGAATAATACGCTTACGAAACTACTGACCGGAAAAGTAACGATTTCAAATGTCCCGTGCTGCGAATTTGTCGACCATTTCCGGCAATGCACTGGAAAAAATGAACTCTTCATGGCAAACTCTTTGTGGCGCACTGCATTGTGATACGCCCAAATTGTGATGATGGTTGTCAAGAAGATTAAAGGTTTTGTTTGAAACGTGAAGTTGTACAAATCTTACGTCATTCATAATGATTCTTACGTCATTCATATAATTAGCATTCCGTGTCAATTTTTTCTCGACAGCTGTGCTTCGCTATCAGCATGCTTGGAAAGCCCAAAATTGTGTTTTTGGACGAACCATCGACTGGCATGGATCCAAGCTCCAAGCGGTTTGTCTGGTAAGTAACATTACTTGTAACAAAATTAACCATTCATCTAGGTACAAAGTAAAATCTGTTTAAGTTACAGTTTTAACCCAACAATCATTCCTTCTCTAAATTACCATTTTTCTTGCAATCACAAAAGATATTCACTTTCGAATGCGACACCGACCCCAAAACAGCCAAAGCTTATTGAATTATTATGTTACAATTTTCAAATGATCCACTCCGTTCACAAGTACTCCCTCACCGGCAAACAAAGTACAGTTGGGGGTGACCGACCGACGCCATCTTGCCTGACTGCAATTTTGCCGCGACGCGCGGCCATACCACTGCATGTACAAAGTACAAATCCCCTGGTGTACGTGCGCCACACACAAGGAACGGTGCGCGTCAACCAGCTAAATGTCTCGCCCATGGGACGTCTTTGCTAGGTAAAAGGGCGCCCTCTTTCATTGGCCGGCGCACGGAGCTCATTGGCTGTCGGACGATAATTCTCATGGGGAAGGCTGGTTCCGGCCCCACAATCAGCATCGATAACGTACAGACCGGGAGCCAGTCTGCTCGCAAAGCGTTTTTGAGAGGGTTGTAGAGTTCCAAAAAAAAAAAAAAAAGGATAAATACTTGAAGCATTTCACTTTGGTTGTTTATTTGTAAATTTGCTGTGCAGGAACATCATCATTTCCAGTTTCCGTGGCGACCAGGGAGCCATCTTGACGACACATTCCATGGAGGAAGCGGACGCTGTGTGCTCTCGGGTTGGAATCATGGTCCTTGGAAAGTTGATGTAAGTCTCATAAGAAGACAAGTCAATAATTTATAAATAATTTCAAGTAAATAATTTATGCACTTGGTCGTAACTCGGGTGCAGCTTGATCTTGAAAAACCAGTCGCTGACTGTTCTGTGTCGTCGCAAGGATGACCCGACACTGATTTACAAAAAATTATGTGATAACTGCATACTGCAGGGTGTCATCTGATCAAGTTAAAATATTTCCCAAGGGCAAAGAAACTTGCGGTAGGAAGTTGTCTTTCCAATTTCAGCAACTTGAATTTGACTTTGCAAAATTTAACAAACACTAATGTGTCAGAAAAGTTGCTGCCTATGAAAAAAACCAAATCTATGAAAAAAGAAACCTCGGGAAAATATTCGGGAATACAGCGCCTTGCAGAAAAGCCTAAAAATTATTACCGGAGTGCCGCGCCGATATGATAGCTACGCTTGCTCTGCGTATGATAGGTACGCATTCTCTGCAAAGTCAGCAGCTGTAGCAAATTAGCATATAATTAGCATAACAAAGGCTCATTGCCATGAGATGCAAATTAGCCTGCCGAGCTGGCTGTTGGCAGGTAACTCAGGACCAAATTTAGTCCGCAAACTTCGCTGAGCTCGGGAACGGTCATTTTTTAAGCCAAGTTTTAAGGCCAAAAAAAATAATGTCTCCGGTTTCTGGAATGGAGCTTGCTCAAAAAAGGTAACATCATCTTACATTGAGAATTTTGTTTTTCAATTTTGGCTACGGCGATGCGTGTACAGACCAGAAACTGGAGACTTTTTTTGAGGGGGGGGGGGCCTAATGTAGTCTATTCTTATTTCTTTCCTTGTAAATCTCGTCAGGTGTCTCGGTACAACTCAGCATCTGAAGGGCAAGTACGGCCGTGGCTACAGCCTGGAAGTCAAGCTCAACCCGGGCCCAGCTTACTACTCCATGGACCACACCAGCGGCCAGGCAGTCCAGCTACTGGAGGGACTCTTGGCGTCGCTGGACAACCAGATCAGGAAGGTCTTCCCCAGCGCTGAGGTCATGGAGAGCTTCGGGGAGCGTGTGACGTACAAGATCCCCAGCAGAGACGTTAAGTCGCTGTCTACGGTCTTTGCTGTGCTTGAACAAGGTATGTAGCATGGCTGAAATTTATCAGGATTTTTTTTCAGGATTTTTCCGGATTTCAGGAATATTTTGTCATGATTTTTCCAGATTTTAGAAAATGTTTGGTCAGGACTTTTGCCTGATTTCCAGATTTTTGTCTGGATTTTTGTTCTCCTGATTTCAGAATTTTTAAAGAATCTCTTTTGAAATCTGGAATTCCTGAGGTTTTGTTCCAAATTATTTTATGTTGGACAAAAAAAGTGGGTGTTGTAAGGATCAGTGACGACTCAAGGCAAATACGAACATATACCAGACATCTTATGTTGTTCTGGTGCCCTTGGAAACCTCAAATCCTCTACTTATTCTATTCACAATGCAGTGGCGCCTCTAAGAGTTTGCCACGGAGAGCTCATTTTTTCCAGGGCATTGTGGGAGATGGTTGACAAATTCGCAGTGTAGGACATTTGAAATTGTTAGTTTTTCCTCTGTCAGTACTTTCGTAAGCATATGATTCGAGTATATGTTTGCCCATTTTCTTTTCTTTTTATCAATATGGTGTTTTTTTGTATAGCGGCAGAACGCTATGCCCAATCTACAACAAATTAGCTCCAGTTGTCTACTGGCACTCATTCAAATGGGCCGTGTTTTATCGACCGTAAACTTGAAAAATTGACCCTCCATGGCAAACTCTAGGTGGCGCACTGCAATGAATGACCCGAATTGTTTGGTGGATTTTTTGTTTTCCCCAAATCTGCCCCTGAACCTTGAACTGCCTTAAATTGTCTTGGAAGTTCCCTCGCTCTAATCCACTATCAAATGGGAGCACTGCCCAGAAGCAGAAATTTATCCTCATTAAATTTCTACCCTGTCCGAGAAAGATGCTGGTGTTATAATCAGTATGAATGTTGCAGAATTATGTGCTCCATTCTTTCAGAGGGCATATCCACAACATTACTTTTTTCTTTGGGTCTCTTTCAGGCAAAGAGTCACTGAACATCGAGGAATACAGCTTCAGCCAGGCTTCTCTTGAACAGGTACTTTATTACTACCATTGTTGTAAATTCAAGGACAAATTCAGATTTTAATCAGCTAGCCGACCCCGGCAAGCATTGTGGTTGAGGGGTCAGATGTCTCAGCAAGCTTGTGACTAATCCTCAGTATTGAATTAAAGTCTCCACAGCACAAAATTCCATCATGTAAAATCATGATTAAAGGTTTTTTACATTCGCTTCTTTCCGCTGATGCATGACATTGTCTTGATTTGATATTTGATCATATCTTATTCTTTCAGGTGTTCCTTGAGTTTGCCAGGATGCAGTCTGGAGAAGACCAGAATATCTCGCCTACCCATCATGCGGGAATGACCTCGCCTACCCATCATGCCGGAATGACAAACAGCGCATTCGATCTTGGTGAAAACAGTCATCCGGTCAACATGCAGCCAAATTGGCCTACAGAACCACCTCCCTACAGCGCTGCAGTAGAGGTATAGAGTTTGTTCTCGTAACGGACTTTCAACAATTTCCAGGTTTTATTTTAATGAAATTAAAAATTCTTTGTTTCTGTTTTGGGCATTTGCTTCCCTCCGTTAAAAGTTGTTTTTTTTTATTTGCTGTGCATTGTATGCTGGAGAAGCATGGAGCGTCAAGCTAGGCCAGGCCCATGGGCGGATCCAGAACACAATTTTTGGGGGGCCAAAAAAAAAATTTGGTGCCCCAAAAAGTGGGGCCAAAAAATTACGGCAAGGGGTTCGAGGCCCGCTTAAAAGCCCCTAAAATAATTTGGATTCTAGATGCTCTGTGGTACGATCTGAGGCAATTTCTGACCTTTTTTAACCCATTTTTTTGTTGAGGAAAAGGGTGTGGTGTATGCAGTGACTGTCACTTAAAAAAACAAACAAATTGGGTTCATTTTTTTGGGGGGGGGGGTGGGCCATGGCCCCCGTTGCCCCCCCCCCCCTCCCTGGATCTGCCCTTGGCCAGGCCGCATATTAAAATATCAAACACAATAAATTGTACAAAAAGTGGCTAGTTGACTCAAGAAATACAATCTTATGTTACCAATTATTTTTTTAAAATGTATGGATCCAACTTCCAGTGATATGATCAAGTGCTAAGGTGCTTCTAATGTTTTGTAATTTTAATAGGTTTTTGGACAAACTTGCTTCCTCGTAAAATAAAACTGACTGTGTCATAGTGCAAGATCCGAGCTTTAACTAGGTTATGTTTTAACATTTGGGCGAATTTGTGAATGGATTTTCAAACTTTTTATTTATAAATATATGAACGTCACATCGTTTGTCCTGCAAACAATCTGAATCTGAGTGGTACAACATCTGTCAGGGTTTGGGTTTTTTTGGGTTTTTTTGGCGTTTCTGAAGACTTTGTATTTATTTGTTTAGATCAGTGAAGGTTGCACATTTGAAGGGAAAAAGTTCTTAAAACACAGAACTGAAATATTTTCACTTGAGAAAACAAATGTTACTAAAGATTGATGAATTCCCCAAACCCGATTTGAGGGGGGGGGGGTCGAAACACCCCTCCCCCTGCTGTGACACCCCAAAAACAAAGTTTCTAACATAAGTGCATAAGTAAGAACGTGCTGCATGACCAATATGTCTGCCCCTCCGCAACAATCGGACATAAACAAATCTGACTGGCCTGACAACCCCCCCCCCCTCCCACCCCTGCAACAATTCCTGGATCTGCCTCTAGATGATTTTGATAATTTGGGGATTTTAAATAGGATTTGGTCTGTTCGAATTGGGAAGGCGTACATTTTTGCAAGGAGTATAAAATGACGATTTTAGGAACGACTGGTCACTTCGTAGCTTTCTCACCTGCTTGACGTCGGCCACTCAGGGCCTAACTTTCAAACTCCACTCAATCTTTAAAAATAAAATCAGTGCATTTTTTTTCATTTACTGAAAATTTTAGAATTGGCCATGCACTCTATTTAGAAATGTGTTTATATTTAGAAATATAACAAAGCCTACACATTTTTGAAATATTTATATTCCTGTCATCCTTGCCTAAAATGTATGAAATGTTTGGGTTTTATGGTAAACGCATGGTGTTGTTTGAAACATATGTGTATGTGTGTCTTATCATGTGTGTGAAACTCCTAGATACAAATCTATGTTGTATTTTTCTGTACTTTGTCAAAGAGCCTAATCCCATTCATAATTACGTTTAATTTGTAACTGGTATATCACTACAAGAGCTTTATTCTTAGTCAATATTGTATTATATGTCAAAGGATGAGAGCTGATTGAAGACAATTGAGTAAAATGACCTGGTACACGGTACCCTGTGGAGACATGGGTATAATAGGGAACACAAGATTGTATACGTCTCCACAGGGCAATTACTATAGGTGAATACGTCTCCACAAGGTTATCACGAAATAGATATATGGATTTAACTCAAAAACTAGGAATTTTCTAAGATGTGTTGATGTGTTGCAAATTCGAGTGAAGTATTTATGCAAGGGATATTGAGTCCGAATTTAAGCCCAGGAAATTAATTTTGGTTAAAATAGGAGCATTTTGAAACTAGATTTTCAAACGCAATTTTTTTTACTACACTAGAATTAAAAGAAATGACTCCACAAGAATTTCAGTATCTGTGTTTTTAAAAATCCATGTTGACATTCCAATTATCTGAAAAAGGCGACTAAATTTAGCGTTGAATGACTATTTAATGTTATTGAGCAATTGCAATTGTAAGCTGTGTAATACGTAGTGAAGAAACTGAATGTTGGTTTTCATTTTGCTTATTCAATAGTCTGGCAACCATTTCCTAATTAAGGTTCAAAGTAGGGATACTTTAACTTTTCACAATCTGTTTGGAAATGTATTTAAATTAAGAAACTAAATAACCAACATTCAAATAATTTGATATGGTAACATTCGTGATGATCATAGTGTAATGCTAATATCAAAAGTGCAAATAATGATCTGTCTTTGAATGCTTGGTTTTGTTTGAAATATGTGTATATTTGAAATAGGTGTATATGTGTATGTTTTATCTTGTGATACAAATCAAATGTGGAAATTCCATTTATCTGAAATAGGCAAATGAAATTTATATAATGTTTGACATTTTAGCAATTTTTAATTACTATTTAAAAAAAATGTTCTTGAATTGATGCAGTAAGCCGAGTAAAATATGGTAAAGGAAAAAAAAGCGGGTTTTTATTTTGCTTATTCATAATTTTTACAATTGTTTCTTATTTTGGTGGAAAGTGAGATGTTGAAAATATTTTGATGTGGAATTTAAAGTTGGTATATACATGCTTTTTCAAAATTTCGATTTTCTTTTCCAAACAAAATTTAAAGGAAAATAATGTCATGTAACAAATAAATTTGCTTGTTTGTTTTTGCAGGCTTTTATACCGTTTTAAAAATTGGTTTGAAATGGCGTACTCCAGTTCAGAAAATGCGCACACTATAATCAGAATGAATTAGGAGCGTCCCGCTCTTAATTCAAAAGTTGAAATCAATTAATTGATTACTAAAGTCGTGGGCCGATTTTTTGTGGGTGCGATGTCTCATTGGAATGCTCGTAACTAATGTTATGCTAGAAAAAAATATCAATTTAATTTGAAAATCTATTTTCCGGGTGCTACACCACAAAAAGCATGTATACACCAACAATTGAACACTGTTATCTGAAATACAAAAGTATATTTTATGATTGATTTCGTGAGTATTTTTTAATGTATGGGTTTCAAGTGCAGCTGTTTTTAAAATGTTAAAGTGTACAGTAAGAACCCGGAAAGAACAACTGATTAAACAGCTACATATTGTGTATAATTACTTGTGAATAACAGACAATGATTATGTTCCGATTGTGTTTACTTATTTGCCTAACATTCCATGTCAATATAACATGAAACTCCGTAATCTGTTACCATTAATATGCATATTTAAATGGTCTCATAATTGGATAATGTGTAGGCACCTTGTAAATTTTGATGAATGTAAAGTTGACTTTAATTCCAGTTGTACATTGTATTTTTAAAAAGCCAAACCCCATAGCAGCAATATGCAACTGGAAGCATACTAAAACAAACGAATTCCATATTATAAAGACTGTTTTCATGGAAAATTTAGAAAGAAGTTTTTAGAAGAAAGGTTTGACTTTGCTGGGGCCTCATGCACGCACAAAATTCATATAACTATATAACTTCTATTGATTTTCATGTATAACATGTTACTAGCAAAGTTTTGATTGGTACACAGTTTCGATTTAGACATTGATATTAGAGTTCCCTTTACATGATCATGTACACAATAAACTTTTATTGAGAAAAAAAAATGATATTTTGATTATTGTCCTTTCTTTGGCGTACCAGTTTTCTTTTTATTAAATATAAATAAATTAATACCGTGTTATATCTATTACCAGGGGTCATATGAAGGGCAGGGATGGGTGAATAATTTTATATATTACTTGATATACAAAGTCTACCAAAACTTTACAAAAAAGGGCGTACATTTCCACGTAGCTGAGATATAAACTGAATATTCATATATTCAAATTCCTTCTGAAAGGCTGAGCCCTGCGGCTATTGAAATTGAATGGAACTGCATCTCTAGCTATATAGACACACACTACAAAAGACTCCTGAGCCGGTTAGTTTTGTCTAAAGGCGTTTTGCAATTCTATTTCTGTTGTGCACGTGTACCGTAATAGGCTTAGAACGAAGACGACCTGTCCAGCGAATGCAAGGGAGTCTATTTTCTTTGTTCATTTCCTTTGTTGAATCTGGCGTTAACAATAAAATGTTTCCATTGAGGCGAAAGGATTAAACGCCGCTATCTTTTTCTGCGCTTGAGTGCATCTGAATGGGTGTTTTTCAAGCGGAAAATCACGAATTACAGCTCTTATACAGCATTTTATCCCACAAAACGATACTTTTTGCAGAGGAAATTGCATTCTGAACAAGACTGTAGTTTCAAAATGCAAAAATTCGCCGTATTAAGACAATCAATGACAATTTTTTTGGCAGTTCCAAGCAAAAACTTTCCCCATTCGAACGTAGGCGGCGCTATATATATTTCATTCGTGCGCGTGTACTGAAATATTGGCCCAGCGTGTGCTCGACACTCATACTTATAGACATTAAGGGGCGGGGTCCGTTTTAAATAGGTGGGGCGTGGGGGTTAGGTCTGGTAGACTATAGACCTGATACAAAATATGGCGAGAAATATTAAAAAATTAAGTAAAAATATAGATGCTAATAAATACGATAAGTATTTATGAGTTTTGCACTAGTGTGGAATTTCAATTCAACAGGGATGTTTATTGGGTTTAATAATGTACAGAAATGTCTTTTCTGAGTTTCTAGCGTTTCTGTAGAGCCTGTTTTTCGAGATTTTCTGCGAAAATCTTCGGATATTCCCCGTGTGGAAATTACCGCAGTGTCCCGCCTCGATGGCTGGCGCGGGCCAAATTCCCGGCAAGAGGCATACTGTACATGCTGTACTGTGAACGAAATATACATAGCGCCACCTACGTCGGAAAGTGGAAAGTTTTTGCTTGGCACAACCAAAAAATTCGTCATTGATTTCCTTAATACGGCGAATTTTTGCATTTTGAAACTACAGTTTTATTCAGTATGCAATTTCCTCTACAAAAAGTATCGTTTTGTGGGTTAAAATCCTGTATAAGCGCTGTATTTCGTGATTTTCCGCTTGAAAAACACCCATTCAGATGCACTCAAGCGTGGAAAAAGATAGCGGCGTTTAATCCTTTCGCCTCAATGGAAACATTTTATTGTGAACGCAAGATTCAACAAAGGAATTTAACAAAAGAAATGGCCTTCCCTGCATCCGTTTAACACGTGCGCCAAATGTTGAAACTGAGGATTATCTCGTATAGCGGCCAACTTATTCTCCTTTTTTCAACGACTGTTGGTCGCCTCCAGCGGTACGAATACCTAGGGGCGACTGTGTTGGTCGCCCCCAGCGGTATACCGCTACAGGCGACTATTGTTGGTCGCCCCCAGCGGTATATCGCTAGGGTATACCGCTACGGGCGAGTCGCCCCCAGCGGTACGTATCTCTAGGGGCGACTGTGTTGGTCGCCCCCAGCGGTATATCGCTAGGGTATACCGCTACGGGCGAGTCGCCCCCAGCGGTATATCGCTACGGGCGACAATTGTTGAGCGCCCCCAGCGGTACGAATACCTCTAGGGGCGACTGTTGGTCGCCTCCATCGGTACGAATACCTAGGGGCGACTGTGTTGGTCGCCCCCAGCGGTATATCGCTACGGGCGACTATTGTTGAGCGCCCCCAGCGGTACGTACCTCTAGGGGCGACTGTTGGTCGCCTCCAGCGGTACGAATACCTCTAGGGGCGACTGTGTTGGTCGCCTCCAGCGGTATATCGCTACGGGCGACTATTGATGAGCGCCCCCAGCGGTACGTACCTCTAGGGGCGACTGTTGGTCGCCTCCAGCGGTACGAATACCTCTAGGGGCGACTGTTGGTCGCCTCCATCGGTACGAATACCTAGGGGCGACTGTGTTGGTCGCCTCCAGCGGTATATCGCTACGGGCGACTATTGATGAGCGCCCCCAGCGGTACGTACCTCTAGGGGCGACTGTTGGTCGCCTCCAGCGGTACGAACACCTAGGGGCGACTGTGTTGGTCGCCCCCAGTGGTATATCGCTACGGGCGACTATTGTTGAGCGCCCCCAGCGGTACGTACCTCTAGGGGCGACTGTTGGTCGCCTCCAGCGGTACGAATACCTCTAGGGGCGACTATTGTTGGTCGCCCCCAGCGGTTTATCGCTAGGGTATACCGCTACGGGCGAGTCGCCCCCAGCGGTACGTACCTCTAGGGGCGACTGCTGGTCGCCTCCAGCGGTACGAATACCTCTAGGGGCGACTATTGTTGGTCGCCCCCAGCGGTTTATCGCTAGGGTATACCGCTACGGGCGAGTCGACCCCAGCGGTACGTACCTCTACGGGCGACTGTGTTGGTCGCCTCCAGCGGTACGTACCGCTACGGGCGACTATTGTTGAGCGCCCCCAGCGGTACGAATACCTCTAGGGGCCGCAGTGTGAAACTCTGTCCCCTCGGATGAAATTCTGATCTCCTAAATCGACAGCTTTATGTCCCACAATCTCATAATTAAACGCCTAATTACATCAGGCACTGCACTCTGAACACCTGTACTGTTAACGAAATATATATAGCGCCACCTACGTTGGAAATCGGAAAGTTTTTGCTTGGCGCAACCAAAAAATTCGACGGATTTTCTTAATACGGCGAATTTTTGCATTTTGAAACTACAGTTTTGTTTAGTATGCAATTTCCTCTGCAAAAGTATCGTTTTGTGGGTTAAAATCCTGTATAAGCGCTGTATTTCGTGATTTTCCGCTTGAAAAACACCAATTCAGATGCACTCAAGCGTGGAAAAAGATAGCGGCGTTTAATCCTTTCGCCTCAATGGAAACATTTTATTGTTAACGCCGGATCGAACAAAGGAAATTAACAAAAGAAATGGCCTTCCCTGCATCCGTTGAACACGTCCACTTTATGCATAAATCTACACCAGTACCACTTTTAGTTCATTAATTTCTGCAGAATTGTTGCAGTTTAAACAATCTCCGTTTCCTCAGTGAAATATCATCTCCTTAAATGGTTTTATTAGAGTGAAACCCATAATTACTTCTTCCTATGACTGTGAGTTGCGTCTACGAGTGTCTAGGCTTGTGCAAGTGTTAAGCCCAAACAAATCCCAGTTGTTTAACACTGACAAAAACACACTTAAAACCTTGAAATGTTAGTAGGTTTGCTGCACGGAGCGGCACTCGCGATCCGGCGGCCCGGGTTCGAATCCTATGGGTATATGTTTTTTTTCTATTATGTTTTAATATTTGCTTTTAATAATTACTCCTTTGTTTTCCCTTTCATCATAATATCTGATATTTACCCCCTTAATGGTGAAAGAAACTCTCTGTAATGGTGAACTTATGGGAAAATTCAAGTACTAGGCCTATATTTTCTTTCAATGTTTCTAATATAATCATTCTAATTGTTTTCCCATTTTTCTATTTCACTTTTCCTCCTACTTTCGTTTTTGTTCTGTGTAGCTTCCCCCCAACTAAAAAGAAATAACAGACGAAAGATAATAACACGCAACAAATTAAACAACTTCACTTGATATCATTAAATTCATTCTTTTTATTTCTTGCCTTCTCACTATCCTTAACTTCTGGATTTGCTAAAATCAATTGAGCAGGTTGATCTGAATAATTCAAAATATTAAGTGTACTACTTGTAAAAGTACATGAATGTGCATAACAAGTTTTTTCCCGACAAATGTGGCGAAAACATTCTGTAGGCTGTGATGAAAATTAAAAATCATTCCGCAAATTAAATATTGCTGTAAATACATTTTCTTTGAGAGTAAACTGTACAAATTATTCTTTGTAAAATATAAGACAAAAATATATTTACATTTGGGCAAAATTACATAATAAGAAACTGATGAGCTACCAAAGCAATAACCATCAAATACGTGTCAATATTTCACTCAAAGACATTTTTGAAAGGTTTTTTTTTTATAAAACATATAAAGTTTAGATAAACTGCCTGTGTTTTTTTGTAAGTGCGGTTCGGGCCAAAGTTTGCAGGGATTAAATCTAAAGGAGTAAAAACACATCGTAAAGTCGGTATATACTGTACGTGCTTTTTCAAAATTTCGATTTCCTTTTCCGAACGAAGTTTAAAGCATAACGTCATGTAACAAATAAATTTGCTTGGTTTTTTGTTTGTCTTGAAGCTAGCCTTTATACATTTTTAAAAATTGGTTTTAAATGGCGCGCTCCAGTAATTTTAGCACACTGCTCAGAACGAAATAGGAGCGTCCCGCTCTTAAATCAAAAGTTGAAATTAATTAATTAATTAATTACTAGTCAGGGGCCGATTTTTGTTCTTGTGATGTCTCATTAGACAGCTCATGTAATGCTAGACCATATCAATTCAAAGTGCCACCACCCAAAAAGCACGTATACACCAATTTACACATAAAAATAGAACGATGTGGCGCAAGACATCAAGTATAATTGATTTGTCGATGATAACAGCTCAAAATTCTTGCATCTGGTGTTTCACACAAATGAAGCAAAACATCATTTTTTAAAATCCATTTCGATCTACTTTTCGAACACCTTGAGCCCCCCCCCCCCCACCTCCAAGAAGTTAACAATTTTTTTGGGGAGGGGGATTTTTTTTGTTTTTGATCCCAAAATTTGACCACGGGTGATATGTACATGTATTTGGCCTATGTTTGAGTAGTATAATAGGGGTGTAAGTGTCGCCACCAGCATCAAAATAGCCCCCCCCCCAAAAAAAAAGCACAAGAATTGGTTTTTGAAAAATAAATCGAGAGCCCTGCAAAAGCAAAATCCTGGGTGTGCCACTGACAACGGGCATTTCTTGAGTTGTCGTCTGGACACCGAATAATATGTTGTTTTTGTTACATTAAAGTTTACTCTAATTCGGATAATATTTTTCGCGCTGACCTGACCACATTCTATTGTTTTGAATTGATTGCAATACATTTATTGTTTGACGAATTTTTCCTTAATTGATCTGTTTAATATGGGCGGTACGTGCCATTAAGGTAAAGCAAAAAAAAATATTACGTAAAGCAAAAATGACCAATCAATAGACAAAATGTCAATTCCACACGACAGGTATATCAAGTTAAAAAAAGGCCATGTCTGTATTGTTTGGAGAAATTTCAATGCTTGGCACAATTTGATTAAAAATGTTAAACCCCTGGCAATCGTTTTAATTTTGGCCGAAAATTCCTTGAAGTTTAGCGGTCTCAAAACACATTCCACGTGTTAATGAATTTCACTTCTGCAACAAATCAACTTGAACACAGCTCCTGTTCAACTTAGAACTGATCGCAGAATTTGGAGAAGTACCTACGCCTCAAAAGCGAAAGTTCCATAAAATGATGACGGTGTAAAAAACACCAATTAATTTAAGTAAGATTTGAGGCTTTGCATGGTGGAGATACTAAATAATGAAAGGTTTGCGGAAACACCATGTGCGAATAATTTCTCAACTAAGAGAATGGTTCTGAAAAGAACCAGAGGTATAAAGTAAAGTAAATACTTTCTTAGAGTTTAGTTTATACCTCTGGTTCTTTTCAGAAACATTCTCTTAGTTGAGAAAATTATTCGCACATGGTGTTTCCGCAAACCTATTTCGCTTTTGCTACTGAAGTGTTTACTTTCTTAGAGTTTAGGCACTCTTCTGAAGAAGGTCAGAGCATACTGACCGGAACGTCGAGTTTATACCTCTGGTTCTTTTCAGAACCATTCTCTTAGTTGAGAAATTATTCGCACATGGCGTTTCCGCAAACCTTTCATTATTTACCAATTAATTTGCGTCCGGAATTAACTAGCGCCCTCTAACGATGATTACATCGAGGCGTGATTATTCGAGTTCGTACCCTCGAATTAATCGGAATCGACAAGTACAGTAACCACAAACAAAATGGCGGCTCCGGGAAGAGGAACTTCTCGCGTTCTGCTGAAGTTGAAGCGAAATGTGGAGGAAGGGAACTACTACGAAGCACATCAGATGTATAGAACGTTGTACCATAGGTAAAGCATTTGAGGGGGGAATATTGCTGTCATAAGTCAACGTAAAAGTAGAACGAGCTATGAGTTTATACTGCCACTGCGCATTTCCATTTGGACCATGTCGTGACATTGCGCATGTTCAAGATGTTGCGTGGTCGATCTCATCAGTACGTACGTGTGCTCATCATGTGTGCTGGTGTGAACTGGATGGGCAGTTAAAGTCCCTTTTCATCAGTTGCATATAGTTTCATACATGTACATACAGTTGAAAAAGGAAAGAATTTCATATTACGAATGTCACTAGTTTTTCCCTGCATTGCTGCAATGACTCATCAACCATTAAGGAGGGATATCCTAAAAATGTCAAATTAAACTTTCACTTTCAGTAGTCATTTACGAAGCAAAGGATCGACCTGAAACGGAATTTAATACACCGACTATGAAAATATGAAAAAAAATTGAAACAGAACTACACACTGACTAAAAATAAAATACGAACAAAAATGAAGATTTTGGAGGCTTTTGAGATAGAACCGTCGCGTCGCAGCTTAACTGTGTTGTGGCGAAATTTTGAAATCACAACGTGCGCCTGAAACGAGTGTGGTAACATGTCTCCATACAGTGTGATGTACATGTATATGTGTGTGGTTACCATACCAGTTTCTGATGCGCGTTGTAAATTTCGCCACAATAAATTAAAAAGACAGAAGATATTGCAAATGTATGATATAAACAAAGAAGATGGCAGAAGAGAAAGAAAGGAAAAGGGCGGGACGAGAAACTGGATTATTGTTTTACTTGTCCTTGGTTATATTGTATTGTTTTGTATTATTTCATAGGTACATGGCACAGAAGAAGCATGCTGAGGCGATAGAGTTAATCTACTCAGGAGCATCCTTGCTACTGAGCCACAACCAGGTAAACAACATCAACTCAATATCTAAGGCTATGGCTAAGCTGAGATAACTAGGTTTAAAAAATAATCAAATAATATCTAAGACTATGGCTAAGCATAACTAGGTTTAATTAAAAAAAGAGATCAAATCAGTATCTAAGATTATGGCTAACCTAAGATAACTAAGTTAAAAAAACAAATCAGTATCTAAGACTATGGCTAAACTAAGATTTAACTAGGTTAAAAAATAAATCATATAAATCTCCAAGATTACTAGGTTAAAAAAAAATCAAATCAATATCTTAGGCTATTGCTAGCCTAAGATAACCAGGTAAAAAAGATCAAGTTATATCTCAGGTCGAGAAGGTTATGACAGTTACAGTTTAAGCAACCAGACATGGAAAATTCAGTTGGAAGAGTTCATTGTTTCAAAAAAAAGAAAAGTAGCTGTCGTGTTACTGAACTATAAAAGTATTAAATTTAACATCCACTGTCTAAAAGTTCTTTCTGATTTCTTCTTTTTTTCTGCAGTATACTAGTGGTGCTGATCTGTGTTTACTGTTGGTTGAAGCCTTCAATACATCTGATACTCCTGTTGACACTGAAAATATAGGTAAAAAATACTTGCTTTGAAGCTACATTCTACACAAAATATTTCCTAGCCATTAACCTTCCTTTTTGAAGAGTTGCAGACTTTTGAATGAGAGATCAACCGGAAAAATATCAGCCCATGTTTAGTTATTGAATTAGTACTTCACAATTTAAAATTTTTGGCTGCTAGAAAATAATTCCGTTTTTGCGGAGTAGGCTGGTTCCCGTCTCACTATCAGTATTGATTATGTAGGGACTGGAAGCCAGTCTGCTCTCAAAGCGGATATGTTTGTAGTTGTACCGAAAACAAAAATATATATATTTTTTTAGAGGGTTGCAAATGTCCAAAACAGGGGGAAAAAGAGGTTGTTTGTTGGAATAAAACATACATTTTGAGCATTTGAATTGCATTGTTTCTGTTGTGTTCTTCCTCCCATGTTCAGATAAAGTAGCTAATCTTGTCTGCACTATTCCTGCCGAAGTGCCAGAGAGAGGCAAGTGTATCAACTCAGCCTTGCAGTGGTCCAAAGCCAGTAACCAAGCCATCAAAACAGGAGACCCAGAACTCCATCAAAGATTAGCCGTAACACTCTGGAAAGGTACGTCCAATTTGCTACTGTTTAGAACCAGTGTTGTAGACGATGTACTTGTTATGGCTCACAAGTACATCACAACTAAGTAAAATTAGAAAGTAATGGCTGTCACTGGCCAATATGGCCCATCAGGCTGGCGTTTGTCTCCGGTTTCCTTGGCCTGAAACAACCGAGAATATTTCTATTTTTCCATGGATGGGATGACAGTCCATTGTAGGCTAACTCCCCGGCTAACGCCGGTACCTATTTATACTCCTGGGTGGAGAGAAGCAAGTGGGGATGAAGTGGCTTGCCCAAGGACACAACATATGACCAGCAGCTGGATTTGAACCCTAACCACTAGGCCACATTGCCCCACATCACAATCACGGACATGAATCATAAGTCAGTTCATTAGTCCAGTCACAAGTGAAGGCAGACAAACAATAACAATAGAATGCCTTTTACCCAGTTTTGTTTCGACAGATACAGTCAACAGCAACAAACCATAATATTACCCACTGTGTACACATACAAATAGACATATCAACTTCTGTATTTCTCAAATATTTGTTCCTTAACAGAGAAGAATTATATGGAGGCGCGGTATCATTTCTTGCACTCGTACGATGGTGAGGGATGTGCCTCCATGTTGGTTGAGTACCAAGTGACCAATGGCTACCCGAGTGAGGTGGATATGTTTGTAGCTCAGGCCGTCTTTCAGTAAGTTACTTTGTTTTTTGGGGTTGGGTTGGGGTGGGGGTGGGTTGGGTTGGGTTGGGGTGAGGGGGGTTGGGGTGGGGTGGAGTTGGGATGAGGTGGGGTTGGGGTTGGTGTGGATGGGTTGGTTTGGGTTTTGTTTTTTTAGGTTTTTTTTTAAATTTGTTTGAACCACAATTGTAATCAAAACATTGCAAGTCAATTGCAAGTCAATTGCAATAGATCCAACTCTGGAACTCACTATTTTTTGCAACTTGTAAGGCTTTGTCTGAAACCATAAGAATTCATCAGGCAACAGACGAAGATGCAGTGTGCTTAAAAAGTAAGTTCCAGAATGAGAAGTGTTTGAAGTTTCACCTACTACTACTACTAGATGATTAAAATTATACATTATTATTAGTGACAAGTTTTTTGAATAGACAAAAGGTGTTTTTTACTGTGGAAGTTTATACAAAGCAAAAGCGATGGGTAGGAAAGGATGTTGCAGCCTGACGCCGCTTTTAGGCCTAACTCACTCTTGGCACAATTACACCAGTCAGAATAGGGCTCGCTCAATGACGGCCATCTCTGTAGGAGAACTGCAACTGCGTATTTTACGCAATCCAGCACGGATTGCGCAGTGTTGAAAATCTTCCAAATGCGCGCTTGTTGATCGAAATGTGCTCGAAATATGACGCAGCCGATGCGCGTTGTGCAAGTTGACGCTCAAAATTGCCGATGCACGTGGATGGTCTGCAGGAAATGACGTCATTTGAACGAGACCTATTCAGAAATTTATTATGTTCCGTAGTCGACAAGAAACTTTAACAATCTCATTTTTTTTCCCTCCAGGTACTTGTGCCTCAAGAACAAGGCCTGTGCCTCGCTGACGTTTCACATTTACACCGAGAAGCACCCGGCTATAGAGAGCGGTCCGCCATTCATTCTGCCCCTCCTGAATTTCCTCTGGTTTATGCTGACGGCAATAGAAGGGTAAGTCTAAATTCTGATCACTGTTAAAAGTTTCTTTTGTTTACCAGAGATGGAAGGCGGCTTCTCATGCATTTTGTTCGTTTCCAATAATAACACCACTCAAATCCATAGAAGAATGTTCAAAACCTAACCTGTTGAAGTTCCAGCTCAGTGGATATTACCCATTTTGAGAAAAGTGGAAAAACCATGCACAACCTTTTTGATCACGAAACAAAAATGTGTCCATAGCACACTTTTATTGCCAAAAAATCAGTCAATTGACTGATCGTTGGAAATCACCTACATGTCTTGATTTCTTCTAAATGACAGCAAGCCAGACGGAATAATTTCACAGGGTGCTTAGTACCAGTACGATCTTTAATCCAAGTAAGCCCTTGGATAATAATTCGGTAGGTTACTTTTGGGGATAAATGCAAATGATCCTATATGCCTTTAAGGTGCCTTTAGAAAGGTTTTTTGCCAAAGTCCATCTTTCTATAAAACTAAAGACAGTGCTGTTATTTTGTTTCTCTCTGTAGTGGCAAGCTGACTACTTTCACGGTGCTCTGTGAGCGATATCAGCCCAGTCTCAAGAGAGATCCCGTTTACTTGGAGTATCTGGATAGAATAGGCCAGCTGTTCTTTGGTTTGCCTCCTCCGGCTGGGCCCACTACGGGTGGAGGGATGCTAGGTAAGTCACCCCCACCCCACTCCCCAGCCCAACACCCAGCCCCCCCCCCCCACCCCAACACCCACCCTGGTAGCCTTCACAAAGCTTCACAAAATGAAAGAATTTTCATTCTCAGTATCATGCATAGGAACTATATAATTAATATGTAATTGACCTATCACCGTTTGCGAGTTAGCCACGCGCCTTCGACAACCCTATGGAATTTTGTACGCTAAGTTTTAATTGTCTCAGATTTTGCTCATTCGGCGTATCTCATGTAATTAAACAATATTTCATGAGCTGCGTTGACTCGATTCTACAGCGATAGGTTAATTATTGTTAAAGTCTTTAAAATGCTGCAGATCAGTTTCAGGGGGAGGGATACAAAGCGCTAAGTAACTCGGTCACACAGAGAGTCACTACACCAAAAAAACAGCACTGTGGAGAGCAGTGAAGTGTGACCGAATCTGCCTGCTTGCCCTGAGCTTCACCACAGAAAAAAACCTGTTCAGGAATTTGAAGTGTGGGTGCTAACTCTATGGGCAAAATCAGTTTTGCAAAAATGGTATTTTCTGCATGGCGCAGACATTAGTAATGGAGCGTTTGTCTCGACTTTCCCCCACAGATAACCTGCTGCGTGGTTTTCTCGGCGGCGAAACGGGGCATGATGAGGGCACGGGCTCGTCAAGGCCTGCAGAAGAGGAGCTGGACTGACGGCAACATAAAATTATCAGAAAATATTGGTACATGTAAAATTAATGTTCATCACTGTCGAGCGCGGCAAAGAGTTGCTGCCAATTTTTTTGGAAGGAACTGTTGACCAGAGTCAACTGCTTTACACGCAACACCTGCCATGAATGTGTTGCACGTCTCAACTAGCCTGCTCTAGTCATCGTCAGGAGACAGTCTCATGATGACGACTAGAGCAGGCTAGTCGAAACGTTGAGACCAAAGACAAGTTCTTTTAGAACTTAAAGCAGGACTGTTCTTATCAGAATAAAAAAAATACTTAGCGAAAGTGATAATAAGCCGGACAAGTTCTTTTCAGAACTAAATATCTTCTAAGCAGTAGTTATTACCACATGGTGTTACCTAGTTACCGCAAACCAAAACGATATCCATCACCTAGTAATAATCAAGGAGATTACAGACTAGGAGTTTTGGATCATTTCTCTGAATCATTAATTAGATATCATGGTTAATGTCACTGACATCACACTTTCATAAATGCTAGAATTGCCCAGGTATCAAATGATTTCAAAGTAATTTATTTCCTATTAACTGCCCTTCACTGCACTAAAATGCAGACTTTGCTGAAGGTTGCTTATCCAAATGTTGAAGAAAATGCAGTTGAATTCTTTCCCTATGGAATGCTTTGCCTGCAATTCTAGTCATGTGCTATTTTGTGTTCAAAAAAAATAATAACTTACAACGGCAAATATTACAGTAGAGTTATTAAATTTTCAAAATGTATTTTTGTTGTTTTTGCGTAAGCTTTTGAAACAGATTCTGAGAATCTGAGAATGTTGTCACGCGAATTCAGATAGTTATTTAAAGTGGTTATTAATTTAAGGAGTGTTTCACGCTAAATTGCGATCGCAAGAATTGGAAATAAATCAAGATGTATTAATAGGTTTTTGCTAAAGCAAGAATTTTTGAAATTGTCAATTTTCTTAAACAAGATACTTCTTGTGTGATGAGTGTCACGGCAAGCTCGGTGGTTGAGTGGTAAGGCCAAAAAAAAAAAGTCTCCAGTTTCTGGTATGCGCGCGTGTCGCTGTAGCCATGCGCGTCGGCAAAATGAAAAAAAAAATTCAATGAAAGATGATGTCTCAAAACCGCCAAACTCACTGGTTTGACTGGAATCCTGCTGCTGCACAATTTTAACGTGTTTTTGGATGGGGTTATGATCGAGAATAAGCTTTATGTGGCCTCTCTGGACTCCCATGTATTTGCACTAAGTTTAGTCGGGCACCATTTGCAGTCATCAGCCGACATTTGAGGCAAAAAAAAAATAGGTAAAACAAAAAAAACACCACTTTTTGGGCAAGCTCCATACCAGAAACCGGAGACTTTTTTTGGGGCCTAAGACGTCTGCACTAGTAAGCAGGAGGTCGTGGGTTCGAGTCCCATCCGAGTAGTTTGTAAAAAAAAATTCTCGTAAGCCCTCGGACAACACCGAGTGTTCAGTGTTTATAAAATTCATTGGCAAAAGGCAAAACCCAATATAAAAAAGATTCTTCTTCCTAAAAGTAAAATAAGTGGCTACAAATACATGTAGATGTATAACTTAATATATATGCAGCAAACCCCCAATTGGGGTTTAAGACTTTTATTGGGATACAATTATTGAAATTGGTAAACAATTGTAGTATTCACAACTTAGTTTTCATTGATTCTTAATGGCATACAGCCACGACCAATTACACTCCGTACATGTTAATCTCAGTGAAATGAAATAAACTCGATTTTTGATGTTACTGTTGTGTCCATGTATTATCAGTGCTAGTTATAGGTAATGGTGCGCATTTACGGGTAGTACGGAAACAGGTTACACTATTGAAGTAAAACACGGGTACTCGGATACCCGTAATCGAAACCCCACCCCGAATCTCGGAAGTTGTCTGAAGGGCCTTTTAGCTTTACGGTGTAACTGCAACTTTCGCGAGCGTCAAAAAATAAATATATTTCATAACGTGAAATCTGTACTGGTTTTGCATGTAGCCTGGTTTTCATTATGAAAATTCCACACGAATGGCATTCAAAACCTTTTCTTGGTCTTGTTCGCTTTTGGACTTTGAATAAAGCAGAACAATTGTGCTTTATAGCCAATGAACACACTGTGCAAAAATTGAGAAGCAGTCACAATCACATGATGTTTTGGCTTGAAACCAATCTCTGCTTACCGCAAAACGTTAATGCTAAGCATGACTTGTGTGCATGGGAGATCCTAGAAATTTGACACGAGGCTGTCGGGCATCTCACTCTGAGCCGATGTTACTTGAGAACACGACAGGGGTGCACTGCAGATTGCGTAGATTCAGCAACACGCAGGCATGACTGCTGACAAATCGCGGGACCGTCACTAATAAGACTTTCTGCCCAGCATTACCTACAAACAAAACGAAAGTAAGGAAACTGATGTCAATGATGAAAAGGATACACAACAACAAAAACCTTACTCTGAATTCATCAGAACGCAAATTTTCAGCATGTTTGAAAAATTGAAATTTGCTTGACAAAATGAAACCATTCCAGAAGCATTTTTTTGACAGATTGAGGAAACATTACAAAGTTTTTGCTACGGGGGTGGGGGATGCAAATTCTGTACTTGCTTTATTAAGTAAAGATAAACTGAGATATATTGCAGCTGCCAAAATAAATCAACAAGTCACAACATTGTATCGGCTACGAAAAAACATACATGCAGAAAACTAAAAAGCATAAATGAACCGGAGCAGTGACAGATGGTAACAATTTCCAAAACATTCGATTCCATTTCTGTTTACTTTTGTAGAAGAACTGGTCTTGATGTAATGTAAAGATGCTACCAGATAAGTTTGCCGTATGTCTACAAGAAAATTTAGGTTTTTCAGGGAAAATAAAATTCGCAAAAGATGAATGGTGAGATTTGAAAAGTTGGAAATCTTACAATTGATTCTAAATATGGACAGAAGACAATTTTAGGATTTTTAATCAAGATTCTTAAATGGCTGTTAATTTACCTTTGAAAATTCTACTTTGGAATTTGGTCTGGTTGCCGGCAAAGTAGACATGTGGACACTCCGACATGATGAACGGATCCTCATTGTAGTAAGGATAACAGGCTGCCAAAATAATTTTAAAATGATTAATTACACTTAAAGGGAATGTACATCATTGGCTTTTACTGCAATTTTCATAAATGAACTATTTGAGGGGTTAATATAATGGATCAAATATTGTTTAACTACCATGTTTGAAGTTTTTGTGTTCGAAAATGCTTGAAAAACCAAGAAAAACAAAAATGTTTAAGTAGTCTGGTTCCCTGACTCCACCAAAGATAAAAATGGATCAATTTATAGATGTCAGAAAATTGTAAGGTAACGGGGACCAGTCTAGCTGGCCTGCACCCGTTCATGAACATGTAACCAATAGCAAACAAAATTTGGACTGAAAAAAATTGTAAATTGGAGCAGTAGTTGAAAAATAGTTTTTCCAACGGTGGTCGGCCGACCACCGTTGGAAATGTATACAAAAATACAATTTTCTTGAAAATGACTTGACACCATGTGCCATAATTTTACAGAATGCTTTAGGCTGGCATTTACCAACATCCTGGTAAGGTATTTTGTAAAAACGTGGTAGTTTTATTTTTCGATGTTTGCAAATGTTGTATATTCCCTTTAAGGAATGTACAGAGATTTTTTTAAAAAGGCACCATATTATTTAATCCTTTCATTTATCTGCATTTATGTTGTCTTTTCGAACTGTCTCATTTAAATCTACATCTTTCAAGCAAATTCTTGAATGATGACGTATTATTTTGTTTTGTTTAAAGTGGAACGTTTACAAATTATATTTAGAATTATCTTGGGTTGAAGTGGCTATCATACCAAGTGTGTCGGGAGCTGTAGGAGCGATGTGATTGGCACTTAGGGTAGCCTCCAAGATTCCAATGCCATCCTCCATGTCCGTGTACTGGAATATGTCTGTAATGTTCTGGCCCGAGGAGCCAAGAAACCTGAGAAAAAAAGTAAAAAAAAAATACCAACAAGATATTAAAATAAAATAAACCACATAGAAAAACTGACTAGGTGTATTATAATCATTTTTTTCAAAGTTGAACAAAGAAATTGACTGGAGAGGGGTTTGAACCTGCGACCTCCGGATTACCGTTCCGGTGCTCTACCAACTGAGCTATCCGGCAAATTCAAATAAGAAATAATTGAATCCTTACCTGACACCATCGACGGATGCCTCGTAGGGATTGGTGACAGACTGCATTGTGGGATAGACAGACGCCTGAGGGAACATACATCTGTGCAGAGGCTGCTGGGGTAGGAAGCAAAAGGCCGGGTCGGATGGGCCTGGCATCACGTCCACAGCGACACAGCTCTGTCGTGAGGTCAAATCAAAGGTTATACTTCACAGACAACATGTTTTAAAATCTGGATAGCTCAATAGCCATTGTGCGCTGTACTTATGTTTGAAGCCATGCGCTGGTTCCCAATCTCTCAATTTGAACCATGGTATGGGAACCAGTGTAACCACTCCCATTGTACATTTATCACAAAATTCTAAACGCGATTCAAGTATATTAACACTTTTTGTCTTAGCAGAAATTAATACAAAACATATTTAAGTCACAAATTAATTTTAATTTCTAAGACATGAATAAATATAATAGCTTGTGGTTATATTATGACAGATTTGTTTCCAATTCCATTGTTATGGGAGTGGTAATATGGTGGACGATGACTTCACTTTAGCCAATAGGCTATCCAGAAAGATGAAATTTATTTCATCATTAATGATAAAATATTCATAGAATACGTAAATATTCAGCACAGAATCGAACATCGGGGGCCTGAGAGATTTCAATGTGAATGCACAGACTTGGGATTTCCCCCATATTTCTCATCCTATGTATAAGTATTCAACTTACAGAAACTAAACAATTATGAAGAATATGAAATGAAACCCTTTGCAAAAACGAAACTCCACTCACTGCTAGTTGCGCTAGTACATCGTCCAAGGCCTTCACCGCTTCCACGGTACCCGCCTTGACTTTACGACTCAGATATTTGGCCTGAAAAGAATTAAATTATCCCATCAGCACTTGTATTACACTGTAGTACATTATATCTAGTCCTTAACCCTAACCCACCTCACTCCTCCAAAATCCTCCTGGCGGTTTTGGAGGATTCTAGAGGATTGAGGATGAATGGTGATTGAATCAAATGAGGATTCTGGAGGATTGAGGATGAATGGTGATTGAAGCACATGAGGAATTTGGAGGATTGAGGATGAATGGTGAATGAAGCACAAGAGGATTTTGGAGGATTGAGGATGAATGCATTTTGAAGCAGGACTGTCTGATGATTTTGAAGGATTTGGTGTTGGTTATCCTTCATTTAAACACGAGTGCAAAGTTTTGGGATGAGGAGGATTTTGGAGGATTGAGGATGAATGCATTTTGAGGCAGGACTGTCTGACAATTTTGAAAAATTTAGGCGGAGTTGAAAAATTTTGGAGGATTTTGGAGGATTGAGGATGGTTGTAAGCAACAAGGGCCTAGGGGGTTATTAATGAAGCCATAAACCATAGAGGGATGGGACAGGGTTAGGGGGGTATAAGGAGTAACAGACAGGGCGTTTGAGGTAGTACAGGGACTAAAGGCACACATCGTCATATTGAATGTGTGATTCTAAAACCTCAAATTGTGGTTAAGGTTTTTGACTCATGATCAGAGGGTCAGGGGTTCGAATCCAGCTGCTGGTCATATGTTGTGTCCTTGGGCAAGCCACTTCACCTTCACTTGCCTCTCTCTACCCAGGATCATAAATGGGTACTGGCAATAGCTGGGGAGTAACCTGCGATGGACTATCATCCCATCCAGGGGGAATAGAAATATTCTCAGTCGTTTCATGTCAAGGAAACCAGGAATAAACACCGGCCTGATGGGCCATATTGGTTCGTGACAGACTTAACTTTTTACTGCAACAAAGAGAGCGGCAGGACCCTTGAACGTACTACGGCCATATGCCCGGCACTCTCTGAGAGTGAGAAGGGACTAAATACTCACCGTGCTGAGGACATCTGTCTGCTGCGTGTTCCGGCTCAGACTGTTACCGGCGATGATGACCCGCACGACCTTGGAGTAGACTTCCTGCTCCTCGGGGCTCCCTAGCTGACCCGTGATTAAATCCAGCAGAAGCTGAAGGTTCATGAGATGGTGACCCTCCTCGCCGAGACCCAGGCCAGACACCAGTACAACATACCTACACAAACAGGGTGGGGGAAATATGAGTGAAAACAAAACTTGGCAACTATGGACAAATTCGGCAAACAAAATTAGAAGCCGTGGTTGGCTTATTAGTGCAGAAGTCAGTCTATGCCCACCTGTCTTCGTCCAGTTGCTTGGGTGGTAGCTGGACTGGCAGGTCGGCCATGCAGAAATCGTCCACCTCAAACTTGCCGTCATCTCTCTCGTGACCACTGACTGCTACCACAACACCTGGTACAGCATTAAAAGAACATCCAAAAAATATTAGGATTATCTCAAACTCCAAATTCTCTTTGAGAACTTAAAGAAACATTCTTATTCTTATTTGTTTCTACAATCAGCTATTGTGTTTGAGAACGAGTTCAGGTATCTTAGTCCGAGTACTTTGATCTTAGAGTACAAGTTATGTGAAGCCAAGTCAGAGTACTTGGACCACTGAGTAAGTATCAATAAAACAGACCACGTGCACCTCCAAGTAAGGAGATTTTTTTTATTTTAACGAAAATTACTGAATTTCTCTTTGAGTCCTAATATGATTGAGTATGAGTACTTTGATGACAGAGTACGCGATAGCGAATAGTCAAGTTCAAGTACTTTGCTTCTTGAGTGCATGTACCATGACTTAGAGTCTGATTATTTTTATATTTGAAAGTGAGTACTCTAAAAAAGTATGAGTCCTGTTTTGCGGCTACAGCTTTTGGCTCTTGCCACTGGTGTGTTACTGTGGATGTAGACATAGCCGTTTGTAAACAGTCTCTGTTCAGCCACAGCCTTTGTCACAGCGGTTATTTTGCTGAGTTGCAAGTGTTGCTTACCAGTGATGGCTTTTTGCACGTCCACGTTGCCAACTAAAACGATCCTTTGGAGTTCATCTTCCAATATTAGTGTGTCCGAGTCTGCAATGTACTTGTCCCTTGCTGGTTGGGGTACCAAGTTATGCTGCAAAAAAAGAAACATCAAACATAATTATTCAAAAAATCCTGATCAGGTTTATTCTCAACTTGCTTTCAAACTAAAAATTCTAAATGACATAGCCCATCATTTGCATACATATTGTGCAATACTTGGTTTTTAAGAAATCGTTATGGGTTTTATTTTTAATATATCTTATAGTTGAACAAAGCAATTGACTGGAGCGGGGTTGAACCTGCCACCTCCGGATTGCTGTTTCGGTGCTCCACCAACTGAGCTATCCAGCCCTATTAAAATAATTATAATGTACGCTCAGTTGATGGAGCAATCCGGAGGTCGCAGGTTAAAACCCCGCTCATCGACTTTGAAATAATTGTAATGAGGGACAAGATTGTCAATTTAAAAAAAAGTCTGAAAATTGATGAAAGGTCCGAAAGATGCATTTCTTTCTATACCGGTACTAATAAATAAAACTGATTATGTCTCTCTCTCAGATTCCAAAAGTCAGTTTTCCTGTGTGATTTATTTGAAAAGTTTATTTAAAAAGATATTTTTCCATACATCCAGCAAGTTCTTTAAGTATCAAACATCAGTCGGTTGTCATTGATCATTGGTGAAATTTAAGCCATTCTAAAAAAAAATCTGCAAAAATTCAGCAGTACATTACGTTGATATGATGCAGTAAATTTTAGAGACAATTACAAAATTGACTGAATGCAAAGAAATCAACTGGAAACACTGTGCAGGTAGGGACGGGTATATAATTATCAAGTTTTTATTTCAAGGGGTCTGACAAGTAGAAATAATCTACAATGGCAAAATTGACTGGCAAAATTCTAGATGTTCTTACGTCCTCGCTGATCTCCTTGAGAATACTGGGCTTCAGCTCCATGCTCTTGAAAAGTGTCCCAACAATGCAGCACTTCTCTTCTGCCTTCATCTCATACAACTTGCGCATCACAACTGACTCTCCTGAAAAGAAATGAATAAGGATCATATTGAGATGTGTCAAAATGAATCAGTAAATTTTCTGCACCAGGTTCAAACAAAGCAAGAAGGTTTTAAAGCTTCAGTCCAGCATTTGCAGCTATCCAAAAAGTAACTGACAAAATTATTGCTGAAAAGCATACTTGGTTTAAAGATGGTAACGGGACTAAAATCCCTGTGATATTACTCGTTCTAGCAAGCTGTCATTTTAAAGAAAACAATGAAAGAAGGCCATTTCCAACGAAGACGCATAGTTGGAAATTTCCATCAGTAGTTCGTTTTTAATTCAGCGAAAAGCACGCCCTCGTTGGCGGTTGATGTCATTCATCAGTTCAGTGCGCGACATCACGTAGCTGCACTTGGCTGAATGAGAGCATGTTCAGGACGCTGAATTCGGGCGCAATTCAAAACGTGACTCTGCAACTTTGCTTTGAAATCGGGATCCTAGAATATTTTTTATTTCCCCTGAAGATACAGCATTCACTGAGCTAAAACTTCATCAGGTTAGTTGGTTAGCACCCTTCTTTAGATATTGAGCACTTTTGTTGCTTCAAACAAACATAATGCAAAAAATACAAATGATGTACTCTACCTTTAAGCAAAATGAGAGAAACTGGCAGTTTTAATTCGGTTTGTAACCTTGGAAAAGTTCACGCCAAATCAATGTTTTTTTTTTAGCGGATATAAATGACGCAATCTCAAGTGCAATTGCTAGATTTATGGTATATCAAAGCAAATTTACCCCATCTCCTTTTGGCAGTCTCCAACAATCGAGGACGCATGGAGCACAAGCGTTCAGCGTAGAGATGCGCATACTGCCGCTGAAAATTCCTGTCCTTCTGCAGAAATCGAGTGGACAGGTTCTCGTAGGTGGAACTTGGTCGCTGAAAGGTGACATTGTCTGTTGATTCTTCTGACATATTTAATTGTTTCTTGCTGATTGGATGGGATAGTGTAAGTACGCCTGGGGTTGTCCTGTAGATCACATTACTTCATGCTCTGAGAAAAAAAAATAATAGAAGGGTGCACATAGATATTGTATAGCCTATAGGGTTATGAGAAGTACAGGGACCGAACACACAAAAAATTCCTGCAGGATCAAGGATGGAAACAGACCTTTGGGTTTTATCATCTGTGTCATATATCAATCATATCCTCTGCATTCTGTTAATCATTCAAAGTCTGTGATGCCTTCCTCCATGATTGTAACAAGGACAGCCAATAAGGAAACAATGTAACACTAGTAACAACAGGCCTATGACCCTACAATGATTATTTAGGATGATCCTAAGCGTTATGTTTATGCATGATTTAAGTCATTGACATATTTAGTTGGGCGCTGATCGGGCGATCATGATGGATAACTCAAAACAAATTCTCCAGAGCTGTGAATTAGAAATAAAAGGTGTTCGACTGGCGACTGGTAGCAGCGTGATCGACTGGTAGCAGTGTGATCGACTGGTACTAGTGGTAGCAGCGTGATCGACTGATAGTGATACTTGATAGCATCATGATTGACCGATAGGGCAGCTCGATTTACCGATCGTGCACACCGACTGGTCGCGCCCTACATGCATACCGAACGTGACATGTATATGTATCCATCTTCAAGTTCAAGTTCAAGTCACTTCGTCCGTCAACAGGCGGCTCCAGGGGGACCAAGAACCCTGTGTTTATGACCCCTCCCCAAACCTACCACCAAAAAAACTGCCTTTTAAAAACAGGCTAAGCCTGGCCATAACAATTAACATTAAACCCCCATATAGTAGGCCCCCATATGATAATGGATGATGGTAAGAGAACGAGTGAAGACTTTGTAACTTGTTTTTAAATAGTAGGCCCCTAAAGATAAACAGCGCCCCCTACCGTCAAAAAAGGTCCTCCCCCCCCCCTCCACAAAAAAAATGATTTTGATCTGCCCTGCACTGATTTTTCACACTCGATACACATATTTCAATTTTATAATGTTAGCGTAATTTAAGTAAATATACAATCAAATTAATATCTTGTTTGCCTTTGCATTTGTTTACAACTGACCAACTATCAACTATTTATTAAATTTACCTCAGGTTAAACTTCGCGCGAAAGAACTTCAACTTGCGGGAAAATCCTGCGCCACGAGACATTCGGCTCTTTCAAGCTATGTATTTTAAACGTTTTAAATGTATCACTTTTTAAATCTATTCTACTATAATAGCAAAACAATATATTTATAATTTGTGGAAAAGAATATAATAAAAATATAATGTGCGCTATTTTTCAATAATTTATATTATTTTTTTTAATGTAATTTAGTATTGGAAACTAATCTCCCAGAATGCACTGTAATATTTTGAATGACGTCATCTCGGCCGTGTTTACATGATCATCGCCAGCTGTTTCGCAGTTGTAATTCTTTGTTCGTCACTGAAGTATTTACCTCGAAAATTGTTGATTCAGTCGCCCAAAAGCACATACATTAGTGTCAAAGCGATGTTGAAGTTGTACTTAAATAGAAGGTCATATTTTGGCAGCTTTGAAAACACTTAACAGCAGGAACTATTGGGGAAATCCTTGGCTTGGACAATGCTGTGAAATGAAAAACCGCCAAAACAACAAATGAGTGACATTGCATGTTGACAACAAAAGCGACCGACATCGTGAATCAACCATCACAGAATTTTGCTGTCTTTGAAACGTGTTGACAAAAATATCGTTGGTAAATTTCTTTGCCATGCTTTTTATATATTTTGAAGGCAGGCACTGACTTGTTTTCTTTACTTAATGTAGCTTATATAACTTATAAGTTATAATGTTCTTTTTATTGCCATTTTTGCCAAATAAATACAAATACTGTTTTTATGTATAATGTTTTCCCTTTTTTTCTTCTTCGTATTTTCAGTGAGTACAACTACAAATGTATACAAATGAAAAGGGATGATATTGATAAATGTTGTTCGATTGAAGTTGCCCGTATTTCATATTTAGTTCAAAAAGGGAAGCTGTGTTTTTGCAAGGGAAGAAAATTGCCGCCAAGTTCTACTGAATGGAGCGCTGGAACTAGACTGCAGTGCCCTCCGTACTACCAGAGGGCACCGCAGTTCCAGCGTTCCACTCGGCTCAGTAGAACTAAAGTTGTCTTTATATGATTTAATTTACAACATTTCTTGGTCTTGTCAATCGGCAAACTTTACTGTTTGCTAAATTTACACCAAGAATTGAAGGAGAGCATTATTTTTTTCTTCAAAACCCACAGATCACAACCATGTCCGTGTTCCACCTCACAAGTCGCTTGGTGCAAGCTCAGCAGGCTAGCGCCCCCACTAACCACCCTGAAGAAGAGAGCATCAAGGCCGGCCGCACCGCGGAAACAGACCTCATCAATGCCCTGAGGCAACAAGGCGTACCCTCATCACATATCTTCCGGGGTCTACGAGTGCCGGACGGGTTCCAGACAAGGAAATACGAAATTGATATTGTGGTTTTGACTGGTGGGTTCAGAGTCTTAATCAAGTCATTGCAAGTCAGTGATATTGTTACGCCCAAGTATGGCATCGCCCCAACCGTAGTTGGGATTATCCCAACTAATAGGATCGTCCCAAGTATAGTTGGGAATTCCCCAACTATTGTTGGGACTGTCCCAACTAAAGTCGGGACAATTGCCATAGTTGGGGTGCAAGAGCATGTCAGTCAAAATTCAATCACTAGTAATGGGTCGTAGCATCGCAAAGCCAAGTGACAACCCATCAAACAAATTTTTAGCATTATGATTTGACTTGTGATAAACTAAATAATTTGTTGTAGTCGAGTCCATCACAAGTCCAGTCAAAAGTCCTGTCACTAGCACCATAGGAAGAACAATTTAAAAGAGACTGCTGTTGTCACTAGTAATTTGAACAGATTGTAACTTAGTTCGGCCAGGAGGACTTGTGATGAACTCGAACGCAACATTGTTGATTACATTTCTGTTAGGTTTCAAGGCTTCGGGACGTTCTTAGAAGGATTTCATATTTTCAAGAACTATTCAAGAAAGATTCTTTATATTCCCTGCAATTTCTGACAAGTATCAATCCAACAATGTCTATTCCTTCATCTAGATTACGGTCTGTTTACCATCGAAGTGAAGTATTGGTCTGGCAAGGTCTCCTTGGCCTCCGACGGCAAATCTTGGATCCATCGCAAGTGCACCTACTCCGACAAAAACTCCAGCGTGACCTATGACGAAAAATCTGATGACCTCATCGCCGAACTCAAACTGAAGACGCAACTTTTGCGGAATCACCTGTTGCGCAAGGACGTCTGCCTGGCCGAGAAGTACTTCCATCCCCGCGTCGTGTTCATGAACAAGAAGATCGAGATACAAGACGAGTTGGTCTCTAAGCTGGAGGTGGTGTCGTCACTCCGATACCAGGCTTTCCTGCAGTCATTTGAAAAAGGGTTGGGATGGAGCGTGGCCAGTGCAATCATTCCTTCATTTCTAACTGGTGAGAGTCCAAATTCGCTATCGTTATTTTTTTGCAGAACTTTGATTAATTTTCCTTTTTTCCCCCCCTGAAGTTGCCCATTGCAAGGCTGAAAGCCAATAACCCTCTTACAGGGGTGTGAAATCTCAGCTTTAAAGCTGATTTCAGCCTTTTTTTGTTTTGGATTTCAGCTTTTTTTCAGCTTTTTCCCTCACTTGCCGTGTACAAAAGTATAGGAGATTTCCAAAGTTCAGCTTTTTTACAACTTTTTCAGCTGTTTTCAGATATTTTTATCAGTGGTCACTCACACCCCTGCTCTTAGTGGGGAGTCAATATTCAGAGCAATTATGTGAAACCCTTTTAAACCCTGCAGGTCAGTTTCAGGTGAAGGGATATGAAGTGTTAAAGTAACTGTGTCACACATAGAGTCACTGCACAAAAAAACAGCACTGTGGAGGAAAGTGAAGCATAAACGAATCTGCCTGCTTGCCCTGAGCTTAACCATACTCCACAGAAGATTACCTCAAAGGAATTTGAAGTGTGGGGGCTAACTCTTCAGGCTTGTAAAGTGGAGAAGACTAGGACGGTTAATCTGCCCATATTCTTGTATGATAGTGCTGATACGTGAAGTTAAATTCATAAAAACTGTTTTAAGAGACTAGCGTGTGACATATGGATGGTGTAAACAAAAGTTTCAAAGCTTGAAAAGACAAACTCAGAACAATAATTTTTTTTACCTAGTTGTGCACAATCAGACATTTTAGATATTCTTTTGTCTTAACTTGTCTCTCTGTAGGCCAGTTATCATATGGTGCAATGGAGATGGCTAGGCAAGCTTTGAGTAGCATCGGCACTTGGGACGTCATCTGCCTACATGGAGATAGACAACTTTATGGTCAGTCTTGGAATCAACTCTGCCAATCTAGAAAAATTTGTTTTCAATTTATAAATGACTACGGCTGAGGCGATTGTCGTCGCGTCAGTGCAACAAGGTCGTAACTCCATTCTGCAACAAAGTGGTATCTCGCGCATATACGCTCCGTGCAACAAGGTCGTTTCTCGACGTCCACTGACATTGTGTGTACATCCGGTTTATTTTAAGTGAGATACGACCTTTTGACATTCTGAAACTCGCGTTTCACGTACGGCCCGTTTTAGGAAAAACGACATTGTTGCACAGACACGACGTTGTGTAAAGACATAACGACTTGCAATGAAATTAGAATTGGTTGAAACAAAACAATCATGAGTTATTCACATAACCCAGTATGTAAGGAAATGAAAGAGCTCTAGTTAGATGCTGTTTAGCCTGTTAAACTGTTTAGACCCGAAAGTAATGCAAGTTTCCCTATTTTAGAAATTAATCATTGATTCTAGCTAATGAAAGTCACTGCTGTATTGAATTTATTCTGTTGACAAAATCAATCCAGTTGATGTAACCTTGTATTGTTTTTGTTTTTCAGGCGACTTCAAGGGTAGTGCCCACTTTTCTCCAAATCGCGAGGAGACTGGAACATTGGAGTTCAGCCACCAGCGCAATGCATCAGTCTCTTCATTATGGGCAGTGCTTGGCTATTCACCACAGGTACATAGTAACAATGACATACTTCAGTTCTGCATTTATTCTTAAAAAAAATAATATTTTCAGGTCATAATTTCATCCAATATTTTATCCTTGTTGTTCATTCTGTCCTACCTTAATATGAAAGGTTCCCTTCCAAATACAAGTTTTCCTATTTATTTTTTAAATGGCCTTTAGAATTTCCCACTTTGTAAAACCACCATGATACAGTTGAACACCTTTATAACAAGGTCCTTGGGACTTTATTGTTTTTATCGTTTTGAACAGTACTTTGAAAGAAAAATGCGCCACTCTTACCCATTTCTAACAGTTGAAGACTTGCAATTTATTTCGTTGTCTTATACGGAAAGGGTTCCCAAACTTGACAATTGCCAATTTTGATTTTACTTATCTGAATTTTCGATTGTAAATAATTGGACTCATCAGAATCAAACATATTTGGGGCTGTCTCTCAAGGCTGAAACACTGGCATCCTTTACTCCCAAAAATATCTCCACCAGCACTCTTCAACCATCCTAGAAAATTATATTAATTATTGCTTACAAAAGCATTGATGTGTACTTTGCTCTGTATATGAATATCAGCGGCACACCGTTATTTTTTTTTTTTTTTAGGTTGTGGTCACCATGCATAAACGCTGTGGAGGTAGCTGGCTGTGGGGCACCAGTTGTGGATCGGTAACCATCCCGTACAATGCCGAGATCACTTTCCGAGTGGCAGGGGACCAGGAGGACTCCAAGATACCGGCCAATGACATCCAGTCGATCAATCTCAGCATCTAAAAAGGGTGTTCTGAGCAATTTTGAGGGGATTTTTTTTATTTCTGAGCACTGAACTGATTTCCTTTGGCATATGTAGGACACCATGCAAGCCAAGAAAAGTTGGGCAAACAAATTGTTGATAACATTTTTGTGCTTATTTTATGTGTCGAATTGAGCATATCATATCAGAACGGGAGAACATTTTGAGAACACTTTATGAGGGGATTTCCCAGAAAAACTAATGAAGATGGGACAATACCAACTACAGTTAGGATTGTCCCAACTACAGTTGGGACTTCCCCAACTATAGTTGGGACCATTACCATAGTTGGGACGTAACATCATCCTCATCACAGTCCTTAATGTCAGTGTTCATTTATTGTTGATATGGATTTCTTTGAGGGGACTTATACTTTTAGATTTTTGTGGGGCAATATAAAAAAAAAAGAAGCCAAAAATGATGGTACAATGAGGTGATTTGTTGCCCATCAAACCTGCCATTGCTGACATTTTGTATTTATTCCAAATTTATTTTGTAATATTATTACTGTTAATTCAAAAATCTTTTTTGCTGAACCATTTTTTTCATATTTTTTTTTTTTTATATACTTTTCATTTTTATATTCAATGTCTGTGCTCATCCAAATTTATTCTCCAGTTCGCTTTTGCAATCTTCTTTGGGCACTCAAATTGAATTTTTTTTCGTGGCAAAATGCAGAAATTTTTAAAATAGGATTCTGCCGATATGCTGATAAACTTTAAGCTTACCTGCAAAAAGAAATGGAAATTATTCAAATTTGTTTTAATAATAAGACGTAGTGGCCTGGTCGCGAAATGTGCTAGCAAAATGAATTGTTAGGAACGCACTGATAAGTTTGTACCTTAATTGAGGTGTTCTAGTTTTCACTGTGATTGTTTGGGGTTGAGAGTTAAGAAAAATTGCCCTGCATTGGACTTTGTATTTTTCGAAAATGTATTTGATAGGGAGTGTTTCAGTGGTGTGTAGGTTGTGTGTGCGTACATGTGTGCCGGGTATTTGAGATTTCGGGGGTTATCATTTTGAGGCGTTTGAATTTTAAATAATTTTCTCCATTAGATTTGTAAATATTTAAAAATATGTAGACAGTTTTGAATGTTTTTTTTTATCGGTGTGAATGAGCCATGTTTTCATACTTTAGATTTTAGGATCGTAAAGTATTCACTAATGTGTGATGGTTGTAATGAGTAACAAGTTATGTTAATGTTGTGCTTTCTGTTTTAACATGTTAAAAAGAAAATTCAGATGATGTGGATTTCATAGTCGAGGATTCAGTGAAAATGTGTCGGAAAACAAATCAAGAGTTTGTTTCTGTAGGTGCTTTGTTAAAATGAACATGAAATTTTTCTTGAGTAATCAAGATTGTATTTTTCTAGTCTAGGCCGTGTAATTGACCGTAAAGTCGGTACAACATTATTTGAGAACATTTAATAAATTTGAAAACCAAAAAACAATCCTGATAGATATTTTCATTAGAATACATATGTACCTCAGATGCAATAGTTAATTAGTGAATATGAAATGTAGTTTTATAAAAATTGTTAAAGTATATTTTTGAAGCATGGCAAAAAAGGGGACAACAACGACATTGAATTACTTGCTCAGTAACACATACAGAAATTGAAAGAGCAATACCCAATTGTTTGTGAGTTCAAGCATTTCGAACCGAAAAAGCACCAGTATTTTGACATATCTTTAGAATATTTGATGACAATTTTGAAATGTAATCCGTCATGCAATTCAACTGTTGAATATCACTGAAAGTATTTCAGGACAATATGGCATTTTTCATTGGTATAAGCAGGGTATTTTGTGGCTTAAGAAGATTGAAGCATTGTCATGACACCTGTATTCTTTGTTCTTTGTGCTAAAGTAGGTTTGATCTTACATCCAGGAATTTGTTTTTCAGTTCCAATTTGGCTTCTTTTTCTTGTCTTGCCATATTTATTTATTGATTTCATGTTTAACTTATCACAGGTTCTTTTTTCTGGAAATGTTGCAAAAAAGTTGATTTTAAAAAAATGAGCACTTTTGAAGACAGGACAAATTCTGTTACTCTTGCATTGCTATTTATACGGAAGGCACCGTTATTGGATTCCATGTACAAAAAATTAGTTTTAAAAATGTAATGATTCTGTAAATAAACGTGAGGATTTCACTTTTAGGATTTGTGTGTTTTTTGTACAAAGTTATTTATTTGGACGGAATAAATAACAGTATTGATAATGATCAATTTGTCTGTTCGGTACTTTAATTGTGTGTGTGTGTGTTTTTAAAAGGTTTCTTGATTATCAGGGTTGTATCGTTACATCCTTGCAATTCAATCGCAAGATCGAGTCTACTACCGTCAAGCGATACTGAAAAGCTAAAGGAGTAGTTTAATGGTAGACAACGAGTATGCTGTTTTTGTTCCATTAAAGTTGTTTCTGTTCCATTAAAGATGTACACCCCATGCTCTTAAAAAAAAGTGTGGCTTTTTTTTTTTTTTTTTTTTACGAATTTTCAATTTGTATGTTTTGTTTAAAACAAAAAAACCTACTTCCGATTTTGGGCATCTCGGTGCAACCTTAACCCACTGAAAAAAAAGGTTTTCATTTTGTGCACAAATAACACGGCATGTCTGGCAGCCAATCGTGAAGAAATAATTCAATAACTAAACGTCGGTGGATTTTGTTTTTCAGTATTGTTATTGCTAGGAAAATAGCAATTGAAAAAAAAATCGAGGTAGAATTAATGTGGGAAACGCATCTTTAAGTTTATCTGGTCTCCATGCTCTATGTTAACAATCTATTGTATATATCCGATTTCGTACTTTGGTACACAAATCGTTATTTAAAAAAAAATGACCATGAAAATAGAAGGCCCGAATTCTCTACACGTGCCCGCTGTATGTACTTCGCTTTGTGATGTAAACAAAATCACGTGGTCGCGTCGATTGTTTGCATTCTGAAAGTAGGGCACGGCTCAAAGTTCATCTCTATGGAAATCACTGACGCCGTACTTATTCATACGCGCCCCACATTTTACAAAATTTCTCTAGAAAATCCCTTTTTAAAGTCATTTTCTCAACAAAATTGGTCAAGTATGATGATTCAAAGCTGAAAGTGCAAAACAATAACGGTTTTCGGCGTTTTCTAAAAGCAGTTGTCTGAGAACTATTTGTTTTTAGGAATTCATCGAATCGTTGTGTAATTCGGCTCGAAATCCAGCGGCCGAAAGCAGGCGACGTCTTTTTCAAGTTAACTTTTAACGTTAGCTTTTCTGTGTTTTACTTTTAGTTGCAAGTTCGTAACAATGTCCATTATAGGTCAGAAACCGGAGGTGAAGCTATGGGATGAGATTTGTAAAGGTATTGCATGAATAAGCAGATAAAATAACCAATTTTCGTTAACTCCGTTGTCGGTGCGTGATTTGCTCATGTATGCCCAGTTTCCGGACATGCCGGCAACTGCCTAGTGCCTTTTTAAAGGCTTTTGACATGGGTAACTTTTCACAGTGCAATATGAATGATTAACTTCTTCTCGCATGTCAGTGCAAATCTATTGTATTTTTACGCTACTTCCAGGACTTTTAGCTCTATGAAGGTTTTTTGCAAAATCGTTACTTTTATAATCGTGACGTTACTACTAGGCCTAGCCTAGTAGGGCCTATCATTCAATCTTATCTTGTTCCTTGCTCTCATCTTTTTGTCTTTGAGTTTGACTTTGTTTTTGAATTTGTTTTCAGACCACCAAAAAAAACCTTTTTAATATTAAGATAACACAAAAGGCTTGACTGAGTTTAACAAAAATGTTTAAGGCAAAGTCAAAGACGAATTGGGCAGAACTATTGACTATAATTTTATAAAACTTAAATTTACTGTTATTTTGAAAACTAACATGAAATATTAAAAATGGTCTGTTTGTTCCATTTCGTTTGCATAGAATTTGCCTTGATGCGACCGCCTTTTCCCAAAGATGATGACCAAGGCTCAGTTACCACGGATATCACCGAATTCAGGCCAGAAGCTCACTCCCCGGTCATGTTTGGGCACAGGGCCGAACGCGTAGAGGTGGACAGCCAAGCGGCAGACGATTTTGACCCTGCCAGCTCGCATCCTGCTTGTGTAGGCTACACCATGATGGAGAGACCATCTAAGCCAGCCACGCCCCCTCCCCCTACACCCCCACCGAGAGAAACATGTACGTATATCTACTGGAAAGATGTCTTTCCCTGAAATGATATCTCGTAAAGACGTCTTTCTGGGATATCCTTTCTAGGATAGACCTCGATCTGTGAAATCCCATCTCGTATTTTGGAAGGTCATCTCTGTTGAACTTTCTGTGATAATTTATCATGCAAATGCAGAATCCCTGATAGTCACTTTAAGCCTGACTTTAACCCCTTTAAGTATTTATAATATTGCTATTCCCTTAATTGGTAGTAGTTTCAAGGCATATAAGATCATTTGCTTTTCATGAACTTTGTTGTACTTCCAATAACACCAACGTGCAAAATCAAAAGAAAAATATTCCAAACCTAACCTGGTGAAGTTTCAGCTCAGTGGATAACCATGCACAACCGTTTGATCCAAAACAGGATTTCGTCCGTAGCACGCTTTATTTCCAAAGTCAGTCAGCTGCCTGATGATCGTTGGAAATTGATTTCTTCTAAATGACAGTAAGCCAGACGGAATAACATCACAGGGTGTTTAGTACCTGTACAATCTTTAGTCCAAGTTACAAGCTTTTTGATAATAATTTGGTAGGTTATTTCGGGATAAATGCAAATTGACCTATATGCCTTTAATTTTAATTTTTACTTTGCTGTTGTGATTACTCCTCAGGTATGCCTCGTGAATATTTAGAGCATTACATCTTCCCTGTTCTCCTTCCTGCCCTGCTGGCAATGCTGAAACAAGCCAAGAAGGAGAAATGCTTTGAGGTAAGTTGGAAGTTTAACTATCTTTTGGGCCCATCTCAATTCACATCCGGGACAGGTTCCTGACAAGTTGCTGGTAGAATCATTCACTTTGTCCGGAAGAAGCTCTGCATTTGTCCTGGAAATGCTATGGGGGAAATCTTCATTAGCAACTGCTTGACTCACCAATACTGATAACTCCATTGCGGGAAGATTGCGCAGTAGTTGTTTAGAATCCTGCAACTTATACCCGATACAATGTCCGGAACTTGTCCAGAACTCGTCCCGAATAAGAATTGACGCGGGCCCTAAACAATGAATTTTCTCAATTAATATCCTTGTACATGTGTTTATTTACCAAAATTCTGTCCAAGATTTTTCATCTTTTGTTCCATTATTATTTATGTATCAGCATTCTAAATAGCAAAACTACATTAATTTCTTTGAGTTTGGAAGGGTGACAGAAAGTTACAAAATTAGAAAAAGAGTGTTTATGTTTTTTGTTTTTGTTTGCAGAGAAAGCGATTTCGATTCAACGGATGCGACTATTTGACTGAGTATTTGTGGAGGTGAGTATAAACCACTCGGCTTCACCTCGTGGAATGGAACATTCCATCTGTCACCTCATGAAATTATTCTTACTGTTGCACTCATAAACATTCGTTATTTGTACAATATTGGATTTATTTGGTTTTCCTTTCTGCAGACACAACCCCAAGTATTCTGGCAGGGAGTCGGACCAACTTGAAGAGATTCCATTCGTCAAACAGATCCTTGCTGAAAAGTACGTACACATAAAAACATGTACATATGCTGAAAATCATGTTTGACAAATTGCTATGACTCCGATCGTAAAATATCTGCAAATTCTTTATCAAATGGCATAATGGTCACTACCTGTGCTGTCTATGGTCGTCATAATCATGCCGACTCAGCACTTGGTGTTGGCTCCGCATTTTTCTCACAGTTTTTGCCGTCCATCACAGCTTTAAAGGCTGGCCTAAAACCTACCGTGCGGTGCGCTATACGATCTTTGCCTACTACAATGGCGACACTGACTTTCTGGTACCCAGATGTAGGCAGAGTAACGTGGGTCAGTGAAAGCCCTCTATTAGAAAATTTGGCGAGACCCAAAGCACATATCTGTGCCGGTGCTCTTGCATCTTCTGAAAAGCAGCACTCATTTTTACAAAGCGATTTTTGATTATTCAAACTTTAAAAAATGAGGATGAATAACTTACACAACATAATATTAACCAAATGCAGACCAACATTGCAGACCCAAGACAGATTTCTAAACACCAAAAATGACGTAGAGGGTTTAGCCTTTCCAGTATTTCTTTACTGTCACTTTTACCTCCCCCCTACAGTCCCCGCCCACCCCTCCCTTTGTCGCTGATATGGACAGAGCACGAAGCGGCGGTCGTCATCCAGTCATTCTACAGAGGATTCAAGGTAAAAGCGCAATAACACCTGGCCTACGTTGCACTGCCTTTTGGGTAGTATAACATAGGGCTGTCCTGAATATTCAAATATTCGATCATTCGATCACCAGTTCTAATATTAAAAAAAAAAAACTATGCACATACCATACCATACCATGGCAAAACAGCAGAGGAATTGGTCTTGCAAAGCCCAAATTTTGTCCTTCCAAAGTTGTGGAATTTCATTTTAAGATTTTTGTCGAACCCTGTAAAATCCTGGACTTCAAACCTCAGCCACATTTGAAAAATCTTTGATCGGCCACTGGTCTGTGAAGTAAGTTCAGTCTTTTGTATACCCCCTCCCCCTTCTCTAGGTGAGAAAGGAGGATCACATCCAGGAACTGCGGCAGTGGCAGCGAGAGTGGCACGACGAGAACGCCGACATCAAACTCAAAGTCGACGAGTTTTGGAAGGAGCACGAGCCCGGCTCGGAGCGAGGCAGCGCAAGGAAGATACGGGACCACAAGAGCCACAGCGCCCGGTACCCTGCTTGCTACAAACTCAGGACGTGGAGTCCGTCACCAGAGCGGAGCTAATATTACAAGGCAAGGGGCCAGTGACATAAAATAAAATTAACAGTTTTATCAAAAACCGTCCGTGCTTATTGGTGAATCCAAGCATTAGGAAGTAAAGAAGCAGTAAAGTCTGTCTGAGCAAAAATGGCCCATTAGGCCGGTGTTTATCTTCGGTTTCTGGGCATGGAACGACTGAAAATATATCTATGTATTCCCCCCTGGATGGTTGGTTACTCCCCAGCTAATGCTGGTACCCACTCCTGGGTGGATAGAGGCAAGTTGGGGTGACGTGGCTCGCCCAAGGACACAACATATGGCCAGCAGCTGGATTTGAACCCCTGACCCTCTGATCATGAGTCATAAACCCTAACCACTAGGCCACACTCACCCACCGTTTTCGAACCCCTGATCACGAGTCACAAACCCCAACAACTTGGCCACACTCGCCCACCGAAGCATTAGGAAGCCCCTTGGTAATGGCGGATGCATTGTGCTAGCTGCATAGCGAAGGGATTTGTTAGGCATGGAAAATGTTAGCTTCGCAGAAACAACAATCTTGTGTGAAGTGTATTTGTTGTGTCTTTTTGGAGTTTTACTGCAGACGTTTAATGTGAATAAATTGCAGTGAATTGTACATTGGCAAAACACACGTTGACGGACACTTGATTACATGTACTGCTTTCTTTTGTCATATTACCAGGTTTTCTCGTAAAAGTTAGATATGATCTTGGAATATTCCACATATTATATTTGGTCTTGAACAAGCTTTAAAAAGACACTGGAAATGCACATTATTTACTTATACATACATGAAATTGTAAAAAGTGTGTACATATTTGAATAAATAGAAATGAATCACAAAAAATTATTCCTGCACCCAAGTCTGTTATTTATTTCCGTTTTTTGTCGTGTCATTGACAAAGAAGGTACATATAAAAAAAGCTGATTATGGACAGTCTCAGTTAACAGTCTCAGTTTAAAAAAAAAAATCATACATTTTCACATTATCAACAGGTACAGTTTATTTTATAAAAAAGTTATACGTATATTAATTTTCTGGGTATTTATCTTTTCATTCTTGTGTGCCTTCATACTTCATTTCAGTCTACATTTAAATTTGAGGTTGGCACTGAAAGGTGAAAAGTTTTAGTTAATTTATACATTTGAAATTTAATCAGAATTTCAAAAAAAAGGAGAATTGCATGAATGTTCATAATTGAAAAATATTGGAATAGAGACACACATAGTACATTTGCTAACCAGCAGATAAGCCCTCCGATGGCGATTTAGGCATTCTAGAATCTGCTCCGCTGATGAGCCAAAGCATCCTCCAATACACTTTGGCTAGAGTGCATTGGATTGTCCAGCCAGCAGACACACGCTAAATCATAAAGATGCCTTCAGGTCAACCTTGTGACAACACCAGAACAGTCAGACTTTTCAGGATCAAGCTGCGCCTGAGCTACGACCGTCGGGAACATATCAGTCGCCAATTTTTTGTAACCCGAGTGTAAATGTGATGACATTAAGACGACCAGCATCAGTCCGTGCTACAAGAAAATTAACAGTTCTAAGAGTGGACAAATTTCAACTTCTGCACCGCGAAGGAACGTGTTCCCAACAAGCGGGAATTAATGCAGTTGACTTGTGTGAAGTTATGCTGTGCGCGTATCCGGATCATCAAATTTTATTGTGGATTGTCACGTTGTGGGTGACATGAGCATGGTGGCGATTATTCTGTGTCAATATGTCGCTTGTTCCACGATAATCACACAATTTCTCAGTTTTGTGACTTGACCATGACTTTTGTGCTTGATGCCGATTGTTTAGTTGCCGCGCAAGCAAATTGCAGGTCCACCTGAGGCTGGCTTAAGAGCATGGGTTAATGGTGATGCACAGCACTTATAATGTGATTGGCCGTGACGAAGCCGATGCACAGCACGGCCCACAGTAACACCAGTATCACCCAGGCTCTGTGCCTGAAAGGGGACGTGTGCTTATTGCTCCAGTTCTGCCCGAACAGCTTAGCGGTCTTCCTGCGGCCGCAGTAGACCAGAAACGCTGGGATGACATACTGAATGCCCGCACCGGCGTAGGAGCCCGTGTAGCCCACGAGCCCGGTTACGTCAGTGGTGATGAAGGCAACTACGATCCCCGGTAGCAGGGCCAGTAAGGGGAAGACGATGCGATCAACGGCCCAGTGATACGGCCGGCCCTCCCGCGCAAACAGCATCTTGAGATTGTTCCGCAAGGTGATCCCGATAATCGGGAAATTGGTGCTGAGCGTGAAAACCGGGAACAGCGCGATGAAATACTGGACGGGCACCACCATGGTGACCCCGTTTTTATCGCCGAAGAAATTCAGCGTGTAGATCTCTTGTATGCTGTTGGTACTGAACGTGAAGATGGCCGTGAGCGAGATCAGAAGGTAGAAACCGAGGATCAGCGCGTAGTCTCCGCCCAGGAGCACCGAGAGCCGTTTTTTCCGCTTGATGGGCGTGACTAGCGAGGGCAAGGAGTGGTGACACATGAAGGAGTAGACGCACACGCCAAAGAAGTTGGGGATGCTTTCAAAGGCTCCCACGGCAACCGGTCCACCTTGGCCCTTGCCCTTAGCGAGGACGATAAGCGCTAGGACAATCATCATGGAAAATGCTGCCAAAAAAATAAATGGTATCTTAACTATAATTCCGGAAATTGTCCGTCCGTATTACGATTATCTCCAGAACCGGGCACCGTATGAAGTTGAAAATCGGCGGGTGCATTGCTCGGCAACCCGGAATGTGCAGTGTCAAGTTTGAAGTTGTTTGGACGAGCGGTTCTCGAAAAAGTTGCAAAAGAAACCCCAGGACATCAGCACCATTTTTCCTCATAAAAGATCAAACATTTTGGCCTGTGTACGCATGTGTATGGCGCCACTGATTTGTGTGACTTCACAATCAAAACTGCGTGCGTAAAGTTTGGTAAACAAAAGAGACGCGTAGCTGGCCCCATATTTATCATAAAAGATTTGGCCAGTGTATGCATAGAGCAATGGCTGACCTTCACTGGGGGCTATTCCTTTATCAACAATGGGTACTTCACTGATGAGGGTGTATTCCATTATCAACAATGGGTAAATAAAACACACTTCTTCCTCATGTTTTCTTACTAAATTTCAAGGAATCTCTGTGTCTGTCCACATTTTTAAAAAAAATGGGCGTTCAACCTGTGAGTGTGCGTTCGACCTGAGCAAACACCACCATTGAATTGTGTGCGTTGTTTGCACAAGCAGTTCTCAAAAACGCTGTAAATACCAGCAGCCAATGAATTTGCCCCTCCCGAACAGGCACATTCAATGACGTGCACTGCACTGGTTGAACAAATTTTGGAGAGTACAATCCTTGATATATTTTGACACAAGAAATATATCTGCTTGACAAATATTGGTGGGGAATTTTCAAAACAATTTGTAAAAAAATAATAATTGTCTTACCAAGCCACCGGAAAAAGGTTGTGAGGAGCTGTAAATACTTCGTCTTCTGAACATTGAAGAACACGAAAATACCCAGAGCTATGGCAAACACAGTCTGAAATGAAAAAGAAAAAAAATGATGCCTAGTTTCGAGGGCCTGAAAATACGGCCAAATTAGGGCTAAGGTTAAAAAACAAACACCAAAATATTCACAATACACAATGTACACACATTCAAAAATATAAAAAAACACCAACTAACTATTCATACAAATACCAAGTTCATAAAAAATGTCCATCAATGCAGTTAAAAATATGGTACATGTACCAATGTCATACGGTGCAAAACAGAAAATGTTTTTTCACAAATTTAACGGTGATGCAAACATTTTTTCCACTTCCCCTGCAATGCATTTGTACACAGGATAGTAGATCACAATAGTACATAACATTTGTGTATTAACAAAATGACTAGTAAAATCCTTATTATAAGATGGAATTTTTGCGTCGGGGAGATATAAATCAAATTAGGTTTTGCCCTTCACCGACGTTTAAACACTGTATACTCAGTGTGTTACCTCCCGAGTGAAAGTTGGAAAAAATCACTTGGGTTGGACTCGAACCCACGACCTCCTGCTTTCTAGTGCAGATGTCTTAGCACTCGACCACCGAGCTAACGGGATCGGTTGGCCGGTTCGAATCTGATGTACATAGCAGTGGGTACCGCGTAAATTATTATAAGATGGAATTTTTGCGTCGGGGTGATATGAATCCCATCAACAGAAAAAAAGGAACTAGTAAGTACAGCTGGCATGTCAATCACCTCCAGTCAAAGCATGGCTATATCAAATGAACAAGGGAATTCTCCATTGAAAACTTGATTGATTTTGACTGCTGTGATGGCATAGCTAAATTCTGTTTGCCAGAGAGGGAGGGTTTTAAGTTAAAGGTACAGTCCATCATTTGTAATTTGTGCATTTTGTTCGTTTAAAGCAACAAGCGTCCTCGAAATCTAAAGAAGGGTGTTGAACAACTACTAAACCTGATAAAGTTTCAGCTCAGCTTCAGCTATATATTTCGAGAAAAACAACATTCCAGGATCTCGATTTCAAATCAAAATGTTTTGAATTGGGCCTTCTTTCATTGATTTCTTCAAAATGACAGCTTGCCAGAAAGAATAATTTCACAGGGAGTTTAGTCCCCTTACTATCGTTCAACCAAGTGTGTTTTTCAACAATAATTACGTCAGTTACTTTTTGGATAGCTGCAAATGATGGACTGTAGCTTCAAAGTACAAAAAGAATAAGCAAAGGTTACAGTTGTGACATCCTACCAAGTAGACTCTATAAGCGTTCATCCTGGTTAGATTCACACCTTCCCAGCAAGGGTCATCTTGCTCTGGTGATGAGGAATTCTCTGGTGTGTATGTACTGTAACAAAGGAAGAAAGTCACTGCCGTGAATCATAAATTATTTCCAACAATGCAGTCTTGTAACAAATAAGTTGACAATGGAAAATTAGTGCAATAAAGGAATGATGCCTTTCCTATTCGACTAATTGAAGTTGCATTCCCGTTCGTTTTTTTTTTAAAGTTTAATCCTGAAAAATAAATTCCTTTTTTAAATTGCTATTTTTCTACCAGTATAAAATTTATTCACTTTTGAAAAAGACATCGACCAAAAAAAATTGGCTCATGTGTAGTTCTTGCATTATTACTTAACAATTGCAATTGTTGGCTGCCAGACAATAATTCTGTTCTCGAAAGATAGGCTGGTTCCCCGCCCACAATCAGTATCAATAATGTACAGACCGGGAGCCAGTCAGCTTGAAAGACGGATCTTGGTTTGTTTCAGAAATTTGCAGACGTCCAAATAATAAAAGAATAAAAAGAGGTTTTTGGTTGGTATAAAACAGACAAGTTGAAAATTCATAGAAAAAAAATTCGAAATTGTTGAAGAGCAAGGGGAATGCAACTTTAAAGCTACAGTCCATCATTTGTAATTTGTGCATTTTGTTCGTTTGAAGCAACAAAAGAGTTCAAAATCTAATGAAGGATACTGAGCAACTAACCTGATGAAGTTTCAGCTAAGCTTCAGCTGTACATTCCGAGAAAAACAGCATTCTAAGATCTCAATTTCAAATCAAAAGTTGCTGAATCATGTTTTGAATTGTTTTGAATTGCAACTATACGCGACGTCGCGCACTGATCCGACGAATTATAACAACCGCGCGCGCGTGTGCGTCGTTCGAATACTTGTGCGCGCTTCGCTGAATAACAAAACGAACTACTAATTTAAATTTTCCTACGGTGCTTCTTAAGAATCACCGTTGGAAATGCCTTCTTTCGTTGATTACTTCAAAATGACAGCTTCCCAGAAAGAATAATTTCACAGGGAGTTTAGTTCCCTTACTATCTTTCAACCAAGTTAGTTTTTCAACAATAATTACGCCAGTTACTTTTGGGATGGCTGCAAATGATGGACTCTACCTTTAATAAATATTCACAAAGAATAAGTGAAAACTGCAATTGCCAGTAAGAAGTGGCATTCATGAAGAAACTACGATGTCAACAAATGCTAGTAAACAAAATCAAAATGCAGAAGAAAACTGAGTCCAGTGTCCACGGAAGTGTTTCCCTTACCAGGTAATGTTCATTAGTGACGTCGGCACTGTGACTGCATAGATGGCCAGGTCACCGTAGAGATATATCACCATACACAGATAGAAAAGGTTTAATCCAACTGCAAGCAAATAATATGGAAAACAAAGTTAAAGGTGGTGGCAGCATGACTCTTAAAACAAATATGTGAGCACTGCTCTGAATTTTTGGACACTGTATCAGGTTGGCATAGCTGTACTTTCCTGGCCTGAAGAGTATTTTGTATATTTAAAAGACTGACTGACCAAGCCATCACAGAAACAGCGAGCTATTCCTGAAGAAACGGATATTCCTTTGAAGGTTAAGAAAACCAGCAAAGACACACAAAAAAATCAAGTCAAAAATTCCATGTGGGCTGCAAACATGAACTAATTAGCCAAATTTGCCTGAAAAACTTTGCAATGGAATTGCGCATTCAGTTCATTTTGTTTGTGCAGTTTTGGGGTCTGCTTTCAAACTCATAATGTATGTATTGAACTTAGCGGGATTCGAACCCAGGTCAACTGTTGGGAGATACTTACTTTTATTGAAGAATAGAGAAGCCATCTTGGCCATCTCGACGCGCTCGGTGATCTCAAAGAAATCCTGGTGTTTACCATCTGTATACACTGCAATAAATGACAGTGAAGAACAAAACAATACCTGAATCAAATAAAGACAACTGTGGGGGTGGGGGGGGGGGGGCTATCAATCTTACTCGCAGCGAAGGACGTAACTACTTGGTCAAGCCAAAGACATGTAAAGGCACCTTAGGGCAACCACTGTAGGACCCATGTCTGACCACGGAGCACAGCCAGATTGCGAGCGCTGATTTTTGTGGAGGAAGGAAAACCGGAGAACACGAAGAAAAACCCTCGTGGCATAGAATATAATCAACAAACAACTCTACTCACATATGACCCGAGACGGGAATCGAACCTGGGCCACAGCGGTCAGAGGTGAGCGCTTTGCACCACCCACATGCCACCCACAAAAGATTTATTACAGTGCAACTTACACTGTGGAGCCACAGGCGGTTGCAACAGGCTCTGCTTCTCATCACTCTCAACTTCGTGAAGGAAGGGAGGCGCCGTGGCATCATGGGAACCGCTCGATGAGTCCTCCAACTAAAAAAAAAAGGTAATCCTCAGGACATTTTTTTTCACTTATTGTTGTTTCATGTGCAGTGGAGAGTATATACTCTTTATGCATACTGACTTCCCACTGAGATGGTTAAATAATACACAAGTATAAAAATTGAGATTTCCTGCTGATTTTCATTGTGAAGATTCGTAAAAATTCAGTTTGTCGAAAATAGCTCTGGCAACCTGTGATTTATTTTTTTTGAGGGGGGGGGGATCACATTTTGTAACACACCAGAACTTGAAAGTAAATCGAAAGATTCACTGGTACCCTATTTACATTCCTTAGTAATATTTGAAATGCTAGTCATAATAACAAACGTCTATCACCTTACCTCTCGTTTTTTCTCTTTACGCTTGAATCTGATCACAGCATTGGCTGAGGCCATGGCTTCAACGACGAAAGTAACTGTCAGATAGCTGGAAATAAACAATCAGGGACTATTCACTGACTGGATGAGCAATGTACACACACTTATCTATAACAATAATGGATACTTATACAGTGCTTTAACCAAGGTCAAAGCACTTTACATTATTATTACCCCTGATCATCTGGCCAATGAAACATTCCCAAGACAATCTCAGCTCTGTGGGGAGTGTACAGCTCGATGCTGCCATATCAGACCAAAACATCTAAAATCAATCACAATAACCATCACTGCCCTCACAGGTACCCATTTGATCTTGGGTGGAGAGAAGCAATGTGTGAAAAAGTGCCTTGCCCAAGGACACACGCACCATGACCCCAGGCTGGACTCGAACCCACAACCAATGACAGTACACTTCAAATGATACTGATTAATAATTTCTTTTCTTTTTTCCAAGTTAACAATGCACACTGAAACTCATTCACTATCACCATAATGTAATTGAAAACATTGAAAACAATCTTTTATATGGAATGAAATAAGGACCAGACTTGTGCTATGAATAAACACTTACCTGACAAAAGCCAGGATGATTATGAGAATTCCCCCCATGGCCCAACCAGCCCTGGCAAATGCTAGCGGCATGGTCAGAGCACCGGTGCCAACGATCAGGTTGAAGACGTAGACCAAACCCACCTATCAAGAATTAGAAAAAAAAGCAACAACAGAGGCTGCGTAAACAGAAATTCAGAAATACTACCTACTAGCACCACTCTGGTAGACGAGTACAAAATCTAGAAAAAAAAGCAACAACAGAGGCTGCGTAAACAGAAATTCAGAAATACTACCTACTAGCACCACTCTGGTAGACGAGTACAAAATCTATGAGGAATTTATCTGTTCCCGACCTCTTTTATCTTAAGCTCGCGCTCGGAAGTAAAATTTTAACAGAACTACTGTAAATAATACAAAATTAAAAACCCTAACCACCAAATATATTCTTATGTCTTACTTCATACGTACTAGTATTAAACGTCAGTCATGTACTGACTTGAGGAATGCCAATGACTGTTTACCAAAAAAGTAGGCCCTACTTTCTTTTTAATTAGTATTTAGGCCTTTACTTATTTATAGTAACCTTATAAAAAGTAATATTAATTTACACTGACTGAATGATATTGAGCATGTTGAGATTTAAGACTCAAGAGTCAGATTCAAAGGCCAAAGGCAATATTCAAGATAATATTCTTACCATAGGTGAGTAAAGTTCACCCGCTTCTGTTAGTCCAGCCCCAGGCATCTTTCTCAATAGTTCTTATAGCATATAAAACGTTAAATTCGACTGAAAATCACTACCAAAAATAACCAGGAAATGACGAAGTTGAGTATCACTGTCACTGTCAGCTGGCCGGATTAGTATAACTCGTGATGAAGTTTTTGATAGGGCGCCCTCTGTTGGGCACTAAATACAAGCGCTGGGAAAGATCATTTTTCAAACTCAGATTTTTGTTCTGGCATTGGCTTTACTATCTTCAAAATTCAAGGATCAAAATGGACACACTCTTACATTTGGCCTTATATTACAATGATTTGACGTTCACTTGCAGAAAATGGATCTGGTATCAAGCATGTGCATCCATCCTAAGATCAGGGACCAACAGAAATTATGAAATGGACTGTGAAGCCAGAGCCGGTTGTAACTCGAGCTTTCAAAAATGCCGCGCGTGTTCTCCATGTCTATTGGCCGAAAGTTAATGCTGGAATAAATTCAAGTAAAATCGATCAGACCATTGCCAGACCAAGCACTGATTCCAAACCAATCCCCATGGATCCAGATTAGTGTTTTAATCATCAGCTTAATGTCTTGATAAACTGCAAAACAGTCAGCCCCCAGCCCCCCCCCCCCCCAAAAAAATCAGATTTAGAATCCTACCCTGAAACAAATGAACTGTTCCTGCACTGAATAACACGATTAAACTTTCAAAAAAGAAATTTAAAAGAAAAAAAACAAGATTTTCTGGTTTATTAGCTTTTGGCAAAGTTTGCAGCTACAATAAATCAGACATTTGAAAGTTTCTGGGCTTCAATTCTATTCTTTGAACAAATCCACGTTAACGGTACACAGAAAACACATCTAAAAACCAGGGTTCGACTTTAGCAGTAGCCCACCAGCCAAATTAATGCTAGTTAAAACAGCGGCGGGCTAGTCAAACTCCGTAAGTAGCCCGGCTGGAAAGTCAAACATTACTGGGCTACGGCAAAGATGAAAGAACAGGAAGAAACAAATTATTAAATTCAGAAAGCAAACCTGTATCAATTTGTGTCTAATTTTTATTAACCGTTTTAGGGTTCAATTATTATTTGTTTATTTAAAACGCCGACAAGATTGCCTCAGGATACACCGTAACATGTATGCACATTGTTTATTAAACATTCTATAAAAGAAAAGTTAAACACCCCCAGGCTAGTTAAGAGTATTTTTCAGTAGCCCGCTTGGCTAGCGGAAAAAAAGTTAAGGTCAAACCCTGCCTAAAACTCAAAATGCATTCATGTATGAAAGGCCTCTCGAAGTCTTCCACAAATAATTTCAGCGAATACATGCAGCAACTCATGAAAAAGATGCTGCACAGTACAGACACATCATGTATCAAAATTTGAGGGAGGCGATATGGTCTCTCATTTTTTTCTTAAAGCCATTTTTTTGCAAGCTCTTGAAGGGGTTGGGGAGCTGGTTTTTCCCAACAATATTGTCCACGTCAAGGTATATCACAGATGTATTGTACCTGGAATTACTGTGGATTAATTTGACATGAAATATTCAAACATCAGACATGATAAGTTGCTCAAATTCTAGCTTCATTCTGTGGCAGATCAGTTAGAACTCTCCAACAAATTTTTACATAAGTTCATTTAATACTGGAATAAGTGAGGCCTTCTTCTCTGAAACCCCCCTTAAAAAAGTACCCAAGGGAGTCTGAAAACCCTACAGAGACATGCCATGTCAGTTCATTAAGATTTCAAGATGTAATTCCCTGGTTCAACTGCACGGCAGGGTAAAGCCGAAAGCGTGTATTTCCAACAAAAGAAATGGAACACATCAATGAACATGCCTCCCATTTCCTTGCTCATTAAGCAGATAAAAATTTCACATCTTCTAATGACTGCGATTTTTTAGCACAAATGGATAATTTGAATACAACAGCCAATTCGTCCTTACAAATATATCCATTTTCTCAGGGACAGACAGAAACGATTGGTACATGGTTGCAGCGTTTCTCTCGTTCCAACTAGCTGGATTTGAACTCAATAGGTGTGGGTGGGATTACGTCATCCGATGAAAACATCTATTCATTTGCAGACCAGTTTTCATCGGTTGCTATGTGCTACCATTCAGCACTCCAGACTCAAGAACCATTGAGGTTCAAGAACATGAAAGTCTTGGAGCTAGATAAGCCAATTATATAACAATTCCCGGATGTCCGCGCACATCTATATGTGGAATCAATCACATGATCTCATATTTGAGGCACGAACGTCGAGGCCATAAACACTCCACAATGTTGGTCATGTCCAAAATGCAACAGTTTTAAGTGCTCATCAAGACTGGATGGTCCTGCCCATGATGTCCCTTGGCTTTTCGGTAGGCCAAAATGGCCGCCTCCCGCGAACGGTCAAAGTTGCGCTTCTCGGCGTTGCTCATGTGTTTCCTCTTCTTGGCCTTGGCTGCATTGTCTTGCGACGTTCCTCCTGTCCTGTTTGGTTTCTTAGATTCGTCTCCACTGTTGTGGTTCCTTGGAGTAGACTCTTGTGGTTGGAGCATTGATTTCAAGAGGAGTTGTCGCTTGCCAGGCTGCATAGAGGAAAGATAAATGTACATTTGGTTACTTCAAGCTTTTTAAGATTAGTGTTTGTCGATGGACCTATCCATTAAGCCAAAACCCATGATTTTATATTTTTGACAAATCACGATTAAAGGCAGATAGGATCATTTGCTTTTCATGCATTTTGTTCGTTTCCAATAATAACACCACTCAAAATCCAATGAAGAATGTTCAAAACCTAACCTGTTGAAGTTTCAGCTCAGTGGATATTACACTTTCAGTACAGTGAAAAGCCACGCACAACCTTTTGATCCAGAAATACGATTTTTGTCTATAGCACTCTTTACTTCCAAAAAATAAATCAATTGAGTGATCATTGGAAATCTCCTCCAATTTTTCAAATTCTCCTAAATGACAGCAAGACGCACGGAATAATTTCAAGGGGTCTTTAGCACTAGTACGATCTTTAAATTAATCCAAGTAAGCTTTATGATAATTCAGTGGGTTACTTTTGGGATAAATGCAAATGATTCTATATGCCTTTAATGTATGGCTACCATCTTCTGCTGTACAAGCGACAAGGTGAAGTTGATGAAAAAGAACAGCATCATCGAAAAAAAACCAACGAAATATGAATGAGAATGGGCTTTGCCCGTATGTTACCTTGTCTGCTTTGTCGTTGCTTTTTCTTGGCTTCGCTGAAAATACGGGCGGGGCTGACACGACCTCCCCGAACTCAACACGATCTATAAAATCAACCAAAAAAACACAATGAATAAATGTATACACATGTACAAAGTACTCGTACTCTTGCAAATGTTCTCCTGCAAACATTTAAAAATTATTGTAATCATATTTACCTTTGAAGAAATCTTTTTCTTGTTTTTCCAGTGTTTTCTCAAACTTCCTGCTTTTAATCTTCTGCTGCAGTATGGCAAACCTCCTGCGACAAAATTCGAAGTCAAAGTGAAAGATATTCAATTTGGCCCAGAAGAATGATCCTTTGAACATTTTGTAACATCACATTTCCTGTGCATTCTGTTTCTGTAGTGCAGTTATCTTCCACAAGTTAAAAAAAAACCATGGTGCTTACTTTAGCAGCGCCTTGACATAAAGTGTCATCAAATGTGGAAGTTTCAGCTCAGTGGATATTACATTTTCAAGAGAACAGTGAAAAATCATGCACGACTTTTGGCCACGAAACACGATATCATCAATGGCACTCTTTATTCCCCAAATCAGTCAATTGACTGATCGTTGGAAATCACCTACATTTCTTGATTTCTTCAAAATGACTGCAAGCCAGACGGAATAATTTCACGGGGTGTTTAGTACCAGTATGAACCTTTAATCCAAGTAAGCTTTTTAATAATAATTCGGTAGGTTACTTTTGGGATAAATGCAAACGATCCTTTGGTTTATATTCAGGATCGCCTTCGTGTTTGTGCCAAGAACTCACTCTTTGTTCTTCTTGATTGCCTGATCAGACTTCAGCCTTTCACTGCCTGTCATGCCATCAGTCTCCAGCTTGGATCGGACTTCAGTCAGCTTCTTCCTAGCCCCGGAGCCGACTCGCTTCATGAAGTGATTGTGGGACTCCCCCGGTCGTCGCTCGACAGAACCCAATTTTTGCACGGCTGTAGATCAAGTTTGGGCGAGATCAATTAGGAATGCATGTGAATTGTTTTTGTTTTGCTGAAAGAACACTTACTTTTTTTGTGATCTGTGGACAGAACTTTAAAACAGTGGTTGTGTTCAAAATTCTGTAACTTGAAAAGTACATGAGTGATATGGATGATTCTTGTACTCAAAGAAAGCTTAATGACTGGGCTTTCATATCCTAGATTTTGAAAGTGCCACAGGCAAAACTTCATTCCAAAACTGGTCCTGCCCATTTTTTTTGTTTTTTTTGTTACTCACCTTTTAGTTTTACACTTTTGAACTGAACGGGGCATGTGTGCAAGAAGGACCAAGAAGTTTTGTGAACTTCTTGCTAATGAAGTACTATCATCTGGATTCAAAGGGTTCTGGAAGTTTTTCCTTACAAATTTATATTTAATACACAAGACTGTACCTCACCTTGTTTTTGTTTTTGTTTAGGTGTGTGACCTTGTTTTGCCAATTTAGTCGCCTCCAGCATGTTTTTGAGACTGCGTGGTATCTCCTGAGTAGAAACATGTTTTGGGGCTCTGTCAAATTCTTTCTCTTTCCTGCAGAAAACAAAAGCAGTAACACCATATTTCAATGGCTAACGTTGATCGGCTTTGCATTTTCAAAAAAATGCTGTGGCCATAGTTTAGTTAATTAGTATTTAGTAAATTACATATTTAATACAGAAGTTGAACATCACGCTATATTCACGCATGCATCACACAAATGGTTCTCAGAATCCACTTTGGCACTTGGTTGTCAGTGCATGCATAGCGCTTTGTTACTTTTTGTACTCATAAGTTGTAGCGCATAGGCATATGCAAGTTGTAGCACATAAAACACTGCGCAAGTTAAATTTGTATGCGCTAGTTAAAATCTGTGCGCGAATTGCCACAAAATTTAAATTTGGGCACGCAATTTGTTTGCCGAAATTTGACAGGTCGCAAATTTTAAAACTGCGCAACCATATTTTAAAATAGCGCGCAAAATTGCGCACGCTCATTAGAAATTTGCGCACTTTGCAAATAATTTTATAATTTTATGCGCAAAATTTACGTTTGCCGACTTACGCCAATAATAACGCCCTCCGATTCCCGGTGCAGAAGGGATCCACAGCTTTTACTTTCTTATGTCTTGATTTTGGCATGGTGATGATTGAGAATTTGCAAAAACAAACACTGAAACCCTGGGAAATATCGTTTATTTGGTACAGAAATATTCTACTACACCGCCGGCTCTCCAATTGCTCTTCGTTGTAAAAACACGTGTGTAAGCATGAAGCAACCGCTAGTCTGGCTACCTAATTGCGACTAGCAACTAAATAGAAGAAATGAAGTTCAGGTACTAGGCCAACCCATCGGGAGAAAAATTAAAGGGGCACTCGCTTTGAAGAAAAAAATAATGGTACAAAGTGGAAAGCAGAAAAGTGGTACACATTTTCTTTTTGTTGTAGTTATGACAATAACATGGTAAATTCTTCTTTAATGGGTTTGATTTACAGGATACCTTTCCCTTTAATTTGAATTTGTCTATTGTTTAAAAATAATTTCTAATTGCCAAGTACATTATTTTTTTTTTTTTTTTTTTTTTAACTTGACTTCAAAATAATGGATACAATATAAAACTGTTATTTGTTTTACGACACATACTCTTTTCAAAATTTATTTCTCACAACAATGTGCACGAAAGCTGACAAAAATGTGTATGCGTGTTACACTATAAACACCGTATTTCAATTTCATAAGTACAGGTACATCCTTGTAGGTTATTTGAAATTCAAAATCTCAAAAATAAAAAAAATATTTACTGAAATCTTGAAAATGACTCAAAGACCAAATATGATGACAATTTCATAATTAACAAATTGGAATGTTTCTAGGAACGTCCTAAGAAAATAAGTCAACAATCGAAGGAAAAAAAAGACATAAAATGACATAAAACCAGACAAATAAAGAGAACGCAAGTGGGCATGCAGGAAGAGCAAAAAAATACAACAGATTAAATTTAAAATCAATGCCAAATAAAACAATGCTGACTGAATTAGGTTCTTTAAAGAAGAATAATGCGGAAAACTCTTTCAATTAATGTCTTTACAAAAATAGCACAACTCAGGTTTAGCTAGCTCTATTTCATGTACTCAGAATAAAATCTAAATCTAAAACGACAGCTTTTGGAAAGGGGAAAAAAAAAGCCAATTTCAATACCAATGAGTAACACCTACAAGGCACACAATATCGCAAAGAACTGCTTTGGATGGTTATCTGGGAAATTATATTGATTGAAAGTATCTTAAGTTTCAGTAGATTCAGCAGGTTTTTTTCAATGATCATTATAGTGTGCATATGTTTAAACACTTTACCATTTTGAGGATAATCGCAACATGCATCCAGATTTTTCAGTAGAGCTACATACATGTATATTTCAAACTACCTGTAACAAATGTGTCAAAAATTCCATCCAATTCCCCTGCCATGCCTTTTACACTAGTTGCCTGCTTTTGTCTGTTGACTGGATTTGACTAATCAGATGCTTGCTTGAAATATGATCCAACTTGTTGGGGACTAGCACCAACCATCAGATCATATTTTTAGGAAGCACTCTGACTAGTCAAATTCAGTCAACAGACAAAAGCAGGCAACTGGTAGGCACAGCGGGTTTATCAATCACCTACAGTCAAAGAATAGCTATATCAGGTTTCATAACAATCACAGCCAGTCAATCCTGCTTTATGGAGGCTGGGAGCTCTCAACTGCTGAAAACAGTCACTTGATTGATTTTGACTGCAAGGACATTTTGGCAAAGAATATATGCAGGCATGCAACTGGGAAGTCACACAAAAAAGAGGAAATTCAAATCTTTCCAAGACTTTGTACAGTGTTTTTCTATTTTCAATGGCACACATGGGAAGTAAAAAAGAGGAAATCAGCTGATCCGAGGAAAAGTTGCATGCCTGTATATGTTTGCGTAGGAGTGTTAAGCTTGAAATGTGGAACTGACATGGACTGCTACTATATAATGTATTTTTATTACATATTTATAATTTTTCTTCATAATTTGATGATAAAAATTAATCACACAACATAACACATTCTGATATTCTATTCTATTGCCTTAACAGGTAATTACAATGACTTTTATTGGTTGATAGCAAAAAAAAAATGTAAATGTATGTAAAATAATGGAAACTTGCTGAAGGAAAGGTTGCATTTTACGTATTGATTTCTTTAAGGCATGTAGGACCATTTACTTTTTATGCATTTTCTTCGTTTCCAACAATAAAACCACTCAATTGACTGATCCTTGGAAATCACCTACATTTCTTGATTTCTTCTAAATGACAGCAAGCCAGACGAAATCATTTCACGGGGTGTTTTAGTACCAGTACGACCTTTAATCTAAGTAAGCTTTTTTGATAATAATTCTTGACACTAACACGTAAGCTTTTGGATAAATGGAAACGACACTATGTGCCTTTAAGATTCCATCATTGCATCCTCCTCCTCATCCACTCGCTCCTGGTAATCATACGTCTCTCGTCTTCTTGTCAGCAAGACTAAGATGTCCCCGTGACCCATGTCTCGTGCCAGCTGAGCTGGGCTGACACCGTTCATACTGGCATCTAGGTCAGCTCCGGCCTCTAGTAACAGCTTGCAGACGGCTGTGTGTCCTGTGAGGGGAAAAATTAAGATTTAAGAAACATTCATAGGAAAATGTGAATTGATCCAACAAAACAAGTCTTAACCACTTCGCGCCAGGATTAGATTGATCAGACCCAGGAGTGGGTTTTTTTTTTCACGAACCTCGATGCCAGATGGGTTTAGGCCTTCATCTATGGGTAGCACACCCTGATATTTACGGCCTCGCTCGCTGCAAGCTGGTTGCAGACAATTATTTCCGGCCTTGCTCGTTGCGTGTTTATCCGTCATCCATTCCGAATACTGCAAAACCTTTGCATGTATACATGTCATCCAACGTGAACTGGTTAAGGAAATTTTTTTCGACTCTCTGCTTTTCTCATGCAGTGGAAATTACATAATGTTCTTTTTATTTTGATGTAGTTTCTAGTGTGTCACTTGCATCTGAATAAAATAATTATGAATGGGCAGCAACACAATGCATTTAAACCGATCAATGTATAAGAATTAATATTTTAAAGGCATAGGCTATAGGATCATTTGCATCTATCCCAAAAGTAACCTACCAAATTATTATCGAAAAGATTACTTGAAATAAAGATTGTACTGGTTCTATACACCCCATGAAATTATTCTGTCTGAATTTAGAAGAAAATCAAGCAATGTAGAAGAAATCAAGATATGTAGGTGAATTCCAATAATCAGGCACTTGACTGATCGTTGGAAATAAAGAGTAATATTAACAAAATTGTGTTTCGTGATCAAGAGGTTGTGCATGTTTTGTTTTTTAACTGTTTTCTCGAAAGGTGCACAATACACTGAGCTGAAAGTTCAACAGGTTAGGTATTCAACAGTCTTCTTTGGATTTTGAGTGGTGTTATTATTGAAAACGAACAAAATGCATGAAAAGCAAATGATCCTATATGCCTTGAAAATCTTGGCAATTTCCTGATAATGGTTAGATCACATTGCACAGCACACAAACCTTGCATGACAGCCAGATGCAGTGGCGTAGCATCGTCGCATTTTGGGTTGGTAGCGTTCACCGAGGCCTGGGCCTTGTCAAGCAGCATGTGAACCACCTCCGCGTGACCCCAGTTTGCTGCAGCGTGGAGCGGTGTGTTGCCAGACTCAGAGGGGTGGTTCACATCCAGGCGCGGCTGGACCTGTGAAAGGGGAGAAAATAAACGAAAAGATTAGGTAGTTTTTCAATTCAAAAAGGTTTCAAGCAGTCATTCAAATTGATTTTGGTTTGGGATTTGTGAACAGAGCTAATGCAGGCGCTGTATGGGCTCCGCGCAGAGTTACCCCCTCAACGGTAAGAGAGGGAGAGTTGGGGGAGACCACTGGGAGAGACATTTGAACGCATTACCGATGATGCCTGATGTGATAACACTTTGACTTTGTGTACTCTGCACTATACACGTACAAACCAGTATGCTTGCACAGCAGGTTCTGTCTATGGGGTTCTCGAATGTGGTAAAAAAACGCCCTCTATGGTTGGTGCACACAGCCCACTCTCAATGGCTATTTTGTGTATACGCCAATGGTCCAGAGTTGTAGAGCTTTGCCTCTATCACAAGTCATTCAGTCTCATGTCAAGTCACAAACTATTCATATGAACTATGATGGAGGCATTCTTTTGTCGTTCTTCCTCTGTAACTGCATTGTGACTGGACTTGTAAATTTACTATTGATTTACATGGACTTGGGATGGGTTCGACTGCAGCAATGCAAAGGTCATCCTCATCATTATGAAATACAAGGTACAGTGTTTGATTCTGGTAATATTTACAATTGGTCCAATATACCAAGTAAAAGCAATTTCTGGCATATGCTGCAATTCCAAGAAACAAAAATATCTAACTTGTCAAATAAATAAATCCAATTTAGAATTCTGATTCAACTACTGTACGACAATCTTTTAAAATCAGATCAACATTTTCCATTGGACTTTTATATTCTCTAACCTTGGTGAGGAGATAATGCAGAACTCTAGGCTGGTTGTGCATGACGGCTTCAAACACAAGGGACCGGTCTTCTTTGTTCACCGCAGCGACGTCCAGCTTCCCGCTGCGGACAAGGTAATGGAGAACACTGACAAACCCGCGCTGGACGGCCTGGTATGCCCGTCGCTGCACGATGCTCGCAGTGGGTGGTGGCTTGATAGTGGGATCAACCGACACACAAGGTTCGCACAAGGGATCGTCACTTTTGAACCGCCGGTAAAAATTGACGATGTTGCTCCAAACACTGAGCAGAAGGAATGCGCGGACGGCCAGCAGTGACTGGGCAAACTCTCGGTTCCGAGTTGAGATCTTTACGTCCGTCAGCAACGTCTTGTAGTCGTCGGTCCGTTCTGAGGACAGCGTGTCCAGTATGTTCAGAAACACATGAGTTCCCCTCGGCCCGCAGAGTCGCCCTGGGTATTCCCGAAGGATCGCCGACACCAGCCTGTCCAGATCGGTTAGTTGGACTTTGCCCTGTTTGAGACCTTGGTCAAAGACTAGGCTGAGCTCGTCATGCAGGATCCCCACTTCCATCTGTAGCAGCTCTAGCCTCTGGACCTCGGGGAAGTCCGTCAGCATGAAGTTGGCAAACACGACAAAGTTGTCGCCGTCATTACACCAAGAGGCGAGCTCGTCCACCATCCCATTAGCACGTCCCAGCCAATCGACGATCATGTCGCCGTCGATGTACTGCAGCATGTCATCAAAATTCCCACGAGGATTATCCTGACGTTTGACCTCCCCACTGTCGGGCCGATCGCTGTCGATGCTGCTTCCTGAGGAAGGTCGGGACTCGAGTGGGGGCAGCGGCGTCTTAAATTTCTTGAAGTCGATGCTGGCATTGTTATTCATATTGACCATGTGCTTGTTTGTCTTTGGTTGTTTTCGCCGGGCGCCCGTAGTTTGAGGCGACAAGGGTTTCGACACCTTCTCTTCCCAAGGGGGCCTGGGTGCTAACGATAGCCCATTCATATCCTCTGCGGGTTGAGCCGTACAACTCGCTGGAGAGGGCTCCCCAAAGATGCTGAGAGAGCTCAGGGGTCGAGAGAGCTCATCATCTTCATCATCGCTGTCCCGCATCGTCAATCGCGACACGCAAATCAACTCACGCAAATCCTTCACACTGCGAGTCATCGTTCAAACAGTGCTGTCAATTATTTGGATACAATTACAATGTTCTATTTTGTTTTAATAAAAAAAACTTTTTTATGATTGTTCATCAATGAGAAGCTTTCATAACAGAAGGCGACAAAATGGCATCTTCCAAAGATAAAACTCCCTTTAGCATTGGGCTCAATATTGACTGATTTAATTTTTGAAATGAATTGTCATTTCAATGGTTAACATTGATTTGCAGCTGCAGTTGGATGTCAAAAGCGAAGAGAACAAAGGCGACGATAGACGGGAGCTTGAAGCGACAACGGAATGCCATGTCAAAGAAGAAAGACAGGGTCCTAGACATGACATGTCTGACAGGCACAGACGTCGCAACTTGAATGAAGGAGTCCGATTCCTTGAACTGCGGCATCTTCATCATTGGGAGGAGTTCTGACATCACCAGTGTTGTTTACAAAATTGCCTTTGTGATCTGTAACAAACCAAAGCAATGGAACGAACAATCAAACAAAAGGAATAATTGGGTAGATCAGCCAATGGAAAGATTTCCATATACGAAGTTCACTCGACACCCTGTGTACAAACCCTATGAGATTGGACTGACAAATTCTAAGTGTTTTCTAAGAAAATGCTTGTATTTTCTCACTGCTCAAATTGACTTTGATGACATGAAATTGCTATTTAGGGGCTTGTTAGTCAATACAGAGGAAAATTAGTGAACTTCGTATATGGAAATCTTTCCTCAGCCAATCAGAGGGACTCAGGGAACCTCCATGAAATAATGTTTTCTAAAAGATTTGGCTTCATATAGGCCTATTCATCTCAATAAAGGTCAGTGATTGCAAAAATGTGACATGAACCTGGGACTAAGAAACATTGCCAATTTTGTTAGAAAATGGATGCTACATTCTTTCTTTTTTGTTTAAAAATGTTCAAGCTGACAAAAGTCAAACATGTCAAACATGCCACGTTCACGGGTCTAGTCAAAAGTCAAACTGTGCTGCTCAAGAATCTGACAAAGTGACAACATAGGCCTACTTTCAGTTTCATGACTTTGTGTGCAAATAACTCAAATAGAAAGTAAACTAACAATGACATGACTAAGAAACATATATGAATACTGTCACTGACTTTGAAGTGGCAAACAGTAAATATAATGGGAAGTGAAAAGAAAAGGGGCCCTTTGCAAATATGGGGCGACTTGTCAAAACATGAATGTTGCACCACATTTCGTGGCGAAGTGCCAGCACAGCAGTGCCACTCTCACTTTTCGTGCGAAATTCTAAACCAATTTGAACGTCTCATACATACCAGTGATTATTTTGCAAATCCGAAGCAGTTAGGCCTAGTGTTACAACCATTTGATTTTTATCTGTTGCGATGACTGGAAAGGCCTAAAAATATGTAAAACCACACACGAATATTCACCACACACAATGCATCGCAACAGATGCGACGCAGACAACTAGATATTGCGTCAGATACCCCGCGTGATTGATGTATAGCTTTTAGAAGAAAGCGTCAGGGTACTTGACAATCAAGGTTCCTTTTTTTAAGTAGACTTAAAAACAAGTCGCTAACTGGCCGAAATTGGTGAGTTGTGTTTTTTTTTTTAAACGTAGCGTTTCTCAAAAGGATCCAATCCAATCCTCATGATGAAACGACAATTTTTTTTTTATATTTTTTTTTTGGTGGGGGACCACGTATCCACAACCCTCCCTATAACCCTACCAATGATCTTGGCCACCTGATCAAAAGACTAGTTTACTAGGTTTGCTAGTTTAATTACAAGTGTCCGCCAAAACTTCTGACAAAAGGAGAGGCCTGAACGAAATGCCACGAAACTCTTAGTTTAGAATTAGGCCTAATTTAATATGTGAGTGGAACTACATGCACAAATGAACTGGATGGAACAGCTGGACAGTACAGCAGCTTTTTTTTGAGAAGGGGAAAGTGGTACCGTACGGTACCGCTTAGTGTGTAGCCTAACGGTTATAGTTTACTAGACCTGAATTTACTTGCAACTGTCGGCCGGCTCCAGAAGAAGTGGACGAGATATTCGAAGGACTATTCAGGGAGAGATATTCGAAGTAGCATAAGCTGTGTTTTCGAAGGACCTGCCCGAAGTATCGGAGAACGGCATCACGGGCGCAACTTGGCGCAAACGACGACTCGAGCAGGACGGCGCCGGGGATATATCTTACTGTTGTGTTGCATGCGTCAAGACACCATGCAGTGCTTCACGCCGGCAGAAAAGGGAGGTAGGCCCTCAGTTTTTCTCCACGGTCTGACTAACCAAACATGTGCACATAATTGCATCGGAATCCTCCATGCAGTGCTGTATTAAAAGACAATGAAGAGGAGGAAAAGGAAGATTTCCTTCCTCCATGGTATTAAAGAGAAAACAAAATCCCTCCGAGTTTTGCAGACGATTTCTTGAAACCCATCCCAAAGCACTAGAAACACGGATCCAGATCCGAATTTTCGGGTTGGGTGGTGGTGGTGGTGGTGGTGGTGGTGGTGGTGGGGGGGGGGGGGGGGGGGTACAATGAAGCTTAACTATAGAAATTTCATATAGCTCTATGAGCTTTACCCATCCCCCGAAAAAAATTCAAAGTAAATCGGAAAAACACCTTATTTGACCCTTGGTGGCGCCCTTTCCCCCTTTTAGTCTTTCTCTTCGCATTTCACGCATCAACTCCCACATTTTTCCTGTATGTTTCACGCCATAATTGGGACCGGAATTGTAACAAACTTATCATGGACTCAAACCTAAACGCGAAGAATTTCAGGGGTGTTCAAAAAATTTGGTCTTCAATAATTATAGCCCGGAGCCGTCTTGGAGCGCTAGACGTCTTTACAGTAGCACAATGATGTTTCATTTCAAAAACTTGATATGCAATTTAGTGTAAACCCATACAGTTTAGCTTTACGGTGCCGTATGCAATATACTTGACAAAGATTAATGTGCTATTAATACAATGTAGGCAGTTGGTGCAGATTGTGAAATTCTACCTAAAACTCAAAAGGATTAAGGAATTGTTTTTCGCATGGTACAGACACTTCTACGTAATACTTAGTTAAATATGATAACGAATAATAGAATATAATTGTACATTCGATTTAATTATAACATTTTAAAGCAGTGTTCGGCTCGGTATACTACCAGACCTTGAATGTCTTTGTTTTTACAAGTACGATTTCTGTAGATAGCTTTCGAACACCATAAAACATTTTTGAAAGATAAAATTTACATCATTAAACTTCAAAAGACATTTTCGTCAGCCTGGGGAAGATTTTGAAAATCTTCTTTTTTTCCTCGATAGCTTCTTATCGAAACATTACGTTTTGTAACCAGAAAGTCCTTCCGTTAAACAATAACAAATCTGTACGTGACTCAAGAAATAATTCAAAATCTTTTTACATCTTTTTTCCCCCGAAGTACTAAATAACTAAGTGAAAGCGAAGCCATCATGCCTAAAATCACGACGTATCAATGTATTTATTACACCTCTAAAAATACATACATGTGTGAGCTTTAATATCCTGAGCAACCACATTTAACTGTTTTTTTTTCTTCACAATTGCACATATCCACACACACAAAAAAATCACATTTTTGTTTAAAGTGTTAGTGAAATATAGCAAGAAAAAAAAAAGTTATTTAATACGAATGAGTCAAATATTTTAAGTAATACGAGTCTGTCAAAATTACAAGAATATTTGAAATATAAATCATTTAAGCTAATTCATTTATTCACCATTAGTGGTGAATTCATCATTTACATTTAAAGATTCACGATCGAGTCTTTGCTAAATATCAACCTAACTCTGTGATTGCGCGATATGACATAAATTGGATATTTTAATATGCTTCGTTTTATTTGACAACCAATAATCCTAAGGATATGTACTTTTTGTTTTTACAGAAATTACGATCACGTTTGAAAGAAATTCTTATATTAACATATCGGATATTATTTTCATAAAGGATTTTTTTGCACAGAAAATGACGATAACTTTTGAAGAAATATTTACATTTTACGTATCATAATATTCCGTCGGTAAATTGCTACCATTTTTGTGAATATTTAATTGCGAATTTAAACTAAAATGTTAACATCTATAATTAACCACTGGTTAATTTATTCACTAATGCACATTATATCGAAACAATTAAGTGAAACGTATTTACACAAACTACGTACGTGTAATAAGAAAACGAAACCCCAAAGCTAACATTTTTCAAGTGACGTATGACTTTAATTCAACTTTCTTAACGTAAAAGAGTGGAAAAACCTTTCCAGAAAGATGTGTCCGCCATATTTAGGACTCGTAAAAAGAGTGCAGGTTTCACTCTTTTTAAGTGGTTTTTCACTGTAAAATACTTCAACTCCATTCTTTCCGGGAGATTTAATTTTCAATATTTTGATCAAAGAAAATTAGTGGAGTGAGTTAGCCTACCTTCGAAATGGAGCGAGGACTATAGTAAGGCGTAGTGAGTATCAGTGGTCCACGGGAATTTCATGTAGTATTACACCAAAAACCAGTAGCGGATTATCTGGGGATGCTTGCGTGAACGTGCGTGTGTATTATACAATATTTGGTGTTTAACACAGTTGTGTTTACGCAAAATTAAGTGTTCATTGCAATGTCGCCCGCCAAATTGTGTCGATTTAATTTCATTGTCGACACGTTATAACTTATCTACCAAATAATGTCCATCGCTACATAATCAATCACAGCCGTGATTCACGTCCAATGCCTGGCATTGGTCATCAGATGCACAATTACTTGGGCACATAATGTCCAAAATGCCCTCAGCTAAAGTTGTTGTCTTTCAAGTTGGGGGGGGGGGGGTGGTTACGGTAGGCCATTGACGAAGCGCCCGTTTGCATCGGCCGTCATGCAGTGCACACGAGCAGTGTTAGGCATCTCGCAGACGACATACTTGGGTTTTTCGCAGTTGAAAGTTTTCCACGTGCCGTTGCCATTCTTCGACAACAAGACGCACCGAGGTGCTCCTTGTTGGGGATATCCCAATGCCCAGTTGGTGTAGCTCATTCTCTCAGTATTCCCATCGCAGATCACAATGTTTGCGTTAACGGACTCCCATCTGCAACCGATCCAAACTCCGCGTTTTTGTACAGCCTCAAATCGTTCCACCAGCCGCCGCCAGAGGAAGTCGTTCTCAGCCTGTGAATTCGGCACGACAAGGTGGCTTTGTTTACTCTCGCAGAACTCTGAAGCATCTGCCCAGCTCATACGCTCCAAGTACATCGCGTAGCACGACTGATGCCAGTTTTTCCAGCCCGGAGGGCAGAGAGCTGACAAGATCGAAAAACCTCCCAAGGCGAACAGAAATGCAACCAAAATGTCACGAAGAGCTGCCATTATGAAGTTGTCAAATCATACAGTTGAGATTCGTATAATATGGAAAGTATCTCCTACTCGAAACAACAGTTTTATTGATTGAAACAAGAGCCAAGTTTTCTACCAAATGTATGAACCTGGCACAACCGTTTCTCCAAGCTCATTTAAATGTATGCCTCATAGACCGTATCGTACCAACTGCATCGCATGTCAGTGCTATGAGTGCCGCGTTTTCAATTATGTGTATCTTGCGGGGTGTCATTTCCTGTTAGATATATAGCCTGGTTAATTGGGCGTCTTGGTTTTCATGGCAACCTTTTTGGTATCTAGGGAAAACAGCACACTCCCATTGAACCAATGTTTTCATTGGAGTTTTGGACTCGGTATGATTCGACAGAGACCTTGACTTTTCTTATTTGTCAATATTGCGATGCTCGTACGGCGCTTCAAACCAGTTCGTGATGAGACCATGCATGATACCAAGCAGTTTTCTGCAGCAGCACTAGTCTTGACCCAAGACTGGATTTGGTTTTATGTTCGTGAACGTACAGGGTGCAGGCCAGTAAATAGGCCCGAAATTGCCCACGCCGGTCACATCACGACTAGCATGCCCACCATATTGTGTCGCCCACCGATTTGTGTGTATTATGACATAAATTGTCGACACATAGGACTTTGACTGCTCAATGCGTCAAAATGTTACATGGTGTTCTAAACCAATCACAGCCGCAATTCACGTCCGACATACGTGCAAAAAGTCCGACATGCCTGTATAATTCATTTATAATGTCGAAATGCCATTCGCTGAATTGGGCATCGTTCTTTTTGGCCTTTATGGTAGGTCGTTGACGAAGCGCCCGTTTGCATCGGCCGTATTGCACTGCATACAAGGGGTACTTTGCACCTCGCATGCGACGAATCTTTTATTTGGCATACAGTCGACAGTTTTCCATGTGCCATTTTCATCCTTTGACAACACAACGCACTGACGAGCTTTTTGGTTGGGATGTCCCAGTGCCCAGTTGGTTTAACTCGGTTCCTCAGTATTTCCAGTGCACACGAAGCTTGAGGTACAGACACGCGTTTGCAGCCGATCCAAACCCCGCGTTTTTTTACGTTTCACCACCATCCGCCAGAAGAAATCGTTCTCAACCTGTGAATTCGGCACGACAAGGTGGCTTTGTTTACTCTCACAGAACTCTGAAGCATGGGTTTAATTTGGCGTTGCGGCGTTTTCATGGCAACCTTTTTTGGTAACTAGGGAAATAGCACACTTCCATGGTACCGATGATAATTGACGTCTTGGACTCGTTATGATTTGACAGAGACCTGACTTTTTTAATTTGTTTAGTGCGATGCTTATACAGCGCTTCACACCAGATCGTGACAAGAGCATAATACCAGTTTTTTGCAGTAGCACTAGTCTTGGCCCCAGACTCCATTTGTCTTTATGTTCATGAACGTACAGGATGCAGGCCAGTAAATAGGCCCGACATTGCCTACGCCGGCTACATCACGATTTGCATGCCCACCAAATTTTGTCGCCAAACTTAATAATGCCATTGTCGACACAATTTGCTGTGCTCTAAGCAATCACAGCTGCAAAATGGTGCAAAACGTCCGACTTGTATGTAGCCTATAATTCACTTTTATAATGTTGAAATGCCCTTCACCTTTTTGCATCGGTCGTCATGCATGCAGTGCATGCGAGGTGTACAGTTGTTTTGAACAATTCACTTCGTGGTACAGAAACGTTCAATGTCGCCCACCGAATTGTGTCCATTTAATGTCATTGTCGACAAACTAACCCAATCACAGCCGTGATTCATGTCCGACATTCGCACACAAAATAATGTCCGATACGCATATCGTGCCCCAGTTCGCTGAATTTTGCGTCGTTTTTCTTCGCCTTTACATTTTTACGGTAGGTCGTTGACGAAGCGCCCGTTTTCATCGGCCGTCAGGCAGTGCACGCGAGCAGTGTTTGGCTTCTCGCAGACGACATACTTGCCCTTAGGTGGCACGCAGGGGTTAGTTTTCCACGTGCCGTTGCCTTCCTTCGACATCAAGACGCACCGAGGTGCTCCTAATTGTTGGGGATATCCCAGTGCCCAGTTGGTGTAGCTCATTCCCTCAGTATTCCCGTCGCACACAAAGCTCGAATCAGCAGACTCGCGGTTGCAACCGATCCAAAACCCGCCTTTGTCTGTAACGGTCTCTAAGCGTTCCACCACCATCCGCCAGAAGAAATCGTTCTCGGCCTGTGAATTCGGCACGACAAGGTTACTTTGTATAGTCTCGCAGAACTCTGAAGCATCTGCCCAGCTCATACGCTCCAAGTACATCGCGTAGTACGACTGATGCCAGTTCTTCCAGCCCAGAGGGCAGAGAGCTGACAAGATCGAAAAACCTCCCAAGGCGAACAGAAATGCAACCAAAATGTCACGAAGAGCTGCCATTTTGTACTTGTTAAATCATACAGTTGGGATAAAAAGTATGTCCTATACTCGGAGCAACAGTTTCTTTGTCTTAATAGAAGAGATGCAATTGCTCCCAAGTGTTTGTACTTGGCACAACCTATTCTCAAAGCTCATGTAGATTATAGATAGGTGTGCCTCAGACCTATTTATTGACTGCATCGTATATCGGTGCCGCCTTTTGTGTCTTACAGGGGGCAATTTCCTGTTAGATCGCATGTGGTTAATATGGCGTTTGCGTTTTCATGGCAACCTTTTCTTTTTTGCTATCTAGTGAAAACAGCACAATTTCAAAATACCTACCATATTTTATTATTGGCCTTTTGGACTCGGTAACTCGGCAGAGACCTTGACTTTTTAAATTAACAACGCAATGCTTGTACAGCGCTTCACACAATGCAAGTCTTCATAGTGATTACGTCATCAGACCATGAGACCAGTTTGCTGCAGCGGCAGGAGATCAGCGCAATTTATTCTGAACAGCTTCGTTTGGTACCAAGTTATTATTATAATAAATTTACAAGTGTATTGGATGGAGAGAAGACAATTGTAGTAAAGTGTCTTGCCCATGAACACAAACACCTTGTTTCCGTACATCGGGGCTGGAATCAACGCACGTGAGTTGAACACCGTTACCCTCTAAACCACGGTGCTCCGTTTATTCCATTGCTCCCCTGGCAATAGTTGTATTCAATCAGTCGAGTCCGGGTATGAATGGTCGAAAGTACATGCCGTAATTAGCTAGTTTGTCAGACTGGTATCAGTAGGACTTTATGTCAGACTGTGAACTTTAGCTTACGGGATTATGCATTTTATGCAGCGTAAATCTTAAGTTCACAGTTTAGCTCAGAAATGACAAAGAAATGATATTAGAAACAGAGTCACTCAACTATAGCTATACGCATTCAGTATGGCATGCGGTTTTATTGCAAGCAAGCATTCGTGTGCTATTAAAACAATGTACGCCTTTGTGCAGATTGTGACGTTCTACCTAAACTCAGAAAGTAAGGAATTGTTATCTCAATGGCACAGACGCTACTACATGATACTTAATAGAATATGAGAATGAATAATAGAATATTATACATTTGATTAAATTACAACATTTTTAATTAAGCAGTGTTCGGCTCAGTAGCAAAACTAGAAGGTCTTTATTAAAAGTATGAATCCTTTATAGGCTTATAGTTTTTGAACAGCTTGCAAATAGTTGTTTTAAAAGGCCCTGTATTTGACTTCATAAGGCGTTTTAAAAATCAGTTGTCATTTCTGTCATAAGATTTGAAACTCTTCCTTTTTTCTCGATATCTTTATTGCTATCGATATCAGAAAGTCTTCATTTTTGTTATTTGAACAATACAGAAATCTGATGACTCCAGAAAAACATCAACATCTTCAAACATCTTTTTCAAAGTAATAACTAAGTGAAAGCGAAGCCATCATACCTAAAAGAATGACGTATTAACTGAACTATAATATATCCATTAATTTATTACACCTCTAAAAAATACTTTGGTCTGCAACGATTGGCTATTTAATGTGTTACAAATTTTAAACTAAATATGCACTAGGGGCGTGATCTTTATCCAGCACCCAGATATATTTTCTTCTTCACAATAATGCAATTAAGACAATTTTTTGATATCCACAAAAAAATCACTTTGTTTAAAAACTCGCCATTTTCCGAAAAGTGTTAGTAAACCACTACAATGTAAAACGCTTACAGCATATAAAGCAAGACAATACCAGTTTCGATTAAATGCAAACAAATGAGTCAAAGATTTCAAGTAATACTAGTCTAAGAACATCAAAAATACAACAATATTTGACACGTAAATCATTAAAGGTAATTCATTTAGGTTCACCATAGTGAATTCATAATTTAGGCCTACATTTAAAGATTCACAGTCGAGTCTCTTGTTCAATAAGTCTCTAAATGCTATATGACATAGCAATCAACTGAATAGAATGAATATTTAAAAAAAAAATAGTTTTTTTTATTCGACAACCTATAATTAAAGGGTACTTTTTTTTTTACAGATATTACGATAAATTGTGAAAGAAATATTGTGTCAAAAATTTCGTAAATTTCTTCCAAATGGCATTTCGTGAATATTTAATTGCGATTTTAAAGTGAACTAAAGTGTAGAAATCTAAAGCAAGAAGGGAAACAATTTGACTGTAACCCACCGCATAAAACAAATCCTCTTATTCTACTGTCACTGGTTAATTTATTCAAAATGCACATTAAATATCGAGAAAAAAATCATTTATTGATACAAACTTTATAATAAGAAAACAACACCCCAAAGCTAACATCTTTGAAAAGGACATATCTGTATTCTGTATAATTCAACTTTCTAAATCTAAAAGAATGAAAAACCGCTCTAAAAGAGTGAAATTCCATTCTTTCAAAGAGCCATATGGTGGACAACTCTTTCAGAGTGGGTTTTTTGCTCTTTCACATCTAGCCTTGACCAAGGCTATCACTTGTTCCCATACGAGCTTGTTCCCGCTACCGCACACAGCGCGCGCCGCGACACTATTACTATACCGTTAGCCTCAACGACCCTTGCGTGTGCTTTGTGTGCATGTACGTACGCCCCACACACACTTCCGCAAACAGCCGTACATAAGTCGAGGCTCCGTCAAGGCTTTTTCACATCAAGATAAACTTATAACCCGGGACCGTTACTCTTCAAAACGTTAATCACAAACATCAAAATAGTGCAGTGAATTAGCCTACATTCGAAATGGAGCGAGGGTCCATTAGAAAGGCGCGGGTACTGAAAATGTTCAAGTTCTTGTCGAGTTTCAGGGGATCCTCAGGAGTTTCACGTGGTAATACACCAAAACAAAAAGCGCCAATTTAAGAATGCTTGAATGCACGTGTGTTCTATATACAATGATATTCCGTAAAGTTGCTTTTGAACGATTCACTTCGTGTTACAGAAAAGTTCATTGGAATGTCGCTGACAAGGTAAATTGTGTCTATAGTGATGTCAATGTCGACACATCATACATGCTAAATAATGTCCAAATGCCGCGTGGTATTCTAACCAATCACAGCCGTGATTCATGTCCGACGTGCGTACACAAAAATAATGTCCGATATATGAGTGCATATGGTACCCTTCGCTGAATTGGTCGCCGTTCTTCTTTGCCCGTTTACGGTAGGTCGTTGACGAAACGCCCGTTTGCATTGGCCGTCATGCAGTGCAAGCGAGGGGTACTAGGCTCCTCGCATACGACGTACCTCACTCTTTTCGGGCAGCAATTGGCAGTTTTCCATGTGCCGTTGCTATCCTTCCGCAACACAACACACTGACGAGCTTTTTGTTTGGGATTTCCCATTGCCCAGTTGGTGTAGATCAGTTCCTCGGTATTTCCAGCGCACACGAAGCTTGAGTTTACAGACTCGCGTTTGCAGCCAATCCAAACCCCGATTTCGACCTCGGCCACGGTCTCGAATCGTTCCACCACCATCCGCCAGAAGAAATCATTCTCAGCCTGTGAATTCGGCACGACAAGATGGCTTTGTTTGCTCTCGCAGAACTCTGAAGCATCTGCCCAGCTCATACGCTCCAAGTACATCGCGTAGCATGACTGATTCCAGTTCTTCCAGCCCGGAGGGCAGAGAGCTGACAAGATCGAAAAACCTTCCAAGGCGAACAGAAATGCGACCAAAATGTCACGAAGAGCTGCCATTTCGAAGTTGTCAAATCATACAGTTGAGATTCGTATATATTTGGAAAGTATCTCCTAATCGAAGCAACAGTTGGATTGATTGAAACAAGAGCCAAGTTTAGTACCGAACGAGTGTCTGTAGCTGGCACAACCGTTTCTCAAAGCACATCTAGATGTATGCCTCAGACCGTATAATATGCCAACTGCATCGTATGTCAGTGCCGCGTTTTTTAATTAGGCCTATGTGTGTCTTGCGGGTGCCGCTTCCTGGATGTTTAGCCTGGTTAATCTGGCGTCTGGGTTTTCATGGCAACCTTGTTTTGGTATCTAGGGAAAACAGCACTCTGCCATGGTACCGATGATTTTATATATTGGCGTTTTGGACTCGGTATCATGATTCGACAGAGACCCGACCTTTGGGTATATGTAAATAATGCGTTGCTTGTACAGCACTTTACACCATATCGTAATGAGACCATGCATGGTACCAAGCAGTTTTCTGCAGCAGCACTAGTCTTGGCCCAAGCCTGGGTTTGGATTATGTTCGTGAACGTACAGGTACTAATGACGTCACACTTTGTTTACGTGTGTGCTTTCCTACGGTGCTCAGTGGACCGTGGGCCCCAGTGGCTCCATAATTATGAAAGTCCACATGTAAACAAAGTGTGACGTCATTAGTACAGAGGCTTATTATATGTCGAAATGCCCTTCGCTGAAGTGGTCGTCGTTCTTCTTTGCCTTTACGGTAGGTCGTTGACGAAGCGCCCGTTTGCACCGGCCGTCATGCAGTGCATGCCGCTACTTGGCACCTCGCATGCGACGAATCTCTCTTTATTTGGCATACAGTCGGCAGTTCTCCATGTGCCGTTGCCATCCCTTGTCAACACAGTGCACTGAAGGGCTTTTTGTTTGGGAAATCCCTGTTCCCAGTTGATGTAGCCGAGTCCCTCAGTTTTCCCAGCGCACACGAAGCTTGAGGTTACGGTCTCGCGTTTGCAGCCGATCCAAAACCCACGATTTTGTACAGTCTGAAATCGTTCCACCACCATCCGCCAGAGGAAATCGTTCTCGGCCTGTGAATTTGGCACGACAAGGTGGCTTTGTTTGCTCTCGCAGAACTCTGAAGCATCTGCCCAGCTCATACGCTCCAAGTACATCGCGTAGCACGACTGATGCCAGTTCTTCCAGCCCGGAGGGCAGAGAGCTGACAAGATCGAAAAACCTCCCAAGGCGAACAGAAATGCGAACAAAATGTCACGAAGAGCTGCCATTTCGAAGTTGTTAAATCATACAGTTGAGATGGAAAGTATCTCCTATGCTGGAAGCAACAGTTTGTTTGTGTTTATGAGAGACAAAATTGCTCTCGAGTATTTGTACTTGGCACAACTTATTCTCAAAGCTCATGTAGATAGATATGCCTCAGACCTAATTGTTGACTGCATCGTTGTTAAATCATACAGTTGATATTCGTATAAGTATCTTCGACTCGATTCAACAGTTGGATTGGTTGAACCGTTGAAACAAGAGCCAATTTTTCTCCCTGAATGTCTGTACCAGGCACAACCGTTTCTCGAAGTATATTTAGATAGGTATGCCTCGAACCTTATAACACCAACTGCATCGCATGCGAGTGAAGTGTTGCCTGACTTGCTGTGCGTCATGTCCTTGTAAATCGCATGAAACATTCATGAAATATACCTGCGTTTTCATGACAACCTCGTTTGTATCGAAAGAACGCGGAACGGCAGGCTTCCTCACAGTCCCAATGATTATCAAATATTGATGGTTTTTTGATGGCCTGACGTTTTGGTTCGCTTCACACCAATGTCTCAAGAGGCTTTTACATTTATTACCAATAGTCATCAGAGATCGGCGGAAGCTATTAGTATCTCCGTTTACTTGGTACTAATTTATACTCCCCTTGGATGGAGAGAGGCAATAGACCTTATCGCTGTTTGCGAGTTAGCCACGCCCCTTAGACAACCCTATGGAGTTTTTGTGCACTAAGTCTCGATTTTGCGTGTTCCGCGTCCATTTGCATATCCTGTTATTGGACAATATTTCACGAGCTGCGTTGACGCGATTCTAACGCGATTCTGCAGCGATTGTAGTTAAGTGTCTTGCCCAAGAACAAAAACACGCATCAAATTTCTTGTTGCATGACCGAACTTTAAATACATTCTGTTATGTGCTCTTTTAGGTAGCACTAAAACGCGAAATAGGCCTAAGGCCAACTTTTCTGACCATAAAATAATGCCTTTTGATAGCATATATTCGTCATAGTTTATACGTGTGGTATATGTAATACAAAGTCACACAGTCATCGTAAATATTCACTTTGTAATACGTCAGTAGTCTATATACAGTAGTATTATTATACACATTTTAACAGTGCATTACAATATTTTAACGGATAACTACGCATATACTATTTTACGCTGTACGTCATTTGTGCATACAACAATTGGTGTGCTGCTGTGGTTCTTGGCCTAATTGACTTTTCGAACTACAAAATCTGTCATGTCGTGACAGGGTAAAGCTCCCTATGATTTTATTTATTATTATGTATTTCTGATAAAGAAACCAAGGATTCCTCAAAAGCGCCCAAGGTACTGTAGCTCACAACCTTGAGCAAACCTGTAGAGAGGAGGCAATGAGAAGAAATTACAGTTTTAGAGGTAGTAGGGAAAACCCAGATTAAGAATATTCTGGGGAAACCCACGGAATCAGGTATCCAATCCACGTTTGGCCTAGCTAGGCGGGATTCGAACCTGGGTCACAGCGATGGAAGGCGAGAAAGTAGCGCCACACCAACCTGACGACAGTCCCTGACTCCCTATGAGTCTTTTCCCGTCCAAAAAAAACCCAAGTGTCTACTGCTGGTAACCATTTGTCGTGTAAAATCATGAGTCCTGCGTCTGAGATAACTATATGGCAGAAATCACGTAGCATTTTGCATCAACAGTGCAACTATTCTAACGTACCTGAATATGTCTCGGGCTTAGCAGGATGTTAATCGATAAACATGAGGATGACTAAATCTCTCACGTGGTTTGCGGGATGTGGATATATAAACCTTGTTACTTGCTCTGGACCCAAGATCACAATAAAGCAGTAATCAGGTTTAGGCCTATCCTGCGAGTCAAGAAAGTTTTGTGCCTGTCTTAACGTGTTCACAAAACTATAGCAATCCCGACTTGCAGGCAGTCAGATGACTTCGATGGAGTATAGTCTTTACGGCAATCCACTCACGAAGCGTCCATTTTTACCAGCAGTCAGGCAGTACGCAGTATTCGGCATCTCGCAGACCACATACCGGCGGCTGTCGTTGGTGCACCTGTTAGATCTCCATGTGCCGTTCCCTCCCTTGCCATACACGATGCACAGAACTTTTGCTGAAGGGTGGCCTGGCGTCCAGTTGGTGAAGTCCGTTTTCTCGGCGCACACGAAGCTTGAGTCCGCCGTCTCGCGTTTGCAGCCGATCCACACCCCGCCCATCGGCAGAGACGCGTACTCAAGTCGGTCCATCACCAACCCCCAGATGAAATCATTCTCAGCCTGAGAGTTCGGCACGACAATATGGCTTCCCGTGTTCTCGCAGAACTTCGTTGCGTCCATCCAATTCAGGCGCTTAGAGTGCATAGCGTAGCACGACTGCTTCCAGTTCGTCCAGCCGGGCGAGCAAACAGCCGCCGATGAAAACACAGCATCAAATATCAACAACAAAACTGTCAAATGATTGTACCGAGATATCATTTTTGTAGCAGAGTGATTTTGTTTCCGTATTGCTGATTGGTTTAGGCTTTAAGTTCTTGCAGATCGACTGTCAAGACAAATAGATGAATCTAACACAGATGCTCGGAGACAGATTAAAGGGAGAGCTGATTCTATCTCAACTGTTCAGTGCCACTCTCGATTCGTTTTTGATACAAACTTCTGACGATTTTAACTCGGTTTTATCAGGAGCTTGCATTGAATGTCATGATCACAAGGCATTGGTGCCGTGTAATGTGTTTGTTCCCGGATATTACTTCTTGGGTTCGTGTGGTGGATTGTGATGGAGTGACAACTCTTATTGGTGGGAATTGGATCGTGCCGTGAGTAACCTTGGCTGGAATCGTGTGGTTATTTGATGAGTCCGTTATTTCAAAATCCAAATTAGGCTGGCAATTCAAACTTAATGATGAAAGTTTGGATTGGTGTCATCTGCTAATCGCTCGTCTGCAGTCCTATATAGATACGTGATGTTCATTAGAATAGGCGTGTTGCTTATTACCGTGAATGGTTACTTCTTCGTATCATCCACACGTTTCTCTCTACATTTTATTGACGCATGATAGGTTACCAGTCGGTCAATAATCAAATTAAAGAAAATATTTTTTTGTACAAATAGGAACCAGACTTTTTTTCCTACCAGCCTCGCCTTGGATGGCCGCAACATGATAATGGTCTATAGGGTGAGAATTAAAAACAACAAGTTGGGAGTTGAAATAGCCCACATGGATGAGTGTGGCATTAGAGAGGTTTGTTTGTTTGTTTGTTTGTTGGGTTGTTGGTGTAGGGATGTTTGTTTGTTTGTTTGTTTATTTGTTGGGTTGGGGTTGTAGGGGCGTTTGTTTGTTTGTTTGTTTTGTTTATTTCCATTTGTACAACAAAAATACAATGAGATAAAATCAGTAAAATTAAATAAGTACAAACGGGGGTTACATCCACAGGAGGTAAAACCCTCCTGTAACGGAGTACCCAGGCTGCTGGTAAGTGCTGCATTGGGTTTATGATGTTTATTTAGTGATACAGTTGCATTAACTTATAAGTACAGTTATCAAGATTAGATAAAGATATTTGTTATAACTCTGTCTTGAATACCGTATTTTCATTGGCCTAGAACGATCACGTGTTAAGTTTACAAAAAGCATAACACACTCCCTGTGGGATATGATGTACGTGATATCCCACAGGCTACGTACGTACCGTGTGCAACGCTTATAATTATGGTTGGTACCCACGCTGTTTTCACCACACATGAGTGGGAGCAGCGAACTAGCAGACGATCGGCTGCTTCGAGCACGCGACATGCATGTGAGTTGACATTCGATTGTCATGATTGTTGTGTTTACTGCTGTTTGTTTTCGTAATTTTTACATCAAAATCCAAAGAATCAAAGACAGAGGTACAACAAAACCATTGTTGACTGCTGTGATGTGGGATATGACGTTTTGAACACCCTCGGGGCGCAAAGCATCGGCGGCTTCGCCTCGGGTGCTATGTGCGCCCCTCGGGTGTTCAAGACGTCACATCCCACATCAAATGCATGCAGTCAACAATTGTTAAACATATAGATAAACATATAGAGGTGTACGTATTCATTGTGCACGCACAGCAATTTAGCTTTCCCTTTAATTTAAGCCGCAAAACCTGTAACTGGCGACTGACGTGTCGGTACCCTGCTTGAATCCCAAGTACTCGACGGGTAGCGGGGAGGAATCCTCATAGCTCACGATGGCTTCTACCTCGGAATCCTTCCCGAGGGCGATGGTTAAAACGTCGGACCCGCCACGGCCTTTCGTCCCTGGAGTTGCGCCGACCCAGAAGTGCTTGAACTCCGACTTGTCCAGCCAGCCGGACGACTCGAACTCGCTGGCCAGATCGCGGCACTGACTGCACCGGCGAATGGCCGACACGCCGTTCGGCCCACCGATCACGATCTCGTACATGTCGGCGACGTCGTTGTTTTGACTGGACAGGGAGATGTGCACGTCATTCTTTGAGCGAACGGAGAATTTCACCAGAAATTTACCGTCTTCAGACTTTGGGAGTTTCGCGAACTCATAACGATATTCCCCGCCAGTACTATCTTCAAATGTGTGACAATCTGTGAATCGAACACAAAATTTAAGATGATAACCGCCGTGTGGGTAAAATATTGTCAGCAATTTTCGTTTTCCCATTTCCAAGGGTATTTTTGAGCTTTTTTGTTTCTTTGCTAAGGCAAATTTCCTTATTCGTGAGAAATATTGTGATATTATTTCGGGCAGAATGGCACAGCTATAACATTTCAGCACACAAACGTTGCTATAATTTTTGATATTTTGCAGTCGTAAATGTTCTTTTTATTGGTAATTCGGAAGTTGTTTTGTCAGTACATGGCAGTAAGCCAATGAGCAAACCTTTCTCGCAAATGTTTTCATGAGCAAATTTTGGGTTCACAATTGGAACAGAAAACCCCTAAACTGAGCAGCCAGTGTCTTCCTGAAATGACATCGCAGCAACAGCGCCCTCAGTTGTCTAGAAGAGCATGGTAAATTAAAGTTTAAAGAAGTGCACTTTTCAATAAAATTAGCCCACAAAGGGATGTCAAATAGTTTTCACACATAATTTTAAGAGGAGTTGAAAGTTGCACCAAATATAAAGAAAAAGGCATCGCATGAACCCTTTAAAGAGAGAGCACTTTTGAGGGAAATGCGCCTCTACTCTTTGGACTCGAAAACGCTTAACCACGAAATGAGAATACGATCTACGTAGTTGAAATGATCGTCAAAATGTAGAATACAAATGTTCAATCAACTTGGAAATCAGCTATTTTCGTGGAACAATTGCGAAGGAACTTCGGAGTATTTTCCTCAAAAAATCGAGCCATATGGAGCGCTAGTCGTCATTCCAGTCTTTTCAAAACGTTCTTTTCAAACACGTAGGCCTATGCGCTTTGATCGCCATGTGCAGGCATGTCACACTGAATTATCACTTCCATTTTAAGCGGCGCTAATCTTTTGTTGACAGTGTGACTTAAAATTCGGTGCTTGGAATACAAAGCCAAAAACTGCTGCTGCGCTAGGTATTAATAAATGGGTTTTCAACGCATTCTCAGTTAAAGTGAGATATAATTTGGATTTTCTCTCACCAAGACATTTAAAAGAACGTAGGCCTATAAGTAAACATGCAAAACGTAGGTGTTTTTTTCGAAACCTGTCAAAATATACACCTTTAATTTCATCCATCGAATAGAGTTAAGTAATGAAATTAGGGCTGAAGGTTTTCTGCGAGGCTTTGAATAGTCGTGTTGGAAACGTAAATTGGGTCATGATCGTCGGCTGATGACGTCATCACGACGAACTTTAAGACAGTATTAGAAAACCAATGATTCAATTAATCTTCGTGGGATGGTTTATATTTTAGAAAAGAAAATTTATTCCCGTAAACACAACTGCCCTCGGCTACTTTCAAGGAAATTAATTTTTATACCGGTCAATCTATATTCAATCAAGAATCATAACGGCTTCTACTTGATTGGTCTTAACCCTTAATGATAGGCGTTGCTATGATCAACTGCCTTTTGATCTAGTGTTTCCTTGGCTCGTAAAAATCGAAGAAGAGGTTTACGTCAAGGAGATCGAGATACGTTGTTTGCTTGTGGCGCTGTGGTCAAAAGAGCAAAATGACGTGATATAATATTTTATAATAAAGGCACATTAAAGAATCGTTTGCATTAATCCCAAAAGTAACCTACCGAATTGTTATCAAAAAGCTTACTTGGATTAAAGATCGTACTGGTACTAAACGCCCTGTAAAATTATTACGTCTGGCTTGCTGTCATTTCGAATCAAGATTTCCAACGTTCAGGCAATGGACTGATTATTGGAAATAAAGAGTGTATATTGACGAAAGCGTGTTTCGTGATCAAAAGGTTGTGCATGGTTTTTACTTTTAATTACTGAAAAATGTCATAACCACTGAGCTGAAACTTCAACTGTTTATTATTGGAAACGAACCAAATACGTCAAAAGTCGGGGGGGGGGGGGGAGTGAAACGGATGTGTGTGTGATATGAAAGGGGGTGAGTGAAGGGGGCTGTTGGGGGAGGGGGGGGGTCCGGGGCATATCCCCCCCTCCCGCAAAATGTTGAAATCTACGGTGCCGTCTCCTGCATCCTATCTAAGGAAATTTAAAGTTAGGAACTTTAGCATTCCATTTATTATTTTGGCCCCATTTTAATACTGGCACCTATGACAGCAATGTTCTTGCGCCTTTAAGACTGATACCACACACATTATATTTCAACAACTGAGTTTGTGCACTCACGTAATTTGCCGTCACCGGTATCCTCGTCCGGACAACTTGCCAACCCGGTCAAAACAGGCCCCGAGTCCGCTGCGTTCGCGATTTCCGACAAGTTGTAGTATGTAGGCGTGACGGAACGGGCGGTAGCGATGTTTATCCCGCCGAGACGGAGGGCTTGGCCACGGCAGACGCACGGGTCTTGGGTCGGCATGACCCAGGCTGCGTGCCCGCTAGAATCCGGCTCGCAACCGACGTAACATTGCGCCTCTACTCCAGAGAGCAATCCTGTCAATTTTGGAAAAATGACAAAAAAAATGATACTAATGAAATTAAAAATATAAAATATATTAATACTTTGGGTAAACATGCTGCCCCTTTCGCATTTTGATTAATGGTAAATTTTGGGGTTGAAAATGATGATCGAAATAAGGTTAAGGCAATGCATTAATCAAAACAAGGATTGCAGAGTTCCAACTGATTTTGCTTGATCGCACCACATTTTGAAGACTTTTGAAGACGAATTTGACTTGAAAAACAATTAGAGCCTAAAGATGTGCATGTTTTGCATCGTAAATTACCTTTGGGTGGGGGATAGTGGGAAGGGTGAATTTTAGAAAATTGTGGGGGATGTGAAGTTCTTGAAAGAGATAAATAGGTCACAAAAGGAATTTTTGGAAACCATGCACGTAGGTTCGGGTTTTCATTAATAGGCCTACTTTTAGTTTTCATGTCAAATACGATACTGCTACACCTAACAATGCAGGCCAGAAAATCGTCCTGCTTTTTTATTCAAATTTTTATTTTTCAATTGTATTTTCCTTGTCAAAATACATTGAATCATTAAGCATTTTCTCACCCCAACTATGGAAATTCTTATCTCTGCTCAAGAACTATAACAATTAGATTATTATTTGAATAAAATGGCAACATTTCAATACAACTTACCGCAAATGATCCAAACAAGGCGGATCTGCCCTCGATTTGTGCTTACATATTCTCCCATCATCACTTGAGATTGTCTACTCCTGTTCTGCGGAGACTATATCTCCGTCATTCCCTCAGCTTGTAACTTACTGCCGTCACTGTAAAATATTACTATCGATTACCACTTGATTGGAGCCGCATGATCTTGAAAATAAAATGGTCATAATAGGTTTTATACGTTTACGAAACCCCGGCTTCGTTTCCGTTTCGTCGTCCTCCCCAGTCCAAGATGAGTAGGGTATGAGGGACCCCTCCCCCTCCCCCGCCCGATGTAGGCCCCTCCGATCCTTGCCAGACACTGAAACCGCTTTGAATGCCCCTCCAGATGACGACTACATGCAAATTGGATTGCACTTACGCAACTCCTGCTACTATGTTCAAACCATGGAGCTTGGAACACAATACAAAGCCAAAACTGAAACGAAGCCGGGATTTACACTATGCCCCTATTTCGTTCCATAAGCTGCCAGCAGAGGGCGCCCCATTAGTGGCATTTGCCAACCAAACTTGGAAAGACATGAAAGAGGAGACGAGACGTGAGTTCTGACTCTGAGTGGTCACCGTTTATCAGTGTTTATTACTTTCGTGTAAAATATTTCTGTTTGAGAACTTTTTTTTTATCCCATTGCACGATTTTCCCCTGATTTAAAGACACAACACACCCAAAAAATCGTGGAAATTATTGTGCGTTATGTGCAGACATGAGCCAGTAAAGTTCTGCCCAGTTCAGTGGTGGGCAGACGACAGCAGACGACAAAATTAATTTTGTGAACAGGGACCAGTGCGCTATAACCGAGGCCACATTTTCGGGTCGCGTGTTGTCGCCGCTCTGTCATCGTCATTTTACCCCCAAATTTCCCTCAAAAAATCACAACCCTGCCCTCTATCTATGAGTGACATACCTGTTTAATGAGAATGTCGCCAACTAGTTTGGTAGATCCATTAATTTTAAAGTGGATTTTGTTCCCTTAATAGAAACCGGGCCCTACACTTCACGATCGCCAAAATAAATGGCTGCGAGTTAAGTTACTTACAGTTAAATTTAAAATGCTGTTCACAATTACAGAGCATAGGCTTAAGTTACAACTTTCTTTTACAGGAATATCATGTGGAATTGTACAGGAATAGGTATGGCAGATATCAAACTTTCAGTCCGTCAGCTTGTGCGAGAATCTCAAAATGTCCTCGCCTCATCCAGAGATTCCTCAGAACTCTGCAGAGCCCTGGAGGACATCTTGCCACTTCTGCCAGGGAAGAAAGCGAGTGTTAAAGACGCCCCCGACATGCCTCAAGGTGAAGCGGTCGAGGAGTTTGGAGCCTGCCACTACGTTCGCTTCTTGGAGTTTCTGGTCGGTCAGTTCAGCCTGGACTGGTGCGGCCGGTTTGCGGCGGACGAGAGGCAGCGTTTGCTGGACGTCTTCTTCCTGGACGGGATTCACCATCACGCCTTCCTGGTACTGTGCAGTACAGTCAAACACAGCAGGTCGGTTGGAGAAGTAGACTGGTGTCTCTCTCTCTAAAAAAAAAAATGGTTGTTTGAAAATGTACTGCCGTCAGCCTGGTTCATACTTCATGCTAATATCAGTGCAAAGCAAATTAGTAAGGGGTAACAGCAAACATCACATTAAAACTTCAGTTGTTGGCATCATCAAAAATCGCTTCGCTTTCACTTTCACTTGAAGTATGAACTGGTCTCTAAAAAGGCACATTTGCAGAACGTTATTACTTCCACCTAAAATGTTCTGTGTATGTAATGGACCAATAAAATGTGGGTGTACATTGCAACCGGGTACCCGAGTACCCGTCCGCTGTTGTCAGGAACCGGTTCCAGATTATGTGTTTGGGGCCTTGTAACCAATCTTTACAAATTACTTAGTAACTTCTCAGACAATGAAACAGAAATGGTTTGAATGCCATTTGTGGGGAATTTTCAAAGTGATCATACCAGACTACATGGAAAACCAAAACAGATGTCACGTTTATGTGAAATTTAATGCGTGACAGATGACGCTCGCAAAAGTTGCAGTTTACACTGTAAAGCTATAAAGCCCTTGAGACAACTTTGTAGTACGCGGTTTGAATCTTTGGGTTGGTTTTCTTTTACAAGTACCCAGGTATCCGTGTTTTACTTCAGTAGGGTGCCTAGTCCCTGTACTGCCCGTAAATGCACAACACTAGGACACGATTTGCCTAGCTGAGCTGGACCTAAAAGTCTTAATTTCGGACATTGTATTAATTGTCAGTCAGTCAGTAAAACAGTCAGCCAGTGACTCAGTCAGTCAGATGACAGTAGCCTGGCCATTCAGATCCAGCAAAAGGCCCATCTCTCCTCTTCTCTTTGTATCCACAGTCCAAGCTTCAAGCAGAACAAGTGCCTGTCTCTCCTGGAAGATTTCCTACTTCGGGGCAGAATGTCCGATCTCATCTGGGCTCAGTGCTGTGTCCTCTCCGATCTCACCGACTCAGGATCTCAGTCGACTAAGCACCGAATCCTGTGGGAACAGCTCCTCACAGCGATAGTCACGCTACCAGACAGAATAGCCAACAAAGTGCAAGGCAAATGCAGGTACGGGCCCAATCCTCTTTACGTAAACATTGGTGAAGGGCAAGATATTGGTGAAGATTTTAGGCGTGATTGAAAATTTACTGTAGTAGTGTATATAATGTGCCAGGCTTGATGACTATATATGATGCACGAAAACCAGTTGGAATAACAGAGTTAGGAATTTCCCCACCCCCATGCTTCCCCCCCCCCCCCCCCCCCCCCCCCCCCCCCCCCCCCGCAAGTTTTGTTTGAAATTCCAACAAGTTGCCAGGGAACTCACATAACAGTTTTTGCAGTCAATATTTTGTAGTTGGGGTCACTATGTCTTTTAAATCCTCATTTATAATTTTTATATTTCAGCGCTTGCTTCTTCCCCAAGCAATATTTCACATCACTTGCCAAAGATCTCCTCGTGGTACTCCACAAAGTCCACAACCAACTCAAAGGTAATTTGGGCTAACACTCAATACTTTCTAGGTGTCCATAAGGTACCCAACACAAGGTGTCCAACACAAGGTACATTTGGTTGGGTGTATTATTTTCTTTATGTATTTGGATGCTTTAAGAATGGATTCGATTTTTCTTGTTTGTTATTGGTCCGCTGCTGTTTAACAGTAGAAACTAATTACATCAAAAAGAAGTTGTCCAGGGATGAGACTTGTGTGAGATGAGATGAGTTTTTGTCGGGATTGTTTCCTGATTTAAGGATTTTTAAAGAAAACTGGATAATTCCTGAGGGCTGAGGTGTTCCTGTTTTTTTGCCTAAAACAAAAGAAATGGGTATTTTAAGGGGTGCCTGTAGGCAAATAAAGCATATTCCATAGACCCCACGTTGATCTGGGCCCTCGGTGACCCTCAATCCCATTATGTTGAATTTTTCATTTTCTCCCAATCTCACCTCTGGTTTTCGTCTTTCTCTTGTCTTTGCATCCAGCTAGCAAAGATTGCTCTCTGCTGTTTGTGAGCCAGTTGATGGGCAGAATATGTCTGAACGGACATGCAGGTGAGAAAATGCTGTAGGAATACCGTTGGGTGTTTGTGAATGCTGCTTCAATGTTTTTGATAAATTATAGTGTGTTTGATATTTTGTAGTCATAGGGAAAGCAGCCACACTAGCCCTGAATTTTTGACAAATATTTCCCCAAATAAATGTGACAGTAATGCTCGTAGAAACGTAAAAAGTCCATCTTAATTCTCATTGATTCTCACTCTTTCATAAAACTTCTGACCTGATTTAAAAAAAAATATGAGATCAAACCCATGGAATCAAGTAGGGACTAAAAAGCCAATCCACATATTGGCTCAGGCAGGAATCAAACCTAGGTCACAACGGTGGAAGGCGAGGAAAGTACCGCTACGCCAACCTGACTCTCTGTTTTAATAAACAGAGCATAACTGAAGTTTTCTAATTATGTCAAGCACTGTTGGTAGATATTGATTGTAGATTTTACAAATCGGAGTATTTGATGGGAAACAATTCTATCTCAAGAATGAAATTCTCTTTTCAAAATATGTCATGGACATTTCTTCAATTGTCTCATTTACTGGTCATTATCATTTTCATTTTCAGATACCACTTTCACCTTCCTCTTGCCTCACTTTGTGAAATTGACGGCCGTTGATTTCCTGTGGAGCCGTGTCTGCTCTCGAGTCATCGTCGGCACACCGGAGCGATGCTTAGAGAGTGTCTTGGACTGCCTCCTCAAGAAAATACCATGGTAACACTTCAAGAAGTTTGTTGTTATTAAAAATAAAATTCACTGCGACTACATAACCATTACTGTTTTGAAACTTGCATGGGATATTTTTTTGCTAATTTCAGAGTTCCGACACTGACGTTTCAAAAATCCTAAGACCTAGGGAAATTGTGAACGATTTCTTTTTTTTTTTTTTAGAGAAGTTTGATTTTTAAATTGGTCTGGTGATATTACTTGACCCAAACAAGAAATTAAAAATCTTTGTTTTGTCCTGATTAGGTATGGCATCATGTCGAGGCTCCTGGGTGATGCGTTGCTTAGCAACAAGAAACTGCTCTTCCTGCTCACCAACAAGTTCTTACTCCTTAGATGCTACAATCAGGTCGGAATTCAATTGAAAATTGATTCATTTAGTGATACACATTTTGTACATGTATTGATCCTAAATTAAAATAAATGGTCTAATTTTATTTGATTTATTTACTATAAAGATTACTACACTAAAACATGTATCAAATATTAAAATAAAACTTTACTTAATATATGTACGAGTGCTGGCCCAAACAAAATTACTAACATTAAATTATTCAATAGTTAATTTGCCTAATTTTGTGATTCATGTTTTTGGTTTTCAGGAGTTGGTTCCACAAAATATTATCGGTTACTTGGCAGACTCGCCCAACAGGAGACATCTGGTTGTCAAAGTAAGTTCAAGAATTGAGCAAAATGCTTGGTCTCTGTCATGCCTATGTCTGAGCTCTTTTCAGTGGCGGAGACAGTTAGTGGTCAGACAGACGGAAGTCGTAACAGTTATTATTTATTATTGTTATATATTTTTGGTAAAGAAACCAAGGATTTCTCAAAAGCGCCCTAGGCACTGCAGCTCACAGGCCTGAAAAACATGTAGAGAGAAGACAGTGAGAAGAAATTACAGTTTTAGAGGTGGGAGGAAACCCCAGAAGAATATTCTGGGGAAAACCCACTCAATCAGTTAGGGACTAAAAACCCAATCCACATGTGGACCAGCCATCCCTTTAAATTTGTGATTTATCTAAAAATGTTAATAATTGTTTAGAAAATGCACATTCTTTTTCTTCTGTGAAATTTTTTTTTTTATCACGTGAACAAGTATTTGTTGCAGAAGACTACATGAATGCTTTGGGAAATGTTTTTGGAAAGAACAAACAAAAACAGCTATTACTGTTAATTTCGTGCAACTGACTGCTCATCAATGTTAATTAATGTTTTCCTGAATCAGTGAATCTCTTTTTTTTTCAATTCTTTTCTTTCTGTCCCCCCCCCTGCACTTCTCTTTGTAGCCCTTACCTTGGGTGGCTTTCAGCCTTGTAGTGGGTGACTTTCATAAAAAAGGTTAAATTTGCTAAATAAGACTTCTTTCCCTCTCGTTTTTTTCCCCAACAATGACAGAGTCTGAAGACCTTATTGGATGTATGGGGAGACAGCAGTGCAGTCAAGCACACGTCCTATGACCAGCACGCCTATCTGACCAAGACGATCCTCATATGCCTGGGCCATCTCAACCAGCAGGAGAAGACCCAGCACAAATCAGGTACTGATAGCCCCAACACTGCCCCAATATTCATCTCTGATTTAAAATAAGAGAGTTCAAGTACAGCCAGTCGACATTGTCATTATGACCTTTGACACGGGTCAATTCAAAAGTTCATAATCCTTTGCCAGTCCATAGAGCGCTGTGGTCTAGTGGTTACTGTGTTTGACTCATATGCCGTGGTATGTAGGTTTGAACCCTGTCGGGGAACATGGTGCTTGTGTTCTTGGGCAAGACACTTTAGTACAATTACCCCCTCTCCATCCAGGAGTATAAATGAGAAGGTAGAGACCAGATTGCGCTGATCTCGAGCTGCTGCAAAAAAACCGGTCTCGTGGCCTGATGAACAGGGGTTTGTTTGTGATTATTCCGCAATTGGCCCAGATAGCCCACAAAAGTTTCTCGACTTATTTCCAGTGGGGTCCCTTGTTAGAAGATGTGGAAGGAAAATACAGTTTTAGTGGTGGGAGGAAAACCCCAGAATGATATTCCAGGGGAAACCCATGGACTCAGGCAGGGACTGAAAACCCAATCCACATTTTTGCAAAGGCGGGATTCGAACCCGGGTCACAGCGGTGGAAGGCGAGGAAAGTACCGCTACGCCAACCTGATCCCCCTGCCATACTTTAAATTGTGAAGCGCTTTGAGACCTTTGGTATAAAGTGAGTCTGGTTCCCCGTCTACCCTTTTCAGTTCTCATGCAGAAGCTGCTGTCTGGTATGCACTGTCACCTGAACAGCCCGTTGGTTAAGGTGCGCAGACTAGGGATGATCACCGCCGAGGCTCTGACCAAGACCCTGGAGACGGAGGGACCCAAGCTGAGCTTTGAGTACGTGAAAGACGAGGAGAGTCGATTGCTCTTGTTGCTCCTGGTGCCGCCCGATGACCCCGGGATGGATCAGATTACAAAGTAAGGCTGTCTAAATTGAACTTTGAAACTGAGTTTCCATTTTTCCAGTCGGGGAAAACTCAGAGAATTCGGGAAAAAAACACACCAAAAATCAGGGAAAACTCAAGGAAATTTGACAGTGACCCAGAAGGGAAAAGTTTTTGCCAGTTTGGCGTATATGTGTCTTGTTCCATGTGTCCACGTTGTGTCCATTGACTGACTGGCTATGGTGTTTTTTTTTAGTGTTCATGTAGTGTGAATATTACACACCTCTCCAGACAATAACAATTGGCTGTGCTACACCACCTCTTGACTTCACAGCAACCTCATTAGAGTGAAAATAATTATTTCTCACACAATTTTGGAAATTTCTAAGGGAAAAATCAGAAAAAACGTCCGGGGATTTTGTCTTATAAAGTGCTTGGGAACCCTGTGTTGGTATCAGAGTTGATGGTTTTCATGAGATTTTTGTCGGGGTTGATTCATTTGTCTTCGTGTAGAGATGTTGTTGAGATGTCCCTCGGTGAGGAAGAGACAAGAGAAGAAGCTACTTCCAACCAGACAGAGCAGGAAGATGCGACTGGACAACAATCCACTCCAGATGATGATCTGGACAGGTGTGTAGTCTCAATAAGACAGGGATGTACTCGAGTCCATTCAAGGGCGTCAATTGCTTGTCAAAGGGGGGGGGGAGGGAACATACCTTGATCAGAATTAATGCAAGCGCGAAGCTCTAACGGCGTGGGTTTCGGGGCCTGCTTAAGGGCCCTGAAAAAAATTGGATTCTGGACGCTCTGTGGTGCAATCTGAGGCAATTTCTGATCAGTTTAACCTGTTTTTTTAGCAAAATATTATCATTTAACCATTTGAAGTCATCAAATCAGCTAATTTGAGCTACATAATCATATATAGGCTCCTTCAATCAAGACTTCAGCTTGTTACAAAGATTTTGTCAGTTGCAAACCACCATGTTGGTTCTTAACTTGAGTCTTTATGTATTTGTTCACAGCGATGACGATCTTGAGCCGTTTGATATGTCTGAAGACGTTAAAACGTCCCAAGTCAAGACGCCAGTGTACATCAGGGACTGCATTGAAGGTGGGTTGGATTCAGTGTCTGTCTCCAGGCATCATCAAATATGATAAGTATGTCTGAAGTATTAAACACAAAAATCTTCTGGGAAAAGACTCTGATGTACATTTGGGAGTAAAGAAAGTAGGCTGCCTTTTGCATCGCTGATGTCCGAATGAAGGCACAAAATTGTTTTCCAAAATAAAAAAAAAGTCTTCTCTTTCCAACTTTTTATTGTGTTATTTGTTACTTAAACAATAAAACAGCTGAAATAGCCTCGTCTGAAATTACCCAGTCCGAAATAAAAAAATAAAATTGCTAAAAAATTCCCGATCTAAAATTTCCCAGATTTAATTTGAGATTTCCTGTGCTGAAATTTCCAGTCCTGAAATTTCCAGTCCTGAAATTTCCTGTGTTGAAATTTCCCCGCTCAAACAGCCAAGACATGAGTAGATAATTAAGGGCTACGCCAATTATACCAAATATTTGACGATTTGATCATCAACGGAATATCCCAATAGAATTCAAAAAGTTGACAAAATACTGTGAGCAGTTTCGAGGAGATGATGAAAAACATCCATGATGTTATTTTAAATGTATAAGTTGAACTTGCGACTTCGAGATTTCTGTTTCGGTGCTCTACCAACTGAGCTATCAAGCCCTATAATTGTAGTTCCCCATTTTGACTATAGCGCCCCTTGAACAAAGACATCGACAAAAAGTCTTTGTTGGTAGAACACCGGAACGGCAATGTAGAGATCACAACCCTCGCTCCAGTTAGTTTCTTTGTTCAACCTAAAAATTATTTATGTTTAAAATTTGTACAGGTTTGCATGCTAAGGAGAATCGTGAGTTGACGGAGACGAGTCTGAAAGTTGCTGAGAAGCTTGTCCGCAGCAAACCAGATTATTTACAAGAGGTATGTAACTCACTAAGAGACTCAATACTCATGTGAAATATAATAAATTGGAAAATTCATCATTCTGTAAGAAGTAAATAAGTACTAAAACGAAGAAAATACATTTTTTAAAAATCAGGATTATGTCTAGGTTTGAGTGTTTTCAACGACCTACTCCAAATTTGATAATGATGACTTGTCAGCTTTGTTTTATTTTTTTTTGTTTTTTTGGTTTTTTTTGCACTTTTGTCCAGGAGCTTTATTTCAAATTTTGATTGAAAACTAAAAAACTTACGAGGCTTATATTTTATTTAGGGAAGATGGATTTGCCAGGGTCAGCTTGCCAATTTGAATCAGCGGGTAGTGGAACAAGTTTGGGGTGATGGGTAAACCTCTATTTGTAGTGGTTAAACTTTTTACTAAAAGTTTACCTTGCTGTGATGCGGAGTTCCATCATTGCTCCAAGTAGATGTTGCAGAGGCCCACTTTTATAACTTTCAATTTTTCATTTGAAATGAGTTTGTTCCTGGCTTCTGCAAAAACACTGTTCTTTTTTTAATACTAATCTCAAGGGCAACATCCATTTTTTTTTCATTCAAGGTATGTGTGGAGTTGATGCAGGTCCTCCTTCATCTTGAGGATGTCTTTGAGATTGATGACTTCACCGTCTTGAGACACTCGGCAATGGTGGCTGCTACGGTGCAATGCCCTATCCAGGTAGGAACGTACACCCCTTTGTTTTCACGTGCAGTATTTCATTGAATTTTACTAAACCCTCCCTGTATTCTGCACTTCCCACTGGGAGGGTTAATTAATAAGCAAGTCAAGGCTGGTTCATACTCGGCACGAAAGCGAAAGCGAACACGTAGTTGTGACGTCAAAGGGGAGTATTCGCACAGCAAATTCATAAAAGTTGAACATATTTCAACTCGGGTGAATTTCGCAGCGAATGTTTCATGACGTCAAATTCGCTTTGCCTTCGCATTCGGGTGAAGTATGAACCGGGCTTCGTTTTTCAATTATAGCAAATCTTTTGATACCAATTTGTTTTAACCAGTTCGCGCCGGAGGCTGTGTATACCCGCAAAGGTTTTGCAGTATTCAGAACAGATGACGGATAAACACCCAGGGAGCGAGGTTGGCAATATCTGTCAGCGACCCGCTCCCAGCGTGCAAGGCCAGAAATATGAGTGTGCTGCCCGAGGGTGATGGCTCCAACCCGCCTGGCATGAGGTCAAGTGAAAAGTAATCCTGTGCCTCGTTCCGTTCTTGTCAAAATAATCCCGGCGTGAACTGGTTAATGATATTACAGAATTAATGGTAATTGATTCAAATGCCTTTGACTCGGCAGGCATCCCAGTATTGGACAGCTGAGTTCTACGACAGAAACTACAACATCAGACAAAGGCTGGACATGCTTCAGGTAAAAGATAATACATCAAGAAAATAACTCTGTCATTTTTTAATATCACTGAGCTAGAATAGAACAATCGTTTCCATCAAATATTAGCCAACTAAGTTTCATTAAATTGCTGTCCATCACCATCAGTCGTTGACACAAAAGTTGTTGGCTAATCCTTACCCCAGAGTTACACTGTTGACTACAGATTTTTTTCAAATAAACCACATAGTAAAACTGACAAGGTGCAAAGGTACATTTACAAATTTGGGAACCGCCAACAAAGGGCTGGACAGCTCAGTTTTAGCAATCCTGAGGCCGCAAGTTCAAACCCTGGTCCAGTCAATTTCTTTGTTCAGCTTTTAAAAACAACAAAAATAAACATTTTTCCAAAGGATGCAAAGAGAACATACAAGATTTATTCCTAATCAACTTAGAATCTTGTTAGATGGAGCATATCTAGATGGAGCATATCTATATCTGGGGTTAACCCTAACAGTCCTGAATCCTCTAATTTTAATATGATTTTTCACACATCCTAGCCTTTTGATTTTTTGTTAAGGTTCTGGCTGCAGCAGCTCAAGAACTTTCCCAGCCCCTAGAAGAAACAACCCCCTCTAGTGGTCTACAGAAGCCATGCCGACCTTTGACCCGGGCTTCGCCAAACCCCTCAGAGGAGGCGGAGCATTGGAGAGACATTGTGCAGAAACGGATCAAGAGCAAGACCAGGCGATTCGCCAAGGTGAGGCTTCATCAATACCCTAGTATAGTTTTTATTTCCCCCAAATTGTCAATAATATGGTTTCATTTTTCGAGCAAATATTGACCTCAAATTATTGAAACTATCCAAGCAACCCATACACGTAAGCCCTTTCACTCTGAGGCAGGTTGTTGCTTCCTGTGGTCAGTTTTAGATAATGCATTGACAGGAATCATCTGGGGCTGTGCATCGGAACCGGGTACCCGAGTACCCGACTGTTAATGTCAGGCACCGGTTCCACATTATGGGATCGGGTACCCGTAACCAACTTTACAAATTATGTAGTAACTTCTCAGACAATGAAACTAGAAAGGTTTCGAATATCATTTGTGAGAGATTTTAAAAATGAAAACCAGGCTACATGGGAAAACAAAACGTAGCCTTTTTCATGTTTATGACGCTCGCAAAAGTTGCAGTTTACACTGTAAAGCTAGAAGCTCATGCACTGTGCACATTATTTTGCTGTATTGACGCACAGAGACGCACAGATGTGGTAGTATTATCGTGTGGACCTTTATGAACAATCTGAACAGCAACTTCCGGGATTTGAGTTTGTTTCAATTGGGTACCCGGTTCCTACATGCCTAGAATCATCTATCTGCACCCTTGTTTGAGTTTGGAAAATCCCTGCCTTTTGTAAATTTGTGTGGGCATAATGGATCCTTTTTGTTGTTGTCTGGTTCATATCATGCAGGGCAGAAGCACCCCAGCTCCTACACCTGTCGCTAATAGGTTTGCACCTGTCGCTGGGCGTTTCTTCTTCCCTCTTCTCAAGAGCTTTGATAGGTAAGCTGAAGTTTAGTTTAAAGGTAAATTCAGTCACAAGCCAATATGGCCCATCAAGCCGGCGTTTAGCTTCGTTTTCAGTAACATGAAACAACTGAGAATATTTCTCCTCCCCCTGGATGGGATGCTAGTCCATCGCAGGTTACTCCCCAGCTAATGCCGGTACCCATTTACACTCATGGGTGGAGAGAGGCAGGTTGGGGCGAAGTGGCTTGCCTAAGGACACAACATATGGCCAGAATAGAAATCTTTAATGTTTTTACTTAGCTCGTTTTTCCTCAACCACATCCAGTGTTAGGTTCAAAAGTTAATAGCCGGGCACCCCAGAAAATCTAAGAGAAAAATGTTAATATAGAGTTTACGCAACTAATGACTTTCTGTGGGTCAAAATTAATCCAAGTGTGGACGCACAGTAGAATAACCACAATGGAATGCTAACAGTCATTCATAAAATCATTCACTGTAACTTTTACTTAATTTAGTCCAGTGTAAACGTGGCTTAAGATTGTGTTTATTTCCGTTTGAACAGTAAGATGAACACCATGGATATGATAGGTGATGACTTCCTTCTCCTAGGTAGAATGTTGTTCACACTCGGCATTGTGGTCCACGCCGCCCAACATGCACCGGTCAGTATTTAGATAATTAACACTTGGAGTCTGGAATAAATTGTATTAAAGGCACAAAGGATCATTTGCTTTTCATGCATTTTGTTCGTTTTCAATAACAACACCACTCAAAATCCAAACAGGAATGTTCAAAACCTTAAACCTGTTGAAGTTTCAACTCAGTTGAAATTACAGTTTTCGAGAAAACAGTGAAAGACCATGTACAACCTTTTTGATCACGAAACACGATTTCGTCTATAGCACTCCTTATTCCCAAAAATCAGTCAGTTGACTGATCGTTGGAAATCACCTACATTTCTTGATTTTTTTCTATATGACAGCAAGCCAGACGGAACAATTTTACGGGGTGCTTAGACCAGTACGATCTTTAATCAAAATAAGCTTTTTGGTAATGAAAAGAAAATAATAAACATTTTCACTACTAGGGACTGGTGGCTCAAAAGATGAATCACTCAAAGGTGTAACTTTTGTGTGGTTTTTCACTGCTAATGTTTATAAAACCTGTCTGATTCAATTTGTGGCTTTTTTTTTTTGCCTGTTAGATTTGTCGTCAGATGGCAGTCAGTCTGTTGGAGTTGGTCTGGGTGCTGAGGTACCACACTGAGGTGTAAGTAGTTGACTTCATATCCTTAATTCAATTTGACATTAAAGATGTACTCCCCGTGCTTATTTTCAAGGTTTCACCTAAAAAGAATAGAGGTTTTTTTTTGTCCAATTGCTATTTTTCTAGCAATATAAAAGCAACAAAGCAAACAAACTGAAATTGTGTTTGTAGAAAGAACAAAAATTGTTTGAAGACCATGGGATATACAACTTTAATAATATTGCATATTCATAGAGTCGTCTTTTCACCCTTTCAACACTTTGAGAAATATTGCACATTACTTTTTATTAGGAAACACTTTCTGCTTTTTCATAAATCATCCTAAAGCATTTACTGACCAGAAAAGCAGTGGCAAATTCTTTGCACTTTTAATTGTTGAGAGAAATCAAGGTCTGTTTAAAGTGTCTGAGCTATACCTGCTTCGTGGGTAAGCTCAGGGCAAGCAGGCAGATTCAGTCACGCTTCACTGCTCTCCACAGTGCTTTTGTTTTTGTGCGCAGTGACACTCTGAGTGACACAGTTATTTTAACACTTCATATCTCTTCACCTGAAACTGACCTGCAGGGTTTTAAAGAGTTTAACATATTGCACTGAATGCGGACTTCCCACTAGGAAGTTTAATTCTGAAAAATCTACCAAATCCTACTCGGTAGTCATCAGTGTCGTGCATTTTGTCTTTCTCTCCAGATTTGTCCGGCAAGCCCTGATGTTTGCCGTCTCCATGGTGATACTGAGCGTGCCCAGTCACCTACTGGTCTCGGACCTTCAAGACGAGATGTTGGAATGCAAGCTCTGGCTGGAAGGTAGGACTTGAAGACATTATGAAAGGCATATAGGATCATTTGCATTTATCCCGAAAATAATCTACCGAATTATTATCCAAAAGTTTGCTTGGATTCAAGATCTTATTTGTACTACACCCTGTGAAATTATTGGAATAAAGCGTGATATGATCTCTCTCACAGGACGCCATCTTCGTAGGAAACTTACAACTGCGTGTTCAATGCCATCAGGTGCGTATGTGTGCACGCAGTGTGCAACATGTTCTGAGCATGCGCGCGTGTTGCTCGAAATACGGCGCAGCCGATGGGCGTCACAAAAATTTGATGCCCAAAATGCCGATGCACGCGGCAATCTGTAGGAAGTGACGTCATTTGAGAGAGACCTGTTGATGAAAGTGTGTTTTGGACCAAAAAGTTGTACATGGATTTTCACTGTTTTTCTCTAAAAGTGTAATATCCACTGAGCTGAAACTTCAACAGGTTAGGGTTTTGGATTGTGAGTGGTGTTATTACTAGAAACACACAACATGCAGGAAAAGCAAATGATCCTATATGCCTTAACAACTGTTCCTGTGCCACTTCATCATGTCATCAAAAAAATGAGCCAGTCCCTATGGCAAACAGCTGTGAACCTCTCGTGTGATCACAGTGGCGTAATTTGATTTCTTAAGCAGGAATTAAGGAGGGATCAGGGCTCTGCTTACCACAGAATTCAGCACTTACAGCGCTAGCAAAAAACATTCTGTTGTAACCTGGTAAGCATAGAACCTTTAGTTTACTGAAGGACACATGCGCTCGGGCCAAAATGACATATGCTTACCATAAGCTCAGAATTTTCTGCTGCAGGGATTTTTCGGTAACAGTAAGCAGAGGCATTAATATGGTCACCATCAGTCACTGGGGGGCACTTTCAACTACCCGACACATACACCAACATTAGTTCCTTTTTCTACATGATTTATCTTTTGCCCTTTGATTTTAAGTAAAAGTCATTTTTTGTCTACCTATTTTGTTCCAGATATTGTCGGCAAAGATCCCAATGTAGAGTGCAGAGGCCTAGCAGCACAGACCCTGATGGTCCTAGGATCTGTGGTTCAGAAGGTAAGAATTGATACCCCAAAGCATCTTTTTTTTTTTAGTGGTTGCAGCCTGACAGACAAAATGTACATTAAAAATCTCTTTAGGTTATATGTCATGATTGGCAAAATATTCTTTTCAGAACCACACATACTCACAAAAGAGATTTATTAAAAAGGTGCTACCGCAAACTTATCTTGTCTTAAAATATTCTAGTCCTTACAGATAAAATATTTGCTGTACTGTAGGAATAAAAATGTCAAACAAATTTTGAATGATTACAAAGGCCATTGTGAAAAGGGTTCCTTTTTTTTCAAAATGAGGCATATTGTTTAAATTAGAAATGTTTTACAGAAGTCAACAGCAGACGCCTTACATTGTAATGCTACAAGATCATGGCATTACCCGTCATCTTTTTTTTCCAGGAGCTGAGTGCTGAATCAAGGTGACAAAGCTGAAGCAACGTGACAGAGCCGAAGCAAGGCGACAAACCTGAACCAAGGTGACAAATCTGAAGCAAGGTGAAGCATGGTGCCGGAGCTAACGCAAGGTGACAAAGCTGAAGCATGGTGACAAAGCTGAAGCAAGGTGACTAAGCCCAAGCCTTGTGACAAATCTGAAGCAAGTTGACAAAGCAAGGTGACAAATTGTCTCATTCCTTTGAGCCGCTATAATGGAACAAAGACAACTGCAGCATTGAAACAAAATACAAATAATATGCAAGAAAAAAACCCTGAAACAGGACAAATGACTGGAACAAAATTGGAGCCCAGCCCCCCCCCCCCCCGGCCTAATGCAATAAAAATGCAAACAAAATGAAAGAAAGATCTGTTATTGATATACAATTACTTGTAAAACCAACGCTGTTTCTCCTAGCATACAAACTACCGTCAGTGTACCACTACAAAGGAGGCGTTTTAGTAAACACCACCTTGCCCCACAAAGACTTTTCTCTTCATCTGTAGCCATGGTGGCTACATCTCCAATCTTCTTCACGTGGTTGCAATTAGAATGACAAGTCATGTTATCTCCTGAATTAGTGCCAGCTTCTTCACTCTTCCACCAAGTGGTTCTTCTTGCAACCCTGCCTTCTCTCATGGTCATAGCTTTTTCCAGCATTGCCAGCTTCTGATACATCTTTGAAAGATGGCATCAACAAGTTGATGGATTGTTCCCTTGGTTGGTTACCATCTCAAACATTCCACAGGTCGTGTCTAATTGTAAAGGACACACTTGGAAGCAAGGTGAAGGCGAAGCCAGGTGCAGGGTGATATAGGTGTTGGCGACAAACTGATAACAAGTGACATGGTTATGTTCATGTCCTTCTTACCTGGAGCATTGTCAGGTGGTTTGCTTAGCCTCTCCAGTGCCCTCCTGGTGGCTGAAGTTGTTGCACCACCTCGTCAAGCAACCACGTCAAGCCAACAACCTACCCAAGGCATCTGATGATCTCTCCTGCTGATCTGCTTGCTGATAAAGGATGCCTTTGATCAAACGTCATCTCGCCCCACACAGACTTTAATGCTGACTCATGTCATCTAAGCAATTGATCGAGAAACTACACTTTGAAATGTTAAAGGGACAGCCTAATTGTTACCATCTCCGGCAGTTCAGTTGTCGGTCAGCTGCGTTTTCCTTGTCTCATAGTATGTCTTGTTGAGGTTCAGTGTGGAGAGGACCATCAGGAACACTGTCGTCTATGTCAAGGATCTCCGTTCGGGTAACCCTCTTCATCGGCCCAGAACAATCAACCAGTTGTACCATGTACACATTTGTTTGTGTTTGTGCAATCATCTTGTAAGGCGTTGCCTTCCAGTGATCCCCGATCTTGTTGCTACTAGGAGCATGGTTCCGTAGAAGTACCCTTGTACCTAGGGCAATGCCCTTGTCGTTTGCTTTGTTGTCCCGTCTCCCACACCTGGTCGCGCTCTTCTTCTGTATATTCTCGAGGGCCATTTCAGCTGCCTGTCTCAGTTGTTGCTGATGCGACGCCACCCAAGGCTCAGTTGGTGGTGCTCCCATGACATCCTCATCAAACATCATCACATGGTCGATTGGCAGCAATGGTTCCCGACCCATGAATATGTAGAAAGGGGAAAGGCCAGTGGATGCATGCGGGGTGCAGTTATACATGAACGTTAGTTCCTGTAGATGGTCTGGCCAATGTTTCTTCTGCTCAGGGGGTAGGGTACGGAGGAGGTTGTGCAAAGTGCGATCGAACCTCGCACTGCCCATTGCCCTTTGGGTGGTAGGCTATTGTCCTGCTCTTTGAGATCCCGTATGCTGAGCACAGATCCTTCACAAGCTGGGACTCAAAAGTTCCTACCCTGGTCACTGTGTATGCGGCAGGGAACTCCATACTTCTGAAGCCATTCCTTTATGAGGATTTTGGCAACAGTGGAGGCTTTCTGATCTCGGCATTGAACTGCTTGTGTGAACTTGGTGAGGACATCTGTCATAGGCCCATGTTTCAACCTATTGTTAAGAATGCTGCTAGGGGTCCTAGCAGTGGTATATAGTTACCAAAGAATTCTTGGAGGATGAGTTGAGTCGCGTTGAAAAGGCCTGGGGTTGGCTGTACTGGGGGAAGAACAGATGCAAACCACTCAGGTTGAGATTCAGAACACGACCGACTCGTGGCCCGGTGGTATGATAGCAGCAGTTCGGCCCTGGTCATGCGTGAATGGCTTGTTACATAACAATGATCATTATGCTGGTCACAACACTCTTACGTCGTGCTAGACCTCTCACCCAGACACTGAGGAATCTTTTTTTATTATTTTTATCATTATTAGTGTTGGGCAGCTCATTGGTAATAGTCAGGTTCCTTGTCATCACGTCGACAAGAAGTGTCGCTTCTCTTCCTAACATTGGCATGTTTAGCCTTTGTCCCTGGTAGCTTGTGGTACTCAAGTATTAAGCACAAAAGGAGCGACGCCTATCTTCACCTATCTGAAATTGCATTTTCTCCTGTCAAGAAGGATATTATCTTTTCTATACTAAGTCTGTGGTAAAAAAAATCTTGGCAATATCTTTGAACGTGTTTGTTGGACCTAAAGATCTCTTTTTTTCATGGTAATTCGGTCTTTGACAATTGTGCAAAGTTCCTCATACGATTTACCACTGCTGGTTTATGTTACACCCATGATTGGAGGAGTAAAAGACCAACTTTTTTTCCCTTCCCTTCTACAATTGCTTCGGTACAAATGTAATTGACGTAGACTATCTCTCCTTGCCTACAAAGATGAGACTGCAAGAAACAAAGCTGGGGAAACCCTCTGTTTTCTGGCAACATCTTTGAACATTTTAGTTGGACCTAAAGATCTCTTTCTTCATGGTGTGACATGCAGTTGCCCCCCCCCCTAAAATAGAGACCTCTCATTGTCTGGTTTGCAATAGACAGCCCCCTCCCTCTTGAACCAAGCCCGTATCTACCCCTACTATGACTTAAACTATGAGCATAAAATCAGAGTTTGAAACCCAGATTTGGATGGTGCAGCATTACCTCTATGTCGTTACTTAATACGGAAAGATTCCCATATCTGGCCATCACTTGTCACCCTGTGCACAAACCCTATGGGACTGGTCTGAAAATGTCTAAGTGTTTTCTTAGTAGAAATTCAAAATTTTGTCCTTGCTAATTTTGACTTTTTAGGACATATTATCACATTCCGATGGGTGATAGGTCATTTAATGGAAAAATTACTGATGGCCGGATATGGGAATCTTTCCCTAAATACATGTAACTTGCAAACTAAACTGTAAATGTTATGAATATAATGTTTATGGGATAATTTATGGAGTTTCACTGATATTTCTTTTGCACCGTTTTCATGTAATTTTGTTTAAGCAGTTATACTATTTTTGTATCTTTCTTATATTTTTGAAATTTAACAAGTCAGAAATATTGACAAACCAATATGCCCTTCTGAAACATGTAAGATCTTTTGATCAGACCATTATTCGTGTTTTCAAAAAATACTTCAAATCACCATACATACTTCATGAATTTGATCTGAGTGATGGAAATATTGACCTGTAAATGGTAGTACAATTGGAAACAGAATTCTCAAGTCATGTTTATCTTTGCTCATATCTTTTATTACCTTGAACTTTGACTTTTCATTCCAAAACTTATCAGGCTTAAAGGCTTCCCGATCAGGCAAAGATCCGCCCAGAAACAAAGTTTTATCTTGACCGGTTGAGTATTATAGTTTTGAGTTACTATGGGAACATTTGTGTAAGTTTGAGGTCCTTAAATGTAATTCGTAACATTTGCAAACTAAAAAGAAATTTAATTACCAAATTATTATGAAATAGCTTACTCGACTTTAAGTACATAATAGACTCAAGCATTGTGTGAAATCATTGTGCTGGTATGCTGTCATTTTAAAGAAAAGTTGATTTTTGTTTCATTTTCCAATGATGGTGCGGCCAACCATCATTGGAAAAATATGGCTTTTATTTTTAAATAGGCCCTACTACCTGCAATTGACTGAATTTAGTTCATAAACATGTGGTTTGCTAAATACCTGTGAGTGGGCATAAGCCAGCTAGTCTGGTCCCCTGACCTGATAATTCCCGGAATCTAAAATTGTCCCGTTTTGTCTGAAGCATATAGGGTCGGGGAACTGCAAGAACAGCATTTTGTCTTCTTTTTTTTTGGCCTGCATGCATGCGATATTTGCTCTAAAATAATAACCTCAAAATCCGTCCATTTGAAATTGCGGTACTCATTGATTCTGATAGGTTAAGTGCATATAGTTCCTATTTAATTAATTTTTGCTACAATTCAGATTAAAACTTTGAAACAAAGAAAGTCTTTACCCCTTTCCAACCATATTTAATTCAATGGCAGACTGTGTTTCTGATGTCTTTTAGCTTTACTTTCCACATTTGATGTGTTCAGAGAGTAAACAATAAACCTGGATATTGAACTCAGTTATTGTCTTTGTACGATATTTCCGTAGTTAACCCCCAGCAATTTTTTCTCCAGGTATCGTTGGGAAAAGTAGGTCTTACTTTGTTTTAATGAAATTTGGCTCCAAAATAACTTTTCTCAAAAGTATGCAGAAATTCTTTTATAGGCAAGAGGAGCATCAATCAACATTCAAACACCCGATATATTTAAGATGTGGGCAAAAAAAAATCATTATTTTTGACTGATTTTGCCTCAAATTTTCGTTGAAATTTCATTATGAAAAGCACATCTGTTCATAAGTCGAATTGGAATGTGTTCTATGATCCTTATTAGGCATCTTTCTAGCAAGTTTGAAGCGATTTCATTTTTAAGTAATGGGAAAGTCGGTAGAATATATTGGAATAGGATAAAAAAATTAATGAATGGACATTGAGGTATACATGGGCTACATTTTCAAAGATAAAAGGAAATATATTTTTAAAATATAAACCTCCCAAACCATAGGATTCGAACCTTGGTCACCGGATTGGGAGTCCTTCGCATTACCACGAAGCTGAACACCTCATGCGATTGAAACTGTTTTTGTTAGGCTTTGACAAAAAGCAAGGATTTGTGTTGGCTTTATATAAACACGCCCACGCAAGCGTAGACGCAACACAGTCTTATGATGATTTAGACGTATAATTATGAGATTATGGGACATAAAGCTGTCGATTTAGGAGATCAGAATTTCATCCGAGAAGGGGACAGAGTTTCACACTTGAAAAAAGGGAGAATAAGTTGGCCGCTATACGAGATATATCCTCAGTTTCAACATTTGGCGCACGTGTTCAACGGATGCAGGGAAGGCCATTTCTTTTGTTAAATTCCTTTGTTGAATCTTGCGTTAACAATAAAATGTTTCCATTGAGGCGAAAGGATTAAACGCCGCTATCTTTTTCCACGCTTGAGTGCATCTGAATGGGTGTTTTTCAAGCGGAAAATCACGAAATACAGCGCTTATACAGGATTTTAAGCCACAAAACGATACTTTTTGCAGAGGAAATTGCATACTGAATAAAACTGTAGTTTCAAAATGCAAAAATTCGCCGTATTAAGAAAATCGATGTCGAATTTTTTGGTAGCGTCAAGCAAAAACTTTCCGATTTCCAACGTAGGTGGCGCTATATATATTTCGTTAACAGTACAGGTGTTCAGAGTGCCTCAAGCCGAGAATTGGGCCTGGGCTGTGGAAATAATCAGAAATAATATTTTTTTCCTCTACAAATCCATGATTTCGGCCCAAATCTTTAAAATACTGGGTGTTTGAATGTCGATAGATGCTCCTCTTGCCTTTAAAAGAATTTCTGCATAGTTTGGAGAAAAATCATTTTTTGGCCAAATTTCATCAAAAATTTAAGGCTTTACCCCCCTTTTCTTTTTTGTCAATTTTGTCAGACAATTAATGAAGAAGTGTAATAAAATAAATGAAATAAAATAAAAAATAAACCCCAGTCGCCCCCCGCCCCTCCCCAATTAAATGCCACAGTGTCCCGACTCTGGTTCCCCATTCCCCACGTGCGAACGAAATATACATAGCGCCACCTACGTCGGAAAGTGGAAAGTTTTTGCTTGGCACAACCAAAAAATTCGACATCGATTTCCTTAATACGGCGAATTTTTGCATTTTGAAACTACAGTTTTGTTCAGTATGCAATTTCCTCTGCAAAAAGTATCGTTTTGTGGGTTAAAATCCTGTATAAGCGCTGTATTTCGTGATTTTCCGCTTGAAAAACACCCATTCAGATGCACTCAAGCGTGGAAAAAGATAGCGGCGTTTAATCCTTTCGCCTCAATGGAAACATTTTATTGTTAACGCCAGATTCAACAAAGGAATTTAACAAAAGAAATGGCCTTCCCTGCATCCGTTGAACACGTGCGCCAAATGTTGAAACTGAGGATTATCTCGTATAGCGGCCAACTTATTCTCCTTTTTTCAACGACTGTTGGTCGCCTCCAGCGGTACGAATACCTAGGGGCGACTGTGTTGGTCGCCCCCAGCGGTATATCGCTAGGGTATACCGCTAAGGGCGAGTCGACCCCAGCGGTACGTACCTCTAGGGGCGACTGTGTTGGTCGCCCCCAGCGGTATACCGCTACAGGCGACTATTGTTGGTCGCCCCCAGCGGTATATCGCTAGGGTTACCGCTACGGGCGAGTCGCCCCCAGCGGTACGTACCTCTAGGGGCGACTGTGTTGGTCGCCCCCAGCGGTATATCGCTAGGGTATACCGCTACGGGCGAGTCGACCCCAGCGGTACGTACCTCTAGGGGCGACTGTGTTGGTCGCCCCCAGCGGTACGTACCGCTACGGGCGACTATTGTTGGTCGCCTCCAGCGGTATACCGCTACGGGCGACTATTGTTGAGCGCCCCCAGCGGTACGTACCTCTAGGGGCGACTGTTGGTCGCCTCCAGCGGTACGAATACCTCCAGGGGCGACTGTGTTGGTCGCCCCCAGCGGTATACCGCTACAGGCGACTTTTGTTGGTCGCCTCCAGCGGTATATACCTCTAGGGGCGACTGTTGGTCGCCTCCAGCGGTACGAATACCTCTAGGGGCGACTGTGTTGGTCGCCCCCAGCGGTATACCGCTACAGGCGACTATTGTTGGTCGCCTCCAGCGGTATATACCGTTACGGGCGACTATTGTTGAGCGCCCCCAGCGGTACGTACCTCTAGGGGCGACTGTTGGCCGCCTCCAGCGGTACGAATACCTCTAGGGGCGACTATTGTTGGTCGCCCCCAGCGGTTTATCGCTAGGGTATACCGCTACGGGCGAGTCGACCCCAGCGGTACGTACCTCTAGGGGCGACTGTGTTGGTCGCCTCCAGCGGTACGTACCGCTACGGGCGACTATTGTTGAGCGCCCCCAGCGGTACGTACCGCTACGGGCGACTATTGTTTAGCGCCTTTCAGCGGTACGAATACCTCTAGGGGCCGCAGTGTGAAACTCTGTCCCCTTCTCGGATGAAATTCTGATCTCCTAAATCGACAGCTTTATGTCCCACAATCTCATAATTATACGTCTAAATCATCATAAGACTGTGTTGTGTCTACGCTTGCGTGGGCGTGTTTATATAAAGCCAACACAAATCCTTGCTTTTTGTCAAAGCCTAACAAAAACAGTTTCAATCGCGGAGGTGTTCAGCTTTGTGGCAATGCGAAGGACTCCCAATCCGGTGACCAAGGTTCGAATCCTATGGTTTGGGAGGTTTATATTTTAAAAATATATTTCCTTTTATCTCTGAAAATGTAGCCCATGTATATTTCAATGTCCAAAATTGACAAAAAAAGAAGAAAATATAACAAGATAAAAAGAATCACACATTAAAAAATACAGAGAATTTACAATTTGTTTTTTTACAATTTATCATTATTTTGGACTAATTTCACCCCAAATTTTCGTCGATATTGCATTTTGAAAAGCACATCTGTTTATAAATTGAATTGAAATGTGTTCTTTGGTCTTTTTATACATCTTTCAAGCAAGTTTGAAGCGAGTTTTTTTGGCCAAAATTTAAAAAGAAAAAAAAAAAACACAAGCCTTTCATTTTTGATGAAATTTGGCCAAAAAAATGATTTTTCTCCGAACTCTGCAGAAATTCTTTTAAAGGCAAGAGGAGCATCTATCGACATTCAAACACCCAGTATTTTAAAGATTTGGGCCGAAATCATGGATTTGTAGAGGAAAAGAAAATATTATTTCTGATTATTTCCACAGCCCGGGCCCAATTCCCGGCTTGAGGCACTCTGAACACCTGTACTGTTAACGAAATATATATAGCGCCACCTACGTTGGAAATCGGAAAGTTTTTGCTTGCGCTACCAAAAAATTCGACATCGATTTTCTTAATACGGCGAATTTTTGCATTTTGAAACTACAGTTTTATTCAGTATGCAATTTCCTCTGCAAAAAGTATCGTTTTGTGGCTTAAAATGCTGTATAAGCGCTGTATTTCGTGATTTTCCGCTTGAAAAACACCCATTCAGATGCACTCAAGCGTGGAAAAAGATAGCGGCGTTTAATCCTTTCGCCTCAATGGAAACATTTTATTGTTAACGCAAGATTCAACAAAGGAATTTAACAAAAGAAATGGCCTTCCCTGCATCCGTTGAACACGTGCGCTACATGTTGAAACTGAGGATTATCTCGTATAGCGGCCAACTTATTCTCCCTTTTTTCAAGTGTGAAACTCTGTCCCCTTCTCGGATGAAATTCTGATCTCCTAAATCGACAGCTTTATGTCCCACAATCTCATAATTAAGCGCCTAATTACATCATACGACTGTGTTGCGTCTACGCGTGCGTGGGCGTGTTTATATAAAGCCAACACAAATCCTTGCTTTTTGTCAAAGCCTAACAAAAACGGTATCAATCGTGTAAATTGTTCAGCTTCGTGGTCATGCGAAGGACTCCCAATCCGGCGACCAAGGTTCGAATCCTATGGCTCGGGAGGTCTTTACATTTTATATTTTTTAAATAAATTTCCTTATATCTCTGAAAAAGGATCCCATACATCTTTATATTTCAATGTCCATTCATTTATCCTATTCAAATATTTTAGTCTACTTTCCCATTACTACAATAAAACTTTGGCCAAAAAATGAAATCGCTTCAAACTTGCTGGATATAGATGCCTAAAGTACCCTAGAACACTTTCCTATTCGCGTTATGAACAGCTGTGCTTTTCAAAATGAAATTTCGACGAAAATTTTGGGTAAAATCAGTCAACAAATATGATTTTTCTTTCTAAAAATCGATGATTTGCCAAAATCTTTAATATATCGGGTGTTTGAATATTGATTGATGCTCCTCTTGCCTTTAAAAGAATTTCTGCACAATGTTTCGAGAAAAGTCATTTTGGGGCCAAATTTCATTAAAAAGTAAGGCTTACCCCTTGTGTTTAATTTCCAATTTTGGTCAAAAAATAAAATCGCTTCAAACTTGCTAGAAAGATGCCTAAAGGACCCTAGAACACAT